TAAAAAAATATATGAGCAAACAAAATCCAAAAAACATCATCTTGTAAATTCAAGATTTGAGTGGTAGCGGCAAGAGGCAAGATTTAAAGCAATATTTTGACTTTATTTGAAAGTCATCAAGCAAAGTGATTATTTCAGATACCGCTTGCTTGTAAAAAGTCACTTAGCTTACTAATCACTTTGAAATAAAATTGAAATATTGTTGTCTCTTGCTGTTATAATTTGAATCTTAGTTTGTTGTGTGTATTCTCATTTATAGTATACTAGTCTTGTGTTGTAGCACTACTTAAAGGAATCAAATAAGAGACCAGACATTAATTTATGCCCCTTTTTAGGAAAAATGTGGTATCCTAATGGGAGACAAGTGAATTAAACTTGTTAAATTAGTATCCAAAACAAAGTTACACTATTCAATGAATATATGGAGATCTTAAACTTTAGACCCTGCATAGTAAGACTTAAAAACTCCAAGCTGCTTGTAGTATTTGTTTTGAGTTATTTCAATTTAATTTTATCCAATCAGGTTTTGCATACCTTGTATTACAATGTTCAATGCAAACTATTTCACCAATTGATCTCAAGCTCTTTCAAACTGACGTTTTCCTTTCATTGTTAGACCTCAGTTTATGTTACAAATTTCAAACATTGTAATTAAATCAATGTAAACAAATATTACTGGACATTGTTTTCTTTGTTAAAGGAAGTTGAAGGTGGCCATTGCAATAATTTTGACGCTGCTGATATGTGGAGTTGTGCTTTTTTTCCTCTTTCCAAGAACTCCTTCGCTGAAGCTTTTATATGTCCATGATTACAATGCTTCCTTTTCAAATTATAGTGGTTATATATTCATTAAGGTAAATCTAATTTTTTATTTATGAAATGTTAAAAAGTTGAAACTTGCCAACGAGGTCTGAAAAAATCCTTTCCTGAAGAGCAACTATTTTGCCTGCGTGTGTTAGTGCCTTCCCCCTTTATTGATAATATATGACACAGAATTGTAAAATCGCCTTTTAATTTGGGCTTTGATTAGTTAAATGCTCAAAAAACAGTGTTTCTCTAGTATCATTTCCTTGCAGTTTGCGTGGTTTTTGGTAACTTCAAAAGGCAAAAATATAAATAATATGTTATTAAAATGAACTGAGCAAATACATCTTATTAACATTATTTGAAAAAGGTTTTTCATGAAGAAAACAAAAGATTTTTCATCTGTTTCGTCAAACTCATGTTAAAGTTTAGAGATACGTAGATACTCGAAATTGCTTGTAGACTCTCCACTTCCTGCTCGTGCCTGCCACGCAATTTCTTGTTTCTTCCAAACTTTCCCGTATGTTTCTATAACTCTATAGAAACACGGAAAATGTTTTTTTCTATGCCTTAACTTCTAAGTAATCTCAAATACTACATGCATAATATTGAAGTGATATTTTGGGGTTATTATCATAGAGATTATAAATAATACTAGAGGTGGCATCGTAATATAATCTATAGTTCAAAATATGTTGCGCGTTTTTTTGGGAGCAAAATTCCCGGATGTTCAGCTACAATAGCCGGCTCTTTTTTTTTACTTTTTCGTACATATTATGGGTAAATACTATAGTAAATACTATCAAAATCTAATTGTTGAACAATGCTTTCCTTTTTATCGTAATTTTAGATGGTTTAAACCACTCGTATTTTGCAAAACTAGTTTGTGTTGTTTTTATACTTATTAGGTAAATTATATAAGTCCGTAAATCATTGCTTGATAAAAGTCCTTTCTCGTCTTTAAATCAACCGCTAACAGACTTCAAAAAAACATATATTTGTCATCCATACCAGAAAAATGTTAAAAATTGTTAAACTATGTGAATATGTAGGTTGTAGAAAAGAAAAACAACGAAAAACAACATAAGTTTTCATCGCGTACAGTTTAACGCTTAAAAATAACAAATTTTCTTAATGCTCGTACAAAAGACTAAAAAAAACTTACTAAAATATATTTTAAAAGAATTCAAAACTCGAAGCAGACGGCAAAAACATCATTTGTTTACTTCGTGTTTTAATCCGGGACCAAAATTTGCCCCCCAATTCACTCGTCGCCTAAAAACGTCATCCATGCCACCTCCAGTTTTATTTATAATCTTTACGGATATCCCCCCCCCCACACACACACTTAAAATAAATCATGTCAGTGCCACTGTGCGTAAAGAGTTACAACAACTTTTTATGACCATTTTTCTGCCACCCTCCTCTTCCAGTGAGTGTATAACAAATGCTCTTTTAATGCCGTTTGTTTATTTTTATCTAGAATCGTTATGTTGTGAAAAACTCAAACTTCGTGTCCGTTCGTTTAACATCATTATCCATCACTGTAACTTTCCTTAAAGTGGAAGTGTCTGATTCTCAACTTCCATATAAGTTTGAAAAAAAGAGTGTTGATTTACGCTCTGAAACACATGTAGGTTATGTTATTTATATTATTGCAGCGTAGCAAAGTAAAGATTGTTAGATTGCTGTTCATAAAAGTACCAAATAAAGGGGGAAAAAATGTAATTCATTTTCCCAAGTTTTCTTAATGACTTCTCTTTATATCTTTTTTGTGAGAGGGCACACTTTGTTAGCAAAAATTTTCCCTTTCATCACGTCATAAGTTGTCTCTAAGCCTAGTGTCACGGTATAAAAAACTTCGAGGGAAAGAAAGCTTCAACGACCTCGATAGTTAAAGTAGTGAATATTTGGATATTAATTTTATTAAGCATATCAAAACGTTGCAAACCTTAATTTTAGCAGGAACTAAATAAGCAGATACACGCATGTATTTGAACATTCGTACCCTCCAACTATCGAGTGGCTACGCTGCTTAAAAAAGCAAGTGTTAGGACGTATTAAACATCATTATCTATGCTTAGTAGCTAGCTGTATACGTTAGATTTTAAATATGTATTTTTGTGTATTTGCAAGAGAAATAATTATGACATAGTAATTGAGACATTGCACATCTTCAATACTCTTTGCTTTTGTTTGCGTTTCCAGTTTGATGTTATTGTAAAGACATCGTACAATAAAAAATCTGGTGGAAAATTTTTACAGTAAGTATGTTATTAAACGTAAAAGTTTCCCTATATGAAAGAGTGTTTGAGTGAGCTTATTGATATTGGATACAATGATTGTAAACTTCTGCTACATTTGTGTAACTATCGCTTGTTTTTAGGGAATATTGCAAGTTTTACCCATCCTATCTTATGATACCACTTCGTGTAAGGTAAGCAATTTTTTTTTCAAAAAAAAAACTTGATACGAGCAAATTTTTCAGGTCTTCAAAGCTTTTTTTGGTAACAATAGCGCGGAATTTATACAGAAATGTTGCTACGTAGCATGGATGATTGGGGTGGGGAGCAATATTCAAAGATGCATGTTTTAATCCGCAGATAACAATTGATTTTAAAGCAACTTCATACGGCAGAACATAGATACGAAAAAATATTGCGCCCTCTAACCCCCCTCCCCCCCCCGCCCCAATTATTGAGAGAGCCACGCCTCTGAGTTTATGAGGTCAATCAGTTCTTCCTTTTTGTGCCTTAAGAAGATGAGAAGATATGGCTCTGTTGTTTCACCTATCTGAATGGCTGAAAGAATCAAATTATTTGACGTATTTTTATTTGCGATAAATTTGATGCAATTGCTATTAAAATTTATAAATTTATGTTTTCGAGTTGTTTGTTTTAACACAACACCGTATGGCGTATTTATTTCTCCATTAAGTGATTTGTAAGAATGGTTTTTGGCAAATGTCGTTTCCTTGGAACATTGCAATTGATAACCATATCTTGTAGTTCATTAATAACTGGTAGCTAGTTTTTTATTTTTTGTTTTTAGTACTCAACTTCTGGCGTCTTTCCTTTTCCATTCTGTAACACTGTCTGTTATCCAAGAAAAATATACGTCATGTTACTATAATTCTACGTCATCCTCCGTAAGTTAAAGTGATATTTTTGTTTTTATTTCTATAGTCGTCTATCCATATAATATTAACATACATGTATTAAGCACAATCATTGAGTCGATTGATTCACTAAAATAACTACTACGATTAGCTGTGATGATTTTCAATTTTGATAGTTTCAAACAAAAACCCAACTTTAGCTAAACATCCGAATCTCATGTACAAAATATTTTTTCCTGAGTGCAACAAATCACGTGACAACTATGTGTAATCCAGTTGCTCATGCTGAAAACGAAAGTTAGTTTTTACGAGACACTTGGTTTTTAGTAAGAACCAGTAACGTGATAACCATGTGTACCTGTAACAATACTGATCTTAATCACTCAAGTGCTATTTATGTCTAAAAAGTTAATAACATAACCTATTCATGACGTCATCGCATGCCGTTTTTCTATGAAAATTAAAGAGCCACCACTGCTTTTTTTTTGCTGTGCCAGAAATCTTGCTATCCACATTGATATACGTGTTACACAGCTGTAGTGTCTGGTCGCAAACTTTGTGTTGAGTAAACAAAACTAAGGATTAACTTGATGGCAATGAATCTTATCATATGATACATGTCAAACTTTGTGCAATATGATGAAATACTTGCGGAACACGAAACAAAAATATAAATGATTTTGTTGAACGGCTCGTCAAAAGTGAATAATAGGTCCTGTTTAGTATGGAATGTGAATTATGTCGTCACTCAAAAAAGCGTTCACTTAAGAAATAAAAGATGTTTTTCGTGTTTGCACAGGCCGAGAGCAGATCAGTGCAACTCCGAGACTGAAGTTCGAGGAATGTGTTATCGTCCTTTGGAGAGTTCTCACAAATGTCATAAACCTTTGAAAACACGAAAAATCTTTCATTTCTTCTATCGATTAACAATAATGTGAAACATATAAATTTAAAACGAATGTGTTAATCTTTCCTCTAAAATGTATTGATGATTGATTTGCAAATTCTCTTTAATTGATTTAATTGATTTAGCTCAGGTCGATTTTTCCCATTTGTTTGCATCGAAGCTATGTTGCAGTGTCACAAATATCACGAAAAAGGCATCCCTGAAATATATTATAATTTTAGACCTTACTGTCACAACATATTTTGTCAAAGATTTCTTTATCTTTCTTGATGAAAATGCTTAGTTTATAATTAAGAAATAAAAGGTGTTTACTGTGTTTGTATAGTAAGCATCTTTCATTTCTGAATTAAGCTAAACATTTGTAATTTAAGCAACAAACACAGTAACATAATTGTAAATAAAAGATGTTTACTGTGTTTGCACGGGCTTATGCAAACAGAGGAGACCTTTGAGAGAACTTGAGAGCAGATCAGTGCAAGCCCGAGACCGAAGGTTGCACATGCTCGAGAGCTCTGTCACACGTCTCCAAGGCTTGCATAAGTCAATGCAAACATGAAAAACATATTTCATGTCTTTTATAACTAGCAGTAATGCGAAACAGCAAATTTGAAACAAACGTTTTAAATTTTCTTTTAAAATGTATTTCCTGATTGATTTGCAAATTGTCGTTGATTGATTGATTGATTGATTGATTTAATTGGCTGAGCTCAGATTGGTTTTGCACAGTCTAATGCAAACACAGCTATAGATCAACAGCGCACGCGTTTTATTATTTTTATTTTATAATAAGACATGCAGATATTGTCAACATGTAAATTTTCAATATTTCATTCGTATTTTTTAGAGATGATGCGATTAATGTTGCTTCTAAACATCAAGTCACTGTGGCTAATTGGTTATTAGGTTGTGATTTTGTAATGGGTTGTAAATAACCATGGAAACGAATCGTTTTGCACCATTTTAAAATATTGCAAGTAATTGGGGATAGCACATTGAGAGTAAATTTTGCAGTCTTATGACGAGTAACGTAAACACTTAACTGTCAAAGTCAGATTTCATAGAATTATGTGTATTAAATTATCGAGCAAACTTTTGTTGTCATAATGGGGAATGTGCGTCTCAAAGAAGACTTGTCCATGCTAAAGAAAAGCAAAATATTAAAGTTCTTTCAAAGCTTGCAACTTTCCTGTTGTAAGTGTGTCCTGTCAAAGTGTGTCCTTCAAAGCTTGCAACTTTCCTGTTGTAAGTGTGTCCTGTCCATGTCCTGTTTATATAACCATTGATCTTAGCTTAAATAACGGATAACGCATGTAAAATGCTAAAATTAAAGCCCGAAGTAAATCTTTCCATATCAAAGTTAGGGACCATTCTTCTGTGGATTTGTATTACAAAATCTCAATTCTTGTAATATTTTGACTTTTACTCTTTTCTAATCAGACCAATTATAATTTATTACACAATTTTAAAAAGGTGGTCTGTTGTATTAACATCTGTATCGGTACGAGAACCTTCTAGCCTAATCTATTTACTTTGAGTTTTTTCAATATAGTAATATCATTCTTATAAATATGTGATTGACAAGATAATTTTTCTTGGCGATCAGTTGGCGCTTTCAATCGTTCTTTAAAATGAAATCTCTCGCTTCTTACAGGACCTTCCATGCTTTTTTTAATCAACATGTCATGGCGTTTTTCTTTCCTTTCTTACGTTTTAGTGACTTTTTGGAGCTCAGTGTGTTATCAAACAAAGCGTCTTTGACTTCTAATCCTTCAAATAAAACACGTGCTCACGAGATAAAATACGATAAGGTGAAAGGACTAAAAAAGGAGTTTAAAGAACGGTGATTGGTAGAATGCGTCAGATTTTAGCTATGATTTATCAGTTTGGCACGCGTGTTTATAAAGGCGTCGTGTGCGAAAGCCTTTAATAGTTCAAAGAGCCAGTAAACGAGAAACAATAACTGGACGATTGAGAAACTTTCTCAACATATGTACATATGGGTAACGCTTGTACAAATTTGCCTTCAGATTATGAAATTGAAGTAAAAACAGGTACGTATTCGCCCCCAAATATAACATTCATGTCTTTTATTTAAAATTTTAATGTACTGTTCTTGCAAATATTCAAAACGGTAAAGCCGCAAAAACACGAATCATGCACTATCACGACTTTCTTTACTGCCGAGGAAGAAAATTTTTGACCGGCAGAAAAAATAAAGTGAATTAAATTACGCATTAGATTTTACGATTTTGAGAAACAATAGCTTTTTCAAAAAAATTTGGATTTGGTCTGTTGTTGTGAGAAAGACAAAATACTGTTCACTTCAGACAACGATTTATTATTTACTACTTTTCATTTAGGATGTCCCTGCCATGAATGTCGTTAATTTAACACAGTATAATTTGTATGAAACAGTCATAGTCATTTTATAAATGACCGCTTATTACAGATTAAGTGATGTTGAAGATCATCTTTAAATTTAACACACACTGTAAATGTAGCACTGTACTAAACGTGCATTGAACTCGAGCAAAACATAATCTATTTTAAGACACATACAGTTTTCATCAAGTTACCTGATAGGAAGTACATTCTGCTGTTTTTGACAAAAGAAAACTGCGATGTATAACTCTTTACTCCGTCCTTTTAACCTGAGCATAAAAACATATTTTGTTTGCGACCATGAATTTTCATTATTTTCCACTGACTGCATGTTTGGTGTTTAATGTGGTAGTAAAGCAAAAGACCTGCAACCATACTGTAGCTGCAGGCCATATTCCTAGTTGTTCGTGGTTTAACATCTTTTGCGTTATAGGAGATGTCATGGGTGCAGGAACGAACGCCAACGTCTTTATTATCCTTATTTCTGAGTCAGGAATACACTCACGCGCCATTAAGCTTGATTGTCACTGGCGAAATGACTTTGAAAAAGGTAATATCGATAAATTTAAAGTGGGCGGCATTTCTAATCTTGGCGCTATCGGAAAGATCTCTCTATGGCGGGACTCGTCCAGCTTGCACGATGGCTGGTTTGTTGAGTGGGTCAAGGTTCGAAACGTGCATTCTTGTGGGGAAGAATCCGACAGCTTTCCCATAAATAGATGGGTGCGGCGAAACCGAAGTATGGTCATTACAAAGTATGACTGTATGCTACCGCAATTTGATGAGTACCAAGAACAAAGGACTCTAGAAATCGTGGAAAAGAGAAAGAGTTATGTTTTGATAAGAAAATCGCCGGGCATGCCAAAACAGGTTACTCAAAACTATTATCTCGTTTTTTTCTGAAAACTTATTAAGAATTTATGAAGTGCCATTTGGCACGTTGATTAATTTCTAACCCAGGTAAACCAAGGAGGCTTTACAATTGGAATAGTGGCAAAAAGGGAGACTTTCACAAAAAATAAATTGAAAAAAATTTCGAAAAACCAAACAACCAAACCAAAGCATCACGTTGAGTGCATGATTGCTTATAAATTTCACTTTTTACATACGCAATGTCTATCGCCATGGGATAATATTGTAGTGTATCGGTAAAAAGACCTTTGATGTTCTCACTCGAGAGCAGTTTATCGGAAACCCAACACTGAGGGTCAGGAGTTTGCAGTTGGTCAAGAACTCTCACAAACTTCCTCGAGGATGGCATAATCAGTTCAAACAGGAAAAGCATGCACGAGCTAATGCAAATTCAATTCGAATAAATCAGCGACCGCGGTTTTTTTCGCTGTGTTGTGAGTACATTGCTTGTTTCATTTATAATTGTTATGAAAATTGCTGTAACCACTCAGAATGCGTTTTCTTCCTCTCACTGGCTAAATACAGTGAGAACGGTCATCAAGTATTATTGCTTAACACCATGACAATGTTAGCAATAACATGCTTCCCGCTCAGAAGAAAACACTATTTCTCCTCATCGTGGTTGTGAGTGTTGTCTTTGTTTGAGAACAAAGACGGGACGCATACTATAGAAATGATCCTATAAAGTACGGTCTTGGATTCAATGTGTTCTCTTTGAGTTTATATAGTTTGCCGATCGAATGATAAAGTTATGGGTTTTGAAGATGCACATTTATTTGGCGCATGCGCATTTTACACGAAAATCATTGATCACCTACGTAATTTATATCATCGGACCTCGACTGTTAACCATTCACTTGAGATTTACCAAACAATGTTGCACGCCCACGTCGGCTAGTGCTAAGTGCCATAAATATAAATGAGTCCACTAAATGTCGTTTTGTGGTTTACTTCAACTTTCTTTTTGTCCAATTCATCCTCCACTAACACGTTGGCACACACAAAAAATTACCAAGACACATTAAAATAAATAAGAAATTCACCGTCAAAAGTCTATTCGCGCATATATTCTTTTCTTACTTGACTGAGAGATTGCGACATTGTGCCAATAACTTAGACGCATTAAGCCATAATTATTTAATTTCAATTCAAATTTCTTTCACATTGCAATCTTCGCTTATTATGCTTTCTATCTTTATTGTAGATTGAAAAACTACCCAAGGAAGAGCATTTTAGCAATAGTTACAAGGTACTTCCGTGTGGTAATTTGACTCTTGTCAATTTCTTCAAACGAAGCGAGTTTGAACAAACAGATCTTTTCAATATTTTCTCTATTTGGCTTCAATTGATCTGAATGCGTTTACTTCAAGCATTTATTTTTAGTCGTAAGACTCATCATTGGACTCAGACTCACTCAAAATTTAATCATGCTAGAGAGATTTGAGGGACCGGTTGCAAGAAGATTGGTTAGCGTTATCCACTGGGTAGTAAAATTTTCAAACTTGTAAAGTTGTTTATACTTTCCTTGCGGCCTAGAAATTTTTGTAATCTTGGAAGCTATATTTTCTTTTAGTGAATGCTCATTTCAAATCTTATATTTTTCCCTTTTAAGTGGTTTATTAAACGTTCAAAAATATGCTGTCCAGTGGATAGCGGTCTTCGTGCAACTGGCGAGCTGACCCTGCAATTTATACTAATTCATTACTTTAGAAATTTCTTGTTTTTGCTGTAAGTAAACACAAAAAATTTGCATAGCATGACCAATGGGCTGGATATGTCGTTGGTGTTATAACTCCGTTGTCTGAAACTGGAAAATTGCGAGTTAATTTACAGTTGCTGACACCATTTGGGTTTTAATAAAATAGAGCAAAGAAAATCATTTCACATAAGAAAATTCTTTACAACTAGTGGGATATCCAGAGCACAAAGTATCGCTTGTTTGCCCAGTCCAAACTTACAAAGCTTACTACGGATTCATGGCAAACTTTGGAAGATTTGAAAAATATCTACGTGGGAAAGTTCAAGTTACCTGAGGTAACGTAAAACTTAATCTTTACTTTGCTACACTTCGAGATAATTTGGTGGGATTATGTAAATTTGCTTTAGGTTTGAGCTCCAATAATTTTTACTCCCGGTAATAATGATAATCAACGTAATTTTGCTTTTTAAATTTTCGCCTTAACTTACACTCAAGGTTTATTCATTGTGTTGATTGATAATATAAAATTTATACTTAGAGATAGAATGTAGTTTAGCGGACATCACTGATGAACACCAGTAGCCATTTTGCGGTGAGAATTACCCATGAGGACTGCGGGCACACATTATGTCGAGGGAAGCATAGAGGGAAAGCAACAACGACAATACGATAACAAATACCCTTTCACAGTTTCACTCTGTAATATTTTGATAAAAATAAAAAAGTGTAAGTGTGCAAAATCTTAATGTTAGAGTTGAGTTTTTAAGATCTGGCTTTCAGAATAAATATCCACTGCCATTATCTTTACTTTGTGAGCCTGCACTACCACCAGTGTCAATAAATCAGTGTGAACCATTGAGCTCTATAAGACCTGGAGGGGCAAAGGGGCCTGGGCCTCGTGGTCAAAAACATGGCGGTAATGGCGGATTTTGGTGGTCAAAACTTCCACTTAACATCTTTTCAATAATTCACCCTCCTGATTTCTAATACTGTTTGTATGAACGAAAACAAGTGAGGAAAAAAATACATTATGATATTGACAGCATATCATGTGAAAATAATGCTTCAGCATTGCATGTGGAAAACACAGTGACAGACATACATCAAAAATAAAGAAAACGACGGTAGAGAAACGCTATTTTGGATGTACATTTAAGTTATTTTATGACATTTTAGCCTTTTAAAAGTGAAAATCAAACGGCATTCTTTACTAGCCTGTCAATCTCGTCAAACTTATACATTATTTCCATGCTTTTGTGGTTTGACTGTTTGTAAACAGTTTGCGCAATCCTATTTTGCTTTCCAATGGATAAATCTGTGTAAAAATGTCTTAAGGAAGGGAGAAAATGTTTTCAGTCCTATGACATAAGTTCAACTGAAAGTTTACTATGGATAAGCATCATAAGTGTATTGTCATACCTGATAAATCTACTGAAAACTCATAAAGAAAGCATGTTGAACTAGAAGAGCTTACAAAAAAGAAAGTAATTCAAACACCATGACACTGTTGTTTGTAATTTGTATTTTGTAAACAGCTTCAGAATCTTTGATCTATTACTGAACAGAACTACATTAATTTTCCATTGAAATTACAAACTTGGAAACTAAAGTGCATTGGTTTTCTAAAAAACACTGTCTATTGCTGTATGAAGGCAAAATAGTTATTTGACAGTGTAGGTGAAAAGAAATTTATCAAGTCTCCATAGATATTGGTCAAAATCACTTACAGTCTTTGAATTGTGTAATATATGTCATGAACACAAGATTTTTCTTAAAATGCTTAACCCTTCCGAGCACTACTACTCTGTTTTGTTTTAAACAATGCATAGGCACAATACCAATACTAATTATTTATATGTACAAACTAACATTTGGGAATTAAATGATAAACAACTTAATACAAAACTTTGTATTTTACATCAAGCCTTTGAATTAGTTCCTTTTATCTTGGTAAAAATATTAACAATGAAAGACTTACATAAATCAAGTTTCTAAATAATATTTTGTACAAAGAAACTAAATAATTGGAAAGGTCAGCATGTTGGAAGACAGACTTTGCTTCTTGACATTAGGCTGTTTGACCATGAGCAAATTTAAATTCTGTTTACAATCTTGTTTAAAGAGTTCTTTTATTGATTTCTACTAATTCTTCACAAGACAACAGCGAATCTCCTTTGCCATCTAGTTTCTATTTCTCTTACATCTTAACTCTAATAAATCCAATGCATTCACATGAATTTGTGGATCATCTGGAATCATACCAAGTATGGATTTGATGAGATGAGTATAATATGTTTAATTCTTTCATGCATATTAATGATATAATCATGCTACTGTTGAACAAAATTTAATGTAGAAACAAATCTTAGTACATTGTCTAAATACACTACTTTTATCTTGGTTTCTAAGCAGTAAACCTGCTTTACTATAACAATAAATATTTCATTTATGAAACGCTAAGTAGTACTTTAAAATTGCTAAGTAAACCAACTTTCTCTAAATCCTGTATTATAATTGTCTACTATACAGCCAGTCAAATTGAGCAGGTATACAATTTAATAGTATATTTTATTATAAATAAAATATATACCATAGTTCATACACCTTGTATGGCACCGTATTCAACTTTCTGTCACAACCTTTATTGTAAATCCTCCCTTCATCTCTTTCTCAAAAAAAACATGAACAAATTCATGCCCTACTTTTGGGAGGTAAACTCAATCTAAATCAGGAGAGTTTAGCTTGATGCCTTGATCAATGATACAAGATGGATGCAAAACTCGATAAAAATTGATAGCTTCGACATCGTCCGGCGAGAGCGATTAAGTGAAGAACAAAATAAGACTGGACCAAAATAACTTCAAATTAAAACTTAGTAGGTAGAAACAATCTTCAAGTATCGTATTAAAAATGTAAGTAAAACTAATACTGTAGCTAACAATTTACTGAGGTGCTGAATGTTTCATTTCTGTCGCTATTTCAGTCCGCAAACCAAGGTAGTTTATAAATTTAATAAATAAAGTTTTAAAAGTGTTTATGTTAGAAAATAAAAAGTTTTGATATTTTCTATAATTGCAATTGTGGTGGTTCAACCAGGTGGCGATACAAAATTTTATTTTATGAGCCCGCGTCTCCAGCTGACTTTGACTACCAAAACCAAGCATGTTTTTGACCATGCGGCAAAAAGCGCTAATAATTTATACTAATTTTGTTGACGTTTCCCCTCCAGTTATTATAGAACTCAATGGTGTGAACTAATTTAATCTGCAAAAATTTTTGATCAAACCTGGTCTTTTTTATCTTTTTTTTTGTTATAATAGTGCACATTTCTTTAATATTCCATGTAGTTAGCGCTGTATCATCAGTCTAATGTTTTTTTTTTAATTAGGGTGCAAGATATTGGAAAGATGATTTACACTTTGGTCGGCAGAGACTGCAAGGATGCAATCCGACAATGATACGTTTATGCACAGAAATTCCTTCAAAGTAAGATGATTACATGAGTCCTATACACATTTCACGCATATGTTAACCATAGACTTGATCAAATACATTCATGTTTGTGTAGCTTCCAGGTAACAGCAAATATGGTAAAGCCATTTTTGGAATCGCACACTTTGGAAGATGCAATTACTTTGAAGAAACTTTATATCATCGACTATAAAGATATATTAAATCTAACTTGCATAGAAGAGAAAAAGGTAAATTTACAAGAAATTTTTTTTGCATGAAGTAACCAATAACTTGCGTCAATTGGTAATTTGAGTTTCAGTTATGGGTATTTGCCTATACACGTGAATATTTTTGCTCTTATCAATCATAGATCGCCAGTCCAATAGCATTATTTTACGTAAATGGTCAAGGAGATCTAATTCCAATTGCTATCCAGTTGTTTCAAGAACCAGCAGAAAATAATCCCGTTAGTACTTTAAACTAAGTTTTACTAATTTTATCTTTTAAAGGCCTCCTAACACTAAGAAACCTTTCTCAATTAAGGCGTAAACAAGAAGACTAACATAAACATTAAATGGTAGTTTGATTATTATGTTTGCCATTTTTGGCACACGAACAGTGCATTTCTTTATGATAATTCAAACAAGAGGAGTTTCCCGTGCTCCTCTTTAACCAAAACAGCAACTGATTACCTGCATTTTTGAGAGTATCCATGGAGGCAAAGTAGCAGAGAAGCTTTTGAATTTTCAGATTGCCGAGTCATGCTATTTTTTATTTAATCATTTCTTTATAATCTTAAAGCAATGATCACTTTGTAAGAATCCACAAAGCTCGTAGTTAACTATATGTTTTACCTTCCGCAGGGGTAAATTGACTTTCACATTTGTTGTTGCATAAAGAGGCACAAAACATGTATATTTTCGTCATGGACGTATTGGGCAAAGGGCAGGGTTAGTCTCCCACATTATTGGGCAAACAAAGGTACTCGGGAAATTCTCGCTGGAAAGTAATGTAAACAGATGAGCACTGAAGTTATCCAAGATTGAAAATGTACATAATGCTACACTAAAAATAGTACCCGTTTTGACTATTAATATTTCGCCATAGATAAGTCATGTAAATGTACATTTTTGAAGGTTTTTATCCCCAGTGATCCGGAATACACGTGGATGCTAGCAAAAATGTACTTCAATAATGCTGACTGCTCATATCATCAGGCTTGCACACATTTGGGTGAGCTTTTCGACAAAAGAAATAATTATCTCTTGCAGTAACTTCGCAATGTTGATTTGACTTTATTTCTTATTATTTGTTACGTTTTAGGTTTCACGCACTTAATCGCAGAAACTGTTTGCATTGGGACACACAGACAACTCTCTCCGTCTCATCCACTATTTCGATTATTGGCACCACATTTTTTGTATATTTTGGCTATCAATAGGTTTGTATTTCATTTAACCATTCTAAAAAGTAAATATATCATTTACATACGTCGATGGAATGGACACTCATTGACGAAAAGTATTTTACTGTGAGTCTAATATTTATAGCATCTAACAAGTCTCTAATGTCAATTCACTGTTCTTAGTCTTGCGCTAAACAAGCTTATTTCACCAAATGGATGGATTGACAACACAATGTCCTGTAAAGCAAGTGGAATATTTGAAATTGTAAAAAAATGGTAAGCATGAGAAAGAACGGTGATTAAAAACCTGTCGTATATGTGTTAGTTGGCAACATAAATGAAAGTCCGTCAATGATCCAAAAAGACCGTTAATGATCTAATAAATCATAAATTGTAGATTTTCTAAGGTGAGGAGGGGGTTAAATAGATAAAAGCGTATATGTCATTTCTATCATTTTGATGTGAGAAAACAAAACACAAAACTAACTCTAAATATAAGAATTCAGGGCTCGATCGACGACTGACATTTGATGATATCATGTAATGGTTATGTGAGGAAGCATCTATTGAAGACAATGTATTTATTAAGGCTGATTTCCATTCAGTGCAAATTGTTGCACGATCGACGTTTTGCGATCACTTTCTTTTGACTTGTATGCAGCAGTGTGAAACTGTTCCGGTCAAGAGCTTGCAATTGAAAAGAAAGTGACCGGAAAAAGTCGATCGCGCGACAGTTTGCACTGAATGGAAATCAGCCTTTAGAGAGATGCATCTAATGTAACCCCTGCGTAATTCAAGGGGGGGGGGAGGGTGGAGTTTATTAGATACGGGGCATTCATTTGATTGGTGTTGTTGTTTTTTTAATCATTTACGGTAAAAGTATAACAACGTCCCCAAAAAACTGTAAACAAGTATTTTTGCAATTTTATGCATCGTTGATGAGTTCAGCTCTATTTAATAACACTTATAGTTGGAAAAATTGGAGACTTAACGTGGATGGTTGGCTACCAAACGATATAATAGCAAGAGGAGTAAGTTCGTTATTGGAGAACAACCCATTCATAAATTTTGTTGGGGTTTAACAAAGAAAATTAAAATCTGCGTCAACAGCAAATAAACAAGTTACATAATGTTTGTTGTATGCTTGCAAAAAGCTCTGAAAATTTATGCGTTGATGTCAGTTTTTTCAGTTTTTTGTAGAAATATTAAAGTCGTTTTTGTCAAATGTGCGTTTATAAGGCATAGTTCTGTGATTTTTGTAAAGGTTGATGACCTAAAAGCGCTTCCTAACTATCCATACAGAGATGACGCTCTGTTGCTTCATCAAGTTTTATGGGATTACGTACGCGAAGTGTTGCAGGCTCATTATGGTAAGAAACAGTACTAACTGAGCTCTTATTTTATCGAAATGGAAACAGAATCACAACAAAGATGCCAATATCAGTTTACCCAAAATGTCAAACGTAATTTCTTATGAGAAACACACAAGTAATCAGTTTATTAGTACAATTCCCTAATCTATATTACATTTAACACTTTAAAATGCTATTATTAATGGCTGAATAACGATTCGTTACAGACACACCTCAAAAGCTAGCAAAAGATTGGGAATTACAAGAGTGGGGAAAAATGTTGACAGATGAGAGCGAGGGCCTTGGTTTAAAGGCAAGTTTGATAAATCAATTATTTAAATGAGTTATTGTATTTATACTCAATCGAGCAAATTAAACCCTCACCGATTAAACACTGCAACGGAAACTCAGAAAATTCCAAGAGCGCTACTCCTGAATAAGTACAGCCCAAGATTGTTAAATCAACCTTGGAAATTAATTCTTTTATGCTATATTGCTTTTTAGTTTTAATTGGGTGAATTTTTTAGGCTCTTATTTAGCTAATTCTGTCCTTGGATAACGATATAAATTCTACTGGCAAAGTATTGCTTGCTTTTTGACAAGTTCTGGGTGATTTTTGATGCTTTTTGTAACACTTAAAAACTTTCTATCCTTATTCTTTAACAGGGAGACTTGAATAGACAGTACATTTAAAACATGTTATGATATTCTCAAAATTATTTGTTAGAATTTAAAAGGACACTGTATCTAAAGTTCTGAGAATTTAGAGAATACCATGACACTCACTTTAGTGAATAGGGTAGATTACGTTTACAATGAATCCCATGAAACTATGAAATTTACTCTCCCTTTGTTGAATAGAATAAAAAACTCATTTATTATGGCTTAGAAAAAGCACTGATTTATGTAGAAAAAAACATGCTCTTTTCACAAAATAAGAAGAGCGTAACTTCACAGGAGATGGTCTAACTTCAATAAAAGTGATTCCTAAACTACACATGTCAAACTGTAATTAGCAACACCAAAAATAATTATGGAATTTATGAACTTGAGAAAAACATGAAAGTGCTTGTATATATGCGTGTGGTTTTTTTCTGAAGGGTGTTCCAGGCAATGGTGATTTCGCAAATCTCGAAGATCTTATCCAGACAGTGACATCAGTGATATTTATTTGCAGCGTTGGACATGCTGCATCAAACTTCCCCCAATATGATGAATATGCCTTTCCCTTAAATTACCCCCCGATTCTTCGTGGAAATCCTCCAACTGACAAGGTACATGCGCATGCGCGTCCACAGTTTTTTCTTTAGTGCACCCTTCACATCATTCTCCGGTATTTTATACAACATATATAATATATAAAACACTGTTGTTCTTTAAAAAAGTGTGCAAACTGGAGAAGTAATTCCTAACACGTTATGACAGTCATTCGGTCAAAATAAACATTCCAATTTTATTAAATACCTTAAATCAGAGCCCATTACGCAAAGCACGCCTAAAAAGTAAAAACGAAGCATGTGCATTGATTGATAGACAAAAAAGCAAAAACAGAGCGTTTCCTAGAGAGCAATCTAAGCAGGATAGCAATCTGAGTGTGTGGTCTGTGAACAAATGAAAATGGCTGAGACAACTGAACTGTTTCTTCTCTACCAGATGGAGTTGTGTGAGAAAGATATTATTGCCCAGCTACCCACAAAAGATACAACATTTAGCATTATGGTTGTCACGAAGATACTTAGCGATCGTGGTACAAACTCTCTTGGTAATTTTGAAGTTCAGTATATGCACGATCATTCTGGCGTAAAAGCTGTTCAACGGTAAGAACAAAAAAATGCATAGTTAAGGTTACTAAGCTAAAAAAAGCTCCGTCTCTGAATATTTTTCGTACGTTTCCAAAACACCCGGTTGCGTATGATTTTAAAATTATTATGAAATAATTAAGCGGTTAAAACCTGTTTTTATGTGTAGCACTTCAATTAATTTTTGATAATGCTGCATACTCGTTTGTTTGAACTTTGCAGTATTAACTATTTTATAGGATACGTGATTTCGGACCATAACTCTTGTTGAAAAATCACTTTTTCATAAATTATTTCGCTTGAAGATACCTGCATGAACTTCTCAACTAAAAATTATTCCTCCTCAGGCGCTAAATGGCTAAGTTATAAAAATAAATGTGTTCTGAAAATTAAGACTGCACGTACAAAGGCCTGACTTTCATCCCAAACAACCTTCTTTTTGGGTAGGGTGGGGGGAGTAACCTCAATCTGCATCATCAAAAAAAATGTAAATATACTTTAATAAGTAGATTAGCAATAGTTCGCACCACAATTTCTATAAGGTTATAATAAACCAGACAAAATCTTAACTTTGAGTTCGGTAGACATTGGTTAGTTTTAAGTTCAACGGTAACTCACACTGTGTAACTCAATGCACAATTTAACAGTAAACCTAAACGTTTAAACATCTATACTTCGTCAAAAATAATATATCTAGCTATTATAACAGACTGAAAAAGTGAGTGATGATTGTGAAACTGATATCAAAATAACAACTGATAATCTTCCCTAGGCTTAGACAACGTTTAATAGACTTGGGAAAAATTATCGATGAAAGAAACAAGCAACGGAATTTTACCCTTATTTACATCCACTGGAAGTACCAAACTCAATCAGTATTTGAAACTGACTTTTCCAAAAGAAACACCAATATAACACTAAACAATTGTTATTTATAAATATGTATATCTGGCTTCAAAATTGAAGGGTTATGGTTTGCTCAGGTAAAATATTTCATTGTAATTTGAATGTGTGAGCTTGTTTCATGCTTCAGAGAGAAAAGTATGTCAATGGGTTTAGTGTACAATTTGTCTTAGTCTATTTAGAAAATGTAATTGTATAAACCTAATATTCCAATAATCCACAGTGATAGGGTGATCTTGGAAATTATATGTAACTCCTTTCATATACTATGCAAAGTATATTTACCACAAAATATGTAAAGTTACCTTGCTTTTCTTATATAGCAGGGTAAAATAAAAAATACATTAAATATATGCTTATCTTATAATACAAAACTTTAAAACAGTTGTTTAAAATAGTGTTCAAAAATGTGCAAAATCAAGGGATTGCTGTTGGTCATTTTGAATGATAAATAATTATAAACTCTCATTGATTAAGTGAGGAGTACCAGTGCAACGTCTGCGATGTTTCTTACTTATGTCAGACACAAACATCATTCCACAATCTGGACACTGACTATGATTAGACTTGGTCATGTGTTCTTTAATATTTCCTCCCCTTACATTTTTACCACAAACCTTACAATACACAATAGAAATGTCTTTTGGCAAGGGATCAATCAAGCCATCTACTTCTGATTGCCCATTCACTGGATCGACTTTTGCATGTGGTAATACAGCATAACACCAATCCAGGCATCCATTGCCGCATAACATATCTGATGCTTGCTCAGAGGAATGAACTCCCAATTGCTTAATTGAATCCTTTTTTGTTTTATTATTTCAATACCCAATAGCTTTAATGCTAAAGCCTTTAGCCCCCCACCACTTTGACTATTGTGTCCAGACTTCAAAGCCAAATGTGCTAAATCTAATGCACCTTTGCATTGTAAACCAGAATCTTAATAGCTTTGCAACATCAGAATGAATACCACAACCAACTTTGATAATACTGTCATCAGTAAGAACTTCCACTAAATGTTTTGGAATTGTATGAATATGAAATAGATGAAGTACAAGGGTATCTGTCTTGGTGGACAACTGCATTACAGCAACTTTGTTTTTCTCTACCACCAAGTTTCTTGGCAATAAATTGTGGCTTCCATTCAACATCAAAGCCTAAAACCTTGGTATCATTTGCAGCAACGTTATTTACCAACCATGCCTTGACTTCTTCAGGATCATTGGTATATGTAACATGTACTCCTTTGGCTTCATCCGGGGCATCTTTTCCTGCACATCGAACGTTAACGTATGTGATCTTGAATATTTTGATATTGCTGGGAGTCTGTGAAGTTTTCTTGTTAAAGTTACGACTTTAACATTTGAAATTCGTCTATTAAACATGCGTCAAAGATCAGACCTGCAAAATACCAAAATTTAGACCTGTGAGATGTGAGTGAAGTTACAAGTCTGTTTGTAGTCCAGCTTGAGTGAAATTGAAAAGACCTTCCAAAATTATGAAAAGTTGCAACAATTCAGCTTACCAAAAACATCAAGAACTTTTTTTAACTTTTTCTATACTACAGATTTCGAATTTTGTAGTTCTACCTACAGTTACATAAATAAACAAACAAATGAGCAAGCCAAAGTGGAGGCGCCATTGTGTTCCAAGAAACGATGAATTTTTACAGCTCACCATTTCAGTTTGTGACCAGAGGTTTGACAAAGATGTTTATTGTACGTGGTGTAAGTACCATTTTTGTGCAACGCTTATCGCCATCTTGTTTTGTAGGCTGTTTCCAAATTATCGTTTTCTTAGAGAATATCGCCTTTAGAAAAATGGCTGAAAGATATAGCTTTAGCTTAACCACATTCAGGTAAATTTTGCTACATTTTTTTGTGCCCAGTAGTCGTCTTATTTGCAAAAGGAGCTTTATCTCCTTTTAGCAAAAGGAGCTCGATTTGTTTTCTCAATTCAAGTTTTTGGTTCTGATGTTGATATATGTACTAAAAATAACATCCTACTTCATGACAAATAATTTTAATGGTCCTTACAATTTAGTCCATCAGGCAAATTGGTTCAGATTGAGTATGCATTAGCTGCTGTAGCTTCTGGTGGATCTTCTGTTGGCATTAAAGGTATTCATATACGTGTACAATACCTAGCTCTTCTTGAATCTTGATATTTCATAGTGACTCAATCCACATGGATAAATAATTGGACCTGACAACATAATATAGGTGGAAAAATTCTTTAAAATGATTACATATAACTGAAAAATCCTGTAAATTTCATGGTATTATGTGAGACTTGTGTAATTGTAACAATTGACATTTTTTGCCATCTGAATGCTGTAGTGAATTTCTAAATTTTCTTATTGATCAGATATACAAAAACTAATTAACCATAAACATGAAATCCATGTTGAACAATTTTGTATGGAATAAATCATTATAAATCTTGGGCCACAAGGCTAAAGTGGACCTCTATCTTAAACCGCTCATTCAATCTTGGGATATGCACTGAAAGTCCACTGTGAAAGTCTGGTGCTAATTATTGTTTTATTATGTATCATTATGTTGCAGTAAATTGCCAAATAATAATCTGAGTCATTTTTGGTAGGTATTGCAACTTGTTTGTTTGAATAGGCAGGACAAGATACATGTTGCTCACTCTGATCAAATTTTGTTGATTTAATGCATTTATGTAATGTGTATGAGACATTTTGACATTTTATGAAAATGTTTATTTCAGCTACAAATGGGTTGTGGCTGCTGAAAAGAAACAAAAATCAATTCTTTATGATGATTCCACCATTCACAAGGTTTGGATGAAGTAGATCTAATATTTATAATGATTATGTCTTATTTTTATTTTATTTTATAATTTTTCAAACACGATAATTAAGTATGTTGGAGCTTGACAGCATGACCTTTGTTATGAAAATGCAATGAATCTTTTCCCTGAAGTGCATCACTGTAGTGCTTGCAAAGGAAGATGTTTAATACGCATGTTGCTAGATTTTGGAACTAAGTTGGATTTGTGCTATCTAACGTATCTAACACAATGATCTCTCATTGTGTTTGTTTTGAGGAGTGTCAGTTTTTTATTTTGGTTGTAAAATGCAACTATTTATGGTCTTTTAGGTTGAAATGATCACAAAAAATGCTGGTTTAGTTTATAGTGGAATGGGTCCAGACTGCAGGTTTTTGTGTATTTATTTCATATCATTATGCTCCACCACCATTATAGCTTCAAAATTAATGTGGTGTTGAGCTGAAAATATAACAAATAATTATTAGCGAGTTGACATATGTAAATATGTTAGAAATTTCATGTGGGGTAGAGATAATATCAATGATAATGCAACAAAAACTATCTGTCTTTGAAAAACAATTTTATCAGTAAAACACTTTTCAAATTTATATGCTTAGAACTTATTCAAATAATTGATTTTCCTCACACCTTCCTCAAATATTTAATTCTTCATGATGTCACCACTCTAGTATAATTATTGACACAATTAGCTTGTTATAATTGTTTTATATTTTTTATAAATTATGGCTGTCAAATACCTATACACTGTAGGCTTTATTTTAAATTCAAAGCATTTTGCTCATTTAAATTAAGACAAAGCTAAAAAAGTATAATTCCTACTAATTTAAATAACTTGGTTGAATGTCATGATTAATGATACTTACCTGTAACCACATTTTGTTAAATACTATTGTTTTTATTTGTACGTAACTAAGTGTTGAACTACCTCTCATTAAACTATCATTCTTTCTGCCAGAGTGAACATAGATATAATTTCCGGCCTTCTTGGAGTTGTACAGTTTCTGAACTCAGACAATCTTTACTCATTTTTAAGGTTATTGGTGCGACGTGCAAGAAAAATTGCCCAACAATATTTCTTAGTTTATCGTGAACCAATTCCAACGTCACAACTGGTTCATAGAATTGCTTCAGTGATGCAGGAATATACGCAATCAGGGTAGGTGATATGATATCGTAAACCTTACTAAATCTTAGTAGCAATGTTTCCGTTGAGGAGTTGATTGGATTCACTATGAGCCAATGTGAATTGCGTCGAAAATACGTATGTAAATGTTGGTGTGTTTTGATTTGAGTTCAATGATCCCTCAGAAATCTGTTTTGAAGTTGGCTAGTCTATAGAGCCTCGTTCATCTTCGTTATAAATTCTTACTATGACGACACATGCTGCCTTTTCAATTTTTTTCTTTATAATCAATTTTCATGATTTTCCCCCCAACGAATCTCTTTTTTATTAATCAAATTTTTTCTGTCTTACGGACGTTATATATACGTGCATATTTGTATGCAAATGATAAAGGGTTGTAGGGTTGAAACATTCCGCGATTCTTCCAGTATCCATAAAAGCAAAATGAATTTGTAAATTAATATTGACTTTATGTAAATGTTATATTTCAGTGGTGTACGACCCTTTGGTGTATCGTTGTTGATAGCTGGCTGGGATGAAGACAGACCTTATCTGTTTCAGTGTGATCCTTCGGTTGGTTTAATTATTTCATATTATTCAGTAGCAGTTTCAGGGAATTTCTGCTGCTCATTTGAACGTAAATTACAGTACCGCTCGCGTATTTCTTAACATACGATACGCGTATCATACGAAAAACATACGCGTATGATACGAGAACGATACGCGTATGATACGAGAACGATACGCGTATGATACGAGAATGATACGCGTATGATACGAGAATGATACGCGTATGATACGAGAACGATACGCGTATGATACGAGAATGATACGCGTATGATACGAGAACGATACGCGTATGATACGAGAATGATACGCGTATGATACGAGAACGATACGCGTATGATAAGAGAATGATACGCGTATGATACGAGAACGATACGCGTATGATACGAGAACGATACGCGTATGATACGAGAATGATACGCGTATGATACGAGAACGATACGCGTATGATACGAGAATGATACGCGTATGATACGAGAACGATACGCGTATGATAAGAGAACGAGACGCGTATGATACGAGAACGATACGCGTATGATACGAGAACGATACGCGTATGATACGAGAACGATACGCGTATGACATGCGTATCATACGCAAAATTATGTTAACAAATACGCGAGCGGTAGTATAAGAGTGAATCAACTTTCATCATGTATCTAGTTGTTTATTAACTTTTCTCTGACAAGAACACATATTGTTCCATGTGTAAATCAAGCTTCGTGATTCTTAAAACTTGCCATGTGCTAGGATGACGCAAACTCAAATAAAATGACATAATAACATCGCTAGGTCATAATTTGCACTAGAAAGATTTAACACTTTCAACCACACCACGCGTTTTTGAAGTTGATTACTTGTTTTGTCGTAAACTTACGTATCTTAGAAAATATTTTTGATCAACAAAAAGTGTAGAATAGTAACTCAGTGATTTAATACTACAATGAACATACGTATATGTATCATGAGGCAGAGGAATTTTAAATTCATTTTAAAGAAGTTTTAGTAAAGGTTATCATATTTGTTAAGTTTTTGTTTTCTAGGGAGCGTACTTTGCTTGGAAAGCCACTGCAATGGGAAAAAATCACTTGAACGGACGAACATTCTTAGAAAAAAGGTAGCGGCATGTTTTTCATAATCCTTGTTGGTTTGTTATACGTACTCCATGAGGAAAAGATGTATAATTGTTTCCTATTATTTTAGGTATAACGATGATCTGGAGCTAGAAGATGCAATACACACAGCTATACTGACTCTTAAGGTTAGATACAGAGTGTTATAAATTCTAAAAATATGAAGTTCTTCTACGCATTGAAATGAATATAACTTGAACGCAATTGAAGCTGAGATTTTACAAGTATCCCCAGTCCTTTTACAATTTTTTTTAAAAAAACAGCAGTTTTTATTCGTAAATTCACCCAAAACACAACTTTACGATTGATTATTTTGCGTACGTATTTGTTAAAAAAATATTCAATTTTTGAAATATGCTGTAAAATAAAAATTCTAACAGAAAATGTGGCAAAACTTTACAACTAGCTAACTGTGGACGTTCGTAAAAAAAACGCGCGTTGTTCAACGCTTTTTCTGCGTTGCGTATGAGAAGTTCTGAAATGAACTAGACTTCCATACCACAAATTTATGATATATCTTTATGAAATACATCTATTTTGAGAGTTTTATGAAACTTAACTCATTTACTCAAAGAAAATACAGCTTTTTCAAACCGAAAATATTATCATATATCTAGTAGCTATTAATAGTAGTCACAGAGACTCGCTCCAGTCTCCTTTCTGATTGAAAGTCTTTAAATCAAAATTATTGAAAAAACTTATCATCCTTCAAACATAAAAAAGTCAATATGTAGAAAGATATACTTCCTTGTATGATCTTTGTACTGTATGATATATCAAAAAGCAAAGGGAAAAGAACAAAATAACGAATGCCGACTATATGCTGCGTACCATAGAAATGCGTAAACACATTTATTTTAATAAAAAAACAAAATACACCAACAAGTTAAAAAATATTTATTTACAAGATACATTTATTGGAAATCTTGCTAAAAAACATCTTTAAGATGACAAAATGATTGAAGTTTGTTGACGAGTGAAAACTGTCTTTCATCGACCTCTACGGATCACAAAACTTTGAAAACAAGATTAATATCGTAGCGAATACTGTGGCTCAAAATCCTTTGCAATTTTCACTGATTTCGGATGCATAGCTAGCTACATTTTGTGATTAGTGGTGTTTAAAAAAATCAATGAAAAAAGCTTTAACACAACGCATTGCAGCAAAAAGTAATCCGTGTTTTGATTCTAACAGAAGCTATTCGAGCTAAACAAGTAAACAACACGCTTTTGTCTGTAGCTTGGCAACTTAAAATTTTCCCGGGGTGAGTTTTTATTTTTGCGATTGGCTTCAACCACTCACTAGGCTAAAGTATAGGAGTTTGCGTTCCAGTTATGTTTACCTCGATGGTTTTAGGCAATACGTATATTAGTCGTTATAATTTAGGTTTTTATTTTACTCTGAAGCTTTGACTGCTTTAAATTATGCTGCATTTAATGCACTTTTGACCGAGACCGAACTTTAAATTGCCAATTGCTCTTGTTCGACATTTAAAAGTTTTAGTTTTCTGAGAACAACAGAAACTCTTTTAGCTCTTGGAATGGTTGAAAGTACAATGAGATTTCATTAATTTAAAGTTGAGTTTGATCATCTCTCAAACTTTCAGTTCAATCCAATGTTTTTATCTGTTATACAAAGCAAACTGGCCGTAGCTAAAGTACGTTTGCTAACTGAAATACTAAAAGAATGACGTGAACAAAAATGGCCCTGACATTCCAGGTTTAAAGATCATTTACGTAGCTACATACCAAAAATAGCCAACAAAACTTTAAAGATATATTCACTTTCGATACTGCTCTTTTTTGTTCTATATTATGCAACGTTATCGATTCAAGCAGTATAACTTTTCCTTTCTATTCCCGCGTTTAGTGTTTTAGCAAACTCAGTGTTAAATTCCTGTTTTTGCGTGGCATCACTTGTAAATACTTTGGTCATCACAACTGTTAAAACAATAACTCTCATAAGAAATGAATTATGATGTTTTAAACTTTAAATAGAAAAAACAAATGTGCTAACTGTCTTTTTTCAATAGTGCTAGCAGTTCAAGGTTATTCCTTTTTCAAAGTGACTAAAATTGAATTTTTTTAACGTTGCTCAATTTACAGGAGAGTTTTGAAGGTCAGGTGACAGAGGACAACATAGAAGTTGGAATTTGTACATCGTCAGGATTTCGACGTCTTCAGCCTGCCGAAGTAAAAGATTATCTTGCTTCAGTGTAACAACGTAAAGTGTTGTGAGTGTGTCAGCTTTCATGACAGCATTCTCTTGAATTTATCGTTTTCATGTAGACGATGTCTAACATGAGAAAAACTGTGTTTTTGTAAAACGACCAAAGTAAAAAACGATAATTCAGTACGTGAACGAGTTAAAAATTTATCTTGATTCCATGCATGGTATTGCGACTGTTTACAAAGAGCGCTTGTTTTCCCTTCTACTTTAGAAATAAAGTTTGGGATTGGGACACTGGTTAAGAATATGCGATTTGTGACAGAAATTAAGAGAATTATATTTTTTGATAATAGTTTTGATTAAGGGCAGCTCTTTGAAGTTGCATTTAAATCAAAGGTGGCATGCAAGTATGGGTCACTATACGATAAAAATTTTTTGAAGTAGCACGATCAATTTGCAGGAATTGTTGTAGGCTCTTAACACATTTACAAGCTGACGTCCAAAAATGAATTCTTTGTCAAAGAAACTACTGGTTCCACACTTATCAATATGCTAATGGGTGTAATATCGTTTTTAATTTCGTTCTTAAAATAGCAATAGTAACCTCTATACATGCTATCTCCGTTATCTTTCTTTTCATTGTCCTCATCCCTAAATACAGTTCCTGTCACCTGTCCAATTCTTATCAATCATAACTATAAATTAAACTATTAAATTATCTGTTTACTACAGGTAGAAGGAATCCTAACATACCACCTACATATTATCTCCAAATATTTCTCCTTAGTTTCATGTTGGTAAAGACCTTATCACACAAAAAAGTTAAAGCATGCAAATCTTTTTTCAATCAAGAGAATGGGCTCGAAAGCCGTCACATGTTTTCACAGTTTAAAGCCATAGAATTACATACGGCATTTCTTTCTTGAAACATATTGGAACAAGGATAGATATCAAATTGGCAAGTCGTCCTCCTGCTATTATTCAACCTATGATATTTTATTGCCTTTATAGGGTAACAAACTCAACAAGGCGTGTTCTAAACGATAACATACAATCTTACCAAACTAATTGCCATATTCCTTATACTTTTAGTCTACTCCACAAAAAAATTGGAAGTCTTCAAATTCATTGAAACAATTTCACGGTTCTTAAAATTTCTATTTTGGTAGACAGAAATTGAGTTATTGTACCATTCACTTGTGTTTGATGATATCGCCTAAGGTTAGCCACCAAACATTTGCATGTTACAATACAATACAATATAACATTTATTGAACTCTCCCGAGGCTCTTCAGAGCCAACTGCAAATAAAACAACGGGATGTTGCTTTACTTCACAAAGACGCTAATTTTTGTGTTGTTTAATGAAATCAACATCAGCTTCCACAACTCAAGGGAATAATGGTGATTTACTTTTCAAGTTTACTTCGTTGTTCGAGAAGCAAAATTCTCGTATACTGCGGTAATCTAACATAGTTTGAGCTGACGTATCCATTTGAACAATCAAACATCCATCTGGATAGGTCTGACCTACAGTTCGAAACTTGGTACCAACCAGAATGAAATTCTTTAAGAATACTTGAGTTAATGTAGCCAGAATCGCGTAGATGTAGGTAAGTTCCTTTAATGCTATAGAAAGCAACTTTCACTCGTTCTCCATCACTAGGTCCAGCTGCTCGAACGCAGTAGTTTTCAGGCAAATAGTACGGATTTTTTACTTCGTCTTGTGTATGTTCAGGTTGAAATAGCACTTGTTCTCTTGTAACGAAATGATCAAACGACGGTATCCATGATGAAGTAATGTAGTAATTGCTGGCATTTTGCATGTTTTTATCAGAACTGCTGCATTTTCTCCATGTAGTTGTATAGAACACTTGTTCATGTTTCTCGTTAAAAGTGAGGCAAATATACCGAGCAGGATTATCAAAAGTTGAACAAGATGGTGTTGGTCGAAATATAATTCGATCAGTGGCCATCCTGAATTGTGGTACAAAGAAAATTGATGCCACTGACAAGAGTATAAAGATAGTAAAACACGACACCATCCATCTCAATCCTTTAGTTGCTTCTGTGTCTTTATAATAGACAGGATACAATATGTACAACGCAACACAGAATGCTAGTGAACTGCTTACAGGGTATTGAAGAAACGCATCTATGAATAGCCCGCTCACCTGTATCACCAACTCCTTCATTTATATTTGAGATCACAGACGCGATGTTATATTTTCGCTAGTAAACAAAGTTGCTCATCAAAGTCGATCACATTTCGCAACTCTAAAGCCGGTAGTGTTACTGTGTCTGACATCTATGATGTCATGTGAAAGTCAGTGTCTCTGAGTGGTCTGTGAATCATTTAACCAGTGACCCCAGAGAACTCTAGTCACCTGGAACAATATCTTCAACGAACTCAATGCAGCCTCCTTTGAAAATCAGATTTAAAGTTTTAATAAAATTTATAAAAATACTCTTTTTCATTTGTAACACTTTTTTCTTCTCAAGCACTTCTCTTGATTTGCAGAACATAATTTGATTTACTGTAAAATTACTCATGCTTTCAAATGGGTCAATAGGCAGTAGTATTATATTTTTTGGAAATCGCGTGTGTGCTATTTTCATTAAAACATCGAAGTAGGAGCACGAAACGTCACACAGCTCCTCACTGCACTCATTTAACTGTATAGTCAAGAACAGCATATCTCAGTGCCTAACATATGCGTAGCATTGGTGCAAGTTTCTATTCTGACAAATTATTCATTGAACTCAATGGCTGACTTGAGTTTGACACTTTGAGTTTGTCTGATACTGAAATGTAACATATATGTTTCCCTTATTCCACAATCTCTGTTATGAATCTTATGATAAACTTCGAAAGTCGGAAAAATTATTTCGGATGTGCCTTTTGGTGGATGTCTTTTTGCGTATTCCCGCGAAGAAAAGAAAATCAAAATTGTCAAAAATATCAACTATGGTCGTGTTTCCGAAATTTGTTCCGTTTATTTCATGTAGATGTGTGTGTTCCCAACACAATTTGCCGCCACTTGGCCTTTTAAAATATGTAAGTTTTCATAAAGTGTTTTTATTTTTGTATCAGTGTATATGGGTTTCATTAAACAGAATTTTTGCTTGGGTGTACGTGTAAGGAGGAACATTTTCAATCATAAATGACCTAACTTTACAGAAAATAATGCCTGACTGGCTTTATCTGCCAAACGCGTTTTTTTGTTTGGGGAAGGGGATACGTACATTGGAGAAGGGGAACAAACATGGTCTTTATTGCAAAGCTTTGAATATTGCCTAAAGATTTATGTTCATAAAAAAACACAGATTATTGTGTATAAACAATATTTGTGAATGCAAAAGATATACAATGACACATATGTCTACCACATATATGTCTACCAAGATTTTATTACTCAAACTTCATTTTGGGTTATAATATTTTATGCCTTGCCGACACTTGGAAAGCTTTATTTTCAAACCAACCTTGGTTAATGCTCTGTGGTGGAGCCAGTCTGCTTGTTTTGGTCTTGCTAAAAAGATTTTAAAAGATTTTTCTTTTTTTACAATTCTGTTGTTTTTGCCATGAGCAAACAAAGAAAAACTTGGATTTTCATTTCTATGAAAAAGGGCATTATATTTTTAGGATGCAGATTTTGTGTGGGGTGATTTGGAAGTGTGCTCTATTAAACAAAAATCATGGTTATGTTTGCTTAGTCACTTGGTAACCCCTCAGTAAATCATCCTTGCTTTCTTCCTTTCAAACCTTCAAATTGGCAGTTTGGCCTTTTTTAATCCACTTAATCCAGGAAGCTATTGCTAGCACAGATTAAATTGTTTCTAAACCTTCAGAATTTTTGGCTTATAACTAACCAATTAGGCAGGTCGAAAAAATGCCAAATTACCCCCTACCCTCGAAAATTGCAAAATTTTGGTTTTTGGTGGTTTTATCATTGTATGTTAGGTTAGATCTAATTTATAGCATACTAGAAGTTGGGTAAAATTGGAGCATGGGAAAGTCTCCACACTTTTGAAGATGATCTGTTTAGATTCATGAGTTATTTTTATAAATGTGGTGCACTAACCTGGTCAGTTTTCATGATAAGTCAACAGTCAGATTAACATACTGATTGTCCCCTCTGGATGAAAAATTAGCAAAATTTTGTATTTTGGTGGTTTTATATATGTTTGGGTCATCTCTAAAACATACAAAAAGTTGGACAGAAAGCAAACGAAAGTGTCAAATTTTGAAGTTGGCTTTTTTCACTTGCACATTGTTTTCCACCTATGTGTGCAACAATAACTATCAATACGTTTTCTTGATAAATTAATAAACTTTTGATTTTTACCCAGGTTTCCAGGATCAACATTTCAAATTAAAACTATGCTACTGATGTTGAATCACCACTTTTTTCCAAAAACTTTAGTGTTAGAAAACATTTCATAATATGTACATATTATTTGCAGGTGTTTACTCCTAGTAACAGGCAGTCTGCCCGTTTATCATCAATCATACCTAAAGAAAGTCAGCATGTTGCACCAAGATATGATTTTGTTGATCTGTATGATTTTGCAATCTATGCAAGAGGACCAGGACGAATCAAGTCAAAGACAATAGAAGCTGCAAGGATATCTATTGTAAGAAAAACCAAAACTAGGCAATTGTGGAAAATTGAGCCTACAACACCAGTAACAAAAAAAGCCTTAGGCAGTCGTATGGGAAAAGGTCAAGGTAAAGTTGATCACTATGTTGCCACAGTGAAAGAAGGTCAAGTTGTGTTTCAATTTAATTGTGACAATGAAACGAAAGCCAGTGAAGCTTTTAGGTTGGTGACTTTTTTACTACCTATGAAGCTTTATTTCAGAAAGCGACCACCTGCTCAAAAAATAATGTGGACAGAATTTTAAGATAAGATTCAATGAACATGGTTACCTTGTCATACATGTGTAACACTCACAGATAGAAATTTTGGACTTACTTAGTTGCTCAACATCTTTTGATAGATGATACGTATTTTGTTTACAATGAAGCTGAAGAGATGATTTGAAAAACCTCGGAAGTTTTCGTGAACCACCATAATATATTTTAGCATATATTGAGAAATAGTTTCTTGTTTGTATGAATTTATTTTGTTGTCTTATAAAGTGCTTGAGATCGTCCCAAAATATTCACATAAATAGAAGTGTTATCAAAGAAGTGTTATAGGACAGATATCAAATTGGCAAGTCTAAACTGCTATTATTCACCCTATGTTATTTTATTGCCTTTATAGGGTAACAAACTCAATAAGGCGTGTTCTAAACGATAACATACAATCTTACCAAACTAATTGCCATATTCCTTATACTTTTAGTCTACTCCACAAAAAAATTGGAAGTCTTCAAATTCATTGAAACAATTTCGCGGTTCCTAAAACACGCGGTTCTTAAAATTGCTATTTTGGTAGACAGTGCCAGTTCTCGTGTGCATTTATTACATGATGGCAGGCGCGAACGGAGCAAGGATTTGGGGATGTGACACTAAAAAGTCTGTGATTTTTTAATTCATGTTATCAAGAAATTGAGTTATTTTACCATTCACTTGTGTTCGATGATATCGCCTAAGGTCAGCCACTAAACATTTGCATGATACAATACAATACAATATAACATTTATTGAACTCTTCCGAGGCTCTTCAGAACAACTGCAAATAAAACAAGATGTTGCTTTACTTCACAAAGACGCTAATTTTTTGTGTTGTGTAATGAAATCAACTTCAGAGTCCACAACTCAAGTGGAATAATAGTTATTTACTTTTCAAGTTTACTTCGTTGTTCGAGAAGCAAAATTCTCGTATACTGCGGTAATCTAACATAGTTTGAGCTGACGTATCCATTTGAACAATCAAACATCCATCTGGATAGGTCTGACCTACAGTTCGAAACTTGGTACCAACCAGAATGAAATTCTTTAAGAATGCTTGAGTTAATGTAGCCAGAATCGAGTAGATGTAGGTCAGTTCCTTTAATGCTATAGAAAGCAACTTTCACTCGTTCTCCATCACTAGGTCCAACTGCTCGAACGCAGTAGTTTTCAGGCAAATAGGACGAATTTTTTACTTCGTCTCGTGTATGTTCACGTTGAAATAGCACCCGTTCTCTTGTAACGAAATGATCAAACGACGGTATCCATGATGAAGTAATGTAGTAATTGCTGGCATTTTGCATGTTTTTATCAGATCTGCTGCATTTTCTCCATGTAGTTGTATAGAACACTTGTTGATGTTTCTCGTTAAAAGTGAGGCAAATATACCGAGCAGGATTATCAAAAGTTGAACAAGATGGTGTTGGTCGAAATATAATTCGATCAGTGGCCATCCTGAATTGTGGTACAAAGAAAATTGATGCTACTGACAAGAGTATAAAGATAGCAAAACACGACACCATCCATCTCAATCCTTTAGTTGCTTCTGTGTCTTTATAATAATAGACAGGATACAATATGTACAACGCAACACAGAATGCTAGTGAACTGCTTACAGGGTATTGAAGAAACGCATCTATGAATAGCCCGCTTACCTGTATCACCAACTCCTTCATTTATATTTGAGATCATAAACGCGATATTATATTTTCGCGAGTAAACAAAGTTGCTCAACAAAGTCGATCAGATTTCACAACTCTTAAGCCGGTAGTGTTACTGTGTCTATGATGTCATGTGAAAGTCGGTGTCTTTGAGTGGTCTCGGAATTATTAACCAGTGACCCCAGAGAACTCGAGTCACCTGGAACAATATCTTCAACAAACTCAATGCAGCCTCCTTTGAAAAACTAGCATTGGTGCAAGTTTCTATTCTGGCAAATTATTCATTGAACTTAATGGTTGACTTGAGTTTGACATTTTGAATTTGTCTGATACTGAAATGTAACATATATGTTTCCCACAATCTCTGTTATGAATCTTATGATAAACTTCGAAAGTCGGAAAAATTATTTCGGATGCGCCTTTTGGTGGATGTCTTTTGGCGTATTCCCGAGAAGAAAAGAAAGTCAAAATTGTCAAAAATATTGAAATATCAACTATGGTCGTGTTGCCGAAATTTTTTCCGTTTATTTCATGTAGATGTGTGTGTTCCCAACACAATTTGCCGCCATTTGGCCTTTTAAAATATGTAAGTTTTCATTACGTGTTTTTATTTTTGTATCAGTGTATATGGGTTTCATTAAGCACAATTTTTGCTTGGGTGTACGTGTAAGGAGGAACATTTTCAATCATAAATGACCTAACTTTACTGAAAATAATGCTTGACTGGCTTTATCTGCCAAACGCGTTTTTTGTTTGGAGAAGGGGAACATGGTCTTTATTGCAAAGCTTTGAATATTGCCTAAAGATTTATGTTCATAAAAAAAAACACAGATTATTCTGTATAAACAATATTTGTGAATGCGAAAGATATTCAATGACACATATGTCTACCACATATATGTTTACTAAGATTTCATTACTCAAACTTCATTTTGGGTTATAATATGTTATGCCTTGCCGACACTTGGAAAGCTTTATTTTCAAACCAACCTTGGTTAATGCTCTGTGGTGGAGCCAGTCTGCTCGTTTTGGTCTTGCTAAAAAGATTTTAAAAGATTTTTCTTTTTTTATAATTCTGTTGTTTTTGCCATGAGCAAACAAAGAAAAACTTGGATCACAGAACGAAACTTCCAACCTAACTTTCCCATTGTTTATTTTCATTTCTCTGAAAAAGGGCATTATATTTTTAGGATGCAGATTTTGTGTGGGGTGATTTGGAAGTGTGCTCTATTAAACAAAAATCATGGTTATGTTTGCTTAGTCACTTGCTACCACCCTCCTTAGTAAATCATCCTTGCCTTCTTCCTTTCAAACCTTCAAATTGGCAGTTTGGCCTTTTTTAATCCACTTAATCCAGGAAGCTATTGCTAGCACAGATTAAATAGTTTCTAAACCTTCAGAATTTTTGGCTTATAACTAACCAACTAGGTAGGTCGAAAAAATGCCAAATTACCCCCTACCTCTAAAATTGCAAAATTTTGGTTTTGGTATTTATCATTGTATGTTAGGTTAGATCTAATTTACAGCATACTAGAAGTTGGGTAAAATTGGAGCATGGGAAAGTCTCCACAGTTTTGAAGATGATCTGTTTGGATTCATGAGTTATTTGTATAAATGTGGTGGACTAACCTGGTCAGTTTTCATGATAAGTCAACAGTCAGATTAACATACTGATTGCCCCTCTGGATCAAAAATTACCAAAATTTTGTCTTTTGGTGGTTTTATATATATTTGGGTCATCTCTAAAACATACAAAAAGTTGGACAGAAAGCAAACGAAAGTGTCAAATTTTGAAGTTAGCTTTTTTCACTTACACATTGCTTTCCACCTATGTGTGCAACAATAACTCAGTTTTCTTGATAAATTAATAAACTTTTGATTTTTACCCAGGTTTCCAGGATCAACATTTCAAATTAAAACTATGCTACTGATGTTGAATCACCACTTTTTTCAAAAACTTTAGTGTTAGAAAGCATTTCATAATATGTACGTATTATTTGCAGGTGTTTACTCCTAGTAATAGGCAGTCAGCCCGTTTATCATCAATCATACCTAAAGAAAGTCAACATGTTGCACCAAGATATGATTTTGTTGATCTGTATGATTTTGCAATCTATGCAAGAGGACCAGGACGAATCAAGTCAAAGACAATAGAAGCTGCAAGGATATCTATTGTAAGAAAAACCAAAACTAGACAATTGTGGAAAATTGAGCCTACAACACCAGTAACAAAAAAAGCCTTAGGCAGTCGTATGGGAAAAGGTCAAGGTAAAGTTGATCACTATGTTGCCACAGTGAAAGAAGGTCAAGTTGTGTTTCAATTTAATTGTGACAATGAAACGAAAGCCAGTGAAGCTTTTAGGTTGGTGACTTTTTTACTACCTATGAAGCTTTATTTCAGAAAGCGACCACCTGCTCAAAAAATAATGTGGACAGAATTTTAAGTTTAAGACTCAATGAACATGGTTACCTTGTCATATATGTGTAACACTCACAGATAGAAATTTTGGACTTACGTAGTTGCTCAACATCTTTTGATAGATGATACGTATTTTGTTTGCAATGAAGCTGAAGAGATGATTTGAAAAACCTCGGAAGTTTTCGTGAACCATAATATATTTTAGCATATATTGAGAAATAGTTTCTTGTTTGTATGAATTTATTTTGTTGTCTTATAAAGTGCTTGAGATCGTCCCAAAATATTCACATAAATAGAAGTGTTATTGCATGTTTGTGGATGCAGATCGTCGAGGTTAGTAGAGTCCTGAGAAGGACTGTTGTTGTTGACGTTGACTGACGTTTCGACAACCTTAGCGGTAGTCTTCTTTACTCTAAAGATAACTACCGCTAAGGTTGTTTAAACGTCAGTTAACATCAACAACAGTCCTTCAGAACTCTACTAACCTGGACAATATGCATCCAAAAAAGGAAACGATACTCCCGGTTCAAACCATTTACTTAAGAAGTGTTATTACTAAAATATTTGCGACACATTTCCACGGCTGCCTAATATAGCAGACCATGGGACCTTACGTCCCAAAAATTTTTGAGCTTGGCGGAGAAAAGTGGTTAAAAGTACAAAAGTTGTAGAGTTCTCAAGGAAAAGAAACTGAGGGCTGATTTTCGCCCCGTACCTCATAATTCGTCAGAAATCATTTTTGTAAATGTTTTCAAGGCTGGTTTCCAATTGTCATAATTCGTCTTTATTTGACGTAATTCATTTGCCTTAATTCGTTGTAAACGAGGCTTGGTCACTAAATCTTTGTTGTATTTTATCTGAATTGACGGGAATCACGGTTTTCATCAAAGTTAGGCTTTTGTAAGACGGTTGTAGTTGTCTTGAAAAAATATGATAATTATGATTACGGTTTTCATTCGACAAAAACTAAGAAATTATGTCATATGAAAACCTGGAAGTCTTCAAATTCATTGAAACAATTTCGCGGTTCCTAAAAGACGCGGTTCTTAAAATTGCTATTTTGGTAGACAGTGCCAGTTCTCGTGTGCATTTAATACATGATGGCAGGCGCGAACGGAGCAAGGATTTGGGGATGTGACACTAAAAAGTCTGTGATTTTTTAATTCATGTTATCAAGAAATTGAGTTATTTTACCATTCACTTGTGTTCGATGATATCGCCTAAGGTCAGCCACTAAACATTTGCATGATACAATACAATACAATATAACATTTATTGAACTCTTCCGAGGCTCTTCAGAACAACTGCAAATAAAACAAGATGTTGCTTTACTTCACAAAGACGCTAATTTTTTGTGTTGTGTAATGAAATCAACTTCAGAGTCCACAACTCAAGTGGAATAATAGTTATTTACTTTTCAAGTTTACTTCGTTGTTCGAGAAGCAAAATTCTCGTATACTGCGGTAATCTAACATAGTTTGAGCTGACGTATCCATTTGAACAATCAAACATCCATCTGGATAGGTCTGACCTACAGTTCGAAACTTGGTACCAACCAGAATGAAATTCTTTAAGAATGCTTGAGTTAATGTAGCCAGAATCGAGTAGATGTAGGTCAGTTCCTTTAATGCTATAGAAAGCAACTTTCACTCGTTCTCCATCACTAGGTCCAGCTGCTCGAACGCAGTAGTTTTCAGGCAAATAGTACGGATTTTTTACTTCGTCTTGTGTATGTTCAGGTTGAAATAGCATCCGTTCTCTTGTAACGAAATGATCAAACGACGGTATCCATGATGAAGTAATGTAGTAATTGCTGGCATTTTGCATGTTTTCATCAGATCTGCTGCATTTTCTCCATGTAGTTGTATAGAACACTTGTTGATGTTTCTCGTTAAAAGTGAGGCAAATATACCGAGCAGGATTATCAAAAGTTGAACAAGATGGTGTTGGTCGAAATATAATTCGATCAGTGGCCATCCTGAATTGTGGTACAAAGAAAATTGATGCTACTGACAAGAGTATAAAGATAGCAAAACACGACACTATCCATCTCAATCCTTTAGTTGCTTCTGTGTCTTTATAATAGACAGGATACAATATATACAACGCAATACAGAACGCTAGTGAACAGCTTACAGGGTATTGAAGAAACGCATCTATGAATAGCCCGCTCACCTGTATCACCAACTCCTTCATTTATATTTGAGATCACAGACACGATGTTATATTTTCGCTAGTAAACAAAGTTGCTCAACAAAGTCGATCAGATTTCACAACTCTAAAGCCGGTTGTGTAACTGTGTGTCTATGACATCTATGATGTCATGTGAAAGTCAGTGACCATTTAACTGTGACATTTTCATTTTCATTTTCATTTTTTTCCATTTTCCATTTTGATTTTCCATTTTCATTTTTCATTTCCATTTTCATTTTTCATTTTTCATTTTCATTTTCATTTCTATTTTTTTAACTTTGACCATTTTTCAGTGACCATTTTAAAGTCAGTGACCATTTAACAGTTAACCAGTGACCCCAGAGAACTCTTGTCACCTGGAACAATATCTTCAACGAACTCAATGCAGCCTCCTTTGAAAATCAGATTTAAACTTTTAATAAAATTTATAAAAATACTCTTTTTCATTTGTAACACTTTTTTCTTCTCAAACACTTCTCTTGATTTGCAGAACATAATTTGATTTACTGTAAAATTACTCAAGCTTTCAAATAGGTCAATAGGCAGTTTTATTACATTTTTGGGAATCGCGTGTGTGCTATTTTCATTAAAAAAACATCGAAGTAGGAGCACGAAACGTCACACAACTCCTCACTGCACTCATTTAACTGTATAGTCAAGAACAGCATATCTCAGTGCCTAACATATGCGTAGCATTGGTGCAAGTTTCTATTCTGACAAATTATTCATTGAACTCAATGGTTGACTTGAGTTTGACACTTTGAGTTTGTCTGATACTGAAATGTAACATATATGTTTCCCTTATTCCACAATCTCTTTTATGAATCTTATGATAAACTTCGAAAGTCGGAAAAATTATTTCGGATGCGCCTTTTGGTGGATGTCTTTTTGCGTATTCCCGAGAAGAAAAGAAAGTCAAAATTGTCAAAAATATTGAAATATCAACTATGGTCGTGTTGCCGAAATTTTTCCCGTTTATTTCATGTAGATGTGTGTGTTCCCAACACAATTTGCCGCCATTTGGCCTTTTAAAATATGTAAGTTTCATTACGTGTTTTTATTTTTGTATCAGTGTATATGGGTTTCATTGAGCACAATTTTTGCTTGGGTGTACGTGTAAGGAGGCTTTTGGAACATTTTCAATTATAAATGACCTAACTTTACAGAAAATAGTTGCTCAACATCTTTTGATAGATGATACGTATTTTGTTTGCAATGAAGCTGAAGAGTTGATTTGAAAAACCTCGGAAGTTTTCGTGAACCATAATATATTTTAGCATATATTGAGAAATAGTTTCTTGTTTGTATGAATTTATTTTGTTGTCTTATAAAGTGCTTGAGATCGTCCCAAAATATTCACATAAATAGAAGTGTTATTGCATGTTTGTGGATGTAGATCGTCCAGGTTAGTAGAGTCTTGAGAAGGACTGTTGTTGTTGACGTTGACTGACGTTTCGACAACCTTAGCGGTAGTCTTCTTGACTCTAAAGATAACTACCGCTAAGGTTGTTTAAACGTCAGTTAACATCAACAACAGTCCTTCTCAGGACTCTACTAACCTGGACAATATGCATCCAAAAAAAAGGAAAGATACTCCCGGGTTCAAACCATTTACTTAAGAAGTGTTATTACTAAAATATTTGCGACACATTTCCACGGCTGCCTAATATAGCAGACCATGGGACCTTACGTCCCAAAAAATTTTTGAGCTTGGCGGAAAAAAGTGGTTAAAAGTACAAAAAGTTGTAGAGTTCTCAAGGAAAAGAAACTGAGGGCTGATTTTCGCCCCGTACCTCATAATTCGTCAGAAATCATTTTTTGTAAATGTTTTCAAGGCTGGTTTCCAATTGTCATAATTCGTCTTTATTTGACGTAATTCATTTGCCTTAATTCGTTGTAAACGAGGCTTGGTCACTAAATCTTTGTTGTATTTTATCTGAATTGACGGGAATCGCGGTTTTCATCAAAGTTAGGCTTTTGTAAGACGGTTGTAATTGTCTTGAAAAATTATGATAATTATGATTTCGGTTTTCATTCGTCAAAAACTAAGAAATTATCTCATATGAAAACCAGCCTTGAATAGTCAAGCTTGAGATATATGAAAGCACACTGTTAGAACTCAGAAAGTCAGAACGTAGTTAGATAAAGTCATCTTTGCAGTTCTTACGACCCGTTTCATAATAATCTACTGCATTTGTTAGAAGTGATTGATCAGTGACATAGCCAGGATTTTCTGTCAAGGTAGACCATTTAAAAGGGAACGGGGGCCATGACTGTCGTTTGACCATTGTACTGTAAGTATAACATAGTTTTTGAAGAGAGGATTGGTGTTGTTTGCCCCCCCCTCTAGCTGTGTCACTGTGGTTGATACAAGAGATTTCATTCGTATTAGATAAGTGAAAATTCACATGAGGCGGTTTCTTGCAGAAAATATTTTTATTGGCCTTGTGGTCCCAGAAAATAGAATAGTTTATGCAGCCCTGCTGCATATTTCTACTAGGTTTGATTTGATTTCCCTGGAAGTCCGGATGGAAAACATCTTTTTTCGAAGTTCCAAAACCAGAGATTTTCTTATTTTTGATTAAAATAAAACTTTAAACTGGTCTTTTGTTTGTAATTACAGGCCATAATTAAATTTATGGTATTGATAAATCCGAATGGAAGGTGAACACCAATTTACTGGTTATCATTAAGCGGCTCGACAACGTCTGGTTATGTTGCATATTAATACCATTATGACTTTGTTTTTCCATGTCTAAAATAAAAACAAATATTGAAAAATGGGTACACAGCCGAGAAAATTAGACAAGATACCGATTTACAATTCAATTTAAGTTACATACATTAGACGTCGAGGTCGATGGAAAGTTTCATGACAATTATAGTACAATAACAATAAACGAGGTAGCCCACAAACAGGCTAACCAAGCTAAGAAAAATGGGTGGTTACCTTGCGTTACATAATAATATCAAATTTTGTACGGCGCAAAGAGTTGACTGATCATTTTGTCCGGTAATAACATGACGGTCCATTATTACATGTACGGCATCACATTCGCTGGCTAAAATGTATAATATTTAGTCAATACATGATACTGAAATAAATTTGCTACAGCATTATGAATGGTCCTTACCACTATACGTTCCTCCGTGATCCCTGATAAAATCTTCCGGAATTATAGGTAGAGTGTTGAAGTTATCAGTTTTTGCAACTTCAAATAATGATGGCTTTATTAGATTGGAGAAAAACAACAAGGAATCAGTGTAGTTTCAGAAATGTTACCCCTATCTCAGATATGATTGAAAGGTGTTGAATTTCTCACTGGAAATAATGATGGTTTTATTTGTGGAAAAAGAAAAAGCAACAATCAAGTGCGCTTTTAAAAATATTTTTCCTGCTTTAGATTTAGCGTGGTAAGTTTAACTTTAACTTGAACTTCCCCCCTCCTCCTCCCAAAGTTTACGTTGAGGTGTAAATCAATTTCTTACTGCAGTGAGTGAATAATTCTTAAAACTCCAGAGCGACTTCTCGCCTTCCCCTCTGGCAGAGAACAAAGCTGCTACACCATATCCAACTGCACAAATTGGTTCTGAATAAAAGATAGTATCACTATGAAAAAATAAATACTTTGGCAAAAAGACAACATCAAATCAAAGATCTGCCATTATTTAATCTTAAGAATACTGGCTGTAACAAACAAGGCTTTTGAACTATCCTATTTTGGAAACGAAAACGCTTGCAATTTTAATCAGAATTACAATCTCAGCAAAATGCTGAATTACGCATAGTTTAACAGTATACCAGAAAATTATGACTATTTATATTAATAATATTCAAATGATAGGTAACTAGAAAAACTTAAGAAATAAAAGAGGCAAAAAATAAAGAGTTCTTGTTCTGTTAGTTTTAATGACAGGGATATAAAAATTTGTTTCGTGTCTAAGATAGTATCCAATTTTTGTCTTTTGGGCAAAAAATAGTAATTGAGTTTTTTTATTTGACATTCCAGACCAGAGCTTTAATGTTTGGAGGCGTTTTTATTACGTTTTCTTTACCTTACCTGTGACGTTTAGTAACAACTGTAGATCTAAATTTCTCAACGTAGCTATTTTGCATCGGTTATGAATGAAAAGATGCTATAAACTCACTTTTTTGTTCTATAAAACGATTTAGTAGAGTTGATAATTCATCATTATCCACTAAATCGTGACAGGCACCAGGCGAACTTGGTATAAGGATCGCTGCATATCTTGATGCTAGTATACAGTAAATAAACCAAAATAAGCCAGTCACATTTTTATAAGAAAATAATCAACACAGTAGTTAACGTATAAATGCTTTGTCCCGTATGGTGTTTACGAAGTGTATGTACGTAATGTGCGACAACACATTAAAAATAAAATCACAGTAATTCATTTTGAAAATAGCTCATGTCAATGGTATGGAATTTCTCGCTTGTAACTGGATTGAGACAATGCATATTATTTACAGAACCTTGAATATTTTCTAATTTTCCAGGAACTGATATTGTTTTCGTTCGAAATTCATTGATCCATCTTTTGCTGCTGTCATCAGACCTAGTGTATTCAATCTGTCGCCCCTTAATCATAAAAAACAAAAACGAAAATTTATCAAGATGCGTATCTTCATCTTAATGGCATATTTAGATAAACGCGTGTATCAAGTTAGAACTATGATCGATTGTTTTATTTGAAAATGAAGTTAATAATTCTAAGAAAAATAAAATTGACATGAATATAAAGGCGTAAAAAACATGGGTACAATTTAATGACGTTTGAATCATTGGTATTGAAAAGATGGAGATGATGACGTTTGAAAAGATAAAGTTCATAATTTTGTGGAAGATACAGTTGAAAATGCTGAGGAAGATAACGTTAATTGTATAGATGAAGATACAAATAATAGGTAACATTTTATACATACGTATAATTGAATATTATAGCAATATTTAAATACTTTTCGGCTACCTGTGGCGTAACAATTTGAACATTGAATGTGGAATTTGTCAACGTAAATGCATGTATAAATGATGACGCGGAGACACCTAAAATGATAAATACAAAACAGTTGGATTTTTTCAACAACAGAAGGATTTCATATAACTGTTTTCATTTAAAAATTGATGAAAATGATTTGATAGTTGTAAGCAGAACTATTTATTAACTCACCATCAAATTATACTGTACTTAAATCATTGAATATTCTTATCACAAAATACACCATTAGACTTTACAAGAAAATCAGTCGGGTTGAATCACCTGATGATCCATGCAAATGGATCATAAATGCTATGAGATAATTATGACTGCCAAAGAGAATTTTAATAAAGTGCAAGACAATAGACACAACATATAAAGTAAATTTTTGATCCAAATGTTTCGACAAGTGTTAGATATCATCAGTAGAAAACGTGAACTTTTCATTCTATTGACTTTTTGCTTTATTTAGTTTATGAGCGATGGCAAATCTAGTGTAAGTCAGAATATAGTAACAGCATCTCAAATACCAGGTCAATAAAACTAATGATGAAAAATTTCTAAAGAATATTTTCTAATGTCTTCTGACTCACCCTAGATCCACTACTGGCATTGACCACTTTCTCTTTGAAGATATAATAACACAAATTATAGTAGTATATATTTACAATATGTAATCTACCTAAAACCTAGGACTGATAAAATATGTTAATGTATGCAATTACTGAGTATTGATTGTACTGTTTATGTTTTGGGTGGAAATTAGAAAATTTATAAAATGGAAGCAGAGCTTAAAAAATAATCATGCAAAATAATCACAAATTTTTGTTTGTTTTGGCAGAATGCTCAAAAAAAGACTTAGACAAATTCCAAAAAACTGATTTTATTACATATTGTATTATGTGCTATGGTTACTTAACCTGACAGTAATATGAAGTCATATACTAGGTTAGGACCTTAAAAAAGTTGATCAGAGTATATATTATAAAACTTATGGAATACACTGATAACTGACTATTTAATAAAAATGGTACGTAATATGGTGCTGTTTAATACAGACTTGACTGTATGTAAATTGTAAAATAAAATCTAACAACCAACAATAGCTTTAGCATTTACATATTACAATGCATGCAAACATTAGTGTTGATAAGAAAGTTCATTACAATGTTAGAAGATCTAAATTGAAATTGTGTCAAAAGTACTTTATGCTCAAGTATGATCACATCACATTAAGTGAATGTCATCGTGTGCTTCGTAGGTAAGTGTAATTTGTACGTATTAGAATACAATAAATTGTTGTGATGTGGTTGTACACAAAATAAAGAGGGAAATAAAGTTCAAAACAAAAGCAATAAGTCATCCAGTAATTGATCTATTATTAATAAAATTACTCATTATGATATTCGAATAGTTCAACAGGTTCATATTTAAACCTATATTTCACAACTAAGAGTGTCAAACCAAACACAGTTACTTACCTTCGCACGACGAACTACACACAATCAAGCAGTTCGGTTTCGAGGTTTGTATTGTATCCATTTACGGGTAGATATAACGCAGTTAGCTCAATATATATATTATTTGTGAAACAACAACTACAGTTATTCAAAATTGGAAGTCGTGATTCAATTCATGAAGACCAATGAAGACTCATATAATCAGGGGCTTGCTATGACCCGGACGATGATCGGGGACGCGCCTATTAGCTTTATGGTCAGCGGCAAAAGCCTTTACATAATAATCGCTATAAGTACAATATGTTTCTTGTATAAAATTTCATAACACAAATCAACACAAAGTATACAGCACAGCGCCCACATTTTATTATATGTTCATTTGGCTTTTACAAAATATGCGGTCTTTTTTATAACGAATGTTACTGCAAACGCGCATTGCGAAGTATATTATTCTTTGTTATTGAGCTTGCTTGTAATATGTTCTGTCGTCATTTTTATAACAAATGTTGCTTCAAACGCGCATTGTGACGTTAAATTTACGTATGAGATGCTACTAAATCTAGAAGCTACTTCTTAGATCATAGGAAATGGCCTATCCTCAATGCCTATACTCATTATGCTGAATATTTGCGCACTTTTCATTCTTACGTATATGTACTTGCGTTTTTCAAGTGCTTTATCGGTCTCGCCTTAACTGCACCTAGATAGCCAAGTGTGCAAATTCTGGAAAATTACTGCACAGGATACATTGATGGAACGGTGGAGCAAATGGAAGAACTTCTTGAACAGTTTCAGGTCTCGTAGTTTATTTTCAATTGTTGCACCATACTGCAAACAATTTGTAACATATTCCGAAAAACATCATCATGTAAACTCAAAATTTCAGTTATAATAGCAAGAAACAAAATCTAAAAGCAATATTTTGACTTTATTTCAAAAGGTTGCAAGCGCTAAAACGGTGGGCTTCAGCAAGCAAGAATGGATTGTCATATGAACAGCAACAACACTTCCTTTTGCAAATGAAGAAGATTGCTAATGTTAGTACCAAACAGGAGCACGACAAGGCAGTAAAAGATTTTCGCGAATCCAAAGTGTATAAAGAATGCAGCAAGATGAGAGAATATGTTTACCGTAAGTGGTTTTCTTGCGCTGTCAGATGGGCACACGCTTTTCGAAAACAGCAAGTCACCAACATTGTTAATACTAACAATGGCGTTGAGGCTCAAAACAGAGTCTTTAAATACGAATACTTACCCCAAAGTATTGACAAATCTGTGTATGGTATTGCGGTGATGTTGGTTGAATCTTTCATTCCCGATGTTCTTCAGCACTATTTGGATGCAAACCTGCGACTGAGCAGCGCCTACTGCAAGTACAACCCATCAATCCCAAAATACTTGCACAACAGACCTCCGCACATTTTGAAATGTTGTCTTAAAAATCGATACGCTTCAGCCATTTACAAACAGGACGACATAACTCCGGTTAATTTAAAGAAGGGCACGTTCAATGTCAAGAGTGAGAGAAATGTTGGAAAGAAACATTTCGTAGACTTCCGAGAACCAAGTTGTACCTGCAACATATGGCACACTACCCATTTCCCTTGCAAACATTTTTTCGCAGTTTTTTCTTTCTATGAGGAGTGGGATTTCGAAAGTCTTCCAGAAGACTACCGAAATAGCGTTTTCATCACTCTCGACAATGAACCTCTTGGATTGCCACAAGATACTACGCCAGAAGAACTAGAGGAAGCCAATACGTCATCATGGAGCACCATCAAAAGAGACGTTGTTTTGCAAGAATCGTTGTCTTCTGATAACAAAAAATATATCCACGACATACCCCACGAAGAAACAGTTAAGTTTGAAACTACTTCAAACAAAAGTTCCAAAAGGCTCAGAAAGATCTTGCAAAAACAACTGGGCCAAATACACAGTATGACCTTCCTGATCGACAAAGAGACCACTCTACAAGAAGCAGTGCAAAAAGCTGAAAGCTTGAAACAGTTTCTTGAACAAAACTTTCCCACAGAAAATGGTTTGTCCCTTCGATTGAGTCCTGTGAAAAAAAATTAAAGGTTACCGAGACAAAATACCATCAAATCTTTCATAAGGGCCTACCTCCCAGACGACGGGTACAGTTACCATGGTGATAACATTGCAGTCACTTCTCGATAGTCTAATTGTCGGACAATTTCTCCCAGGTTCGTCGTCAGATCAAGATTACGGATCAAGTTCCTAGAGTATTCAAACCTGCACAAAGTGATTCCCGTGGTTTTAAAACTCACACGATAAGCAAGGTAATTACATAACAGGGTAGAATCAACTTTGGTTTCTGTCGGGGTGTGTTCTAGTTTGGATTAGATTTTGGTGGTTACGTGCTACCAAACCATGTCAGACTTTTTTTAAATTCTGTTAATTTTTATTTTGATTGAAAGATTTTTGAAAGTGCGCTGCATTTAACACTAATCACAATTGCTTTAGCTTGATTGTTTGATATATTAGCTATTTTTAGTGAAATTGTTACCCCATCCTTCATACCTTCTTGCCAAGTCTAGGACAGGGTGTACTCTCCTTTGCACCCTTTCCTGAAATATAACAACATTTTGCCCTTCTGTGATAATTTTCCTGATACTTTTCTTTGTAGTGTCCTCCAATTGCTAATGACATTATTGATCTAACTGGTTTGAATGAGAAAGTCGATGCTAATGCTTTAGAAAAACAATTTTCCACAATTACCCTTGACAGCGACACTCCTCGTGATTCACCTGACACTTGTAACAAGAGTAAGTAGGATCGTATGGTGTTATAGAAGTACGTGATAGGATCGTATGGTGTTATATAAGAACGTGATAACATGTATGGTGTTAATATATGATGTACGTGATAATAGATATGGTGTTATATAAGTACGTGATAACTGAGATATTTATGAATTTAAGACGCTGTAGAGAAGCCCCGACATCTCCTTAACCGAGTAAAAACATTATGTGCTGTATTGAGAATTCGGCGTTTTTTAAAATTACGCAACCCAACTGTTTGGTTAAGTCCATTCGTTTTATTTATACAATCCAATTTAAGAATTCTTTAGGCATTTTGCCAAGACTAAAAATTTTTTTGAAAAGTCACTGTAAGTTTTCATTGTAAGTTATCATTGTAAGTTTTGTAACATTTGCATACCGGTTGTGAAAAGGTATTACTTAGAACACGCGATTCATTCTTGAACAGCGTTATTTATGAAGATTTAGATCAGTCCACTGCTTAACTCGAATAGCATAAAAAAACTTATTATTTGTATAGCAATCCCTACAACAATTGACATTTGCACATTTTTTCTTTTAAGAAATACGCGTTACTGTTGAGTGGTGATAGTGAAGACAGACTGGAGGTTGCAATCAATGAAGTTTTTTATCAAGGAGTAAAAATAAACAATAATACTGCGGGCAAAAAAATTAATGCATCTGACGTCGAGAAAAACATCGAGAAGGAAAATGTTTATGAAGATAACAAGACAAATGAGGGTTATATTATTGAGGATGTCGAGGAGGATGGCGAAAATAATGCATCTGGCATTAGGATAGATGGCGATGATAGAGCATTTGATGTTGAGAACGATGATGAGAAAGGTACATTTGACTTTGGCAGGAATGCTAAAAATTATGCATCTGACGTTAGGATGGATGACGATAACTGTGTATCTAATGTTGAGAACGATGATCAGAACGGTGCATTTGACTTTGGCCAACATGGTGAAAATAATGCATCTGACGTTAGGATGGATGACGATAACTGTGTATCTATTGTTGAGAGCGATGATGAGAATGGCACGTCTGATGTTAAGAGTGATGATTAAAATGTTGTGTCTGATGTTGAGTATGATAACAAGAATGGTACACCCCATGTTCAGAATGATGATGAAAATGTTACATCTTATGTTGAGAAAAGTGTACCTAATGTTGAGAATGATGATAAAAATAGTACATCTGATGTTGAGAATGATGATGAAAATATTACATCTGATGTTGAAAACGATACCAAAAATGGTACATCTTATGTGGAAAATGATGACGAAAATGGCTTATCTGATGTTGAGTATGATAAAAATCACAATGAAAATGGTACATTTGGTGTTGAGAGTGATGACGAGAATGGTACATCTGATGTTGAGAATAATGACGAAAATGGTACATCTGATGTTGAGTATGATAAGAAGTATGGTACATCTAGTATTGAGAGTGATGACGAGAATGGTACATCTGATGTTGAGAATAATGACGAAAATGGTACATCTGATGTTGAGTATGATAAGAAGTATGGTACATCTAGTATTGAGAGTGATGACGAGAATGGTACATCTGATGTTGAGAATGTTGATGAAAATGGTACATCTGATGACGAGAATGTTGATGAAAATGGTACATCTGATGAGGAGAATGTTGAAGAAAATGGTACATCTGATATTGAAAATGGTACATCTGATGTTGAGAACGTTGATGAAAATGGTACATCTGATGTTGAGAATGATGATGAAAATAGTACATCTGATGTTGAGAATGATGATGAAAATAGTACATCTGATGTTGAGAATGATGATGAAAATAGTACATCTGATGTTGAAAACGATACCAAAAATGGTACGTCTTATGTGGAAAATGATGACGAAAATGGCTTATCTGATGTTGAGTATGATAAAGATCGTGATGAAAATGGTACATCTGATGTTGAGAACGTTGATGAAAATGGTACATCTGATGTTGAGAATGATGATGAAAATAGTACATCTGATGTTGAGAATGATGATGAAAATAGTACATCTGATGTTGAGAATGATGATGAAAATAGTACATCTGATGTTGAGAAGGATGATGAAAATAGTACATCTGATGTTGAAAACGATACCAAAAATGGTACGTCTTATGTGGAAAATGATGACGAAAATGGCTTATCTGATGTTGAGTATGATAAAGATCATGATGAAAATGGTACATCTGATGTTGAGAACGTTGATGAAAATGGTACATCTGATGTTGAGAACGTTGATGAAAATAGTACATCTCATGTTGAGAATGATGATAAAAATAGTACATCTGATGTTGAGAATGATGATGAAAATAGTACATCTGATGTTGAAAACGATACCAAAAATGGTACGTCTTATGTGGAAAATGATGACGAAAATGGCTTATCTGATGTTGAGTATGATAAAGATAATGATGAAAATGGTACATCTGGTGTTGAGAGTGATGACGAGAATGGTACATCTGATGTTGAGAATGATGACGAAAATGGTACATCTGATGTTGAGTATGATAAGAAGTATGGTACATCTAGTATTGAGAGTGATGACGAGAAAGGTACATCTGATGTTGAGAATGATGACGAAAATGATACATCTGATGTTGAGAATGTTGATGAAAATGGTACATCTGATGTTGAGTATGATGATGAAAATAGTACATCTGATGTTGAGAATGTTGATGAAAATGGTACATCTGATGTTGAGTATGATGATGAAAATGATACATCTGATGTGGAGAATCTTGATGAAAATGGTACATCTGATGGCGAGAATGTTGATAAAAATGGTACATCTGATGACGAGAATGTTGATAAAAATGGTACATCTGATGCTGAAAAGGGTACATCTGATATTGAGAATGTTGACCAGAATAGTAAATATGATGTTGAGAGTAAAGATGACAATGTTGTATCTGATGTTGGGAAAGATGGTGAGAATGAAGTTCAGAAGAATAACAAGGATGGTGCATTAGCCATTGTTAATGGTTCAAAGGTTATAGAAATAAAGGATGAAAAAAAAATTGAAAAAAACAGTGGAGGATCAGGCAATATTCCAGGTAAACAAAACTGATTTTAATAATGTGTCGACTTCCCTCGGTAAAAAAAGACAATGCATTTGATGCTGTTTTCTGATATTTTAGATTATGAGTCATCCCTTACATACACAACATGTTGCCCAACTTCCATTTACCAATCGACTTCATTTAACATTCGACGATGTCCGTGTCTTTTGTCATCGAACGAGAAAGAAGCATACAAGATGTATGTTATAAGTGGAAGGTAATATTGTATTGTATTGTATATTTTCAGCACCAATAGGGATAGGACACCTAATCCAAATGTTGTAACTTTTTAGCTTTAATGAAAGTAGTGGAATTGCCGGGAGATTAGGATTCGGGTCGAGCCATTAAGTATTCAAAGTAGCAATTTAGTAACTATTGGGAATTTTTTAGCAGTGTATGTGAATACTTTACTGGGTTACAAATTTTGAATTGGCTGCTCAAATTTAAATCAAATTTAGAACATCGCTTTTTCGAATTATCTTTTCTCATTGTAGACGCAGTCTTAAAGCTTGCCAATACAATGATGCAATGCAAAATTTCGCTGCGTCTTACGAACTATGCGACTATGACATTAGATTGAGAAAAAAGATTCAAGAATGTTATAGTTTGGCCAAACCTGCACGTCAAAGAAAAAAGTAGGACTGTTATTTTTTTCTCCCTTTTTTAATGTAGTTTCGTTCCCTGTGTCTATTTTTGTTTATTTTCCTATGTGTTTTGTTTTTCCTTTAATATGTTGATCATTTTCATTCTTTGCTGGGCACCATATTTTTCTTATGTCTTCTATGAAACCTTTGTGGGATCAATGGACAATGATAGCCTCGACTTCATTCTTCAACTGTTGCGATATTTACCGTCCATTCTCAATCCCATTATGTTTGCGTTTTGGAGAAGCGATTTTCGTGCTACTTGCATTGAAAGAGTTTGTTGTTGCGTTCAAATAAAATATCAATCACGCTCATCGTTCACAAGTGGCAAAAATCACATACAACTTGTAAATCGTGACAACACATTATCCGATTCAAAGGAGTCTAAACCTCTAAAGATCTAAACATTTTTACTTCCTTTGTTTTTATGTAATTCCTCGGCGTTGAACTTCTCATTTTTCTGTAATCATGATGTATATGACATATGTAACATTGTAGCAAATATAAATCAATATTGTAACATCTTACAGTACTATCTAACAACATGTATTCATATAAATAGTGTTGAACTAGTGAAATATACTATAATAAAAATCCAATGCATTTACATAATTACATGGCCGGGTATGAAACTTGAGGGTTAGAGTTTGACCATTGTGGATGGTAGTTGATCTGTTGACCAGGATTGAAAATACCTGTCTGTGGATATTGATTATAGTCCTGTTTCTCTAAATTGCCATTCTGCGTAGCACGCCTTGCTTCGTCAATGTAATTTCAAAATTTCTGTTTCCGAAGAGCTAAATTTTCTTTCGATATCCACCTCGAAGACGAAGGATTTGAACGTGCTTCACTATTATCTACAAATTAAAGTTAACATTTACATCCAGAAGGTTTTTAATTAAAGCTACTCGGGCATAAATCGCATTACAAAATATCTGAGATCAGTGACAAGGAAAGCGGTTCTTTTAAAAAATTCATGGTCGAAGTGTAATCGAAAGCTTATTTCTTTGTCAAAGTTTATATCACCGACGAGTTTTCTTTCTCGTTTTGCTTTGTTTTAAAAAAAAACTCACATAATTAAACGATGGATAATGGTGAAGCTCATAATACTGAAGCTTTAGGTGACGCTTTGAAAAGTTTGCAACTTCAAGATGGTACGAACTCCTAATTTATTTCACTTTTTATCTGAACTGCATTTTTAATATGAACTGCACAGCATTCAGCAAGGATTGTTTCTTTTTGAACACAAAAACCTTCAGGATGTAAATGTTAACTTTAATTTGTAGATAATAGTGAAGCACGTTCAAATCCTTCGTCTTCGAGGTGGATATCGAAAGAAAATTTAGCTCTTCGGAAACAGAAATCTCGAAATTACATTGACGAAGCAAGGCGTGCTATGCAGAATGGCAATTTAGAGAAAAGTTTACAACCATACAATATAGCAAATAATATACACAAGAGCGACAAAGTTGTTAGAAGAATACAGAAGTTGGCGGTATATTGTATTTTAGTAATTTAAAATTGAAAACCAAGTCACTGAACTGATCTCAGTGCTTGTGTGTACGTGTAACTTTGTTGATTTTAATATGTTATCGTTCACTTATTATGTTTAGAAGAAATTACAGGAAGTACTTCAATCAGATAAAAGCGATGAGGAGGAGACAAGTGAATATTTTGTTGTATCAAAAGGATTTAAAGTACCCCAAAAAATATACAGCAAACTGTATAACCATCAGAAAGAGGCCATAGTTTGGTTTTGGAAGTTGTTTGAGGATCGTAAAGGAGGAATCCTAGCAGATGATATGGGAATGGGGAAAACAATCCAAGTGGTATCGTTTCTTGCTGGAATGTTTTGCTGTGGTCATGTAAATAATGCATTAATTGTTATGCCATTAGCTCTTCTTGCTAATTGGGAGAAGGAATTTAAAAAATGGTGAGAAATGACCTTTATTTTGTGGTGGAGTGCGTAAATTATATTATGGTATTTTAGTTGGTTAGTTTATCTGGTAAGTTATGTTGTTTAGGGCACCTGAAATCAGGGTTGTTCAGTATCATGGAAAAACTCCTAAACAAAGAGGGGAAATTCTTATTAAGATCCAGGCATTTGGTGGGGTCATTCTAACAACATATGGACTTGCTCGCACTTCTGCATCATTGCTTGGTGAAAATAGACATGGAAATAGATTTACTTGGGTAAGTTGTGTCTTACAATGGTTTTCTGAGTGATTCTCTCAATAATTTCTCCTCGTGAAAACATTACTTCTCTACCTTTTGTTTGTATCATTTTTTTTAATTTCACTTTTTTATCTTTATTATTAGCCTGCATCTTTTGAAGTGATCTTTTTTCATAACTGCATTATTCCATCAACTATCTTAGCTTGTATCACAAAAATATTTTTAGGACTACATTATTTTGGATGAAGGTCATAAAGTCAAAAATACTGCCAATAAAACAACCATTGCAATACATGGCATACCTGCACAACATCGTTTCATTTTGACTGGAACTCCAGTGCAAAATAACTTGAGGGTAAGAGCATATAATTTCTACACATACTATCATTTTAATGTAAGGGTGCGAGTTGAAATGAATTGTTTATTTTATTAATTAAAGGAAATGTGGGCTTTATTCGACTTTGTTTGTCAAGGAGAATTTTGGGGAACTTCAAAGTCATTTAAACAACAGTATGAAAACCCTATTGTTAGAGTAAGTCTTTGTTGGGACTAAAATTGAATTGTATTTATCACTATAGGTTGTACATAGGTATCACTGTTAGGTTAAATTGAATTGGCAACTTCTAGAGTCACGAATCTTATGGAGAACTGTAAGATCAATGTATCTTATGGATAACTGTAAGATTAATGTATCTTTTTATGGATAACTGTTAGTTTTTATGGATCTTATGGAGAACTGTTAGATTAATCTATCTTAGGGAGAACTGTTAGATTAATGGATCTATGGATAACTGTTAGATTAATCTATCTTATGGATAAATGTTAGATTAATAGATCCTATGGAGAACTGTTAGATTGATGGATCTTATGGAGAACTACTAAATTAATGGATCTTATGAATAACTTTTAAATTGATGGATCCTCTGAATGATGACTTGAACTTGATAATATCTCTGTTTTCAGGCCCAAGAACGAGATGCTACAGCATATGAGAAAAGAAAAGGACAAGAGTTATCAGAAATTTTAAGAGAGCTCATTGCGCCACATTTCCTGCGGCGCACCAAAGAAATACTTGAGATGAAAAAGACTGAATCAAATAATGACATGCCGGATTATGTGGATGGAGCATCAGACAAAGAAAATGAGCCTGATAATACTGAGTATTGTTACCTACATTAAGAAGTTTAATGATTTTATGTCTTGGTTGTTCTGACATAACTTTTTTTCAGACCAAAAACTCCATACCTAACTCGCAAGAACGACTTTATTGTTTGGGTGTATCTTTCACCAAGCCAACTCCGCATCTATGAAGATTTCCTCAGTAAAGATCGAGTTAAAGAGGTTTGTTGTCATCCAAAACATATTTTCTTCAATCAACTTACTTTTCAAAAATGTTTGTAAGTGTTGGAATTCAGTAGAGTCGTGTGTGTTTCAGGTTTTAATGACGAAGAGAAGTCCTTTGGCCAAGTTGAATGTGATGAAAAAAATTTGTGATCATCCTCGTTTGTTGTCTACAATGAGCAATGAAACTCTTGGTCTGCCAGTTGAAGAATTGTAATTATCATGATATACAATATATTACCGATATTTAAACATTCAGATAAGCTACTACGTATAGTTGTATGATTAGGTTTCAAAAGCGATTAGCGTCTTTTACCATGGTATTCATGATGAAAGATACATTATTTTTTTATTTTTCTGCCAGTTGTAACAAGAGATGAAATGTTATTGTTGTTTCATACAGAGATGAAGACAGTGGTTATAAATGGTGCGCACCACCCGTTCAACAGCTTATTGAAGAATCTGGAAAGCTTGTTTTTCTTGTTCAATTATTGAAACAGCTAAAGAGCGAAGGTCATAAGACTTTACTTTTCACACAGTCACGAAAAATGCTAGACATTATTGAGAAAGTTTTGAAAGAAAAGGTCAGTGGGAATATTGCTTTTCAATTAACATTGCGCATTTTTGTTCGAAGTTTGTTTTGCTGTTTGAATTGGTTTTTTTTTGTTTTCATTTACCGCAGCAAATAAAGATTATTCGTGTGGATGGTACCATTCACAAAATATTTGAAAGAGAAGCTCGCATACACTTGTTTCAAACAGATCCATCAATATCTGTGTTTTTACTCACAACTGAGGTAGGTATCATGTGTTGTCATGGAGATAGTGAGGGATAAATGAATATTTTCCAATTTTCCATCTTCAGGTTGGGGGTGTCGGCTTGACGTTGACTGCTGCCAGTCGAGTTGTTATTTGTAAGTTTTGACTCAACATTTTCATTTTTAAAAAAGTTCAACATTTATTCTCTTACGCATACTGTTTCAGTTGATCCCAGTTGGAATCCGGCCACTGACGCGCAAGCTGTCGACAGGTATTTAACTGTCCTCGTATAAAAGTCAATAGTCCTCCCAGCTATCACCATATTGCAATGGTGACTCCTGCTTTTGGGGCACACTCCAACAAGTTACACATTGTTGGAATTGTATTGCAGTCAGTATAAATTCACATTTATCAAATCGTTTTGTGTCCATCAGATCTTATCGTATTGGCCAGAAGCAATCTGTTGTTATTTACCGACTCATTACGTGTGGTAGTTTGGAAGAAAAAATCTATCGTAAACAAGTGTTTAAGCAAGCCATCACTAAACAAACGACCGGTTCTTCCAAAAATCCGTACAGGTATGCATTATAATCCCTCCCCAGTCGCACCCACTTTATTTTTTACCTGACTTCTCTATGTATTATCATATGTCGCATCTACTGTCTTGACTTGCGTGTGATTTTACCCACATTCTCCTACCTATTTACTTGAGCTCCGTACACACGCCATCTCTATTACTGAGAGCTCAACTGAGAACACCTGTTTTTACGAATCTCATTTATTTAGATATTTCACGAGTCAAGAACTTCGTGATTTGTTTGTCTTGGACGATCCACGTTGTTCAAAAACCCAACTTCAATTAGAACAAATGCATTCTGTTCACCGTGTTTCTGACACCGTATTGGACGAGCATATAAAGTTTCTGCAAACAACGAGTATTTTTGGTATTAGTGATCACGACTTACTTTTCACAAAGGAAGCTGTCGTCACTGACGAAGAACGATCCGTTGTTACGGAGATAAATGACGTTATCCGGGCACAGGTATAGTTACCATGGTGATAACATTGCAGTCACTTCTCGATAGTCTAATTGTTGGACAATTTCTCCCAGGTTCGTCGTCAGATCAAGATTACGGATCAAGTTCCTAGAGTATTCAAACCTGCACAAAGTGATTCCCGTGGTTTTAAAACTCACACGATAAGCAAGGTAATTACATAACAGGGTAGAATCAACTTTGGTTTCTGTCGGGGTGTGTTCTAGTTTGGATTAGATTTTGGTGGTTATGTGCTACCAAACCATGTCAGACTTTTTTGTTAAATTCTGTTAATTTTTATTTTGATTGAAAGATTTTTGAAAGTGCGCTGCATTTAACACTAATCACAATTGCTTTAGCTTGATTGTTTGATATATTAGCTATTTTTAGTGAAATTGTCACCCCATCCTTCATACCTTCTTGCCAAGTCTAGGACAGGGTGTACTCTCCTTTGCACCCTTTCCTGAAATATAACAACATTTTGCCCTTCTGTGATAATTTTCCTGATACTTTTCTTTGTAGTGTCCTCCAATTGCTAATAACATTATTGATCTAACTGGTTTGAATGAGAAAGTCGATGCTAATGCTTTAGAAAAACAATTTTCCACAATTACCCTTGACAGCGACACTCCTCGTGATTCACCTGACACTTGTAACAAGAGTAAGTAGGATCGTATGGTGTTATAGAAGTACGTGATAACAAGAGTAAATAGGATCGTATGGTGTTATATAAGTACGTGATAACAAGAGTAAATAGGATCGTATGGTGTTATATAAGTATGTGATAACAAGAGTAAATAGGATCGTATGGTGTTTTATAAGTACGTGATAACAAGAGTAAGTAGGATCGTATGGTGTTATATAAGTACGTGATAACTGAGATATTTATGAATTCAAGACGTTGAAGAGAAGCCCCGACATCTCCTTAACGGGCAAAAACATTATGTGCTGTATTGGGAATTCGGCGTTTTTTAAAATTACGTAACCCAATTGTTTGGTTAAGTTCATTCGTTTTATTTATACAATCCAATTTAAGAATTCTTTAGGCATTTTGCCAAGACTAAAAATTATTTGAAAAATCACTGTTTTCATTGTAAGTTTTGTAACATTCGCATGCTGGTTGTAAAAAGGTATTCCTTAGAACACGCGATTCATTCTTGAACAGCGTTATTTAGGAAGATTTAGATCAGTCCACTGCTTAACTCGAATAGCATAAAAAAACTTATTATTTGTATAGCAATCCCTACAACAATTGACATTTGCACATTTTTTCTTTTAAGAAATACGCGTTACTGTTGAGGATACGTACGGCGATAGTGAAGAAGGACTGGAGGTTGCAATCAATGAAGTTTTTTATCAAGGAGTAAAAATAAACAATAATACTGCGGGCAAAAAAATTAATGCATCTGACGTCGAGAAAAACATCGAGAAGGAAAATGTTTATGTCTCAAATGATTACTTTTATGTTTAAAAAATTTCTTATCCGTCGTTAAAAGTTGTTCGTAATTCTTTAGATTACATCTCGTCACGAGTATTTTCTGAAAGTAGTCTTTTTATTTTCATAGGTATCCACTAAGGTGCAAAACCAGGAGAATGAAAAAAGAAATTCAAGCAGGTACAAACACATAGAAATAGAGAAATATTGAATGGAGAAAAATTTTCCAAAAATATTTGTGCATTGATGAGAGGGGGGTAGTAACATTTCAGTGTAGTGTTTATATTTACTATGTAGTAATTATTTAATATGAGTGAGGACTATACCATTACACATAGTCCATTTTTCTTTTCCTAAATGGCAACTGTAGTATTGACGTCTCAGCTGAGAACAAGGCAAATCCACTGGATCGCTTACTGAATGCCTCTCTAAATGGAATTAAGTTAGGAGATCAAATGCTAGAATTTGGACCAAACAAAGTTACTCTTCAGGATTTATGGACCCTCATTCCACCAAATGAGATAACTAAATATGCTGCCACACTAATTGAAAATAAAACTGTGGCACCTGGATGGCTTAGTGATACAGTAAGTCAAGTGATTAAACACTCTACAGCTTACATATGATTATCATGCATCAGAAACAAATGTTGAAATAGTAAATGAGCCTGATTGTTATAGGTTATCAACGCTTTCTTATGGAAACTTTCATGTGAATATCCTGGTGTCCTACCAGCAGAATCATACGTGTGTCAGTTGGTGCAACGAGGATATAGTACATGTCGACTGTGGGCAGATCAAAATTTCATGGCAATTGACAAAATAATATTTCCTCTCAATATGTCTGGGAACCATTGGACACTTTTGGTAAATACAATATGGATGCAACATAGCTAAGACAAGAAGACAAATTTTTATTATTTTCAATATTTTCACTTTTAAAGGTAATCGACAAACAAAAAGAGATGGTATACTACCTTGATCCTATGGAAGGTCATGTAGAAGAAGTTATCAGTGAGGCAACAAGAGTTGAACTTTCACAGTTTATCAAAAGCATTTGGTAAGTATATATACATTACTTCCTTGACAAATACCAGTATTTGAATTTCCAATTCAATGAATCAATTCAATGTCTTGAATACACACAGCAACATTGATATTGTGCAGTTGATAATATAATCCCTTTGTTTACACAGTGCCCTTGTTGATCTAAAAAGTGGGTGGAGCACATCAACTTGGCCTATTATTCAGCCTTCACACTATGTGCAAGAGGATGGGTTTAACTGTGGAATAATTATTTGCCTGGTAGTTGTTTTGACATTGTGTTCTAAGAAATAACAATTTAAAAAAATCTCTTTTATTTTTATCATTTCAGTTTGCTGAATATCTGAGTCAAAATCTTGACATAAATGCAAAGTTTGACATGAGAAAAGTGAGGCAGCACGTGACTTCAACGATTATGGGTTCTTGCTATGATGACATTTATGAGTAATAACAAAAAAATTATATTTTTTTAAATATTTTAATAAAAGGGGCAAATTATAGATTTTATATAATTGAACTAGACAAAAACATTAAAGTCGTGATTTATTTGTTGGAATTATCCATAAAATCAATCTGACATTTGTATTGTAACGAATTGTGTGCTTAATTACTATACCATAAGTAAAATGTGTAAAATTTATTTTATTAGGAGAAATAATTTGGTATGCAAGATTTGCAAGATAGATGATGGTGAAGACTGGTTGGAATGTAATTCATGTGGGCAGTACTTTCATGCAAGTTGTCTGAATGTTGACTTTGGACAAACTCTGACAGAGTACTTTGCTTGCCCATAATTAGATAAGACTTATAGGCCGTGATCTGTGCCTCAAAAATATGCTTTAAAAATGAGTTTCGTTGGACACCTCAAGGAAGGTCGCAAAATTTTCAAAATAGATAGAAAGTCACTTGCTGTTTGATATTCTTTTTATTGTCACTTCTAAAAAGCTGCAGTTTTTTAGTATTTCGCGGTTGAATTTCAAAATTCCTCGCTCCTTCAATTTTGAATGTCGCCATTTTTTTGGTGCGGAACTCTCTGATCTAACTGCCGTTGTCATGGTGAGGCAAATTTATTAACGGGCACCATCTTGAAAGGTGGCAAAAAAGCAATATTCTTAATAAAGTCCAAGTAAAATGTATATTTTAAATGAAGAATTCTGTCGAAAATTTTGGGAGCAAACCTAAACTGTCACCTTTGCACTTATGTATCAACATAGGAGAAGCCTGTTTTAGACCTAAATCTTGTCAGTTTTAAGAACTCATGGTTAAATCGTGCGCAACTTCACTTTTCGAAGGATAGCAACGCATCTTTCCATAAATTTTTCCTTAAACACTAAAGCTTGGTAAGAAATTGATCATTACCACTAAAGAATTTTTTGTTAATAAGCTTTTAAAGAGGCACATCATTATGCATAGGCCTAAGATAAATGTAAAAATTGTAGAACAAACATTTAGCAGCTTACAGCTAAGTTACAGATTCCATAAAGTACATGCTTTTCTGATTAACCTGCTTTAAGTGATGCAAGAGCAAAAATAAAGTTTTAAAAGTATTGCTATCAGGCTATTAGACTCACTAGACACAAGAATTACTTTGATTCAATGTTTTGACCACTCTTTCTACAAGGTCACTCCACATAGGATAAGTGAAGTCCATTCTTTACTTTGGAAGAGTAGAATTCTGAAATTTCTCTTTTTAAATATAGAAGGACAACATTTTTTTGGTTTTGTAGAACCTACACTAAGCATTAAAGTGCTTGCTCACTTACTTCTAACAGAGGATCTTGTCTCCATTACATACCAATGTCCCAAAACCATCTTTAGTTGCTGTTTCCATGCATTGATTATATAAAGAATGACTTCAAAAATAATTCAGATATTCTTTATTTTAAATCAACATTATAAACTTTTATCAAAGGACACAGAGTAAATTAGTTTGTATAGATCAAAATCATAACTACATTTCTTGTTGAGAAATATATATACAGGATCACTTTTTCAATCAATGTGCCAAAACTCTTTCACTCTCCTTTTCATGGTATGACAAAGACAACTTTTATCTATGAAAGTCCTCGCTAATCAAATTTACAATAAAACAAGTTTCAACCCAAGCAAAAAAACCCCAGCTTTCTGGCTTCTGAAATGGCTCACTGAAAAAATATTCTTTCTTGAACTGTAAAACATGATCTTGAGCATAAAGCCTTAACTGAAGATTAACAATCATTACAACCTATGAAAGAGATTGTTGAAAAATACAAAAGTTTACCACTTCTGACATATTGTAAACAAATAGTAACTAAGTTTGTTCTAAGAATCATATAATGTTGAGTTCTAGCTTGCTGTTTTGAGATTTTATGCTTCTTAACTGAGATTTTTAACTTCTTTTTGCAAAATACCTCTCAGTTGTATACAGAATGCAATAAGAATGACTTTAGCAATATTTACTCTTGATTAGCAATGGAAGTTTATGGAACTTACATTTTTGTACCAAGTCGCGCTTTTGCCTTTCTGTTTACAACCACAAGTGGATATTACTCCTCCGGATGAAAATGGGTGGCAAACGAGTGACGTGAAACTGCAAGTCTGAAATCGTATGGATGACCATTCCCCTAGCGCCGAATTCCCTACTTGATAACGTTCATTGGGGTTGTAAGACTGGCTGCAACCTGGCTGTAACTCCCAACGTTGTTTATGTAACAAAGCAGGAGTGAAGTACACAGATGTATGGTCGTGTACTGCATGCACGAATGTAGATATTGATGACGACAATGATGTTGAGGAAGGAAGAGGAGTTTTTAGATGATGACATTGACGACGAATTCGAGACAGACCTTTAAAAAAAGCGCGCCTTGTCTTGCACAATACGATTATAACTTTCAAAATATTATCTTCGAAACAATTGCTAAAATCCAACCTAATGCACGAGTGAAATATGTATTTCTTTCAGACATTTTATTTATGTTGCCAGTATTATCGTGCGGAATAGCTCTCTATTAGGTCTGGCACTAGCACACAAAATATAAATAACATGAAGTTCCCTGGGAAAATGGCGGATTTCGAAATTGTAATGAGCTACAAATTTTAAAATTTTAATGTAATATAACAATAAAACTGCAGCTTTTTGGAGATGACAAGAAGTAAAACTGCGTTAAGCATGTAAAATTCGTTCTGTCTTGAATTTTTCACGACCTTCCTTGAGGTGTCCAACGGGAATGAAAGAAAATCGGTCACAGATCACGGCCTATTAGTCTATTTCACGAAATGAGGATCTTGTAAAATATATATTGAGAGACAAAATACAGAGGTCATTCGTTTACGAATGACAAACAACAATAACAGTTGGGTCCAGGCCCCTTATTAATCAACGATTATCCCATTATGCTCTATCCCCCCCTAAGTCTTTACTAGTATAGGAAAGCGTAATATAAAGTTGTTCTTTGATATTTGTTCATCCTTTCAATTTTCTAACAGCCCTTTCTTGTTGAAATCGAGTAATCTGCGTAGAGCTAGTGGTGCTTTCTTGCTTGGCTTTGTGGTCGCTGGTGTAGGTTCACTGGCATCTTCAGGTATCTTGGTTGCGTTTGGTGAAGTTCCATCTGAGGTATCTATGTTCGGTAGTGGTGCTGGCTTTGGGGTGTCAGTTTGTGTCGCCGGTCCCAGACATGGTAATGACGGTGTTTGTTTTCTGCTGGCTGTCATTTTGTTGGGAGTAAGGTTCTCCGTTGAGACTTTTGGTATCAGAAGCAGGTCCGTATCAATAGTATATTTGGGTGACTGCTCTTGTACAGGTGTGAATTGCCGGAGAAATTTTCTGTTTCTAAGTGTAATTCTGTTGGACCCATCGACTTTTATGCGGTATTGATCGTGTTGAAGGACTTCGATGACTGTTCCAGTCTTGTCCCATTTCGTAGGGTACGGTCCTGTTTGGTTCTGTATTCTTACGTGATGACCAATGGACAGAGGTGGTAATCTTCTTGTGTGTTCTGACCAACGTTCCGCCGCTCTCATGTGCCGGTTTCGTAAAGCCTCCTCGCGAGCAATGAGTGTTTCACTCCAGGTGGCGTGTGGCCTATAACGGCCGGGGAAAATTGGTATGAAATCCTTAATCGGTCTGCCGAAGACGCATTGGGCCGGTGATAATTTCGTATCGGTATCAGGCGTGTTACGATATCGTAGAACAGCAATTTGTAGGGCGTTTGTGTTGAGGCTACCAGTGGGACCGGTATTGTTCGTGGTGAGGCGTTTCACAGTTTTAACGGCAACCTCAGCGCGGCAATTTGAGTGCGGAAATGCAACGGAGGTGAGGCGGTGGTGTACCCCCCATTGTTTGAGGAACTGCCGTGTTTTGACGGCGGTGAATTCGGGTCCGCCGTCCGTAGCGCATTCGTCTGGGATCCCAAAGGTGGTGAAGACGCGACGTAGGCAATTGATTAGTCCGTCGCAACCGTCTTTGGCTCGTTCGATAATAGGCCAGTTAGAGTAACTGTCTACGATTACGAGATAGTTGGATCCTTTTTAGTGGAAATAATCCGCACAGATGCACTGGAAGGGGTAGACTGGTGAGATGGTTGGTGTGGGTGGTGCGCTGGGTTGAGATGGTGCCATCCGGTTGCAGTGGTTGCATTGCGTACGCATTGCTGCGATATCTGAGGTGATTCCTGGCCAGAAGACTGAGTCCTCTGCGAGGGATGTCATAGATGATATGCCCTGGTGTGCCGGGTGTAGCACTTCCAGGATATTTTTGCTTGACAGTGGTGGGATAACCACACGATCTCTGTACATGATGACGCCGTCCACTGTGTAGAGGCTGTGACGAAACTGGTAGTATTCTTGTAATGGTGTTGGGAGGTCATTACGTGAAGCTGGAAAGCCAGATTCAATGACAATCATGAGATCGTGCATAGTGGTGTCGCTGGCAGTTGCCATGCGCACCCTGTCCCAGGTTGTGGCGACGTTTGTAAGTGCTAGAGAAGCGAGTGAAGCGATGGTTTCGTCAAAGCCGGTGTGTGTAGTGGTGTCCTTTAACTCTGCGATGTCGTCCTGGAGGTGAAGCATGGTGGGGTTCTCTGGACCTGTGGGGTGGCGGGAGATCGCATCGACGGCTTTGTGACGGATACCAGGGATATGGATCATTTGGAACCTGTATCTCAGTGTCTTCTCCTTGAGATTACGTAGGCGGGGGTTTGGGATGTTTTCCAATGTCCGATCACCGAATAGTTTGAGCAGAGGTTTGTCGAGGGCGTCTGCGACTGCCAGTGCCTCCCCTTCTATAGGTGCATATCGGGATTCAGCGGCATGTGTGAAGCGGCTGCCGACAAGGCTGATCTTCCACCCGGTGTGGCAGCATAGTGGTCCAGTCGATTGGCATTCACAGTGTTTTTGGAGTAGCCAAAAGTCGAGGCCGTGTTTTGACCAATCAGTGGCAAGACAAGAGGGACGTGTCTTGTCAAAGATGCGAACGCCCTCATGGATTTCATTTATGATTACGGATTTGGATTCCTCAAAGAGTGCATTGAGTTCCTCGTCCCAATAAAACTTCGTGCTGGGTTTTAGCAGTTTTTTAAATGGTAGCATACGTTCAGTGGCTCCAAATGCATATGAGACTTGATTGATCAGAGCGGATGTCAGTGATACTGCTCGGCTTTGGGAAATGGCGAATAGCATCGATGAATTTCCTGCTTGGGCGAACAGAGTTTGATGTGATTTCAAATCCTGCAAACTCGACTGTGTCTGAGCTGAAGACAAATTTGTCTGGGTTGAGGATAATGCCGTTTCGACCGCAGATGTCTAGCCATTCGACAGCCTGATGAAAACTTTGGGTGAGGTTATCCGCCCAAAGTAAGGTATCGTCTATGCATTTGGTTTTGTTTGGAATGTGTGATACGATCTCATCGAACCGACGTGAGTAACCGTCCCCCGAGGCAATGTACCCTTGTGGCGCTGAGTTGTACCGATAGCGACCCCAGGGAGTGATAAAGGTGGTGAGGTGTCTGTCGTCTGGGTGAAGGGGAACGCTGTGATAACCGTTCCAGCAGTCGAACACTGATTTCTTTTTGCCACTGGGGACAGAGCGGGCCTGGTGGAAAGAACTCTGGGTGTGGTGGGTCTCCATAGTGGCATTTGCATTTAGTGCCTGTATGTCAACGGTCCGTCGTTTGCAGTAACATTTGTTATAAAAAAGACCGCGTGTTATGAAATTTTATACAAGAAACATATTGTACTTATAGCGATTATTATGTAAAGGCTTTGCCGCTGACCAGGAAGCTAATAGGCGCGTCCCCGATCATCGCCCGGGTTATAGCAAATCCCATATAATCATAGTCGGCAGCTTCGTCCCCAGTCTTTCTACGGACGATAAACACGGCCAAAAACAACCGGGAAAAAAGCAATGGAAAAAGTCACAAAAATAGTTTCAGAAAGATTTACATTTTGTTAGTTTTGTCCAACTCGTAGTCGTGTGTATAAAATATTTTTACAACAATTCCTTAAATTTAAAAAGCCACAGGGACGAAAATAGAACGCGAATTCTATCTTCGTAATGTATAACATAACAAGAAATGAGGAACGGGGGGGGAGGGTAATGATTCAGCTCTGCCGGACTGACTTCATTTGAAATTACAATCTCTTCAAAACAAATCAGTCACTGCCTGGGGAAGCTGCTGTTTTGAGATATTGACCACAAACGAAAAATGACACTGACATAAAAATACAATTTTCAACAAAAAATCAACAGCATTTTGACATACAAAATGACATGTTTAATCTCTTTGTCATTTTAAAAAGTAAAATGGCGAAACAGCGTTTCCAGCAATGATACGACAGCAATGATAACATTTTCTTATTTTCTAAACTATGCGCAACTTTTGTTATAAGTTTATGCAGAAAAAAAAATTAGAAGAGAATAAAGAAAAACGACGATTCTGATATATTATTTATAAATATGTGTGTATACACATCAATTTAATTGATCGAGCTAGCTCTATATGTAGTAGATATAAAGATCAACTCTGTAGGAAATTAATTAGTACTTGATCTTAACATCAACTACATGATTACACTGACTAAATGATTATATTGAATAAATGATTACATTGACTAAATGATTACATTGACTACACGATGACATTCACTACATTGACTAAATGATTACATGATTACACTAACTACATGATTACATTGACTACATGATTACATTGACTATACCTGACATAACAACTTTTTAAAATGTCGATAATTAATGTCGTTTCTTATGAAATAACTAATTTTTCAAATGTAGTTCATGTCGTCTTTTTTAATTAGTCCCTATCGTATTTACAGGTTTTGAAAATTTTACAAAAGTAAATAAATTTCATGTAATCATTTCAATTGTATTTTTGAATATTTTTATGGAGAAAAAGTAGACAAAGATAAACACTAAGGTAGACTCTAAGGTAGACACTAAGATAGACACTAAGGTAGACAAAAAGGAAAACACAAAGGTGAACAAGACTAGCCTCAATACTGACTTTAGCAGGTATTGAACTCAGTACTGTATCAGGTTAAAAAGCAAAACTCTGACCACATTGACACAACGCTGGATACTTGAGATTTTTTGTTGTATACATATATTCGCGTACAAGTACAACTGTTCATAAACCAAAAGTTCCACTCAGAAGATGATCACCCCCAAGAAAACTCAAGGATAGGTTTATATTCTGGGCCCTTTCTTATTCCTGATTTATTTCAACGCTTTGGATAATGTGATACTGTCCTTTACTAAGCTAATAAGAACTTGGAATAATTACATTTCTATAGTAAATAATGAACCAGTTTAACCGTGAAATATTAAAAAATATTTTATCACTTTCATGAAGAAGTAAAAATTAGTACAGTTTTGAATTTTTACTTCTTACAGATAACCCATTGCACATAATTTCCACATAATTTCCACGTACATACTACCAATTACCAACTTTATATACCAAAAAAATACGCTAAATATTCAATGAGCAAAATATATTCTGCAGTGATACTGCATGCCGGAACATGTTCTTGAATAAAGAATATAAATCTCATGCAACTTCATTAGGATTCCAACAGAAATGTGTATTTTTGTCCATATTATCCAATGTTATCATGTCCTCAGGTGATAAGGTGAACGCGAATATTTCCATATTTTGTTCGATGTGACTTGAATTTGTCGACTTCGGTAAAATTGCTGGAAAAAAAATAGTTCATAAGTAAAAATTTGAAATCTCAATTTTATGAAAAAGTGAATAGGATACATCGAGTCCAACCCCCCCCTCTTCCCCCTAATACCGGAGTCGACTTAAAACATTATTAGTTTCATTATTCATATCTTGTATACAAAGTAAACAGTAAACAGAACTTTTCTTACAAAAGGCAAATATTTAAACACTAAACAAAACCTGTATTAAAAATTGCTATGACAATGTTTTCATGTAAACCTACCAACATCATGCTCTATTGCCCAACGATACAAAACTTGTGCAGATGTTTTACCATACTTCTTTCCGATATCGACAAATACACTATCATGGACAAGCTACAGGACAGGAAAAAAAAAATACTCAAGTCACACCCAGAACCATTTTAAAATATCTGTTGAATGTAAATTTAAAAGGAAATTCAGCAATGTTAGGTATTCAATGTTGTATCATGTATATGATAAATAATTCTTTCATTTCTCTTTGATCTCTTCAAGCTTTGTAACTATACTAATCAGGTCTTTGTGGAGAAGTTTAGTTCATTAAAATGCGTCAAAATAAAACATATAATCCCAATATTTACAATACCAGCAAAAGATGTTGACAAAGAGAGGCTCAAAACTTTTTCAACACTCATAATACAACAGTGTTTTATGGAAATGGTACAAAATGAAAATCTGGAAATGACAGTGCATACTTGACGCACTACAAACTTAATGCAACTATACTTGACGCATTACAAACTTAATGCAACGATACTTGACGCACTAAAAACTCAATGCAACGATACTTGACGCACTACAAACTTAATGCAACGATACTTGACGCACTAAAAACTCAATGCAACAATAATTGACGCACTACAAACTCAATGCAAAGATACTTGACGCACTATAAAATTAATGCAACGATACTTGACGCACTACAAACTCAATGCAACGATACTTGACGCATTACAAACTCAATGCAAAGATACTTGACGCACTATAAAAATTAATGCAACGATACTTGACGCACTACAAACTCAATGCAACGATACTTGACGCATTACAAACTCAATGCAAAGATACTTGACGCACTATAAAAATTAATGCAACGATACTTGACGAACTACAAACACAATGCAACGATACTTGACGCACTACAAACTCAATGCAACAATAATTGACGCACTACAAACTCAATGCAACGATACTTGACGCACTATAAAAATTAATGCAACGATACTTGACGCACTACAAACTCAATGCAACGATACTTGACGCATTACAAACTCAATGCAAAGATACTTGACGCACTATAAAAATTAATGCAACGATACTTGACGCACTACAAACTCAATGCAACAATAATTGACGCACTACAAACTCAATGCAAAGATACTTGACGCACTATAAAATTAATGCAACGATACTTGACGCACTACAAACTCAATGCAACGATACTTGACGCATTACAAACTCAATGCAAAGATACTTGACGCACTATAAAATTAATGCAACGATACTTGACGAACTACAAACACAATGCAACGATACTTGACGCACTACAAACTCAATGCAACAATAATTGACGCACTACAAACTCAATGCAAAGATACTTGACGCACTATAAAAATTAATGCAACGATACTTGACGCACTACAAACTCAATGCAAAGATACTTGACGCACTATAAAATTAATGCAACGATACTTGACGCACTACAAACTCAATGCAACGATACTTGACGCATTACAAACTCAATGCAAAGATACTTGACGCACTATAAAAATTAATGCAACGATACTTGACGAACTACAAACACAATGCAACGATACTTGACGCACTACAAACTCAATGCAACAATAATTGACGCACTACAAACTCAATGCAAAGATACTTGACGCACTATAAAAATTAATGCAACGATACTTGACGCACTACAAACTCAATGCAACGATACTTGACGCATTACAAACTCAATGCAAAGATACTTGACGCACTATAAAAATTAATGCAACGATACTTGACGCACTACAAACTCAATGCAACAATAATTGACGCACTACAAACTCAATGCAAAGATACTTGACGCACTATAAAAATTAATGCAACGATACTTGACGCACTACAAACTCAATGCAACGATACTTGACGCATTACAAACTCAATGCAAAGATACTTGACGCACTATAAAAATTAATGCAACGATACTTGACGCACTACAAACTCAATGCAACAATAACTGACGCACTAAAAACTCAATGCAAAGATATTTAACTCAGTGCAATGAAAACATGAAGTGTAGAACCAGTCTTGTCGAGTTTTGACAAAGACAGCGGCAAATGTGCAAACTCAACAATTTAGTTTATAGCCTACACAAGTGGTTAATGTAGATCGAGGTGAAAGTTTCAATGTTGTAGCTATCTCTTATCTTGACGCAATGGCCCACTGTAACAAAAACAAGTTATGTGTTAATTGCGAGAGTCACGGACAATAAAATAAAACAGCGTTGCACAGGTTTACATGATTCTACAGACACAATAGATAGCTACTGATCCAGTAATGAATGAAGATTTATTTATTGCAAAAGAAACACCTTTATGATCTCATGTAAGTATGTTTGTAAATGTAGATCGTCCAGGTTGGTATAGTCCTGAGAAGGACTGTTTTTGTTGTTGTTGACTGACGTTTCGACAACCTTAGCGTTAGTCATCTTCAGAGTCAAATGAGGAGTAAACGTCAGGTTAGCCGTATTTGTTATCTGGTTCTTACGTCATTGTATCGTGTGTACAGGAAATGTGTATTGTCATTGTGAATTAGTGTGAAGTGAAATGTTTTTAGTCGTGATGTGTGATTTAGGTGTGATGTTTTTAGTTGTAATGTGTCGGTGTCAATTGTGTATTGTCATTGTGAATTAGTGTGAAGTGTAATATTTTTAGTTGATCGTTTGTTTGTATTGTGAATAAGTCGTTTGTAAGGTGCCGATAATTGCTGTGATCTGTTTAGGGGGGTTTGTTCAACATTGACTGGGACTCGGCAATTCACAATGACAATACACAATTGACTCCACACATTACAGCTAAAAACATCACACCTAAATCACACTTCACAAATAAAAACATTTCACTTCACACTAAATCACAATGACAATACACATTTCCTATACACACAATACAATGACGTAAGAACCAGATAACAAATACGGCTAACCTGACGTTTACTCCTCATTTGACTCTGAAGAAGACTACCGCTAAGGTTGTCGAAACGTCAGTCAACAACAACAAAAACAGTCCTTCTCAGGACTATACCAACCTGGACGATCTACATTTACAAACACGTAACGATACTCCCGGGTTCAAACTATTTACTTTACTCATGTAAGTATATTGCAAGATTTTTAGGCTTTCCTTGACATTGCATTGGCAATAACTTTATCTCCAAGATTGCTATAAAAACACGCTAGATATTTTCAAAATTTGTAAAATCATGCATGTACGTACATCTTAATATTTAACAAACCAAGAAGTAAAAGCCTAACCTTGCCTATACCAAGAGATGAATATGCCTGCATTGCGATGTTGTTATCCTTACAATACTTCAGCAATGTTTTCTGATTAAGATAAGGATGATACTCAACCTATGAAAAAAGATAATATCACACTTCAAGTAAACTATTGTTTTGAAAGACGAAAATTGAAATAAAATGACAAAAATTAAAACAAAAAATATGTATGAAATATTTAATACAGCGCATGCAATTGAGATAGAAAAAGATTTAAGGCTGTAAATGTGTCGAAATCTATCATTACTTGATTAACAGCCGGTAAAACAGTACTATATGTTTTCATTTCTTCCAAATGCTTCACAGTGTAGTTAGATACACCAATCGATTTCACACGACCTAAATGTGTGATTAATCTTTGCGTTAAAATTCATGACGCATTAAATAAGCCAAACAAGACGTACCAAGGTGAAATATTTCATTAAATTCTATATCAACCGAGTACATAATTTCATACATAATTGCGTATTGAAAGGTATACTTTGAGATGAATATACTAACTTTCTTAACACATCGCACGAATGAAAACAAGTTAAATTACATTTTACTGCACACTGGTGTGCATTAAAATGAAGATTCCATATCTTTTTTTTTAACATATTTCATAAATGAAACACACACTTGATTACAAATGGTTGCGAAGGTCATTACTTATAATATGTTTCTTCCTGCAATAGACGTGCTACGCCATTTTTACACAATTTTTATGACGTCTAAGACGGCATATCGTGTTTGCTAAATTTCGGTAGTGGCTATCTTTTATACAAAGGTCTTGAAATAATAAAGAAAAAGAGGAATTCAAATGTATCCCATCAACCTTCGCGAAGAAGCTTTTCCAATGCTTTCCAGCTTTCTTTTCGACGCGTCAGATTTACTGGATCCTCGCGTTTAAGTTGCGCTGCTCCAGGCCAATGAATCAGATACAAATCTAAATATTCGTATCCGATGTTTTCTATTGATCGTAAACACGCACTGTACGCAGTATCAAGACCTTGATCATATGGAGCTTTAAACAAATATAAAAATATGGTTACAACAAGCTGTCTTGAGATTGGAATTTCCATCGAGCAGTTACCGTACAAAAGTAGAAAACCGTCTTGCCGTTTTACAGTTATTGTTGTAGCTAGATCCTTGCAATTATTTACGCTTACTGTCTAGTCTGTTAAGGAATTCGTGTCCTCTCTTCACCAGTTACTGCAAAAAGCAGACTTAATGCAAAGCGGTTTCTAAACTTTTTGCTATGACATAACATGCAAATTGAAAATTGCCTATAGGTGAAAAATAATTCAACTGATTCGCTATATCAAAACTTCACACATCTGCATCCGCTCGCAAAATGAAAAAGCCTTGCTGAAAGATTTTGTATAACGAAAAAAACAGGACTTCACAAATTGTCCTAGACAGACCAACAAAATGTGAAGGTGAAAAAATATCTCAAACTGGTCCAGGTGTGGCAGTCTGAGTTTGTCATTATACTGAGATTGTATTCCGTACACTCCACAGTAATAACGCATTATATAGTCCTAATACTTACAAACATTATACACGTATTTTTTCGGTTGATTTCTGAATGTTCTAATATTCTCAGTCTCTCAGATCGCCACACCGACAGACAATATGTACATCACAAGTTCTACAAGCGATCAGCGCGTCAGGATACGTTTCTTTCCCAATGGAGAGAGAAATATTTCGCTCATTGACAAATTTTTCGACACTCACCAAGCTTGCTAGTTATGAATATGTCAGATCTTTTAAGACCATATTTTGGTAACAATATTTTCAAGCTTTTTCCGATGTCTTCTTCATTCTTGTAGGCAGAAGCAGTGTCTATAATACACAATGAAATAAAAACTATAATCCTCTTATAAATTTCAAGGGCCATTATTTTGCTCTACTTATTTTCAATCATTTTTGGTGTCTTCCTTGAGAAGTATGTAAATTCTTTCTCAGTTTATTTGACAGGCGCAATTATGATGCAGAAAACATTTACAATAGGTACAATACATGCATTATTCTTTCTTGGCCATGTACGTATGTACAGGATCTTGCTGGATAATTTGGTCAAATAAATTTTATATTCACTTCACCATTCTTCTAATTGATTACATCAACTATTCCACTCCAGTATTTTTCATCATAAGAAAACACAAAACACCACATGACTTAAAGTCTAAACATTTACACTTTTTGTTCTCTATCCCCAACACAAGGTAGATGCTACATACTCTATTGCACGGTCTGTGCTTCTGATGCTGGTTTTGCTACTATAACATTTTCAGAGTAGGATAGAGGAAATGGTGAAAGCTTCAGGTACCAGGCAAGTTGTTTCCACTGTTAAATCTTAGCAAGATCCTAATCAACACTTACTGTTAGTGATTGTGCTGGCTGTACAAAAATTAGACAAATTGTATTGCTTCAGGACACCAAAGAGTTTAGAATCTCACACACAGTGAGATCAAGTTGTTCAAGTTCTGAATTAGTCAACTGTGCAACACCAAAATTTGTTATTTAACCCATGAAAACTTAACCATAACTTTCGCTGGTTTTCTGGAAGATACTCCATAGTTATTTCATGATAAGAATCAATCATTTACACTTTAATTTTTTTGATTTTACCAATCATAAGTGTTTATAAAGATCAAAGTCTATTCCCAACAAAATTTTATGTTCAACATTTACCAACAGTAGCAGAAATTAGGCTCTGACATTGGGGGAAGTACCACAAATTTCAAAAAAAATTTCATATTGTGTAATGTTTGAGAAACCCTAAGTAAAGTAAATATACAAGGATAGGGGAGCAGTTAGCCTGTCACCCAACTGAGATTTCCATCACATACATTGTTGTTTACAACAACACTATATCTACTTTTAAACATATGGCTATTTACCAAAAATACCAGCAAAAGAAAAATTGTGAGGTTTAAACAACTGCCAACTTTACTCTCCCTTTCTATACAAATATGCCCATGAATCTCACCACCTACCGACATACTACACATTAACGTTCAAATTTTGCCATTCCAAAAATCTATTATGAAACCAAAGGAAATTGCAAATTTACCATTTCAATTCAAAACCTAACAACACACAAAGCAGTTTAATCTGGATAATGTATTAGTAAATATCCTTTGAAATGTAAACAGTGTTGTATTAATGTATAGTTTACTAAAGAAGTTAACTTACCAAACATTCGATAACCTGACTTGAGGGCACTATCTAATGCTTTAAACACAATGTCCTCTCCGTCTTTTGACACCATTTGCCAGGTACCCACTGTTAAAAACAAAAATATGTACTTTGATACATTTACAAAATCCAGCTGCGAATTATAGACACAAAAGCTGCAGCTATCATTTCATGTGTGCTTTATCAGAGGCATACTGCCAAAAGTTTAACAAGGATATTACCATTGCTGTTCGCTTAATGTCATATATATTAGGTACTTTCACCATTACAAGACATAGAATTTTAGAAAGGGCGACGGGAAAATTTTTTGGTGTTCCCTCACTGTAAAAATAATACCTTTCTAGACAAATGAATAATGCTAATGATAAAAAATTTACATAACATGAACGAATCTGCAAACTGGCTGCACCATTGACAAGGGGTTATTGAGCCTGTCTTTCAAAAGACTTTGCTCTCATAATTCGACACAATACATACGTACTTACACCCCATTATTGGCATTTTATGACCAGAATTGAGGACAATGCTTGGCACAGGACTGCTGCTGAGGGTAAGATTGTCCGCCATACTATAGTTGAGATTGTTTTAATTGCCAAATCTTCATGAAATAAATTTAAAAAGCAGCGTGGATGACAATGAGTAAATATTGTTTAGAAAAAATGTGGTTCATCCGTTCTTTCATATATTTGTTAATTGTCGTATTTGATCGACGATTGCCGTACGGTGCCGTAACACAAGAAATAAATTGGCGGGAAAATGAAAAATACATTTGTGTTTATGTCAACTACTGCAGCAGAAACTGGAAGAAAAACAACTTTACAGAAAAAATTAAAGAAAACCAACATAAACGCACTGCATAGAAACCTACCTTAATTTAGAAAAAATGGAAAGCCAAAAAACTTGGATCCAATGTAGTGTTAAGTCATGCAATAAATGGAGAGTTGTCCAGAATGAAATTGCGAAAAAATATTCCGACATGCCGTGGACTTGTAGCATGAATCAAGACAGAAATTATAACCATTGTGCCATCCCAGAAGAGGAAGAGAAAGCTCCACGAGGCAAAAAATCTGTTGTTACAAAGATTCCGTTCGAGAAAGGCGAAATAATCTTAGCAAAAATGCATGGATATTGCCAGTAAGTTATTACAAACATCCAAGTCATTCACGCTGTTAAGCATCATTATTATCGAGTTATCTGAATGGGACGGGGGAGGATTAGCCTCGACTGTCGACAGAGTCCATATATGTAGGCTGGGTGTTGTAGCATTGACTTTTGAAAAATGTTTATTAAGCGGAAAAGAATACTATTTTATCAAATACACATGTAAGGAGATGATATGTCTATTTATGTTGTCATCACCTTAGCCCACATACCAACTCCAGGTTTTAAACAATGTACTTGTTTATATGCTTTTGTGCCCTAGCACATGGTTCTCAACTACCACTTGGGAAATAAAAATGGCAAATGAGCCCCTGATACACACAACTACAGTATTGTATAATATCAAATTGAATTAAAATTGAACAAAAAATGTGTTAGTACTTTCGACCAGCATGAAAATTATGAGAAATGGAACGACTTCTTTTTTCAAAGCACAAAGCTACTTTATTCAGTTATCAAACGTATTAAAAATTGTTCTGAAATATATTTGTTCAAATCAATGTTTTTGATGATATAAATCCTTCAATGTTTCATTCTGCTGAACACAATGAAATAAGACGCTAAAGTCTTAATTTTCAAATTTTTCAGGAATAGTTTTGAGGGGGGTTGCAAGCAGTGGCAAGCCTAGAAACATAGAGTAAGAAGCTTACTTATCCACATAGTTTACACCATGAAATTGATCAATGACGAGAAGAGAATTCGTTTTTTTTGTGCATATGCATGCATGTAAATTATTAGAGTGCTCAAATTTTTAGTCTACCTCGCAAACCTCATTCAAGGTTAAGAGATACTCGTTTAACTGCAAAATTATGCATCTATGATTCCTGGCTGTAATTTTGCTATATTTTGATAGGTTTTATAGGACGCCTCTGCTTGTTGGCTGTTCTTCCCTTGTGTAACTATCTATTGTTAATAACGATATTGCTACGTACTGCATTGAGACTTCTCTTTTGTTTACTAAAGATGGCCAGCATTTATTAGCCCTGATCCAAAATGTGACGAATACTACGACGCAGTTCTGAATGAAAATGATGAAGAAGAAGAAATCACTCACGTTCACGTGGAATTTTTTGGACAGCCGAGAACACATGCATGGATCAACATTGGAAACATCTTTCAATACAAAGGGTTTGAAAATGGCGGAGTAAAAAGAAGATGGAAACAATCCTTTACCGTTGCGATGGAAGATGCTTTCCACTCAAGTCATTTGACTTGCGAGGAAAGACTTGAAACTTCCTTCTTCAAACATATTAAATCAAGTAAATATATAAACAAAAACATTTATTCATATATTTCATTTATCAAGAATAGTTGATAAATGATCATTATAATTGATTATGGTTAGCCATTTGTTTATGAACAAGCAATTTATAGCGTAATATTTAACGTCCTATTTATAGAGTACGTTCTCGTGCATTTCTACTCCCCCTTCCCTCTCCCCAACTTTTGAGTGTCATCGCAGTTCCTAAATGAAGGTAGAAATGTACTTATATTTGTCGTCTGCAATGTTGCCATTTAGTAGTATAGCTACCTGGTTCTGGTTTTCAAGATTAACTAATGGAGTCATTGACAAATCACTTGATTGATCTACTTTTTCCTCAGACAAGCATGTAAAACTTATTCAACTTTTTTTAATACATGCCTTTTAATCTTTACAGCCTCTAACAATGAAAATTTATCAAAGGATATGCTGAAGAACATAAATGCAAGTTTTTAAATGTAAAACGAGCTTGCTAATTGCTATTTAACCTACAATCTTTTCAATATTTTTAGACTTCAGAAAGCAAGATAAAGCATTTTTACAATGAGCTTAATAAGTTTTACTTGAAAAATAATTTCAAAGCTATTGATCAGATCAAACTTCCCATGTACTGTGGCCAGAATATCGATCTTTATAAAATATTTCAAGCAGTATACTATGAAGGAGGATTTACGGAGGTAGCTATTGCTAAAACAAACTATATAACGAAAAGAAAAAGCAAAGAAATGTATAGTACCTTTTTATTTAGTGATAACTAGTGATAATGAGTCAGTGATTTTAGAATAAATATTTGTCGTTTTTTATCGGATAAAAATGAGAATAAATTACTTTGTTTTTCATAAGGTATGCAGAAAATGTATGTGGCTTCCATTGTGGAAAGTATTATTGGAAAGCAATACTGTAACAAGTGGAAATAGCTTGAAAAAAATTTATGAAAGGTGTGCAATCTAGCTCCTGTATGTATTGAAGCACAATTGAAAAAACTACCATCAGCTAAATCAAACAGCTAAACGTGTGCATGTTTAAGAACAGGCTCGATCCAAACATTTTTTACTTTCTTAATTAACAGATATTTACTTGACTTTGAAATATATGAAAAAATGAAACTAATTGAAGGTTTGTTGGCATATTATGGATTTGGTATTAATGTCGTGTTAAAATTATGTGAGAAGAACAAAATGTTCATTTAAGCTTCCCTCCGTTCATAGATACACAAACTTCAGATCAACATGTCAAAAAGAAAAGGGGCAGACCAAAGAATACAGCACAAATTAAGAATAAAAAAAGTGGAGGGAAATATAATAGTCAAATCAAAGAAACGTTTTCCTCAGCAAATTTTACGAAGAAAAATTTTGTAGAATGGCCAAACATGGAAAAATCGAGCAGTCGAAGACAATCACTTTTAATAAGATCAATAGATAGCCAAATAAATAAAACTTTTGAAGGAACTGTAGAGAAACATTTTGAAAATAGCAAAGAAAGGAAGAGAGGAAATGTTATTCCCATGCAAAATTTATATGAGTTTGAACATCCCAAAAAGACAGCAAAAAGGACTGACAAAGCAAACAAGTTAGCACCGTGCAATGAACACACTGTTAAGATTGATGTTAACGAACAGCTATTGGGAGATAATACTTATATTGAAAATTGCGGCAAGAAAACTGTAATTTCCTTCCAAAAAATTGGAAACGACGAATGTGATGTACATTTAAAGGAAAGGAAAAGCTTTTCAGGTTATTTGATTGATGAATTCAATCTGCGGCATAGCCAGCCCAAACTTTTAGTCATGCTTTGCAAATTTCAGACCATTATCATTTGTTTTTGCAATAGGAGAAAACAAAAAACTTGATAATAGCAGTACTTATTAAGTGGGCAGGCTAGCTGTGCAAGCGATTGCATTATAGCAATTCCCAAAACCGTGGTAGATAAAAATTTTCTCTAATTAATATAGGAACAAAAAGTTGCATTTATCTTTTCAGATCCATTAAATGGGATAAAAGATTCATGTTCACGTTTAACTGATGCCACAGGCCTTGATATTACTAAGAAATCAAATGTGACTACGATGTATGAAAATCATATGAACAATAAGCAGAATTTCAGAAAATTACTTCCATCATCTCGTGCAAAAATAGATTCCATTGGTTCTTCTGGAAAGTCAAGGATGTGCCAGAAATCTTTTGAAGTCAAATGTGTTCCTTGTTCGAACCCGAATTTTCCTAATTTACTTCCTTCTGAAGGTACGAATTTTATTGCACTACGGAATATTTAGATACCTAATTCATCGATAGGTGATTCATTTAATTTTTCAGTCGCAAATTGCCACAAAATTTTCAGTTTTTTAAAATTTGAAAATGAAACTTGCTTAAATGACTATTTTGACTTCCATGTGTTCAATGTTTAAATTTTTCTCGGTGTCACTCTTGACGCTATGATTTTGTATCTGAAGAATAAAATAAAACGTAAATAGCTAAAGTCTTCATCTTAGAATCTTTACATGACATGGAAAATGATTGGGGTTATGCTATACAGCAAGAGCTTGAAGATTTAGAAAGAATCATAGCAAATGGAAGCTGCAGCGAAGCAGGTGACGGTGAGAGTTTACCTGCCTTGACGACAATGACTTAATTGTATATGAAGTTATCAATGACATAAAAACAAGTTCAGAAACAAACAATGATCAAGTCATTTCAGTTCTTAATTCGAATTTGTAATTTCTTGCATGTGCATATAAAATGAGCTTGTTTTGGTTTGAGACATTTACGTATAGATTTATTACATGTCATGTAGGATGACACTATAGCAACACAATTGTTCTGTCAATGTATGAAATGTATAAAAAGTAATGCTACACGTGGAAGACTTTGATTAATGATTCGAATCGCAATCACGAGTTTATCATACAGTTATCTAATAGAACGCAAGGCAAAGTTATTCATGATTGATTTACTTACGCTCTCTGATTCAATTTTGGAGAAACATATTGCAAAGCTACTCGGCTATGTAGCTATATATCTTATATCTTTATATGAAGGTAAATGCTAAGACAGTTAACTAACTAAACAGAAAACAATATCTTGGGACATATTTTCTTTCTCCTAAACTTTACAAAAATTTGAACAAATTGGATTTCATATCATTTTATTGTTTGTTGTAGAATTCAATAACTTTGAAAACAAATCACAAAGAAACGACATGAAGATGACGAAAAGAATAGAGTGAGTACATAAGAGCATGTAATTACTCCCATCAACATAACTCCTATCCTCCGTGTGTGTTTTTGTGATTTTTACATTGTGTTTAGTGTTTCTACCACATTCGATTTCGACTTAGACTTTTTAGCGATTAACCCTTAAAATAACTTAAAATAATTATTTCTCGTGATTCTTTATTCCCAGAAAATTTGAGGTGAATCAATATTCCATGAATTTTAACTGCATCCATATTTTTTCTTCAGAAATGCATTCTGTTTTAATTCATCATGTGACCTTCTTCATGAAAAATCTTGTAACTAAGAGTGAAGCAAGATCAATTAATAGGGTCATTCATTATTGATTTCCTGTGTGCGTGTACATCTTTCTGCAAAAGGCTTTTACAAATCTATTAGAATCACAAAAACTTATTTTGAATGTGTTAGCTATGAGATCAAAAAATTATATTGAGAAATGCAGAGTAAAACATAGTAAATATTAACCAAATTGCAGGTCAGAGCAAATCGTAACGGATGAGATGGTAAACGTCGCCATCAAAGAATTGATAAAATGTGATGGTAAGAACGATCATGCTTTGTGATGCTTAATTTATGACTTTAAAACAATATTTTGCATCCGCGAAAGAAAAATATAAAAGTTCTACTTTGTATTTTAAGTCAATTTCAATATTTTAGAGACCGTTTCTCATTTTTTTATAGGAACATGTAAATGCGAATATACCTTATAATATTTGTTGAAATTTTACTAGGCCTAGCATTCTCGTTGGATAACTTAAAATTTTTTATCTGTCTAGAGGTTATGAAATTTATGATTCAGTCAGAACAGGGGTCAGAGTTGGTCACTGAATAATGAAGTAAACACAGTCATATTGCTTTTTCTCAGTGCTATTATGCAAGAGTCAATGATGACATCTTTCGCTCGTGTTTATTTTATTTCGTTTGTTTTTTTGTTACGCATCTTTATGTGGAACATATGTAACGCCATACAGTTATTCAATGTATGCTCTCGAGGGAAATGGTGAGTTTTGTTTTGAAACATTGCATGTGAGATTGGAGGAAAATTATTTCCAGAGAGAAAATATAATAATTGCTTTGTTTCGTACAAGAAAAAAGATGAGAAATTTTGTCAGCTCTTCAATAAAATTAACGTGTTTTGGAGGGAGATTTGTTCGGCGAAATTTCGTTTCAGACTGCTTAAGGGTAACCACGTGTTTTCTGAATCTTTTTTCCTATTAGCTAATAGATGAATTTTGTTGTTTATCAAGCTCGAGAAAAGTTTTTTAGTTTCGGCTCCATAGCTGTTTTATTTTTTATAATATTAAAATGAACAAGAAAAAAATTTTCACCGATGCACGCTGTTATCATGGTAGACATTTTCTCATTCATTTGTTCCTGACATAGAAACGTGTGCATTTGGCAGGAACCATCAATCATTTATATCATAGTTATAACATAATCTACGATTTTCCATTTGCTTGAAATTCAATTTTAATGTGTTATAGTTGATATTATAAATGCATCAAAATATGTGAGTATGATTTACTATAGAAGTGCACAAAATTTACTTCTTGTTTGACGTCTTAATGGCTTTGATCGCTTACTTCGACTGCTGCTTGCATCTGTGTCTTCTGTCGACGATGAATCAGACTCTCCAAGCACTCTTCGAACTTCGGAAATCTTAAGCAAAAATTATTTAAGCGTTCACATTGCATTCTGAGAGAGTTTATCTCTAATGTAACATGAGGATTAGACAAACATGAAAAGTCAAGTGAAAAAGTTTTACTCGGACTTTCTTGACTGATTCTGCCAAAATAATTTTTCAAGGTTAGTTTTTAAGCATTGGTAATTTGCTTCAATTACTCATTAAATTATCATAACTTAACAATCAAATGATTTGTGCATTGAAATATCTTTAAGCTTTTTAAATTATTTTCAAACGTAGAGGGAATAGTGGCACTGAAAAACGACATTCAAACTTTATGTCGTCAACGTCTTTTAAACTTTTCAATTTAGTCCATCAAAATGTGCTCTGCTGCCCATGCTGTTAAACTAATTTCACATGAATATAGCTTACCTCAATTGTAGTGGAACTGCTTTCTTCTTTTTCGTGCTTCAAACGTTCTAATTGTTCCTAGTAATAGTTTTTTGAATAGACTTAAATTTTGTGCTTTATAACGGCAAGTTTGCAATGCGCATTAGCACTCACCATTTTCTTTTCAAGTCTATCGATACGTTTCCTCATGGCAACCTCTTGAGCAGTTTTAAAAAATAATTCTTGGGAACGCTTTCTAATCTGAAGAAGAACAAAAAATTTTCGTGAAATTGTTTACAAATTTAGTATGAAGACAAAAGCTAAAGAAAGACAAGTTCAAGTGACTTTGCTTTTACAATGTATGTATGCCATTGAGTTTGAAAATAAACTCAGAAAATTAAAAAAGAGCAAATTTAAGTTACTAATTGCCATAAATACTTTTCAAAATAAATCCGATAATTAGTTGTACGCATAGCTGTGTGAACATGTTTCTGCATTCCATCCATGTAAAAAAATACATATGCATGCGGAAAAATTTTATGAAGGGCCAGGAAAGCGAAAATTTTGCCATTTAAGTTGTTTTCATTGAAGAAAACTCTTGGCTAAAAACCTAACGATAATTCTCAATTTTTTGCCACCCACAAAATGTTGAAAATTATTTATAGATGACGTAATTTTTTATGTGACAGCAATTATCACTTCGTCAACTTTTTGAAGAAGAAAGTTATTTTTTTTGTATTAAGTTTTCTCGCTTCTCTTCCCTCATACCTAGTTAATTTTCATTAAAACCTAGTTCATTCTCAATGTAACCTAGTTTTTACTCACTAGTTAGCTACTTCACGAGAGTTCTTTATGAGGTTTTAGGTGGGAAAGATGAAAGCTAAAAGCAAACTTTATTTAAAGTCGAAGCTCGGAAAACTCTACAGACTCCGTACAAAATAGTTTGAAAGCTTTTGCATTTGTAATTGAAATTCAAAAAATTATCGAATTTGGCTTCGGCATAGTATCATTTAGAGCTCGTCAAGATTATCTGCCTCAGCTACACTTTGAAAATATGATTGAACTCGCGGCCTGAATAATTCTTGATACCATACTCAACTTCACCCAATAATGTTCAGTTTGCGTTAAAAATTTTACAATTTGAAGTTAATAACTTACTCTGTCATAGTTAGCCGCGAGTGCAATAGTTTCTTTCTTCTTCGCTTCAGACATTAATGCTTTTGTATTTTTTCGTCTGGTTAAAATGCTGACTTTGTTACTCGAAAGTTTTTGTTTACCCCATACTTGAACGACAAGAGGTTTGCATTCCTTTGTAATGCTGTCAATAAACTAAAACAAAAAAAATATATACAAGACCAGCGTCGTTTAGCTGACAGCAAACTACTGTATCATGCATCTAATAAACTTGACCACATGTAAAGTTGACTGGCTGACTGAAGCAATTTTTTTTGCGATTATTGTATATAAATGATGAATCGTAGTTTGAGGGGTCAAGGCTTCTTACAAGAGATTGTTTTACGAAAAAATGTTAGCAAATATATCAATATAAACTAAGGGCTTAATGTGATTAATGCAAAAGGTGAAATAACAACAGCACAAGGTTTGAAGACATTTACCTTTTTTGAGCAAGGGTTAATCGATACTTTTTCCATGTGGAAGAAATCTGGATTTGTTTCTCCAGGGAAGCATTGAGTATTATGGAGCATCGAGTCAAATAGCGAGTACTTGCAGTAAACATCCTTTATAGAGAAAGTCAATGAACTGGTATGTTAAGTAACGAGTAAAACTATAAAAATGCCTTAAAAATAATTGAAAATGTCGAGTTAAAGAAAACGTGTATCTCATATGTCCAAAAATGGCATGCAGACAGTAAACCAGGTAATGTTTTCATTCCAAACACAAAATTTTCTTAAAATTTATGAACGCTAGTCATAATTCTGGGTCCTGGTGCATGCACGAAAGGTAAATGAATCACCATCCAACAGGAAACTCCACTCCCTTCAAAAAAAGATATTTTATCCAATCCGTAAGTTGCGTGGCACATGAAAAACTTGAAAAACTTGGCTCAAAATAAACTTTCCATGCATATAGCTACTGAAATATTTTAATTTTTACAAAATGGTAAAAGAAACGCAGATCATTTAAAGACAGATGTAAAGACAAAAAAACAGTAAAAGAAAATCGTTGATCAAAAAATCTTTTAGTCTCTACCAAATTCAAAAAACATAGTGACCCCACAGTGACCACAACTAACGAGATTATTGCTATGCATTTTTTTTCACTAGGTTGCAATGGATAAGAGAACTATCCTCCGGATAAGAATTATCCATTAGATAAAATATCTGCCATTCGTGCAACCGCTTCATCGTGTAAAACTACACACATGTTCAGTGGCGTAGCGAATAATTTTGGCGGGTCTGAGCATCAAATTTGAAGACAATTTTGGCATGGCACTCTCATGATTTGAACGTAGTTACCAAAAACCGGAGATACAATCTTTTCAGACAGAATGATTGGAAGGTCTGGAATCCCCAACCCACCCCCGATCGGGACGCATTTGTGTGGCCTGTGAAACCGACATTTTGCACACTGCTAATTATCCCTATGCACGTCTAGTCGATGATTGTCTGTATAGAACTCTACCAGGAAATGAAGCAGTTAAACATACTGTATATTTCTTTGGTATTCCTCTTGCAGTTGCAATCTTCATAACAAATTCGAAATTCTTGCCAATCTATTTATACGAAAATAAACCTTACAAGAAAACTAATTCATGAAAATATTCACAACGTTAATAGAGTTTGTAGGCAATTTAAGGTAATGCATATTTGCCAGAGCGCGAAAACAAGCATTCCATAGCAGACAAATACTTATATTTTCTTTTGGGGAAACATCTTCAGCATGCATGCATTCATCTCAACGTTCTTCAAGATTTTGTGAAATTTATCTACCTACCAAACTTTCTGGGTCCACTACTGATGTATTATCGTTATCTGTTACTTCACTGCCATCCTCTTTTATTGGCACAACTGCCATCTAATTAAAAAAATTAAATAAAGATTCAACTACTTTTTCAAAATAATCAAGCTCATAAAAATAAAGAAAAAACATGAAGCAACTTTAAACTGACATTTCTTTTTTGATAACGCTTTTTTGTACAATTATATTTTCACTCGTTATAGTCGATCCTTAAAATAACGTGCAAGCAAACGCTGTCAAAATGTTCTCTCAACATGCTCTCAATATTGTTTTGCGTTTATTGAATGATTTTAAGTGTTGTGTGTAAACGCTCTCAACATGTTGAGCCTTAAAATGATAAAACATAAGATGATGAGATGAAATTTTCCACAAGGCTTACCACCTGCAAAACATAGTTACATGTATACGGCTGTGTGAGCAACTACATTACAACGATATGCTTTACACAGTGCCCATGCCTTTTTTGCTCAGCATTGTTGAGTCTATTGCCCAATGGCCCAAACGAATTTCTATCTCATCGAAATGTTATATATCGTATTTTGGTAGTCTTTGAAATCAGCTGGTATATATATTTTCCATTTCTGTTTTAGTCAAACTAGCATAATTGCAGTAATCTTATAAAGTTGAAATTTTTAGACAAACTCTATTTCATTTTTAAATTTCATTTAATAAAACTTACAAATTATTATTTTTTCTTTAATCGATGTATTCAGAAAAAATCACTTTAGAATAGCCTTACGCTAGAGTCCCCCCTCCTTGCCCTGTTGTCTTTCCGGCATCCCTGATATTTTTTATAATAATTAGTGGTTTTGGCAAACATGCTTTTCCTGAAAGAATATTTTACTCTTTAAACTATTTTTCAATAATGAAATCGGTTATGTCTAAGAAAAGTGTGAGCATTTAGTCACATAAACTATAATTTACATTCCACCCATAAGTACGCAACGTTTTAACAAACTATAAATTAAACATCTCCAGTTTTGAAACTTTTCACAATATAATACCATATATTACAATATATAAAGAACAATATAAAAAACAATAACATTTTATCGACATATGTATTATGCTAAGAGTTAGCAAATTTTTCGAAAAATATTTACTCAGTCTGTATCTTACTCTTATGCGGCCAACTTCGTTATCTCTGTAATCAATTACAGTAAATGTGTTTTCGTGTAATTTTACCTAGAATTCAGAGGATAAACTATTTACGTATCGATGAGAATAATTAAAACATGACAATCAGAACAATAATTTCACATGTTGAAAAACGGTCAAATCGCAAAATTCAGAAATCTTGCTATGCCGAATCAACAATGATAACGGAAACATTATTATACCAACTATTCTCATGTTTAAAGCCTACCATGTAGCAGATTGACTCCAAATAAACTTCGACACAACCAATCAGAACCTCAGTGGTTTCTGATTCTATGAATGGGTCAAGTTCATCAGGAAGATCCCATTCATGTCCTTCTTCATGATATCGATACATTTCTTGCATTAAGTCTTTTCGATTGATAAACTTTTTTATAGACCACATCCACTCGAATCTCGACTGAAGATTTGTCATTATAACAAACACCTGAAATCGGCAAGTGACGAGGCTTCATTGTGTACGCTCTCATCAGAATTTTATTTAGAGTATTTCAAATGTGGCCTTCACACAGTGAAAATCTTTAAATAACGATAAATTTACAGTGGCTTAAAAATACAGGGACACCAGAACACCTATAGTTAGGGAAGAGGCATAATATTCGTACATTCGTATTCACAGCTCTTGAAAAACAATTCATTCAAAAAAACATCAAAAAAACAGGCAAAACACGCATGTTTCAAAATTTGTTCCCCCCCAAAAAAAAGTTGTCGACGTTCTAGCGTCCCTGAAAAAATATTCAAAGGCTCAAAAGTCGTGATTTCTTAAGCAAATACTAGATTATTCAGTATGTGCTAGATGAACAAGCCATGGTATTTAATAAAAGTATGAAGAATGTTCATTTCTTGGCATACCTCAGGATGCCCCATAACAAGTCTTCTTAATTTATAAGATAGTACACCTACTTCATATTTAACCTTAAAATAGAATGATTGTAATAATAACAATTATAATCATGGACAAAATAGTAACGTAAAAATTCATTTCTTTTTCTTGGGAGAGAAGGATACCTTTTTATCAAGTTCCTCGCTGATTGCATTTGCAAGTTCGGTCATTGGAAAAATGTCAATTACTTTCTCTTGTATTAGAAGGTCGTCTACATAAAATATAGTCAAAATAGAAAGGTTTTGTTATTGTATGTATACGTAGAGTATGGAGCGTTTTTGCTGAGAAAAATTCACATGTTAACCATTTTTTGAAAAACAACAAGCCTTAACAAAAATACAACAAAGAACGATCAAGATAAACGCAAAAATTTTTGTTTGAAAATACTAAATACAAAAAAAGATAGTTTGCTAGATCACTGTTAATAGATTTTTGCATTGATTTTGCTAAGTAAAACGAGGATACATGCAGGAAAACTGTTCGAAAAAAAGAGTAGGAAAATGCAAGATCTTTGAGCCGGGAGAATATGAAATCCTTTCCGATTCCTGTTACTTTATAATAATTTACTTGAAAAGCCCAAAATCATGTTTTTAAAAGTTTAAATTGACCTTTTGACACATCAGAGCTCTTGTAACACACATTGCAAAAGTTAGAAGCAATTTCCTTTTGAGCAATTGCATAATCGACTTCCTCGACTTCAACGCCTTCTATAATGGCCATAGCAATCTCTTGCGGATGATAAAATACGTATAGTTGATTGGTACCAAACATTATCCTGGATATACAAGAATTGTAAAAGTATCAAAATATGAGAAAATAAGAATTTGAAAACATTGAATAGATGAAACTATTGATAACGTTTCAATTACGAACAATATTTTAAAATAAAAACAATAAAACAGATGAGTTGATAGGTTAAAACTGAGTTTGCATTAGCCTGAGCAAACCGTTCTGAGCTAGATCAGTTAGCTGAATCAACAAAGATAACTTGCAAATCAATCATAAATACATGTCAGAAGAAAAGATCTCCTAGGTTTGCATAAGCCAGTGCAAACACAGTAAACATCTTTTATATTTTTTAAACAAAAGCCTGTACGAGCTAGAAACCATTTAAGAATTATTAAATAAAATGTAAAAATATTTAACAAAAATATTCCCCAGTGGAACCTTTTACATTAATACCGACGCTCAAAAAGAACAACTCAGTCTTTGTCTAGTCATCTTGGATAGTGATTGCTATCATCTGCACTAAAGCAGGCAGGATGCTCTATTATCATTAAATACTATTATTTTTAATTTTTTATACTTTATATCTCTAACGTTTTGGCACTTTGTCTCAGTGTTACTCAAATGAAGCTTACTCTTAAGTAGATCTTTGTGACTGCTTGGGTATAAAAGACACACAAAAGTAAGCTATTGGGTCACAGTTGAAAGAATTCACAGAAGAAATAATTTTCTGAGGTAATCAAAGACCTCAGGGCAGAGCAAGCTGTACCTCCCTCACCCAATTCCATTCCAATAATGTTGTCTCCATTTTCAATATTTGAAGTACGTTTGACCAATTTCTGCAGCTTTAGCTTGTAAAAGCGCAACCCCCCCCAAAAAAAATATGCTTGGTGGTCCTTGGAAATTCAGGATGTAAATTATAATTGCTACGAATGACCATTGTAAAACAGTAATTCCTTGTTGCACTAACAACACAGAAGTCTATTATAAAAGTTAAGTGTATTTTTTCAGTCAACACAAAACAAAATAGAATGAGGTTAATCTCTTTTAATTGTTCATACCCTTTTACCTGTCGTTATGATGTAGTATAATACTCTCTGTTACAGGTTCTCCATTTACAAGAAGTGCAGAACTACCACAACTTTGAATACTATTGTCGTTGCCCATACATGTTATAATTGCGTGATTCTTTTTAATTCTACAATTAGATCATTGCTTGATTTTAGCAACAGGTAAAACTATTACATTATTCATGGCAATCAGGCATTGTTTGACTGCAGCATTACTGCATTATTGTCAGATGATATAAAAGAAGATTACAAGGACTGCAGAAAGCCAATAATTGAGAGAGTAATATTCATATGAGCAAATTGTGACTACGTTTACAATGTATGAATATAAATTTAGCGCAACTCACCCCTTTCCAGTATTTAAGAGTGTTTAGAAAACAAAACTAAACTATGGATTAGTCAAACTACAAGCTTAGTTTTCTCTTTCACAGACAAATATGACTTAAATCTCGGGAAAACCACTTGAGGACGTGTTGTTTTATTATTATCAACATTTTCCACCGCTATTTTATTTCTCAACACGTCATTTTTGGCATTAATATACATAAATTGTAGAACGTATGAAAAAAACACGCACTTTAGTCCAGTTAACGTTATCTCAGGGACAGGATCAGCTTTTTCACTTCCAACAAGATTATTGCCTGCAACAAATAATAATAAACTGTCATTTACACATAACACCCTATAAGAAAAATACGGTGGCATCCATTGTAACGTTAAGAAGATGATTGCACAAGATTTATGATAAGAAACACGCATTTGTATCACGAAAGGTTCAGATTAAAGAATTTTCTTGTTGTTAAGTATGTGCATGAAAGTAGGTTGTGCAACTTAAGTGTTTTAAATCATTCCATAGCTTTGGACAGTAACTATGTACCCGTTAATTATATGACGAGAAAACGACTAAAAATCCGACACTTGTGTTTTAATATAACCTGTTGCAGTCCCAATTTCTTCTCTTAAATCAAAAAGCATATTTTGCAGTTGTTTGTAGTTTATAAGGCTTTATTACTGACAATCATAAAAAAACCGAACACCATATAAGGTCGTTTTAACATAAACGTTGGAAAAGTCACTGCATGAGCAGCATCAAGTCTTTAAATTGAACTTTTCTTGATCTATTTCTAGTTTCCATCCGAGTTTAAACTTACTTATTTCTGAGCCTATTGAAACAAGGTTGAATATTGATGTTCGTGTTTGCTAATTTTTTTTAAAATAAAGTTTTTTCATCAACTGGCCTATATAATTGATTTTTGGAAGGGTAGAAGTATGAATTGTAATCAGCAGTGTCACTGCTAATCAAACATTGATGAGCCTATTTAAAGATTTTACCTGGTTTGAGAAGATAATAAATCATTCCTGATAACTGTGGATCAGCATTCAAATTCCATATATGAGGAGTTTTTTGTTGCTCTTCCTTCTTTGCCATTTTTGTCTACAAGATAACAAGTTGACTATGAATAACTTAGAGAATGGAATTTAGAAGAATTTAAAATAAGAATAAATCGGTAGACAGTGCTTTTTAAGTCTTGATTGACAATGATATGGACTATATAGAGAAGCAGATGATGCATTTTAGCAGGATTCATTTTACGTGAAGTAATATATATACAAAAGTAATATAAGCAGTAAAGTAAAGCTAGTGTAACAACTTTCATGGCAGGCTGCAAATATCCATAGCGATTTGTTGTGCATCTTGCTTTCTCGTTTACAAGTAGAAGATATCTCATCGCAAACGTATGTCGTTTTATTTTCAAATGCTATGCATGAAATCTGGACTTTAAAAACAGAAATTCGACCTTTGTTCATAACATTTTACAATAAACTTAACCATAAATTCTAAGTATCATAAAACTAATGCCATTATAATTAAACTAGATTGAAAATAAGTAATTTACTATGTTTCTACAAACAGGTCAGAAATGTGTGAAATAAAAAATGCAACAATCCCACCCATACATCTGCGTCATCAACTATTTTTCTTGTTAATTTTCCACAGGTAGCATGCATTATTCAAATCGTGATATGACACTTTCCCATCAATTATATGGTCAGGTCAACTATAATACAAATATATGAAAATAATGTAAAATAGCCTCCGTATACAAACCTTACGAGTGATCTCAATTTTTTTCAGTTTCGATAAATTTTCTTCTCTGTGGTCTTTCTCTAGATTCATCTACATACAAAATATCAAACTCAAACAAAGGCAACCAAGTATCATTGGCAGATTTTAGTTAAGGATATGAACTTAACTGCTTGTAATCTTTCGATTCGACTTTTTAGCATTCCTTCCTGAATAAGAAAATATTTGCACTTTGATTAGCTTAGAAACATTCTTACCCGTAGAAAGATTCATTTTTCACAAGTAAGCAGTTACGGATGACGGAAACCAAATTTCTCTTGATAAAAAATATGATTTTTCAAAGCTTTAAAACATTTAAACTTGAGAGTTCTATATGTGCAAAAGGATGTCGTACTTAATTCTAGCTGTTCGTAAAGGTTAAAATGAGCATAAGTATACCAACTAGTCTCTGTGACAAGCCTCGAATGCAAGATAAATCTTATGGCAAATCATAAGCAGAATATCAAAATTAGTTTATTATTTCTTTTATTAAAACATATTTTACCCGCCGTTGAAGCTCCTGAATGATTTTATAATCAGTGCCATAACCAACAGCAATGAAATCTTTAAGAAAGTATTTTACGACATTAACAATTCATGACAAAACATTCAAAGAGACACTTTATAACTACAAATGAAACGTAAAATTTGTTAGATAATGAATATTTCTCAGGATAATATTGGCCATCCATCTTCTCCTCATGCACTTTTCTTTATTTGATTTAAAATGGTGTGTCTTTCACCTTACTTTACTCAAACAAAGCCCATTTTGAATCCCAAGTCAAAAAATCTTTCGAGAATTTTATGAGTCCCTAGACTTTTTACAACATCTTTACTTTAGAAAAAATAATACAATACTTCAAGTTTACTGTTATCCTTATAATGTTATACACACACTGGCACAATTTTAAAGAATTACATCTCTTTATCTGTCGCACATCTAAAATCCCGACCTTTTGTGATTGTTAAGCATCTTAATTCTTTTACCTGTTATGAACATCTTGCTTGAATTTTCCTCTAACTCATCATCATCATCATCATCATCATCATCATGATCTTGTTCATGTTTTTGAACTTGTAATGACCTATTTTTTACTAATTGAGCAGCTTGTATGCTCTCCAGTAGCATTTGTCTTTCTTCTTTAAGTTCACCGAGTATTTTTCCTATGGGATCATTGTTGATGGTTACTCTTCCCTTGATTTTCTTTGCACGATCAGCTAATTCATATGATAAACGACAGATATGTTAAGGGAATAAGCATTTAACACAAACCTGTGAGCAAACACGCTATACCATTGAGCGAATTAAGAGTTAAGACTTTATTGATCTGACTTTTGACGAGAAAGAATCGGGCATGCATCTTGAAACATGGTCATGCATGTTCATCAAAAATATACAAATATTTAAATATAGTTATTGAAAGAATTTTCAAAAAACTTCGAAAATTCTTTCTTTCAGCTTCTAAAACGATATTTAATGTATTAAGTTAAAACTATTTTTGATGAGCAAGACAGCAAATCAACAGCATTAATTTAATGTAAACAAACCACATTGTAAAGTTGATAAAGTTTCATCGTAGTTACTATCTGACGGACTTATTGCAGCAATCTTTAAAAAAAAACAATTATTAGCACATGTATATGTTATGAAAAGATCTCCCAATGATCAGTTGTGATCTCTCTGTTATCTCGCATCGATTTCCTCCAGTACCCCTACAATCTCCTGTGAACTTCCTACGCTTTGCTGTAAGTTTCTTGAAAAATGATCCCTCGACTCTTTTAGATTAAACCATGCTTTAAAATGAATAATATTTACCATGATTGTTTTACTATTCCCGCCGAGCACATTTTTTAATAGTTTGGTAAGAGCAGAGCTATCGTATGGCACTATTATAACAAGAAATTTATTAATAGATTAAGATATCAAATGTAGCTACAGATACAAAAACACAAAAATGCTAGACTTCCATTATGGTTAGAAATAGTATAAAATCAATTACACCAGTTCAGTTTTAAATTCAAACTACTCTTGTGACTTTGGTATTTTATTTAGTTTCCAATCAAAAATCCTACCAATAGAATTGCAATAAAGTTTTTTGAAATATATTTATAAAATAAAACAATAAAAACGCGTGCGCGGTGATTATTCTATGTGTGTGTTTTCTTTAGCTTATGCAAGTTGATCTAAGCTCATTTCAATGAGTCAAATCAATAAAAGAGCAGTTATGATTACTTTGGTATTGGGCTTGCCCTGATCTGCTTTCAAGTTCTCCCAAATGTCTCCTCATGAGTTAGCATAAGTCCGTGAAAACACAGTTAATATCTTTTATTTCTTAAATGAAAGTGTAATTGTTGGAAATATCATTACAAATGCTTTCTATTTTTTGAAATATAATTAGAATTGCCAGCAGATTTGCCATAAAATGTTTTGACAAGTATTCAAACAAAAAAATGAGCTGTTTAAATTTAGTTTTCCTAACTCTGGATCTGTTACAGAGAAAAATTAGAGTGTTTCAAAGTAGGTATCATAGACAGAAAGTGGTCGCTGGAACACTACGCATTCTGTAACATTATTGAAAAAGTCCCTTGCATCCCTGTCTAAGTTGTCTTCTAAGGGTGCATGAAGGAGTGCTCGGGTTTTGATAAAAAATTTGTCTCAACATTAACGAGACTATGATATTGCAATAATCATAATATTAACAATGTTTTACATAAACTTGTTTCAAGACAACAGTCTTTAAAACTTTGTTTACCTGTTACATCCATTCCTTCAGATTTTTTAACAAGATCTGGAATGTGAAAAGTACAATTATTTAGATTGACTTTATTGTTCAAAAAGCATGCGCATTGTTTGTATAATGTTGCAGTTTCTTAGTGGACAACAAGTAATAGGGCTTGTTAACAAAGTTTATAAAAATATATGACATGAGTATCAATTTTCATATTTCGGATTATAATTCAAATGAATTATATCTCTTGATTAATTTTGTGCACAGTCACGGTTTCACTTCACATAATTAAATAATTATTTTTCATTAGAACAATGATTTTAACTCTCACAGTGGTTATAATGAGGTGTAAGGATATTCTAAAGCTGGTATAAAGTATATATACTTTACCTGCCATAACATCTCCCAATGATGACAACGATAGATTAATAGCAACTTTTTCTTTCACTCGATCATCCATAGCACCATTCACATCCATGGTAATATCAGAAAGTTCACTACAAAAACGATATTATCACTGATCATTAGTTTAATCATTCCTGCTCTTTTATTAATTTCAAGAAGAATTTGCTGACGAAATGTCGAACACATTGCACATGAGTAATTGGCTTCGAACATTTAAACCAAAACAGAAATTTTGCATGAGTGTACAGCAGATCAGTAGCGGATCTAGCGTAAGTCAAAATAAATTACTGCAGCACATTTTGGCATATATTTACATTTTTAAGTACCAAACCATTGGTATAATTATATTCTTTAGAAATTCAAAACCAATAGTGTTTTTCTGAAAAAAAATTAAAATTAAAATTGCGCAACTATAGTTTATTTTGACGAACGCTGGGCCGCTTTTGCAGTAGATTATTGTGAAAGATACAATGAATGAAGGTGTAGCTATATGGATTGTGTACCTTCCAGCCAAGTCGATCATTTTTATCATCACTGTTTTCACTATTTCTATTTCTGCTTCATTCTTTTGTTTTTTCATAAATGTTATCTCAGCTATAGTATGAGCACGACTAAATAACAAAATAATAATTAAAGTGTCCCTTATGATTGAAAACTCAGCGTTACAAGGGAAGTGAAAAAATTTCATCGATCTTCAATAATTGCTATATAGTCTTTGAAAAACTCGCTCGTGCATGTTTGTTTGTAAATGTAAAAACTCAAAAACTATACTATTACCTATACTAATAATAAATACATGAAAAAATTTCCTAGATGCATGAGATTATTGTGGATGAAAAAGTACAAAATTCCCTAGATACTTTGACCCGCCAAAATTTTCAAATTAAAATTGCCTTTTATCCACTGGGCGCAGACAAAGTTTTTATAGCGGAAGATAAATTAAAAAACCCCAAATATGCAATGTGCTCTATCATCTATATTGATATTTAAAATAGATTTTGTTTTCAGTTCTTTATCAGATGATAAAATTAAGTTTTTTCAGTTCAATTTCTATGTTTTTGAAAACTGACCTGCTAGTAATATTCTTGTTTGTTGCAGCAATGGAACGATTTCTGATTCCCTCTTCTATTTTATCTTTAATATCATAATAACTTACGACGGGTAAAATATGCAATCCTTCGACAAAAAATCCTTCTTTTGGATTCTCTTGTATTCTCAACCCATCCTGTTTGATGTTGCTTGGATTTAACAAATCGTGCACTTTTTCGTTGTAAATTTCAAGCATACTGAACTGAACCTACACAAGAGAAAATTCTGATCATCAAAATTGTCAGATATAAGAACTTTGAAGTAATATCCTACAGAAACCAGATTGGTTTAACTAAATCAAGGTTTACCTGAGAATTGGTAGGTTCAATTAACTGATCTATAGAACGACTTACACGTCTATATTACATAATACAGTTGAATGGTCTTATATCATCATTTTATATACGTCGCGCTTGTAGGCAGAATAATCCTAAGCAGGATAATCATTGTTGGTTGTGTTGTCTTAAAGCACTAGACCAAATCTGTCTGCCAGCAAAACGTAAACACGGTTTTATTATACTATAGAGTCTCGGTTGTCGTCAGAGTATTGTCCTAGCCGTTTATTTATTTCAAATTTCAGTAAAAATGTTTCTGTATTCACTTATTGCAACACAATAAATTTTAAAGAAATTAATAAATGTTCTGAAATTTATATACTTAGTACCAGGATTAAAACTGGCGGACAACGGCCACTTCAATGGTTGTTGACATATTCTTGTCATAATAATACATTTATCTAAAAATGAAACGTTTATTGTTGTATAGATAAAAACCTCAAAATTAGCAGCTACTCCATCGTTGTCACTTTTTTTTATCTTTTCAAAAATTCCTTCGCAAAACATTGGAAGAATACCTGAAATTACGATAGTTGACACACAGTATTAAAAAACATTGCATATATAAATGTCTGCAGGGTAACAATCATTTAATGGTAAAAAAAATTGTAAAAAATTCTTTAAACAACTTTTGCTGTTTTCACAAAACAGATTTTTTCTAATCATATACATGGCTTCAGTCCATAGTTGACGGATGAGGTTTTGAATAGAATAGAAGATATACGAATTATTTAGCCACATTCCTACATTATAATGTACAAAACCTTTGTTTGGACCATATCCGAAAATAGACCAAGATTTTCCAGAACCACTCTGTCCGTAGGCAAATAGTGATGTGTTATGGCCTGCCCAGACATTGTTCAACATAAATTTACCAAGGTCGTTGTAAACTTTATTCTAAAATATTGGATGTATAACGACTCAATGATTAAAATCCTGATTTTCGAAGCAATTAGCTAAATTAATGCCAAAAATTAGACAAAAACTTTAAACATTTTCCTTTGAAAGAAATCAATTTTGAATTAGTGTGTACAAACAGGTATATTTCTCTCAATAATTAATACATTACTATCTCAAAAACCATCATTATCCTGCTTCCGGATAGAGCAGTAACAGCCGTTTGCATTGTGATTGCAGAAAAATTTTCCACCTTGTCAACAGACGGAGACAAACTTCTTAGGGGCTGTTCACATGAGCCCGGTAACCGGGAATCAGCGAAGAGTGAAATGATTTTAAGTCATTGAAAGAAGTAAAAACTTTAAGCACACAACTTACAGTCTTTTTTTTAGGATCATAAGTCATTTTAATCGTGATTTTTAATTCAGGCTATAAGTTATTTGTTTTTATTTTAAATGTTTTGTGAATTTACAAAGTCAGAGCATTAAAGAAATTGCTCAAATACTTTTTTTGTTTTGAAGTGTCGATTCTTTTCCATTTTCCAAAATGATTGAACGACTCGCTGAATCCCGGCTATCGGGCTCATGTGAACAGCCCCTTAGAAAGCTTGATAGCAACTAAAAAGTTATTGTGGTGATTGTGATGGTTACGTTAACTGAAATTCATACATCATGTGCATTGGAAAGACTCTTACATACAAAGCCATGCTAGAAATTAAAGAAATACATTTTATGTTAAAGCATTTTATAGTGTCTTGTAACTACTGAGTGCAGAATCTAAATAAGTCATATTCCTGCGGAACGGCAAATTACGTACCTCTTACCCCGATTTGTTACATGTTTTGTCGCTCAATCTACCCTCTCCCCCCTCCTCCCCTTCCGCAAAAAACAATTTGCTTATGTAGCCTAGCTCTCTCCTTAACACAAAACATTCATACCTGGTCAGCATAATGAGGGTTAGTCGGCCTTAAATATCCGGACTCATTTTCCTCAAATCCATCGTGGGACCAAAAACAGTGGTCAAAAGTAAACTCACATGGCGGATTATTGGGTGCGTTAGGATCATTGATTGTGGTTCTTTTTCCATCCATCTGAATAATAAGACCCGCTTTTCGTGCCTTTTCTCTTTTATTGTATGGTATGGTTAAGGAAGACGGAGTTATTTACATTTGTACATTGATATGTGTTTACAGGCAACTGTTTAAATAAAAAGTTGAAAAATGTTGAATATTATTTGAATTACTGAAACGTCTGATTCCAGCATGGCACTTCATGTAAGTTAACTTATTTCCCAAATTGTCTCAAAATGAAGTAAACGCACTAAATATACCCAGTATTGGAACATATTATAGTGGTTTTCATGTATGCAGTGCTGTCAAACTCCTACCAAAAGAACATCATTTGATTTTATCGTTATAAGTTGACATGGTGGAAGCATTTTCCTACTTTGCTATTCCTTTAGCAATGCATGAAAACAAAGAAAGGTTACATGAGATGCCAGGCATACTTTCATGTTGATGCAGCATAATTGAAGAGCTTTTCATATTATTTATGAATTGTAAACTTGCTCTAGATGCCTAAGAGGTAGATCCTACAGACAAAAGAATGATGAAAGTATTTCAAGAAAGAGCTAACTCTTGTTATTGGAATATTTATGTTCAATGCTTCTCAAAAAATGCTTTTATACTTTGCGTTTTCTGAAGGCATAATTTTGCGACGAACTTGTCATCGTCTTCAATTATCAGATATCGTCATCAGAGTGATTGCTAAGTTATTCATCGAGCTGCACTATTATCAATTCAGGATAAGTTCAAGATTAAAATCGTTGTTTTTGCTGATGTTCATTGTAGTAGGACAAACGATATAAATACATACAAAAACTATTAAGCTCTTAAATATCGCAAAGGATCAAAACAATCTCAAGTTGTTTAGACGTGCAAGCAATATTCAAATAGTAAAATTACTTTTCGATGGGCTTGAAAACTACTTAGACAGGTATTCACAGTCTTACCTTGAAGGCAAATACAGCCGTCTTAAGCTCAAAGCAAACAAATTCATGCATTTATCTCTTAATCTAAAGGATATGAAAGGCCGCACTCGTACTGCAACCTTCACATTTTCTATGATCGTGTTTGACTTTTCTGCCATCACCAATAATTATTCAACCTCAAAAACGTCTCAAAAACGACCACTTATTATCAAATATAGATTTTACAATGAAAAACTCGTTTAAGACTCCAAAGCTTCGTCAGTTTAATAAATCAAAGTGGCTACAGAGTCTATAAAAACGGCTGCAACCCCTATTTGCATAATAGCCACTGCAAATCAGCAAATCATTATCTGTGTAAATATTTATTCTCCTGGGCTTTTAAAATAAATTCCAATTTTATACGTTGATATGCAGAGCATGACCGAGAATATTCCACGACAGAACTTCGAGACTTGATTTACGAGCAAATGCAAAGTCCTATACAAAAACAAGAAACCGTTTAAATATAAAGAGTAGAATAAATAAAAATGTGACCAACTGCAAATTGCAGAATGTAAAACCTAAGCATGAAAATCAATTGTAATTTTTTGAGGGATTAATTGCTGTTGAATCATGTAAATTCTAACTTAAAGTGTTTTCAAAGGGTGGTGCCCTTTTGATGTACCTAATCATGACATAGAAGAAAAACGGGGAGATATTAGCCCCTGGGGGATTTTGGAAGGCAGTAAAAAATGACACTATGAGTCTACGACATACAATACAACGGAAAGTTAATAGAATGTAGTGAGTAAAATTGGAAACTGTAAGTCGAGTTAGTGTTTCTAACATATAAAATGCTTTGATCACATTTGAGGCCACCAAAAAATGTTAGCTAACATGAATCATTTACGCAGTCCCCCCCCCCTGAATCAAGTCATCAGAGTCAAAACTACAGCGCTAATTGCACATTTAAAGATAATCAGTCCAACAAAGCTAAATATTTGGGCGTTCTGTTTTCGGGCTTGTAAATCCTCTTAAAGCTTCCTGTTCTCCATCATCCATTAAATTCAAGATTGTGTCGTATATCACGTCAAATATTTTTTCATGAAAATTTGCCATTGTTTAAGCCGATTGATTATATACCTTTCCGACTATCAGCAACATATCGTTGTGTGATAGCTATCTCAGGCGGGCGAGCCAATAAAACATGGAAATTACACAACTTGATAAAATGCTACTGCACACACTTAGACATCAAACTATTTTTTTCATCTTTTAAAATCAAAAATCACTTTAGCTTCAAAGATCCTATTCCAACTCTTTTAAAGTCCAACGTGGTTTATGAATTTTCTTGTGCTGGATGTAATTCCAGTTACATTGGGGAGACCACTTGCTTCATTTCCACATGGATTAAAAAACACACAACCACGGACAGAAACTCACACATATTCAGACACTTGCTTTCGTCACCACACTGCACACACAAATGACACAATCTTGTTTCCGTATCTTAGACACCACTCACACTCCTTTCGCCCTTAAACTCAAAGAAGCCGTTTATATCAAGAAACGTAAACCTAACCTCAACAAACAAATACAGCATTTTAACACTCTCTTCAACCTGTAAATAACAATCATTACTTTATCAGTTATTATCCATTTTCTCTGTAGTTTTTTTTCTTTTATAAAACCTAACACAAAAATTTTACTACACCTTATTCAACTGTGAATAATTTTTATGACTATTCGATACTTTCGCTTTCTCATTATATACATATTATCATGTAAACTTCTTGTATTGATTCACTTCGCACTAAAGATGGCGTAAAGTATGCCAGAACATGTTTGCTCTAAAGAAAGTTGTCGTGATATAATAAATCCTTTTCCCCTTTTCTCTTCTTCTATGAAATAACATCCATTATTAAATTGGTAAGCCTAATCAGATCGTTAAAATATCTTTCATTCCATCGTTCGTACTATGTAAACGTTAATTCTTCCTGTTTGTACGGTGCGAACTCGGATAACTCGAAAAATTTTTATAGAAACAATTTTAAACTATACCTACTACAATGTAAGCGCTGTTTACTTCATTTGACATCTCTTAGATTTATAAATCTCACCTTTTTGTTTGGGTGTTTCATCAAAATGAAAAGGTACCGAATGAGTACCACGCATTTGTTGAACATGAATGCAAATTTGGAAGAGCAAAAAGCAATCATAAGATAAAATTATTCTCATCATTGAAAAGTCTCGTGGCGTAAATGGTTGTTGACAAAACTGAGAATAAAATCAAAGAAATATATGATCTCTCTTTTCTGTTGTAACAAAATAATTTAAACAAAACCTTCAATGAGAATATATTTCATTTGATCAGATTGCTAATTCTTCCTTCATGTGTTCTTTTGAAATTTCGCCAATTAAGCTTAATGCATGTTCCACGAGTGCCTTTTATTTTCTTGGAAGCCTGGCATTCAACGATTTGGATGTGGTTTTGGTGAACAACTTTGAAAATCTTATATACTTTCTTGAAGATATTCTTCTTTATTTCAGTCAAAAGTGCAAGGCAAGTATCAAAGAGTAATAAATGTAAAATTCTTGCAATACTTTGTGAAATAGTTAATTTAACTATATCAACAGACTGCTATCAAATAATTGCCGCGCGAGTGCAGATATAGCGGTTTCAGGAGGAACATGTTTATAAGTGTCAACGATGCACACATGCAAACATTTTCTATCACAATGCGGTATATTTGTATGACGTCATAGTCAGATTATTCTCATAAATAATGAAACCTACTGACTCACTCACGCTCAAACATGTTGCTGATACCTTACGTTTTCAAACTAATCACAAAGTTAATTTAATCTCTTCTTAAGGCACTGTCTAATGTTTAAAATAGCAACAACAGAAATGATTTGAGATGGCTAAATTAACAGCGTGTTGCTTGCATTCAAGATCCAGAGCACGAGTTTATCCCTGATAAATAATATTATGTTAATGTAAAGTCTGGATCATGCAATACGCTTTGCTTGGAAGTTCAACATTGAAAAATATGTGTGTCCTAGATGGAATAAAGTATTTAAACCACAAAAACTCAAATATTGCATGTTGCATTCCGGTCGCCATATTGAAAATCTATGACCTATCATCTGCGTGTAGAAAATTTCTATTGCCATTTACCAATGTTAAAATTTAATAAAAGGTGATAGTCCCTGAAATGGCTACCGCTAAACTTCTCAAAAATTCAGTCAATACTAACATCAACAGTCTTATTGATTAAGTACCTTAATTGATTAAATAACCTTTTAATGACTCCAATAGTAATAAAAGCAAACAAAAAAATTCAAGTGTTTGCACCAGAAATCAAAACATAGTCAATTTTTATAGCTGTATATCGGTAGCCATCAGCAAGACAAAATAAGCGGCAATGTCTAAGGGCGGCCTGAGACAGCAATTTATTTAGTTTTCTATTTGTCAATTTTATTTTGAATTATTGATTTTAGTTTAATTTTCCAATAATTTGATAGCTTTTGTTTCAAGTTTGTAAATTTTATTCGAAAATATAAGCAACTTCGCTTGATTAAGGATGGAGTCTTTTGTATCCCTATCTGAGGGTTCTAAACACCGTATTGAAAAGCTGGGTAAACGTGTGTGTGTCAATTATTTGCTTCAGTTGCGTTCCATGTATTTAATTCAATGTGCAGAACATGAATACATGAATATGCCCCCTAACCCCGAATATTGAACATGTGCCTCCCCTCCTACGTCACTGCTTGCAGTTACTTGCAGTTTATCCATAAAATATTGCTTTCCGAGAAGATATTTCTTTTTTGTTTGTATTGTGCCATAGGAAAGTCACAAAAATCTTCCTTTGGATGATAAATATCAAGTAATATCTTTTATCAAAGCTTTATTAGTCTCTTTTCGTATTTAGAGAAAAAATACGTACACATCAAGATATCTTTCTTTTCAACGTGTGCATGGAGCCCCATCACCCTCGTTTTCAAACATTGCAACTGGTAATTTGCCTTCTTTGTTTCTACATTCCCGGATTTATTAGTTTTACATCAGCATTTTCGGCTAGTTTAAATGGAATGTGGGATGTAATGAGCACTTGTGCGATTGACATTGTGTAAAAAAAAGAACCATAAGAGATGATATAAATACAGAAGTTGAACATATAAAAAAACCACTTGAAAAAACCTCTAAAATGATAAAAATGACGGTAAAAGAAATGAAGAACAGATTTGTCCATTCCATATTAAATATTAGCAGCAAGCCCAATGTTAGACATGGGCGTTCTATTACGGACGGGGCGGGTGGCTGAATGGTTAATTGCGTGAGTTGCAATGAACGGGTTCAATCTCGTGGCACATCTGGCAATATGTCTGTAAAATGACCAAAGCCATGTGAAATTTGGAAACTATGTCCATGGACTGTATCTGCATCTGCAATGTTGCAGCCTTGTCACAAATATGTCACGCTGATATCAGCGTTGTAGTTGCGTGAAAGGTACGAGTGATTGTAGTCTGGTCAGCTGCCTTCACTATAATTTAAGTAACCAGGATGTTCCACTTCGTGGAACCCTCATATGTCGAAATCGACGGAGTCCATTATTACGGACGATGACGATAATGAACGATCTTCGTTGGCTGGAAAAATCATAGATGCATTGGCAATGCAAAATAAATGGAAGGATCAAAATTTGACTTGGTTCGCTTATGCAAACAACAATCACGGCACTGTAGATGACACGTTAACCATGTCTATTCACCTCCATTTGGACGATGCTAACAAGTACAGCACCCATGTAAAATCAGCAAACATTTCTGACACATTAATTTTCTTGGCTGAAAGAATAATGAATGAACACTAAAAATAGAACTGGGCTATCATATAAAGGCTGTCTAGATAGTGAATGTAAAATACTTGGTTACAGTGTCCCTATAACAGAAAGAAATATAGCGTTCCATCTGAACGCAAGAAAAGATGGCATTCTTATTATTTTTATTGTCGCTTTTCTGCAAATGACGAATCGACTGCTAACTATATGATCTAATTTTACTTTTTTGCGCAGAATAATAACATTTTTAGAATTTAGACATTGATTTCTTTGTAACGCATGTATTGCGATTGAACTTTACAATCATATTTTATTAGTCATAAAGTAAAATGTAAAAGTAAACTGGTATCACAATCGTATACCCGCAACAATATAATCCACGAGTGCTATACAAAATTTAGCCGAGTAAGAACTTATTTTTTTTGTATTTAAATGGCTATCATTTGATAACTTTGCTTAGTTTGTTTTTCTTGCTAATTGTTATTAAATGATTATAACAAATAATAACTGTAGAACATCTATTTTGCAATTACCCGACGAATTGTGAGAATCTTTCGTTGAGCCTTCTACTTAGCCTGATTTACGAAGTGAAGAAGAAAAACTAGCTGCATTGAGCCTGGTAGCCACTAAGATCCCGGTATTTGTATGTGTGTTGTTAACTTTTGGAGATTTTTTCCGCTTTTAAAATTATTGGATTGTGCTATAACTCATTCCAATGGCTGCATGGTAGTTGGATTGACATGTTAGACTTTTCTTCGGTTATGCATTAATCTAATCTTGCCTTAGCTCTTTTAGCCACCGAGATACTTATGCTACTTTTTGCTCAACTCAAGCACTATTAACATTAAAGTTAGCTGTGACAAGAGATAGAATGGACAACCGACTTCATACTGAGATGAAATAAAAGTCCATTGTTATTCATCACAACCGAGTGTGTAGATAACTGAATCATTTAGTATGAAATGTAATCAAAATTGAAGGAATGTATACTGAATTTTTACCGTGGCGAGTTTAGCAAGAAGTGCAGATATAACTGATTTAGTTACATTCTATCAACATCGTACAGACAAGATAAACATAGAAATCATGTTTGTATTACTGAATTATCATTCCTTTCCACACATATAACGCATTAGAGAAGTAATTGCAGAGTTTTTCCTCCTAAGGGAGGATTAGTAACAACATTATGATCCAACATTCTTGTATCTGGAACTTTTGCATTAGATAAGCAGTCTTTTTAATTTTTTATCTTAGGTTTACTCATGTTGACTCTAGTTTTAGCTACATAATCATTTTGAATTGTAGCAACTAAGAAGTAATGGTAACGATTTTTTTCATTCTTGGTTTGACTTTTTGATGTTTTATACAAATGCAAAATGGCCTGTTATATTGATTTTGGATAGGTGTTTTTTCAGGAGATGTGTTTAGCATCGTCATGATTAATAAAAAAAACTAACAACTCCTTCGATCAAAAGGAAGCATATTGCAAGAAGGTCAAGAATGGCAAGCTTTATTTCATAGAAATGAAGAAAATGCGTTCCATTAATCAAGACTACCATGACTGAGTGCCTTGGTAGAAACATCTTTTTGAATGACACTATTTAAAAAGGAGACAACTTGCTCAGAATTTTCCTGCATAAAGTGTAAAATAAGTGCACAGCAAAGCTATGCATGCCGGGTTTGATTTACTAAGGACTAAGCCCTTAATAACTGAGCGCGACGTCTTTACGGAGAAATATCGGACTGAGGTCATTATTATATGGCATTATTTGACCTGAAACGAAGCTTGCTTTCTTTCTCGTCCTTGCTGTCTTTTACCGGTTTGCTTTCGCTTTTTTAAATTTCGTCGAAAAAAAATAAATCATTTCAAATTGTATCGTCAGGATAGTTTAACTGTTTTCCAAGTGTTTTTCCTCGAATCACATTCGTAAATGGTTTTTGTTTCTTTATTTTGCTGTTTGCATTACGAAGTTTGTTTACATTTGACTGTAAATTTACGCATTTGGACTGTGGTCGATTACGGAAAAATAATGGACCGGCAAAAATGTTTCTGAGCCAATCCAAGCGCGCCATTTTGCCGGAAGTGACGCTGGCCATATAATAAAGTGGTTTTAATAACCAGAAATATGGAACATTGTAAGTTGTAAGTAACTCGCTAGAAAACATCAAGATTAGAGTGCCATTTTATACCAAATGTTTGAATGAAAAGCAAGTTGAAACAACGTAGAGCTTGCCCATGAAGTATTTGAGAGGCTTACCCTAAGACCAGGTGCAAGCATTTCTTCCGGGACTATATACGGTGAACATAAGGTAAAGCAAATCTACATGGTATTTAACGATACCGGAGTCTCTTTTAAAATCGAGACACAATAACAAGCGTCTGAACTTAGTTAAAAATGTGACAGATAACTTTCCCATCCATATAAAAAAGTACAAAAACCGAAAGTGGAGTTATTAGCACTTTACATTTTATTCATACGACAAAAAGTATTTTTCATGTTGCAGCTTCCCTCGTTATGTTGACAAATCGTAAAAAGTATGAATTTTGGTTATAACTTTTTATAACAAGTCGAACAGAAATCAACGCATATTCCTTCTGTGGCTCATAAAAAGAAAAAAACACAAATACAAATTTCCACTATTAGCTGCGACATAAGCAGATAGAAGACAATTGAGCGTAGGTCAGACGCTTATCTGGAACTTTTTCTCTACAAGCTTAACATCAAAAAAAGATCTTTATCCGCAAAATAGCATTTAATCATACAGGTATCAAGAAATACGTCATATTGACAGCACAATGACGTGTTGAAATGAAAAATGTGGAATTAAGAGTTTGTTGACGTGTCTATGCTTTCGCGAGCGTCGTTTGAGATGACATCTGCATTCTTACTTTCGCAGAGATCGTTTCAATTATTGCTAAAATAAAAAAATCAAACGTATTTTAGAAGTATGAACATTTCATGAAAAACAAATTGTTATATAGCTAGAACGCAGTAGCTACTGTAATATTTCTACATATATTTTCTTGATATACTATTGTATATGTGTAAAATGAATATAAGTTTATAAAGTTCCCCTGATTGAAGCACAATCTTAAATAACCAAAAAGTGTTCCATCACCGAACACTAGCAAATTGCAAAAAAACACGTTTTCTTGTCTTCTAAATGCTTCAGCTTGTATGAAATAGACATTAAAATAATAAAATATCACGTACAGATAATTCATATTGTGGTAAACAATTGGTAATAAAGATCAATAACTACTAAAACACGGTGACGTGTCTAGCCTAGGTGGGTGTATATCATTGACCTGAAAAATTATTACCTGGATAGCGCTTCTACGTATGGAACCATTATGAAAATTGAAGCCAGTTTTGATTTTACACACCCGATTCTTGGGACTACTAAACTACAATATGGCGTAGAGTTAGTTGAGCGATTGCGACGATCCTTTGTCCTTGCTACACCGATTGTTATTCCCAAAACTGCTGCTATTGATGTACAAGTAATTTTAGACAAGGCATCGTCGCAACCGCTCAGCTAACTCTATGCCATAATGTAATTGAGTGGTCCCAAGAATCGGGTGTGTAAAATCAAAACTGGCTTCAATTTCATACGTAGAAGTTCTATCCAGGTAATAATTTTTCAGATCAATGGTGTATATTCATATATGTAGCTCTGGCCTGCCGATTTCTTTTGAAATTATAATCGCTAACAAACAAAATCAATGCAGCAGAGCTGAGTATATGAATATCCCCCCCTCCCCCCACTTAATAATCTAGTTTCCCCTGTTTCACATATACCTAGCAAATTGTTCTAACTTTGATATTATAGTACAGATGGACTCAAAATTGAACTTGGCTTAATGTCGGTAAATTGCATTTGGTGACCAATAGGATTGACGATATGGCAAACGGCAGTCAGTAAACTAATTAAATACACAGCAGCCAGTTACACAGCGAAGTGGCTCTACTTTATATTTCTATACTGTGGCTGTGTTTGCATTTGACCTCAACTAATCATATCAATCAATCAACAAAAGAGAATTTACAAATTAGTCATGAATTTATATCAGAAGAAAAATTAAGGCATTTGTTTTAAAATTGTCTTTTCGCATTATTTCTATTTAATCAACGAAAGAAAAGACGTTTTCTTGTTTGCAATGGCTTATACAATCGAGCAGGTACAACCTACGACTTTAAGTCGATGCGCTGTCGAGTTCCCCCAAAGGTCTGGGTAAACGCAGTTAATACCTTTTATTTATTAAAAGTAAATAAAGCAATTTTGCTTGTAATAACATTCAAAAACACACCACGTCCTTTAGTCAAGCAAACTTTACATCGCTACATCTAGCCAGGAATGCTATGCTATTTTTATCGAGCAAATTAAGCCCTCATTCCCCAATTTTGACACTCAAGTTACGCCCCCTAGGTATTATAACGTAAATTAGCAATGATGATTAATTTCTTTATATATCCACATTTTTGAGACTGCAAAAATGCGACTTGGTCATATCTCATTGGAGCTTTATAATCGGCATTGATATTTCAATTATTTACTGAATGTTTTTGAATTGATTTTCTCGTTGGGAGGATATTGCAGTCAACAAAATAAAATATTCGTCAATACAAACATACCTTGTCGTATTCTATGTTTTTCTACAAGACCTGGTTGAACCTTTTCCATTTGCTCTGTAAGATAGTTAATTTTCCGTCCAAAGTATTGTTCTGCTCCTTCTAATGACTATTGACAACGAAAGAACAGTCGAAACATTCAATATTTTCCTAACCATATGATGAATATATTCAATACATAAGATTGATAAACATATCAAAACAGTTAAAAACAAATAAACTTTCTTTTAAAGGGGAGTTGGGTAAAAAGATGTTGCTAAGGGACCGTGGAGAAACTGAAACTCGTAAGTAAGTAATTTAATGGGCAAAATTCAGCATCTCATTTTTAAAGCATGTTATCAACTTCTCATTCTATTGTGAACCTCCCACTTTTGAACAGGATCGACGGATACTGTTGCTCACAGCTACAGCTATTTTTCAATTGTTCAAGAGCACAAACACACCTCACTATCAACAAAAGTTGTTACTAAATCAATTAATGACAGATTCGCAGACAATTTTATCTTCCATCAGAAAAAATTCAATGTATAAACGCATGATTCTGTGACGGCAATTTCGAAACTATAACTGAGTTATACAATGTGAATTAAATATAAATACTATGATATGAATCAGTTATATGTGGATGAAGTAAAATTCTACCTTGCTTGCAAAATAACCAGTACCAATGTCTACTAAAACGTTGCTGGAACTATCCAACTGACCAGGAACATACAACTTTCAAGTCAAGGATAAGGAATGAATGAAATGATTAACTAATTAGCATTGAAATATAATGAATTCTAAGTACACAAACTGAACTCTACGTTTACAACCTACAAAGCAAACATTACTCCCCAACCTTTTGCAAATTGATTGGTTTTTAGTTTAGGTAAGCAAAACTACCACAGTTAGAACTTATGTAGAAGAATTAATCGAGTTTACTATAGAAAAAAATTGTATCAACCTTAAATAAATTTGATAGGAAAGAGTTTTAATCTTTTTTTTCAGTAACAAAAAAAAGTGACAAAAAGGATACTGATGCACTTAATGGAACTAAAATGTCACTGCCTAAAAGAAATAAAATACGAACATATTAGGAAAAGAAACTGCCAACAATTTCCAGATTTAAGTACTAATGCCAGTTCACAACAATTTGCAAATTTAGGTACACAAATTCATCTCATATTCAAGCTCAACATAGTTTAAATGTGTTTAAACACATTTAAATTGCTCACTATAATCTTTTACAAATAAATTTAACCTTAATTTCTGCATGTATAAGCATAAAGTTAGAAAAATGTACAAGTTGTAAATATATTGTCAACTGGCCATTTGATAGAATTCTGTCTTCATTTAAATCATCAAAACTCAAAGTGTCCAAACAAACCTCAAAACACCAAAACTACCCCCCCTGTCCAAAGAAAAAGTTCAGGTTTATTGTAAATTATACCAAAAATAAATGAAATTTGAGAATATGTATCTCATGGAAATTTGCTGATTTGACTCATATCCCAAATTACTAGTCCGCAATATTTCACATTCATAGAAGCATCTCAGTACAAATGTAAATTGGATGCTGAATTTGAGATAAATTTTAGAGCAGTGGACACAACATCCGCATAAAACCTCCAAAACTCCACTCATCAGAAATGGAAATAAAATATATACAACTTGAGTGTTAAAATTAACAATATCGTTTTGTTTCCACAATAACTACCCCCTTAAAATAGTTCTGCTCCCCAAAATTATACATCCCAGTTATTGGCACACAAGTTACTATTTTTTTGCAATAAAAAGTTGAAATAGAATTATAACTGCACTCCTGAAAAGAAAGTGATGCAATGACATGTTTGTGAAAATTTGATCAAAAAATTTGAGTTCAAGTATTTTTAAGCTCATCTTAACAAATTCAAGTGCTTTTAAGGCCTTGAATTTTCAATTTAAATACAAAGACATTCAACTTTTGTATGAGCCGTGGAATGAAAAAGTCCAGAAACTAATTGAGAATATTTCATAAATTTGTCTGCTTTTCTATCAAATAAAGACACTAAAATAGTTAATCCAAGTACATACAACTCCGCCCTATTTTTTTGGGATGTGCACCCTTGCATATGCATGATCAATACAGTTACCATCTGCAATTAAGTCATCATAGAGATATTACTATAAAGATCATTGACCTTTTTTCACAGCAAGTTTCTTTACAGCTTCTTTTGATTCAACAAACTTTTGCTGTGCAATCTTTAATTGGGTTAAAGATTCAGATAAAATTCTAATTTCCTACAATTTGCAAATAGATATATAGTGTGTAAAGAATGAAGTCATAAATCCATGAAAGAAAGTTCTAGCATAATATATATAACAAGTCCTACAATGTACTTTATGTAATTTGCTATCTGGCATAACTGTGTCCCCCAATTTCAAAACAAATCTCCAGATCACCTGATCTGCAATTACTTTTACCCGATGAACACATCATGCAATATGTTGTGAGACTGAGACAGTGAGTGAGACAAATAATACAATTATAAGTAAATGCGTAAAATCAATATTGATAATGCACATTTAATAAATATGATAATCTTTTCAAAAATAAACATGTTTCAACATCTCATGATTCCAATTTCAGTATAATATAGAACATTATGAATATGATAAATGTATATAGTAGTAATATAATAAAGTGATAGTTTATACAATTATTAGTATATTATATACAAATATATTACAATGAAATATTGATTAGAATTAATGATGAGTGTATTTACAGACTGAGTGTAGTACACATGAGTGACATCTGCAGTGTCACGTGTCAATGATTTTAAAACAAGATGGTGAATAGTTAATTTTGCAAGGTGATTTTAAAATGTGTCGATAGACAATTGTATGAACTATCACTGCATCATTTTACTACTACATATATTTATCATAGACATAATATTCTCTACTATACTAAAGATGGCATCATGAAATGTTGAAACATGTTTAATCTTAAAACTTGCTGTACAAGTGTACATAAAACTCGTGAAATCAAATAAAAATAATTAGCAGAACTGCTAAGTAACACACAAATAACATACCTCATCAATTTGTGCTTTCAAGTCTTCCAGCTGAGGTAACGAAAGCTGAGTTAATTCGATGCGTTGAGGAGACGCCATTTTCACGATATCTTAAGTAGTATTTTAGAAGATATGTTGTGACAGCTCAGGGGGGGTGGTGGACAAAAAAAAAGGTACGAAAGAACGGAGTGACGCCGCTATGAAACCATTGAATGAAACATATCCGAGTTACAGCATACTTCTGATGTATTTGCTAATCATAAAGCTAGACAAGCTTGCCTAAGATGGATTAGAACATTTTCAGTGAAAAGATGGTCAAAATTGTATAACGGTAGAAAGATGCTAAATTTAGAACTGGCAAATAAGAGGAATAGACGAAGACAGAGATGTATATAGGGATGTACTTAAGGAGGACATGTGGTGTAGTTAGGTGGTTTTAAGCATTATGATACAGATGGTTTGAAGTGTAGAGTTAAACTGCACAAAACGCAAAACATCGATAACTTCAGAACGACAATAGTTTCATAAGTTGATTTAAACGGCATGATTTAACAACTCATATCTCCCTAAGTTTTATGCGTTCAGCAAAGCAGTGTTTTGAGTAAGAGTTCGAAGAAAATACAAGTGATAGGATTCACTCATAAAAAGCCCCGTTTTTTTGTGAGGAATAGAAAAAGAGAAATAAAGTGAAAGGTCACGACACAAAGTGATATTCAGATTTACATTGTTCAATGGCTAAACCACAGTGTGCGTGAGCTCAGAGGAGAATTGCATTGTCTTAGTGTCAAAGCAATAGCAGGTTTTGTATATACGTTTATTGAAATTTGCGTATCAAAAATCCATACCTCGCAAATCGATCTTAATCTCTTTTTGTAGTATTAGCTTAGCAATGGTCTTGAAAGAAAACCTTTTTTGCAGAATTTTTTTGCTCGTGATAATGGCAAGCTTAAAATCTTAGATATATATTCGAAAAACAAGATCTATATGTTCATTTGTAATACATTGTTTGTAGTTAATTTATGCAAAACTCGATTGCAACACGAAGTTTTCAATAGCTAAGTTTTCCGCTACGTTTGCGCGGGGGACTGACCGACGCATAATCAACACAAGATGGAGTTGTGGCCGAATTGTAGTTTAAATACTACTCTTTATTAAATTGTCGTTCACATGTATATTAATTAACTAAACACTATAAAAAACACTAATGGTTAACAGCAAAATGAATCATAGTTGCTGTTTATTTTAAAACAATTTATATAGACTTGTTAAACGAAATATTTCACATTTTTCGACAAAAAGGAGGGAAATTGTATACGTTGTATTTTTTATCAGAGTTTGGGATCTTTATTTCCATTCTATCTATATTTAGCTCAATCGACCCGTGAATAATTTTACATCATCCATAGTCTCAGTCATTACGAAAATTGTGTTTATTTCACACTAAACACCCATAAAACATACGGGTCCGAGTTCGACACCAAATTCTTTATTCTCGCCCATGTCTTGTGGTGCTACATCTACAATTGGTAGAGCAATCGATGACTTTGCTTCCAACTCCAAAACAGTCTTCTTCCATGAATTAGCTCGTGTCTACAGAAGGAGAAAGAGATGACCATTAGCTGAATTAAGAATGATAATTTGTGGTGAAAATTTATTCCCCAAAATGCCCATTGAGCATGCACGTAGCTTTTCAGCAGTCTAAGTTCAGTCAATTGACTTTCTCAAAACAAATTCCTTAATGTAAATCTGTCAAATTTAGAAGAAAAATGACAGCATAAGGATTCATACTGTTATTATAAACGCAAATAGAGCACATTTTTTTGTTCGCTTCACAATTGATTGCACCAAATTTTCTAAACATAAAATTACAACCCTGTTGCTTTGTTTAATGTAACAACGAAGGGAATTCACAAAAAAATATTTGTTCTTTACTCATACGATGAAACAGGAGAATTGAATTCAGAACATCAAGCGCAAAGAAGACAGTTTTCACTGATAAGGAAACTGATGAATTGAAAAGAAACAAACCTTGCATTCATCCCTGATAACTTTAGGTTGTGCGTTCACATGGCCGTCGCTGCTATATTCGTAACCATTCAGGGCGAGTAATTTGATAGATTTGTCGTACGTGTTCATTTTTTCATCCAACCACGCAATGGAATTCTTACAATGGTACGTGATTGTTTGACTGGCACGTTGACTTAAGACTTGCAGGAAAGCAAACTGTGACTGATGATGTGAGTATTGGATCTGAAAGTTTGTGAGGTAATTGTTAAATGCAAACTTAAGGTAATACTTGTAATATAACATAAACATGGTACGCTACAGGCAGGATTTATGAAAAAGGGGGAGTTAGTCAGTATATCATATAACATGCCATTTAAGTTATCGAGGTTATAGCATATACATAAAACCAGCTACTTTCATGAAGAGCAAAGGAATGTTGTCCGTATCATTTATTTTCTTTGCGAAGGTTATGCCCAAGAATTTTTATTGTTTATATACAAAGTAAAGGATAGTTGGTAACAGATGTAAAGGCACAATCAAGATAACATACCGACTTCTCGTTACCAAAAAGCTTGCTGAACCATCCACTTTCTTTGGAATTCCAGTTCTTATTTTCAATCTTAAAATGATACAATGATTCACTTGAATGAATGAAATATAAGATTTAAGAAAAAATTTAAGTACATATGATATACGTACTGATATTTAAGTATTGGGAAGGAATGTAATATTCATACATGCATTGTTTTATTTTTGAGAAACTTAACGCAGGACAACATGCAAGCATGAAAATTAGTTACCAGCCCCCAATTATAAGATAACAGGCCGTTGATATAATACAAGCAACGCCATCGATACGTATCATATAAGTAAAACCGAAAACCCAAATTCAACTACGTTTCTTCTGAAATGCCTACATACATTGCCTTTGTAATCAAAGAAAAGGTATAGAAGACGGCTCATATTGACATGGTTAGTTAACATTACAAGAAAAAAATCACAGCGTGAGAGTAACATTCACATATATTACCTTTTGTTTTGGGGAGACGCAAGTTGAAACATATTCAGCAGTGAATTTACATGAAACATTCATGGCATCAACTGGGCTACCTTGGTTAGGATCGATCCAGTAGTAACCTAAAGTTCATTAAATAATTTAATATACCACATTACGTGTATAAGAAAACACAACATAATTATGCATGCATGACGTTAATTTGTTAAATTCACAACTGTGATGAAATGTGATTCCCAAGCATTAAAAGCCTCTGTGTAAAATAGGAATGAAAGAGGGGAAGAGAAATAGGGAAAAGAGAGGAGAGAAAAAGGACAAAGATGGATCATTACGTTTCACTAAAGAAAGTTTTGCGCCATTCAAATCACCAAACATGTAATCAAATGAATTTATAAATTTCTCAGGATCTATCGTGGCTTCGATATAAAAATAAAACAGTAAATTGCAAGTTTCACATGATTATAAAGATATTCATTTATGTAACTAACCATCAAGTTTTTCGGGATAACATTCTTTAATAGCTTTACATGAAACAGCGGGGTATTCAAATGATCCATCGGGACGTTGCGTTTTATCTAATTCACCATCGAGACCATACATCATACTGATAACTAGGTCTTCCTATAAACCATTAAAAGAATCAGATTGTCGACTGCGAGTTGCAGATGGGTTGGCCACTTGCCATGCGCAGACAAGTTCCTCATTTAGAAAAGCCAATATGCGTTATTCCGATCGAGATTATGATTACATGTTGCCATGACATATACAAATTAAGCATTTAATAGTTGAAAAAGTTTATCTGATTTTGGATGGTATGTGCAGATTATATTTTTTGTATTTTGTTGTGTATAATCAAACTGTTTTGATGTGGTAATCAATGCATACAGAAATTTTTTGCACCTATTACAATGTATGAACTAAAAGTTACACATCGTGCTTGAGAAATGGCCACCGGCAGGTACTGACAACAAACATTTGCCTTTAAAAGGATACCCCTGACATTCTTACGAAGCAATACAAAACATTGTAGGTAGCATAATATTACCACTGTCTTCGTTTCCTCGGGACTTTCGCTTGTCTCAATCTCCTACGTTGACAAAAAAAAACAAAATTAGAAATCTTTGAAAGGCAAAATAGCACTGCACACCATACAAAATAACCACGAATGCAGGAACAAACTTCAAAAACCTAACCTCTAATTTCTCAAGACTCTTGTAGTAGCGGAATCGTCCAGGTCTTGTGAGGTCTTCTGTATTTTCAAGACTTTTACGAGCTAACGGATCTGGATGCTACAAAAACAGAAATATAGTAATGATCGGCAAAACTAACATTTTTCTAATTTTATGTCATTTTGTTACTACAATATCGTCATTTTTGATCTTGCATGACCATCGTAGGCAAATTAGGTTTTGTGGTAGTGGGAGGGACGGAAGTCATCAAAGATGTGGCTCTATTTCAAGGATTCCGAGAGAAAGTGGAGTATTGTAATACTTTTCAACAATTATGAAAAATTGGGGGAGGGAGAGGGTTGCAGCCTGTTCAGTCCCCGCTTTCAAAAGGCCTTCCTTGATTGTGAGCTCTATTACGAGATCATTATAAACAAAATGTGTCGCGCATAGGCGCCATAAGTAAACATGTAAGAGCCATTTTTAGGGAGGGGGTGCTGATATATTTGGATCAATCGTAGGGGTTTCAGATATTTATATGATTTCAGCTCATTTGTTTTAGGTTACGGGTTACTATTCATTAAAAGTGAATAATAATAAAATCAAATGTGTGGAATTAGATAAGCACATTATAGAACATTAAAGATACTTACAGGTGGTAGACCACCGGGAGGACCCTAGGGAAAAAACAAAAAAAATATTAACAATTTTTATTTCAGGAAAGAAATAGAGCAAATCGTGCCGTAACAATATTAGCCAATCAAAATTATGGTAAAAATAATGTTTACTTACAGGAGGTCCCATGACACCAGGGGCACCCTAGATGTCAAACAAAATATCAATTGTAAAAATGAAAAATATAGACAATGAGAAATTTGAACTTTAACGTGTGTGCATTTATGATTCAGTAAAAATACATGTTTTTAACATATACTTACGATTCCACCAGGCATACCCTATAAAACAAATATAATTTCCTTTAAACTTTTGATAAAAAAATCACTTTCAGATCGATTGAAGACCTTGAATAACAAGAATTTTTCAGAAAATTTCCATGTACGATTCCCGGAAAACCAGGCATGCTCAGTGACCAAACCAGGGTAAAGAACAAAACAAACTTTGCATAGCATTTCTCATAATAAGTAACTACAAGAGTCAATTGATTATCAACTTCGTGATGTTAAGCAAGCACTATGCCTACCCCAACCACAAACAAATAGCATAAAAAGCCTCGCGTTCAATGAGCCGCTAATCTTGAACTAATTACCAATTGATCTTGAAAATCTAGTACTCTAGTGACTTCTTAAAGTAAAATAGTCGCTCTTTTTCTCAAAATAATATTTGATTGTAAATGTAAACATTTTACAAAGTTTATTGTATTTCATTCATTCATTCATTCATTCATTTCATTAAAAATGAGCTGTTATAAAAAGAAATTGTCTTTATTAAAACAAAATATACATACATCAGGTCCTTGGGGACCAGGTCGTCCAGGGAAGCCACGATCACCAGGTTCACCCTAAACATATAAGCACTTAAAATTCAATACAGAAAGGAAATAATATCCTGCAAAAATACTGGACTTTGAAGCTGAACAGATTTCATTTTAAGAAAAAGCAAATTTCTGTCATAAATCTTCTAAACAACGACCCCAACCTTAAGTAAGCGGTACAAAAAAGTCACCACAAATTACTTTCACTACAAAAATATTATAGCAAAATGGTTGATAGCATATCTCATTGACACATGCATATCAAAAAAACATTTATTCGCCCTTAACTACTGCACTTTTTATTATAAAATAATATAAGTTTGTTTTTTATTTCTTAAAGACCAGTTGCATGTCCGGATTAGGTAATGACATAAAGCAGAAGATCAATCTGAATATAGACGTATGTACACTTATTTTGGGTGCTCTTTATATACATATGAATAAAAGCTAGCACTTTCACTGCTCAATAAACAATTATCTCAATTTTCACTATTATGAACAATAACTTGGATCGTATGAATGCGTCTGTTATTGGTTTCAAAAACTTACGGTTGGACCAGGAGGACCAGGCGGACCACTTCGGCCACTAGGACCTGGTGGACCCTACAAAGAAAAAGAACATTCATATCCTTCATCCTATAACCCTTTAATATCCTAAAATAGCATTTGTCAAAAATTAGAATACTACTCAAAACATCTCCTTACACAACACTCAATGTATTTAGAAAAATATCATTGATTGCAGAGTGTAAAGGAGAATATTATATAATCAAAATAAAAACAAAACAAATAAAAATCACCTCCAAACCGCTAGTTCCTCTTTCACCAGCAGTACCTACAGCACCTGGAGGACCCTATGTGAGAATAACACAAAATGCGAGATTAAAAAAGATCGAGGAAAATCGAAGTATTCTTCAATGTTGATCAAAGCAAAACGTTAGTTAAAACCAATACCCGTTCACCAAGTAGACCTCGTTCACCACGTGGTCCATTCCATCCCTTGTCACCCTGTTTTGTAAAACAAAACAAATCAACATTAGGCTTCTATGATATCATCATTCGTACTATTTCTGTTAATATTATAATATAGTTTTCAAACGTTTCCAAGAAATAGAAAAAGAAAAGAAAAGTTTTAAGGAACTCTATAGCACGAAAGCAGCTTTTTGCAGAAAAAATGACAAAAATAGTTTGGCATACTTTTTCACCAGCTAATCCATCTCGGCCGGCATTACCAATTTCTCCACGTTTTCCCTAAAATAAGAGACAATAAAAATCCGTTTAGATCATTGTTGGTTATAGGTACCAGCTACACGTTATACAAGTACGTAAGTATGAGTAAAAGAACCTTCGCTAAGTTTTTAAGAAAAATTTCTTTCAAATAACATGGCAAAAATGGTGAAGGCTCTATTTAGTGTAATACATTTTAAAAAAAAATTAATCTTCTTCTAGATAAACTATAAAACGGCTTTGAGATTATATAACTTATCTTTAAATTTATGATGCAACGATTTTATGTTAATAGAGCAAAAATCAAAATTTGTTGGTTACATTTTGCGTACCTTTTGACCTTGTTTACCAGGCTCACCAGGATCACCATCAACACCAGCTACTCCCTGTAAATGTAATAAACGGTTCAGTTTTAAGGCTACTTTTGTGTAACGATAAAAATGGCCACACAACGGATATTTGTCTGTTGTATTATTTACACTGTTTGCTGATTTGTGTCACACAAATTAGCTACAGTTGGAAAACTACAGAATCAATCAAAACTCAACGAAATAAGACAGCCAACTTTACTGATGGATTCAACTCTCTTAATCAAGCAGGGACCCGAAAGATCGATAATTTGGGGCAAAAGGATAATATTTATACATTCATAAGTTATAATCTGCAATCACAATTAAATTCAATAGAATGGGATTAAGTACAGCATGCCCCCTGGGATCTAATGGACAAATCAAATCATAATCTAAAGAAGATATCTAATCTAATGATCAAATCTAATGATCAGATAGAGTGATCAAATAGATTATCCAAAGAATAATCTAACGGCGAGAAAAGTCAACTCAAAAAGCAGATGTGATGACAAACCCAACCCCACCATCCCTTTCACGTGCATAAGTACTCAACTTCTAAGATCCCTTCTGTCAAATCATTCTAAATTGGTAGATTTTAATCACACCAACTCATTTTCTACACTAGGCAGCTTTCTTGCTACTACCTCATGAAAACAATCACTTTCGCATTTTACACTGTTATGAAATTGCAACATTACCGCTTCTCCATCTGGGCCAGCTGGTCCAGATTGACCTGTTTCACCTCGTGGTCCAGGATATCCAGGTTCGCCATTCGGTCCTAAAGTGCCAGGCGATCCAGGCACGCCCTACATTAACACACAATGCTCTTTCATTAATTTTGAAGTTAAGGAGTAAAGTTAACATTTAGTGACGTATAGATTGGATGGGTAAAACAGAAGCTCAAACATTACTTACACTAGGACCAGCTTCACCTTTTGGTCCAGGTGGACCATTCTTTCCTGGGCTACCCTAAATAATTGACGAATGATATAAAAACTTATATCAAATTTCTATAAACGCGGATTTAACAGAATAAAATTGTGGAATGTTTTATTGCATATCCACTGAAAAAGGGGAAACCACACACACAATATCTGATAATATCAATGTCGAATTTTGCGGTTTAGGAAATTCAGTAATAATATGAATCGCCAACGCAAACAACTTTTATCGCTACCCCAACAAACGTCTGTAACACATTATGTACGAAAATATGTACTCACATTTTCACCATTTTTCCCGTTGTTTCCAGGGTAACCAGGAGGTCCTTTATCACCCTTAAAAAAAGACGAACGAAGAAGATGTAACTATACAGACGTTCAGAACTCACTGATAACTTACACTTTAGCAAACTTTTTTAACCTTCTTAAATTACATATCATTGAAATAAATGTTACAGTAACTTATTTAATGTAATGAAATTATGCTACGCTGAAAAGCAATTAATAATCAAAACAAGACTTTGCAATTTTTTATCGAGCTTAAAGCTACAGTATTATATGAAGTATACATTTCTGAAAAATGAAAATGTTACGCATCAAACATTATTATTTGTTCACTATACGTAAACATACAAATTAATTTCTTTATGCCTTTTGCTTCAGCAGACTCATGCTGTCTGATTTATATTGTTTCTACAATCTCGCAGAGCAAATTGTGACACTTACCTTTTCACCATCGACACCATCAACACCTTGTTCTCCTTCAACGCCCGCTTCACCCTAAAAATGTTTATGTTTAGAAGCATAACATTTTGTCATGGCAACAAAATGATAGGAAAATGCTTTCAATTGCCACTCAAAATATCAGACTACGGCCTAAATTATCAACCCTCTCTCCATGTCAAAGCTGAGAGGGTCACAATGTTATCATCAATACACATCTTTAGAGGCGATAGACGTGCTAAACCACAAATTATACATGCATTGTAAAACGCATTGACTAAAATTTTCGTCCTTTCTTGGGTTAGCAATGTTTGGGTCAGCAAAGTTTGCCTAGTTGCTTCTCGGATGTTAAAGTAAGTTTCTAAAAATATGTTCTTCCAATAGCCATGTAATTAAATATCTCCAAAGCAAACATATGCTCAGAGAATATCAAACTTGGGTCAACTAATATCAGTGCGTAATTTATGAAGTCAAAATTTAATTGCAATATTGTGGTCCTACCGGTGGTCCTGGTGGACCCGTGCTTCCTTGCTGTCCTTTAGGTCCAGCCTCACCCTAAAACGAGTAACAAAAACATTGAGTACTTAGCACGAGGAGAATGTCTAGTACAAAATGCGCAATTATTTCTGAATAAATTATAAACTTTACTAACAACTTCCCCAGGTGCTCCAGCAGCTCCAGGATCTCCAACTGCTCCCATCGGTCCCTAAATGCACACGACAATTGAAAAGGAGTAGAAAGTATTTCAGATAAATTTGAATTATTTATTGGGAATGTCCAGCTCTTTCATGGCTTGAGAAATCGAACATAACTTTTAACAAGAAAAGCTTAATCTGAGAGGGTCGAGCTTGTAGGTTTTTTTCACATTAACAGCTGCTACTAAGAAACGGCTTTTAAGGCTGAAACACACTGGGCAGTCGCTTCAGTCGCGCGTCCAAAGCGAATTGATGCGCACGCGTCAGTCGCTTGAACGCTAGAAACACACATGCAGCGACCATCGCGTCTTTTACCGTGGCGTCTATTGAACATGGCGGAGATTTCTGTTTGTTACAGACACAGATATCACTTAGACTTTTTATTTTGGCCTTTATTATAGCTACTAATATATGAATATTTACTCAGTACAAACTACTATGTGGAGAAAAGAGAACAAGCCAGTTAAAACACGCCAATATGATCATAGCACATTACGCGTATATCGTGGATAATTCTATTCTGTGAATTTAGGTTGTGCATTAGGGTTCCAGTTTGTAGCTCCTATTGTCCCTATTTGATAAGTCATATAAAAACTGAAAGATTCCAGTGTGAATTCACTATATATTGCCTTCGTTTTCCAAGGTATAATCTATAAATTTCGTATGATGCTTATGACAGGAAATATGATATGCATTTAGGAAGTTAAAATGTATCTATTGGCCAATCAGTGTAAAGCGACTGAAGCGACCAAAGTCAAAAGTTCAACATGTTGAACTTTCAAAGCGACTAGCTGACGCGACTACGCTACTAGCTTAGTAACCACGCAAAGCGGTAGTTTTAGACGCGCGACTAAAGCGACTGCCTCGTGTGTTTCAGCCTTTATGTGTAACGTAAAATAATAAGTACTTCACTATGATTTATCACTAAGCTTTGTATGAATGCAAGCTAGTCATTTCTACAACAATTTTATTAAAGACACAAAATTTCCGATAATTTCCAAACATCCAAAATACAATTGCGTAAGTATATTTCCAATTCAAAACACCTGAGAGATAATCGCATTACTAATATTTTAGTCTTTAAATAAGGTTTAGAAATTGTCTAAACAACAGTGCTGCATTTGAATTTATGAGCCGCTGAAATAATTACGGCATATCCTATAACCAACAACACTACGGGTCATATTAAAGTTCAGAGGCCTATGCTTTGTCACGTCAAGTTATCTAAAAACAAGTTTACCTGAGGGCCTTTTGCACCAGCGTTGCCGGGTTTACCATCAGCACCGTCAGCTCCCTAAAGGAAAAGAGTTAATCTGATGCAAGCTTTCAAAAGATAACCAGTGCGACGTCACAGATGGCAAAATTAACCTTCAACTTTAATCTATTTGAAACAATTAAGTGGAGTGAGTTGACGTAGAGCGAGTTGACGTGGAGCGAGTTGACGTAGAGTGAGTCACGTACAGGAGTTGACGTAGAGTGAGTTGACGTAGAGTGAGTTGACGTAGAATAAATTGACGTAGAGTGAGTTGACGTAGAATAAGTTGACTTAGGGTGAGTTGACGTTCTTTGTTAGAGTGAGTTCCAACCATCATGCATTACTCACTTAATCAGAAATTTTTAGAAGCATGAAATTAACTGGCAAGAGTATTTGTGACTTCATATTTTGCAATCGCTCCAGCCTTGTAGACGTATTTCTTTAAGTAACGTCAATAAATATATGTAATTGAATAATTACTTTAATATTTTTTATGGAAAAGAAGAAATTTAAAGGTATCCGAGTCAGTGCGAAATACAGCGAGACATAAAAATAAACAAACGATGGCAATGCATAATGATAGGTCGATTTTTTTATCTTGTTATTATTTATACTTACAGATGCACCAGGAGCACCATTAGCACCACGACCCCCGCTTGGACCTTGCTCACCCTAAAATTACCATTAATTAAAACCTGATTTTGTACAAAAATATCATCACTAATCGAAATGCTAAGATCGGGAGGATGACAAACCCTGAAAAATCTATGAAGGTATAGATTATCAACGCGAGATTTCTTTTGTTGGCATGTCAACATGTTTTGTAATACAAGGTTTCTCAATAAACTCAGGTTTCTCAGGAGTGTTAGTCGAGATGTCAGGGTAAAATTGCTAGTTGAGATGGGATAGTCAGCTTTGGATGTAAAGAGCATGAATCATGATCTCGACCCAAGAAATAGATCTGATACTCAGACCACCCGTGTTAAACAAGCTAAAACGGGACCATCCCTAGGTTAAGTAAATTCGAAAAACTTACGGGAGCGCCAGGTTTTCCTGTGTTACCAATTGGACCACGTTGTCCAGATGGACCCTGTGTGATAAAAACCAATTGTTTACTCCCACAAAAATAAAATGCAATGAAATGCTGAATCACAAAGTAATATTTTATGGATCAAGTGAATCCGTTTTACACTGCTTCAAAGCCTTGAAAAAAGCGATTAAAAATCCCACCTTCACACCAGCGCTTCCAGGACTTCCAGGAAGACCGCGTGCTCCATCAGGACCCTGGAACAAAAAACGCACATTATTTTCAGTAAACAATATGTCCTAACACTTCGACAGTAAATAAAGTAACTTATCACAATAAAAACAATTCTACAACATTGACTTGCTATCACATGCAAATGCATGCGTTATTTCCCTTGTAAACTGAATGATGTATTTACAGGTGAAACGATGGTAAGTTCAATGCCATTTGCCATTTGATACAAAGTACGTCACTGCACTGTACTTCAGCAACGAAGCGACAAGACCATCAGGAACAGGAGGAGGAGGCAAGAAAAAAAGGGGGGGGCTCGATCGCATATATTTTGGCCATAACCGTTGACCTCTTTAACTTTAATAATTTCCTATGGCGTTGCTAAACTACATGCAACTCAAAAAAAAATGTGTTTGCAAAAACCACAGTGAAGATTCAAACAATAGAGAGTTTTAGTTTTGTGTTTACAGCAAACAACAAACTACCCGCATGCCGTTGAGGAATTCCGTTTCAAAAAAATTTGAATTTAATGTGGCGTTTTGCATTTGTATTTTACAATTCGCATTATTCTGAGCTAAATTTCACGTTTTCTTAAAACTTAGCCGTGGAAAAAAGCATTTTCATGTTATATACTCATACAAAAATATAACCTTGAGCCATTAACGTCATTTTGTTGTATTATAAGTATTAAAACGTTTTCTGTGCGTTAGCTACCGCAAAAAGGGCCTCTTGTAGTTAAAGCCTATACCACAAACTGCAAAGCAATGATCACGTGACTTTTTGCGGTTTGCCATCATTGCGAAACTTTAACTCTCTACAACTAAGTGATTTCCCACCGAAAAAGCTAACGTTGTTTATGCTTATCTATGTGTTGTATGACTTTTTCCACACAACATATCACTGCAGACAAACTTAGCAATAAAAAGTATAAGCTGCTTGTCAAAAAAAAGAAATATTTTTACGATACTTACAACTAATCCTGCATCTCCATCTGGTCCACGAGATCCTCGAGGACCTTGTTTGCCCTGCAGAAAAATTAGTAAAAATACCTAAATACACAAAAATATTTCGCCAACTATAACCCTCCGCTTTGAATAAAGATCACTTCATAATCGTTATATTTATATTAACATAGCGCATTGCCACACAACACTGAGCAAAGAATTTTCCCTACACGAAGCAAATTAAAAAAAAGAAAAATTATCATGTCGACCACAAGTCATGTATTCTGTAGTCTGAACATTTTCATCCGACATTTTCAGTGAACGATTGTTTGCTTTCTCATCACAAGCATCAAAATATTTCATACCGGTGCTCCTTGTTCACCAGGAGCGCCCTTTTCACCAGGTTCGCCGGCTTCACCCTAAAACATTTCAAAAGTCAGTTTTTTGACCTGCGATTTCATTTGCAACTACATAAGAATACCGAAGAAATGACAGTTTATAGGATTTATATGCTTTGAAAATGGATAAGGTATAATGAGAATCAAACAATCAATTTTACAGTTTTTCTAGCACTCGTTATATCAGCTTTATGTCAGAGTTATCTTATTCACGTTTTTTCATAAAAGTATTTCTTTACAGGTCATCTTGAAGACGACAAGATATTGTTCGTGTATAAAGACTAGAAAGTTTTAGTTTAGCGTTTCCTTTCAGAGAGTACGTAGCAATAATTTTGAAGCATTAAGGTTCTCGGTATTTTTTTATAAATACGATTAGGTGAGAGTGCTTCATTGTCTCATATATTATAACACAAATTCTTATTTAAAATCAGTGCATTGTATCAGCGAGAGAGTGTTTGTACAAATATGGTATTCTCACAAGTTTTAATTTATTGTGTAGGTAAAGTGTTACCTTTAGACCCTTGGCACCAACTGGTCCAGCATCGCCGATGCTTCCGCTAAGTCCCTAGGAAAAATTATCAATGGGATCGCAAATATACATAAAAAAACCAAAAACAATAAAAATTGATTAAAATTTTGTTTTAATGAAGTTTAGATTGGTATAACTATTCAATTAGCAAGAGAGTGTTAAATATTGATAAAATCATTAACTTACCCTTGGTCCTTCTTGACCCTTGGGACCTGGGGCACCAGTGTCACCACTGGGACCCTAAAGAAAGAGTATTTCATTATTTTTTATGACTGCAGATTGTGATTGACAAATGACGTATTCATACGGGATTTCCAATTTGACCATCGACACCAGGAGGACCAGCATCACCTTGATCACCCTGAAAATAAAACAAGGTTTAGCTTTGAACTCTCACAACAGCTGAATTGACTTTGACAAAAGACACTCATGGAGCAAAAATGATCTACTTACACGTCTACCAGGTGGTCCTTGAATACCATCGGCTCCAGGTTGTCCATCTTCACCCTAAAGATAACAGATATGGGAAAAAGAATGCCACCATGAAAGTAAATACGAAAGTATAATCTTATGAATATGATGCATAAATGAAATACAAAGAAATCGCTTGCTTTCGTACCCGTCTTCCATCAGCACCATCTTCTCCAGATTGACCAGGTTCACCTTGTTCACCCTTTTGTAATACGTATAAAGGTTTAGTTGTTTGTATAATTAATGACTTCGTATGAAAAGTAACAAATACGAAGCAGTGTGATGTTTCGATTATGGTAAGATACTAATTTCTTGAACAGTTAATACTACGCATGCGCAAAGTACTTATGACTAGATTTAATCACCGATCAAAACAGATTTATATAACAAACAAACAGTGCTTGAGTACATACTCTTGCTCCAGGTGCGCCATCAGTACCGGGAAGACCATCAGGTCCAGGATAACCCTTAAATACAATGAGATGTTTGTTTACGACAAAAATGGCAAATTCTTCGTGAACAAAAATTAAATTTAGCTTAAAGGCTTTGTTCCTTTTAATGAAGAATTTCAAATTCTTAAAGTAACAGTAAATGTCTTTATTGAGTAGTAAATGTTGAATTTATGATTTATAACTAAATACTCAACAAAACCAACAATCGTAAAATCGTACCGAAAGATACGTATCATAAATATGAGAATCGTATTTTTTCCTTTAACAAAACATGTTCAACACATGAATAAATTTTAGAGGAAATATCAAAACGTTTGTTTTAAATTTGCTTTTTTCAAATTATTATGTTATTCTTGAGCAGATGCAACCCTCGACCTTCGGTCTCGGGCTTCCACTGATCTTTTGTAGGGTTCTCTAAAGATGTTTACTGTGTTTGCATAAGCCTTAAATAATAATATTCCTTCTATATGTTACACGTGGTTACCTGATGTCCAGGTGATCCCATAGCACCTTGTGGTCCACGTGCACCTTGAGGACCCTGCAATGTTTATGCTTCATTCATAAAATGGCAACAACACAAACGACTAAATTTTTTATAAGAAAACGCATTGACTGTGATTTGTTCATTTTGAAATTTGATATAGATGGCAAAGAACAGCTTAATGATGAGCTGGATATTTCTATTTCTATAACGACATACGTACATTTCATCATGGTTTTTGACATATGTATCATATTAAACATTATTGCAAGAAGGCATTTTAGTGCTGTAGATAAAGTTACATTGATGCGAAAAGGGAGAATTTTGCATTTTCTGATGTTCTGAATGTATGAACATGCAAAATTGTACATTTCTCGATGGAAACTACATTTGTATGAATTGTACATTTCTCATGTTACGCAATAAAAATCTACTGTACTTACAGGTCGGCCGTCACTTCCAACGTTACCAATTGGACCGTTATCACCATCACGTCCCTTAACAATTGAAGCTCTTTCAGTTAAGTTTTATTATTACAACATTCACAAACATAAAACAAAACATTGATTGCCGAGTTTTTGGAAAAACGAATGATTTCTTTAAAAAAATTTCTTTCCTTGCTGAACCTTAAAGTTACTAATACTCAAATAACAGAACTTTAAGTCAAGAAAGATCGTATGCTAAAGTGCTATACATGTGTGTTAAACATTAAACAAACTATTAAAAATTCAGTTAATAATTGAATCATTTTTCAGGTTGCGTGTTTTTTCATTATTCTTGTGAAAAAAAAGAATAACAATGTCAGAGGGAGCATACTTTGCAAGCACAAAAATGCACAGACATGTTTCAAATGCACTTACTGGAGCACCTCGTGGACCTTGGGGACCAGGTGGTCCTTGTAGACCCTAAATAACATTGTTAAACAAAGTTTAATCCTTTGGAGACCCCAACTAACATCAGTAAATAGCCTAACACGTACTTCAAAACCTTACGTAAATTACACTAATAAATAAGATTTAATTCCCCTGTAGGTCCAAAATACCTTTCGAAAAAATAACATTTGAAACCTAGAAGCAACTTGACTTTATCAAAAAAAAAATTAGTCAATAAAGTAACTTTATCTCCGATAACCATCTAAAAGACACTTCAATATCTATGGTCTTCATTATCAGCCATATTGTCGTTTACGTATCTCTTTAGCTCAATTTATCAAAACGCCAAGTATCAGCAATTGACTAACGTTGCTAATGTTTGACAAAATACTTACAGCATTGCCAGGAGCACCATCCCTGCCTTCTTGGCCGGCCTCTCCCTAAAAGAAAACAACGATTAAAAAAATTTGCTTTATATTTTATATCACTATCATCCGCACTGAAGATGGCATTGTGTTAATGTCGAAACATGTTTGCTTTTAAAAAAATCATCGTTTTTATTGAATGTTTTTTAAATTTGTTGCTACTCGAAATTATTTTATAATTTACACAAGCAAAAGCATCAATGAACAACTGGATCTATTAAGTCAGTTTTTAATCCTTTCAAGGGGCGGTGTTGCCACATGGCAATAAAAACAAAATGATTGGAAGCACATCGAGAAAAAAAACTCGGCTGCTAAAGGGTTAAAATCAAAATCCTCAAACTAAATAGAGACAATATTCATATGCAGAAAAACTCCTATAAGTTGACTTTCGTATATATATTAATCAAACCAGATTTTTGCGAAATCAAATGAAAACTTACAGCAGGACCAACACTACCAGGCAGACCAGGAGAGCCTTGTTCACCTTGAATTCCCTGTAAAAAAAATTATATACAGCGATTGACATGATACAGACAATCCAATAATTATTTAGCACTCCATTTACTTACATGAAGTAATTATACAATAATTTCAGAATATGCATAAAAGAATAAATCACAGAACAAACCTCTGGACCAGTTTCACCAACAGGACCAACATCACCACGAGCACCGGGAAGACCCTATCAAACCATGAAAATACACAATTATCTCTTTAGAGTCTTCAAGATCAGAGAGGCAAGAGCACAATCAACAAATGTGTTTTTAAAGATGACCCAAAACGGATAGAAAACAAGGTAACTGACAACAGGAAATGTACGACTTACATCTTTTCCGGCTACACCTTTATCACCAGATGGACCTTGATCACCCATTGAACCCTAGAACAACATTTTATAATTTAAACTATAATTTCATACGTTGAAATTTAATAAGATTAAATTGATCTGAGAAGGTTTATTAATTGAAATTCAACATAAAACAGATGGCTACATTGTACTTTGAAGATCATGGATAATTAGGATTGTTGACAACAGTATTGTTGAACAAAAACAACTTTTTATCTTAATAGACAAAAATGTGAAATCGATCGATTTTCCCTCTTGTTTTGTCAGGGTAAAACTTCTAAAAACATCAGCTCTTATTGAAAATGAGATGAAATGTTACGCTCCATTTTATTAACCAAATGTAGTTAATGACTAGTTTCAATCGAAATTATAATTCAATTATAACTTACCTTTTCGCCTACTTTTCCTTTAGCTCCCTTTTCGCCGCGAGCTCCTTGATCACCCTACACATAAAAAACAAGTAAATGTTCATCCTAAAAACAGCATATCTCACAATTGTAACGCGATTGACTCGAGATCGTCGCATTTTAAGGAAAACTCGGTGTAATTTACATGGCATAAGTGCACATTGCCTTATGTTAAATTAAAGTTAAGCTTGCTAATTCTAGCAATCAGAAAGTGGGTAAGATATCACATCAGGCGCCGTCCCTAGTTAATGGTAGAAGAATTGATGGTACAATTGCACTGAAATGAGCAAAAGCACTTTGTGAAAAAGTGGTGTGATTAATGTTCGTAGTTTATCAAACTAACGTAAAGCGAGAGGAGAAATAAGTATATGAAATTTGCAAATGTCTTACTTGAGCACCATTCCCGCCAGTCATGCCCATACGACCTGGAGGTCCTTGTGGCCCCTAAAAATTCATAATGATCACAAATTAAAAGGAGTAAACAAATACTGCTATCATGACGACATGATACAAAATACAACTGCATTTTTAAGTCCTGCATCATTCATGTTCTCTTATCAAATGATCAAAAAATCAATTCAGTAACAAAGATCATTTCACACCAATCGCCAGTCGCAGAAAAACTAAGTATGAACCATGAATTACCCTTGATCCTTTATCACCACGAGAACCAGCTGCACCAGCAGGGCCCTACGATACAAAAAAATCAGTGATTTGTACAGACGAAAAAGAAATGACATATTAGAACCGAGGGTAAAAAGAATTACAAGCTCATAAAAATTTTGTCGGCGACATAAAAACAACATTGCTTTCGGCCGAAGCAAAAAATGATACATTTTACCAAAGTGATAGACGGACTGTATAAAGAAGCTAAAAGAGACGACTAAAGAAAAACATTTTAAAAAGTACTTACAGCAAGACCTGGTTTGCCATCTTCACCATCTTGTCCGGGGAGACCGGATGCACCCTAAAAGAAAGCAAGTGTTTTACATAACAATTGATAATCATAAACATGTAACAAACAATAATATACGTAGCACTCTCTTCTTGCAATTAGGTCATTCATAATTTTGATCCAAATAAATTTTGCGTTTTTTTGGTAAAAAAAAAGTTTTCTTGAAATTTTTGCATAAGATCTTTAGTCTTGTGAATATGAAGATTTATATTCAGAAGAAGCTACCTACGTATGTACACTATTGATAGCGTCTATAAATAGAAATTGATTAACATGATCACAGTAATTAAAACGACATGACGATACGTAATGCAAAAATTTTGTTTTGTCAAGTGTGTACAATGTTTAAGAATAAATTTATAAAAGAGGAAAGCCCGGACACCATTTGTTTTACGATACAGCGTCTGCATTAACTTCTTCACATAAATATATCTGGTATACATACTCGATCACCAATATCACCAGGTTCTCCGTCAATTCCAGGTTCTCCCTAGATGGAAATAGGTAAAAAGCTAAGTCTTAAAAAAATCGTCCAAATGTCTTTGATCTCAGGCGTAAAGTAAGGCAACTTTACATTAAGGGTTATTTTTTCTGGATACATTGTTATCAAGTGAGGTTGTTGTGCCCTGATAAATTTTCTTTCTGCTGTTTCATTGAGGGTTATTTTGCCTTGATACATTGTTATCAAGTGAGGTTGTTGTGCCTTAATAAATTTTCTTTCTGCTGTTTCATTGAGGGTTATTGTGCCTTGATACATTGTTATCAAGTGAGGTTGTTGTGCCTTGATAAATTTTCTTTCTGCTGTTTCATTGAGGGTTATTTTGTCTTGATACATTGTTATCAAGTGAGCTTGTTGTGCCTTGATAAATTTTCTTTCTGCTGTTTCATTGAGAGTTATTGTGCCTCAATACATAATTATGTTGTTGTTACTTTGGGGTTATTTTGTCTTGACACAGAGTTTAGTCGCTGTTAAACTTGGGCTTAATGTATAACGTACCGTGCACTTTTTACATGGATTATATTAAAGAGCAAAGTAAAAAAAATTTGCCTAACATTTATGTTTATGTATGACAGATCTTTTTTAAAAAATATGAAGATTTTCACCGCAATAAACATGAGCGTACCTGATCACCACGAAGACCGACGGCACCAGGTAAACCAGTTTCGCCTTTTTGACCCTAAATACGGAAAAATGATATTTTTATCTCGTCTTGAAATGACCCTTTCCAATCCACGGTATTTTTTGACTTATAAAATTTAGAATTCGTAGAAATACAAATAAAATGTGTCAAAAAATGAGCCCACACTTACAGATGGACCTTTCACTCCTTTAGGACCAACTGGACCACGAGCTCCACTAGCTCCCTGTTTCAAAAATATCATTTAATTAACAAACATTAAATTGTCACAGCAATAACCATGGATGGTAGCAGCCAAACAAACATGATGCATGTGAGCTACAATACGGATTTCAAAATTTTTCGATTCAAACTATTGCTATAAGCTCTACAGACCTTAGGTCCAGGGTCACCAATCCTTCCTGGAGGTCCAGGGGCCCCAGTTCGTCCCTATATTGGAAATAATGAACAGAATTTGATTAACTAATGAAGGCTACAAGAGAACAGTAACACATTTTATTAGTACGCATCCTCAAAACTACCATTTCGAAATCAATCTATAATTGTTAAAGCACAAGTCGTTGAAAGCAACATTATAATGCATTAATATGTCAGAGATAGTTACAGTATCTTTGATTCTTCGTCTATTTCTTATGGTAAAGTTAATGCTTTCATCCCTTAGTAAACTTTCAAAAATTCACTTTATAATCTCAACTATTGCATATTCTTGTTGAATTAGAATTGTTCATATAACAACTAAAGCGATTCAATTTATGGCTTCAATTGATTTAGAGGCTGTGTACATCATACCGGCCAGATTCAATGAAGCGTGAAAGGATTTCGAGGCATTAAAAAGAGTGAAACCTTTAAGCGAAAAAATTACAACTGTTCATTAAGCGCCACAAGTCATTCCTGTTGTAATTCTCAAATAAGGCCAGTTACTTGTTTTCATTATAATGCTTTGCGTGTTAGAATGTTGTGAAAATGATCCAGAATATTAATCTGATGATAAGCATTTAATCTTTTCCATTATCCGAAATCATTTATCGCTAGGGTGAATCTCGGTTGATCAGGCTCATTTATTCGGCTTCTTACTTGAATAAACAATAAACAATAAATAATAAACAATAAACATAAACATAAACACTAAACAATAAGCATTAATCAAATGAATGATTTTTAACGTAGAATAAGTTCCCAGAATTTTCTCATCGCACTCTCGTACAATTTCGCATTTTTATATTTCATGCAATGTGTTTTGCACAAACTATGCTACAAGAATTATCAAAGTTTTATACATGTGAAATGGCATGCTGAGAGTTAGGTGTCAAATCCAACAAGAACATTAAAGGCATTGCTTTATTGTCGTTGCCATGTTGTTCATAAGCCAACGTAAAAACTCTAATAAACTGTCAAGATTCTTTTCAAACAAAATGAAACAATAAACTGATATACGTTTAGTTACGGTTTTTAAAAAGGCCATATTTTCATTTATGCATCAGTGAGACTACTTTTTTCATATTTTAACTGATAAAAACATTACTTACTCGTTCACCTTGCGGTCCATCATTGCCATCAGGACCAGGAGGTCCTTGTTCACCCTATCGTATTAAAATATGTAAATAAGCATCGAAACATGCAAACATAATTTGGCAACACAAATATAACCTGGATTCGCCCCTCCAATCTTAATTTACGTCCGACGACCCCGATGATGGAAGTAAATAAATCAAACCTAACCTTAACCCTGACCCTAACCCTAACTCAAACTCAAACTCAAACCCAAACCCTAACCTCTATTAAAATAGACTAAAAATGCACATCCGGCGTAATTTGGAATCATTAACAGTTTATCATGCGGCTGTTTACTGAATTTCAAAAGAACAACATATTACTAATCGAAAAACTTTTGACGTAAATAGAATTGTAAATTAAATCAACGTAAGACTGAGCAGTGGTGGTAATATCTGTTGAGGTCTATGAGCTATTGGGACTATAAAAGTATTTGATATAATGTACATACAGGTTCTCCATTATCACCAGGTCGTCCTGAGTTACCAGGATATCCATCATCTCCCTAAAGAGAATTAAAAAACTTGTTTACAATCACACAACCATTATCTGCAATAGACATTCATATTTTCTATCATAATTGTTAAATTTCTATTGTAATGATAGGGTAACTTACCCTCTCACCATCTTCACCAGGTTGTCCATCTTCACCAGTAGGACCCTAAAATATATGAAATGTTGAATTTTTCACGAAATGACAATTTTTTAATCAAGACTTAATGTCTGAGAGATAATTTATGAATCAAGTATTTAATTTTAACCTAAATTAAGTTTTAAAATTTATTTCAGATAAAAACACTAAAACGCATGCGCAGATGGGTCTATAGCAAGTTTGCATTAGCCTGTGAAAGCTGATCTGAGCTAGATCAATTAAATGAATCAATAAGAATATGCAAATCAATCATAAATAAATGTTAGAGGAAAATTAAAACGTTTTTTTAAATTTATTTGTTTTGCATTATTGTTATCTCAAAAAAGAAATAAAAGATGTTTTTTGTGTTTGCATTCGCTTTTGCAAACTTCGATGACGTTTGTTTAAACTCTCAAGCAGATGCAACCCTCGACCTTTGGTCTTGGGCTTGCACTGATCTCATATTCACCCAAAGGTCTCCTCAGTTTGCATAAGCCTGTGCAAACACAATATACATCTTTTATTTTTAAACTGAAAAACGTAAAATTCAGTTGTATAATCAAGATGCCTTTCAGCAAATATTTACTCACCTGAGGACCGGGTGGGCCAGTCAAACCTTGATTACCCTGTTCACCTGGATCACCAGTAGCACCTTTTGGTCCAACAGCTCCAGCAGGACCAACTTGTCCCTAGATATAAGCAAGTACATTCTTATCAAGAACAAGAATTGATTACGTAGCCGAAAAAACATTTCGCATATCTCTCCGTACAGGGTCTCCTTGTGCACCGGCCTGTCCAGGAGGTCCAGCTTCACCTCGTTCACCCTAAATAAAGAAAATATATCTAAAATTGAAGAAGGAAGATGTTTTAATGATTCAACGCAAAAGAATACCTCTGGACCTTCATCACCCTGTGGACCTTGGTCACCTTGAGCACCAGGATCACCAGCAACACCAGGAGGGCCAGCAGGACCTTGTGTACCAACATCACCCTAATAATCAATTTAGATGTCGGACTTAAATCTCCAGTAACAAAGCACGCGAAGAATACATTATATTGTGTTTGGTGTGTATTATTTAAAAAAATCTGACACATGATCCTTTTCAAACACTACAAAAAGGTACACTTCATTGTGCAAAAGACGTGACAACCGCCTGACATGTACCATACACATTAGAAAATAATAGAACGCACTTCACCATAAAAATGTTTTTAAGAAGCTCAACTATACATCTCATTTCAGCCATCGTGGCTTCAGGATTATTAGACCGAGTTTTTCTGATCCACATGTGTTTGAACCACATATACGCTGTTATGATCAGAAGATACAATATACAGGAATGTGGTTAATAAGCCACCCCCATATAAAATCATCGGTATGGGTTCGTTACTACTCATTTTTAGAGAAATACTAAAGAAATAATGGCTTAATGTTCAAAAATATATAAAACAAAAATGTAATGTTAACAATCGTTAACTATATAGCTTTGAAAAATAAAGTAAAGAAAAATAAATTTTTTATAGAAATTTCGAGATATTATTATTTGTCAACGTGATGTTTTGTTGTTCTGTAAGGTTATCTTATAAGTATTCATCGTATTTTCCAACTATAAATAATAACTATTAGAAGTGTTACTTACAGGATAACCAGCAGGTCCTCTTTCTCCTGGTGGACCAGGATCACCCTACAACGTTACCATACCAAATAAAATTAAAATGCATGATTACAAATTACATTGCTTTGAATGGGTATAGGGTTAAAAATTTGATCCCATAAAAGGCACTTGTAAAACTTACGCGATCTCCTTGTTCGCCTTGGTCACCTTTAGCACCTGGTTGTCCATCCAAACCCTAAGCAAGTAAGAATTATTCTCACAGCTGCCAACCAACTTAAGCATCATGATGATTTATTATTGATTCACAAATTTGTATTTATGGTGGTACGTATATGCTGGAGAACTCTTTTTTACTGTTTTTTGAACTAATGTATATAAAGACGAAGGCAAAACATAACACGAAAAAGTATGTATACACAGATTGTCTCAAATGAATATTTAATAGCTTGATGAAAATTGAATGAAAAAATTGACTTACTGCACTTCCAGGCCGTCCTGGAACTCCTGCTACTCCATTAGCACCCTAATTAAACAGTCAACAAATTAAAGAATTCCTGTATTTAACTTGATTGGAAACCGTAGGAAATCATTACAGGTTGTCCTTTTTGTCCCTTAGGTCCCTGTGGACCTGTATCTCCTCTCCATCCTCTATCACCTTTGAATCCTTGGATACCCTTCTCACCTTTTGGACCTTGCACTCCCTAAACGAGAAACTTCTTGCTCAACAGGATGCATATCACATAGATAGTTTCAACGATTGTTGTCTTATTGTCAGTGCAACAATTTATCCTTGGCACTGGTATGTACGCAAGAATTTTTTGTTTCATTCGCTACTCACGAATCATTTCAATCGTTTGAAGTGCGACTACATGAAAACGAGGCTTATCAACTTCTGCCATTGCAACTTAACTTAAACTTTTTAGGCATTCATGGAATTTTCAGAAAACAACGTACGGAGAGCGAAAATGGAGAACATCTTTCCTTCATGCTGCGGTTGTAATAAGATCATCAGTGCAAGTGAAACATTTTTAGTACCCATGCATAATTTACGTAACACATGATAGATTCACATATACTAACCAATTAAATGCCCTGAATTCTTAAATAAATAATTTCCCTTGAAAGTATATAATGAAAAAAACAAACCGCATCTCCAATACTTCCACGAGGGCCACGATAACCTTTGGCACCACGTGCACCCTAAAAGAGTTCAATGTTTTATCTTTAAGATTAATCCACACTTTGTAATCAAAGCAATAAAAGGCAACTAGATGTCAGCATTCATGATCTGAATACAATTGAATTTTATTAAATACTAGAAAAAATTAGATTTAAGTCAAACTTACAACACCAAATTTAGATAATTGCTTTTTAAATTATAGGAAAGCTTATACCTCAGTGATTAAAAAATTATACTCACTTGATCTCCTGGAACACCAGCATCTCCATTATCACCAGTTGAGCCAGGATCTCCCTAAATGTTTGTGTACGTTACTCTTAGCTTTCTAACATAATTGATTAAAATGTATTGCCACAACTCAAAAGCTTGCACTGATCTAAGTCACATGTATTCTTTCCCAATTTTATAAACTATCTTAACCCTGGGTAAACAGATTGAGCATGTAAATTAAAGCATAGGCAAAACATTAAGGGATTATCTGACCAAATGAAAATAACTAACCTAAAAGTTATAAAGATGCAGGGGGGATGTTATTTGGCTTAAATCATATTTTCAAAACTTAAATACCTCAAACAACTTATTTATACAGAGTTCACAAAAATTAACACAAAAAGAGTCTGAGCAGGACATTATGAAAAGTCAAAATATCTTATACTGATTAAGCCATTAGAAAATAAGGAGAAAATCTGACATGTAAATTGTGTACTGTAACACAGATTGAGTGCATTAAATAAATCATATTCTGTGCAAGACTGCGACATTAATTATAAAGGTTGCTGTACTTACAGGAGGACCTCGAGGACCTTCATGACCTTGTGGTCCAGCTTCTCCTTTGTAGCCCTACAAAAATGTAATAGTTCAAAGATTTACATGTTTTTTTTGAAAAACATGTAAGTTAAAACTTGTTCATCTGAGGTTTTCACATTTGTAATGAAAGCTTTATTAGTATGTGAACATGTATGTATGTAAGGTTCATTTCTATAGCATTGAGAAAAGTCACGTCAACATGGTGTATACATACATATGTCACTCATCCAATGTTAATTTATTAAGAAAAAATTCAACATACGTCTCGGCCAGGTTGACCATCATCACCAGGAGGACCGGGTGGACCCTATATGGGAAAATAAACTTCTGTATATTTTCTAAATCTACAACCTTATATACGTGTTCATCAATGAACAGCAGAAATCGATTGAAAGCCATTAAATAAATTTAACGCTTTTGTGAAAGAAAGTTACATATATCATGTCTAAGCTAAAATATAGCAATTTTCGTCTGCTACAACATCGTCAAATTTGGTAAAAAAAACTCCTACTTACAGGTGGTCCAGGTCTGTGGATAATATTCTATGGAGGAAAACCATAACAATATAAAAATAGGTACACACGAGCGGGCATGTGTGTAGCCTTTTAAAAACACAGTTCAAACAGTTTAAATTTATTCAGTGTACATAAACGATAAATCGGTCAGTTTTATTTAAATAAAAGCAACATATTTTCTACGCGTTTTTGAAACTGTACGTAGTAATTAGAAGAACTTGTGCAATTTATCTTTCTACATTACTACTAACGTTAATATTTGACAGAACCGAAAAATTGTCAATTCTTCTGTTTTTGCTTAATTGCTGTGTATTCAGCTGTGTATTTTAAAACCTGCTTTGCAGCAGATGTGAAAACAATGAAAGAAATTTAGTTTTTTTTTTGAAAAACAGAAACAAAAACTATGAAATAATCGACAATTTTTCTGATTTGAATTATGAACAATTAGTAACACTATTAGATGTAGCAGAAGTCTACTCGACGATAACTGTTTGTATGTGGCACAAATAGGTAATTGGGTGCCATTTATGCCATTTCACAATAAATTTCAACTTTGTAAGTCGATTTTTGCGAGACAAAACATTTGTTTCTTCTATCGAAACGTCAAGAAATTTTATATTCTTAAACATTTTCAAAATACACTTCTAGTGCACATTTTGCAGTCTATATCAAGGGCAACTATGTTCACCCAACTCACCCCGGTATTAGTGTATGGTCGGCCTGGAGGACCTGCAACACCAACATTGCCTGGGACTCCCGGAGCGCCTGGTAAACCCTGAAACATACATAAAAAAATTGAGTGGGGAGGGATGAAAATATGTTGCAGAAATTCTTCTTTAAAAACAATGCAAGAGAAGAAAGGTGACACAAAGGAGTTTGAATTTGGGTAAAACAAGTTGTGAGCTGCTTGTGAGTCGCTTTTGGCCAAGTTGCAAGTAATATTTAGTACTACACAATAATTGTATACTTTACCCTTCGGCCTGGACCTCCTTGAAAACCTTTCAGACCTCCTTCACCTGGGGCTCCTGGGAAGCCCTTAAATCAAAATAAATCAATAATTATTAGACGTAGCGTAATGCTGCAATTTAGGGCGCTAAATCTTTGTAATTTTAATTTACATCACAAAAGAGAAAAAGAAGTATATATTTTTACTTGTTAATTACGAAATAGACAGCTGAAATTAGTCTTTTAACATCAATTTATTATATGACAGGCGTCACTTTCCATGGGGTAGCGAACTTTGATTTGTTTAGAAGCATTTTAGGATGTACCGTTAAACGAAACTTTTGAAATACGCAAAGTAAACAACAAAAATTTCTAAACCAAACAGTGCAGTTTTCATTATGTATTCCATATGCAAGCAATTAAAGAAAAAAATAAAATACATGCCCTGTTTTTGAGTAATCAACTTTTTACAAACCACGCGCTTTTGCTTAAGCAGCTAATTAAAAAATAACATTGTTACTTACTGGTGGACCTGGATCACCCTTTTCTCCTTTTAACTAAGATAATAGAATATTGTAAACACTACGGAATAAAATGTATGAGCAAAAAAACAAATTTAGGAACTTACAACTTCGCCAGAACCTGTAAGAAAAAAAGGGGAAAATCATAATTAATCACATCAAGATGAAATCAAACATGCAAAGAGCAAAACCAGTGAGAAAAACAAATGCTTTCTTCTGACGTGAAGACAAAGATGATAAACTTTAACTTTAATTTACTATTTTTAAAATCATTTTTTTTCAAGCAACCCTGTTTCCAATCAAAATTTTGCTTTATTGCAGGAAAACAATGCCTTAATTATGAAGTAATTTATTAAGACTTAAACTGCCAAACATACGCTTAGACCATTATTTTTGTAAAGACGAAGAGAAACAAAAGATGCGGCAAAAAGAATGCTGTGTGACATACAAATAGACAGTGTATCAATTAACTTTGTAACTATGCAAGAATTACAAAAACTACCAGCATTATGTGTAAATTTGCACACGTTAACTTTCAAAAACCGATAAAGAAATCTGTTCATTTACGTGTGGAAACATGAAGACCTTAGTGAGCACAAACCTATTGGTCAATGAAAGTTAACAGAAAGACCGCTATTTGAGGAAAAGCATATGTGAATTTATGCCGCAATTACAATTGAAGCAATTTCAACCAGCAATTCATTTAAAGTCATTTTATTCAGAGTTTTTGACGTTTCAGTAAATCAAACATGTACGCTCGAAAGGTCGTTTTGATGCCAATATGCTTAGGGAGAGGAGAAAAAATAGAAAGAAATGTTTCTAATTTTGATTGCGCAATGTAAAATGACAAAGATTGACTCAAACATAAGCTTCGTTCAAACGACAAAAATGCTCCTACGATATTACGACAAAGCTATTTAAAAAGTGCGCACAGGTTAAGATCAAGTATATCGCAATTGAAGACGACAATCACCTATTGTATTAATATACGTAGGTTGGTCGGGAACAATCTACAAGTTTTTTGCGTGATTTAGAAAAAGTAAATGAAAAAAATTAAACGAATTTGTAGAATGAATGTCGAAAGAACATGAATACAAAGTCATGGAAAATTCCTTTAGAAAAATATGTACACACAGAAGCTTTATGTAATGCGACCCTTGGCCGAACTGTTCAATGTGTGTTTGCGCTTCAGACACTGACCTCTTTGTTGTCGGTGTCTATGAGACAAAGAAAAACTCTAATAACCACTAAGAAAAAATCTATCATTCAGTTTCAATTAGACTTGTAGCAAAGAAGAATTTTAGACCCTGCTTAAACCAAAACGTTTGTCACGCTGCACATAAGTCGTGAGTCATTACATCAAAGCAAACATTTTACAAATGCCAGGGGTGGCTTCACATAAATCCCCAAAAAGATAGCATTAAAATCAACAACGGTGTTTTCACGCAAACTAGCAATTATCCATACACAAGCTTCATCATGAAGTCAATGCTTATTATCATATTGTATTTTTATACCCAACCCTGCTTTGAAAACTTTAAGTAATAAAGGAAAACCTTCAAGGTTTTATTTGCGCATTTTATTCAAAATAACCTATCAAATCTAGACATACGCATCCATGAAAATCTCAGTATTTTGGTGTCATTAAATGATCATTATAAAAAATATGTTATTAAATAGAAGAGTATTGTGATTTAAACTGTGATGAAACGAACAACATTCAATGCACTCACCATCTGGCTCAGCTGTTTGCGACTTGGCGATACTTATTAAAACAGCGATACTGAATAAAACTGCTAAGTTCCTTAACTCCATCTTATCAACCTTTTGGTGACGAAACCAAGGTTAACCACGGAGTATATTTGCAGCTACAATGGAGACAAATGAGACTAAGTTGTTTCGTGCAGTCTTGGTGTATCATGCAACACAACCGACTGCTGCCAATAATACCTGCATGCAATGAAAGTGCGCCAGTTAATCTCCTCGGATTTCACACAAAATAGTCGATTGTTCTGTAACATAAAACCCAATAGACAGTAAACCTCATTCAAACGATACATGCAAATGAAATAAAATTGCACACTTTAAAAAAGAATTTTTACCAAATATTTGTTTTGGTAAGAAGAGCAACTTCGTTGAGAAAACCACAAAATAGAGAAAATTAATTTTCACAAAATGTACGATACTTACTCGAAAGTTTATTTATTGCAAAAGTTACATATTAAACAGGCTTCACAGCGGGATTCTGTAATACGGAATACAACTGGCATTGTAGAGAAGACCTAATACAGTATTTGCTTATTGCATTGTGTAGCATCAATTCTATCATCTCCTCGACAAAATTTCCTCACTATTGCGACAACTACACTTTGGGTCAGGTATTAAAAACATACGTAGGCTTATCAAGACGTTTCTTCAGCTAAAATTATTCTTTACATGGCATACATCTGAGATGCAAGTGATTCTTCGTGTTACTTTAGTGATTTCATGAATTTGCTACGAATTTAAAACCAAAACGTTTAGCTTCGCGTAGTTCAGCATCAAAGAGAGGCATTGAGAGCCGACCAAATCGAGCATTCAAAAGTTCACAGCCATGACTGAGCTAGATTCAATTCTTAATCATATTTTTCTGCTAAAATAAGTTTTAATTTGAAGAAAACACATTCTATCCAAAATCTATTGCTAGATTGAACAATGTTTGACTATCAATAATAAGGCGAGCTGAATTCCTTGTTAAAAAACGTGAAGAACAAATGGTCGATTATACAATATAATTGTTATACACTGCAATGAGTACAATCTACAATATATTTGAAAAATATTAATCATCACCAATCGGGGAAATGTTAACACCCATATGCATTGGCCAAAAAATCACAAGAACAATTTAGTAATCACTATATACTAGAAATACTACTTCCGCTATAAAGATCAATGTGGAGTCGACGGTCGCTTTCGAAGTTTTTGGAACGAAAGAGGAAAGCCTGGAGAAGATGTTGTCAAGTACATTTCATGATATCGTAATTTTTTTATGATACTGGCAATTCCATTCTAAAGACATCATTAAATAATCAGAAATACTGTACAGTGAGATTTAGACGCAACAGGGTTTGCACTGTACTTGCACCCCTCAACCCGTTACCATGCTAAAACATGGATTGAAAACAAGTCAGAAGAACACAAATTTTTTTGTTTCTTAAAAAACATCGGCGATTGTCTGGGACAGTTCCCCATGTCTGGTTTTCAATGATAATGGTCGGCGATTGTCTGAAAGCTGTTTTTCCGACAACCGCCGATGAATTACGATTACGACAGTTAGCGACACATTCCCGCCACAACATTTTGATACGACGTTGTTTCAAAGCCATCATTTTTAATAAAGTCTGCATATAATACGCCTAAATGCATACTCATAATCAAGCCACGTGTACGTACAAAACAAAAAAGCTAATACCAACCAATTTAATAAAAAAAAACAAACATATAAAATTTGAACATATTATTTAAAAAATCTGAACAACGATATTGAAACAGTGATCCGGCCATTTTTTTACATGAAAACAATGAATAAAATTACTTTTCTCAAGAAATTAACAATAGTTTTAAGAAAAAGAGTGAAAATTAAAGCTCTTCGCACGGTATTAACGCAAAAAGTCACACACAAGATAAATCATGTTCCACTGACTTCATAAACATACATCAACTACAATTATTGACAAAAATTCAGACAATGCTTGTCTGAGAAAATCATTTATCATAACATCTCAAGACATATATTATTATCGATTTTAAGTCAAAGAAATTTAGTTTAGTAATAAGAAATTATAAGTTTATAAAGGAATACATATAACGACACGCATTGCATTCATGTTCTACTTAAATCTCCATTAAATATTTCAAGGAAATCTAACGTTTTGTAGTTAGATTGAGTCAAGAGTAAAGAATCTGCGGACTGTACACCTGTAAATAGATAAAATTATTTAGTAAATGTACCTTAAAAATTGCTATTACTTGGCAAAAAAAATTTATTCACATGTAGATTTACCCATGGGAAAACTTTACACAAAGGTCATATATAGCAGTATTTGCAACATAGAAACATGTTTTTGTAGCAAAACTTAGTGGAAAAATGTATTCTTTGAAAATGCATACCCAAGACCAATGGCATTTTTTCAAATGTATTTTGAAATTAAAATTTATTTTGGATAATTTTGCATAGATTCGCAAGTAACAAAAAATTGACAAAGACTTGTGTAATGAAATACAAATTTATATCAAATAATAGCCAAGCAACATAACAGCTTTAAGCAGACATTCAACTATGAAAGAATAGTATCAATATGTAAATATGCACAGATGCTAAAAATAATTTCCCCAGATTTATACATGATTAAAATAAACTTCATAAGACCTTTTTCTCACAAAATATATTGTATTCATTCCTTGGCTGATAATATAGTTTGGTCTTCACATCCTCAAAGCAGAAGTTACTGGCCTGCCAAGGCTTAGCCTTTAGCAGCAAACAATTCTTATCTTATAAAAAATTCATTGTCTCACAAGATGAAACACAGATACATGAAGATGGCATAAACACAACAGAAGATGCTTACATACATACATTAAAGAAAATTGTTGTTCACTTGCAACTTGTAATAATGAAGAATTTATGAAAGTATATAGCAAATCGGTAAAGACTATTTGGATTTTATCAACCATTCTCAATCAAATTCTTAAACAAAAATCAAAAAGTATTCATACATATAAATGACTGTTAATGGTTTTGACATTTTGCACAAATTTAATTATCGCAAGATGCAGATGTTGCATATATATATTGATGACTTTTGTCAAAAAACTATCACTATGGAAACAGCAATGCAATTGAACATCAATATAAGTGTTAAGCTCATTTCATAGACCAAACATATGGCAGTACATGTTTAGTTTAAATCGCAACAAATTTTGGAGCTGATATTGTACACACCAATAAGGATATTCATAGTAAATGATTGGAAATAACGAACAAAATCAAATTCAATCTTTTCTATTATAACCAATAGTTACTGTATATTCATGCTGAAACTAGATTAACAGGTTACCATAAAGAAGGCCTACAAAGCAGGCTGAGTCAAGAATGCTAGACTGTTAGTAGACTCATTGATATTTTGTGAATCAAAAATGAATATGATAAATATAATATTACCTTTCTATTGAACTATAATGTTATTTATTGGAATATGTATCAACTTCACAAAAAAGCCAATGAAGCCCATGATGGCAAAACCAATAGCAGTGGCAATTGCAATCTTCTGAAACTCTAAAGCGTAAAATACCATTAAATTACACAAGTACATTTCACAAAAACAATCATCAACAATGTCACAATAGGTAAAAATATTCTATGTTTTTCACGAAAAAGTTAAACCAAATATTTCTATTCAGATATCAAACGACAATGTTCGCCTTCACACTTTCATAATCACTTTGGGGGTACATGCAAGTGGCATCAGTGAAATTTCTTAAAATTGCTTTCAATTGATGTAAACTATCATAAACAGGAGTTCATTAACGTAATATACTTTAAACATAATGAAACAAACCTTTCCTATCTGGTTTCGTGCAACGTTTCACTAGTCTCATAGAATCTTTGGCGAACTCTTTACATGGCTCCAGTGCGTTTATGATTTGGTCCATTTCTTGGATATTTTGTAGAAGTATACTACGGATTATCTAAAACATGAGTTTAAAATGAAAACATGTCTAAGTAAAATATTTGAAAGCGATTTATGAATGATTTTTGAAGAACATGTTTACCTGAGTATTTCTGAACGTTACCGTAATTGATATTTGATGACATTGAAAACAGAAATTTTCTAAAAGAAATGCATTATGGGATAGAAATAGAATAAGATGACGTCTGTGATTACGTGTCCTTTAGACAATACTTCATGTAATAAATAATTGTAAATACTTACGAAACTTAAAAGGACCATTCAATTCTGTAACTCAATGGAAAGGACCATTGGAAAGGACACGTCGCCACATTTTATAGAATAAAACATTTACATTATGAGTATAAAATAAGTAATGAGAGATAATAAAGTAAATGGTTTGAGCCCGGGAGTATCGTTACATGTTTGTAAATCTAGATCGTCCAGGTTGGTATAGTCCTGAGAAGGACTGTTTTTGTTGTTGTTGACTGACGTTTTGACAACCTTAGCGGTAGTCATCTTCAGAGTCATTTGACTCTCATTTGACTCTGAAGATGACTACCGCTAAGGTTGTCAACTACATAACTGTTGAATAGTATTTCCTTAAAATGCACACAAATACGGTTTATCTAATTCACTATGTTTTGTCCTTCGCGATTAAATTGCAGATTAGTATTTGTAATTCTTATGAAATTTCCAAAATACCAATTTATAGTTTTGTATGAATGTGCAAAACTGGTCATTAATCCTACTCTACTTTCTTTGATAGTTGCCATATTGCACTGAAGGATATAAAAGTTTTCCACATCTCTCCCTCTATCTGGATGATATTTAAGCGCCAATTGTCGATATGCGGTGTCTATCTCTTGTTTTGATGCAGTATAGGATACACCAAAATATCTATACGCGTCTTTTACAACATCATTTTGTGTTCTATCAGACACAACCACCGTTGGATTAAATCAAAGATATACTTTGCTGCTTCTCTACCAATCATTCGACCAAAAGAACGTCCATATTTTCCACCTATGTATGCTTCAATTTCTCCTCCTAACCAAGTACTTCCTCTGACAAGCAATGTCCCGGTCAATTCAGTGGCGCATTCTTTCCACGAAGTGTGTCTTCCCAAACAAAAGCGAATTATCGAAGTGATTTCACGAAAAAATTCGATATCATCTATAGTAAATTCGTTGGCATCCACAGCGCAAGTTTTCTCTGTTAAATCATCAAAAACACTTTATTTTTTAAATAAAGCACAAACTCATTCCCACTTAATAAGCTTATTGGCCATAGGTACCATCACACGTCATCAACTTGGCTATAGATATTAGAGAACGTAACAACTAAAGATGTCACAATTTGTCTTTAAGTTAGTGTGGTTCACAATACGATAAATTTTATCCTTTTTTTCAAAAAACAACCAATAAAATTTAACATTTTGCCTGGGGTGACTAGTGGGATATTTATGCAGTACTTAATATATAGACGAAAGCAGCATTTAATTTGTTTTTATGTCAAAACATACCATGAAAATAAGCAATAATTATAAAGTACACGATTATATTCGGCATTAACCATTTCAAGAACGTCATTTTGCTGAAGATGTTTGCTATGATAGATATTCAGGAAAGCTTAGAAGCTAATAAAATTGATTCTTTTTCAGCTTGCCGTAGTACGGTTTCCAACCCGCAAGTTGTTAGCTACTCTGATTACAACGACTAAAATAATGAAAAATCGTGAAATTACATATTACTCCCAAAAAGGGGAAACGTATTATATTTTATAATTATATTGATATATATTGATATTAAGAGCTAAACAAAACTACACTGAAGCAAGCATAGTTTAGTACTTTTGTTCATAAAAGTTGCTCAGCAGTTGGTACGGTAAGTCGCCAGTCAAGTTAGTAGGCATTTGTACAAAATACCATGAGCATTTGTAATTTTTAGTTTATTCTCTTTTCATAAATGCAGGATCAAACGAATACAATTTTGGCACCATGAAACAATACAAGAGTTTTATTTATTCACAAAACCTTATTATCATCATCTTTTAAATTTCGACAAATGGAAGATGTGCTATTCCAGTTATTGATAATTAAGTTACTTTGTAATCGACAGATGATTTTATGTTGAAGAAAGCGACATGCAAAAGTCGCAAAAAATGGAGCTTGGAGTTGAAATAATTTGCATGATTAATCAATATACACTAGGTGCCAAAAAAATGAGTCCACTAAATATCGAATGCATATTTTTAGTTTTGAACCATATCACCACTCTGTCACAACAATGTTAGGTTTTAAGTTCTCGAAAAAGCAATGTCAGTACATGGTATGTCCTCCCTTAGCTTTCAAAATGGGTTCAACTCTTTTTGCATAGATTTAACAAGATTTTGAAGTGTAGATGGTTCAATATTATGCCAATATGTAGAGATTACATCCAATAGCCTATCCTGGCTTGTCATGTTTCACTTTTTCTCTTTTTTAACTCATCCCATAAGTGTTCAATTGGATTAACATCGGGCGATTGAGGCGGAAATGCCATGAGCTTCAATTCACCTTGATTTTCTTTGTTCCTTAAATAATTTGTGCACAAGTTGGAGCTGTGTTTCGGATCGTTATCCTGAAGTAAGGTAAATCCTCTCCCGCATAACCTTTTGCCAGATGGTACAGCATGCCTTTGGAGAATAGAATGGTATTGCTTTTTGTCAAGATTGCCTTTTATTCTGTAAAGACTCCCAACACCATTAAAGCTGAAACATCCCCAGACTTCAATGTTTCCACCCCCATGCTTCACAGTGGACTTAAGAGACTGACTTGACAATCTTTCACCACATCTTCGTCTCACATAAACACGGCGATTATTTCCATGTATTTCAAACTTTGATTCATCAGTAAAAAGTACTTTTTTCCAATTGTCTACGCTGTAATGCCTGTATTTTTTGGCTCATAAGAATCTCTTCCGCTTATTTATCGGGCGAAGCAACGGCTTGGAAGCTTCAACTCTTCCGTTCAGACCACTTGCAGCCAATCTCCTTCTTACTGTTGTTTTGCTGATTGCTTTCTCTCGGGTGACGTTAATTGACGATTGAATGTTGCTAGCAGTTGCTCGTCTGTTGCGCAAAGAACTTAGCTTTATGAACTGATCTTCTTTTTTTTGTTGTTATACGTGGTCTCCCAGGTTTTGGTAAGCTGGAATAACATTGCGTCTTTTTAAATCTTCCCACGGTTCGGAGAACAGCTCCTTTGGGCACTCCCAGCTTTGCAGCAACATTTCGTTGTGAGTAACCTTCGTTAGTGAGAACAACAATTTGTCCTCTAACTCCTTCACTTAAATCTTTAGCCATTTCCCAATGTACTGCCCATGCGCTTAGATAATGTGAAATATTTTGCAAACAATTGTGGGAGACAATTTCAGGTCTCACTGCGCATTTTCAAGTGGCTACTGTAACTATATATTTCAAAAGACACATTTTTTCCCACAATTTTTCCAATATTAGAACTGGACTCATTTTTTTGGCACCTAGTGTACATTGGCCAAAAAATAAAAAAAATGAGCTAACCATTGATTACATGAACAGATGAACTCACAGTTAACTAGATTCTTTCTCGATCAATGAAATTCTGTACGTGGCAAGGAAACAATGGTTTGTCGTTGGTGTAAAAGAAATTGCTTTGAAATGCAACTATTTTCAAAATTCGAGATTCGTCTATTTTCTTCAGTTCTGAGAAACGAAGCCTTATACCAAGAAAATGATACCCGCGTGTGAGGTTTGATGGAAATTTCCATATTTTTGCATTTGAAAATTTCATGTAAAGTTCAAAGCAAAGATGGAGAAGAAATGTTTATACGTGGCATTCTGCAAAAAATTACGACAATTAGCAGAAATTTGAACATTAATAGCAATTGGCAACTTATAAGCTAGTTAATTAACGTGTTCACGCGGCTTTTATCTATAATAATAATACTGAGCCTGCTTTGAACTCATTCTTTGCCTTCCAAACGGGTCTGTGAAATGTTTGAATATACCTTTACTTTATTACACGGTGTCTGTTAAAAGCTACATTATGTTATTTACCCAATAGCAGCCTCAATAGCCTTTAATAAGGGCATACCAAAACAATCCCATTGATTTCGCATCGCACACAAAGAGAAATACGCTCGAGATTCACGACTAAAGCGAACGATTCAAATTTCTGTTTGTGTAAGTTATGAATAGTTTATTTTATAATAGTTTTGCCTCATAGTTGTTACTCGAATTGTATAAAGTTTAGCTAAGTTTCGCGACAATTGTTTAAAAGGAATCGTAAGTACAATGTAGCAAAAATCTGTATTGTATTTCACAGGACAATAATTGGTGTAAGAATATCTACTCAGGAGTAGTGGGCCTCTTAAAGAATGACGTCGGGTTGCATAGTCCATAAAACGAGGGACCATACAGAAGTCCGGTTGGATATCCAGTAAATCTAAATTGCTGATCGAGTTGTGTCTTTTCGATTCGTTTATCTTTGGCGCGACGATTTTGGAACCAAATCTTTACCTGTAATTATACAAAAAATTCATCACTATTTTACACAATGATGCAACATTCAATGAGAATTCCGAGATAATTTGACATAACAGCTGAACAAGTTTTCCTTCTTTAATTTTACGAAGTTCTTATTATCCCTGCATAAAGTTTACAAAAAGTTTATTAGATTGTACTTGCGCTGTTTGCACTATTGGAAACGAATAGCTGTCAAAAATGTTTCTAAGCCCATATGAGTGACGCTTAGTTGCTATACAAAAACACACATTTATTCCAGCAAATCCTAATTCTACCTGAGTCTCTGTGAGTTTCAAGGATGCTGCTAGTTCAAATCGTCTGGAGCGAGTGATGTATTCATTTTGATGAAATTCCAATTCCAGCTTAAGAGTTTGCTCACTTGTGAACGTAGTTCGCTGTCGTCGAGTTTTATTTTCCTTTCTTTTTCTTTTTGCAGAAGAAACTAAGAAAAAATGTTTATGGTAAACAAAACATTTGAATATGTGAAGGACCTATTTATGTTTTGTTTTATGGTGAAAAATAGGAAATGTCTCAAAACTTGCACGCTACTGCATGATTACAAATAGATGGATAAATTGCTCATAACAGATGATATTTCTGCATGTATAATCTCCTTAAGTTTTTCTCATAATTGCATGGAATCAATGTAATGTGTTTAGTCTGGTTACGCAATAGATGACTATTGAATTATATGCCTAATTCATCAGGAGGTGTGTTCGTCATAGCTTGGGCTCGTATGAACTATATATACGTCATTAAAGGCAAAAGTGTTTAACGAAGTACCGAAATTATAGTGTGATAACCGCTGAAGCGATGCTTGGATACACACTTATTCCTAAGGAAAGAAACGGGAAAACATGTAATGTCCATACGAACCTTTTGAGGGGAGGTATACATAATCAGCCAAACTTGAAACATTTGAAAACGGTGCAAGAGGACGGATTTCATTTCTGTGTCCAAGCCCATTCTTAAAAGGTGAAAACGCGGAAGGTTGAGTACAAGCAAAACACGAGCACTTGCTAGCTGAAGCTATCGCTTCCTTATATTTGCCACCACTCTCGACGCTCTCCGAATTCTCTTCTTTTGGCTGCGATGCAGATGTTTCTCCACAAATGTCTTTTTTCCAATCTTTTTTGTCTGAAGCTATAAGAGAGGCGATCGAGTAGGAGCTGCTTGCAATAGAACTGGCCATTATCAGAATTTGAAAAGATTGAATTTTTTTTCAGATTAACAACAAGAACCTTACGTTTCTATAGAGGGAACTGTTAAAATAACACTTGGAATCATTTAATGAAGCTTATATTGATTTGAAGTGGCACCCTGTTGGTGACATGATTGTTTCGACTCATTCAAATACTGTTTATCTCACGAGAAAGTAATATTTTTAAAGCAGTGTAACTAAGGCGCTGTTAAACAATACGCTGAAAGACAGCATAACAATAATGAAATGACATTTTACCGTCTTAATGCATAATCCAATTTAGTTATAGATCGCCAAACATGCTACAATATCAACTGCAGCTACAAAAACACCTAATCATATGATGTGGAACGAGCAATGGTTCGCAAATACTCGTATATTTTATTGATGATAATTTCCACGCGGTGATTATAATCTTGGCGGCGCGTTTAAACAATTAACGGGGCCATAACAATTGCACAGCATTGCTCAAATTCGAGCCATCCCATTGGATGTGAGCGCCAGGTGCACGAGTTCAAATCTATACATGGAAAACACGTGTTCCAGGTGTGAGAAAACCTTAATTGCTAGCTTCTGCGAAAAAAAGGAATAGTCGATGAAAAAAGCATTGACTTACAAACAAACACGATACCTTCCTCCAAAACCCTCACATGACTTGAACATTTCTTTCGAAAACACCCCATAAAAATAGGGAAAAAATATTTACGCAAATGGATATACAATTGTGAATATCTTGACTTCGAAGCGATGCAGGGTATTTTAATTGCTTTTTTTAGCCATGCAGAGTTATGAAAATTACAATAATTTCAAACTGAATTTGCACAGCAACGATTTGGCAAAAAATTTAATGTGATGTTCGTGGAATCATAGAGTGTAAACAAATATGAACTATTCGATCCAATAGTCGTAAAAATTGAAGTAGATGAACATTGGCTTGCTTCATAACATTATTTGATATGAGATGACTGATAAAATCACAATCATGCACACAATTAACAATGCACAGCGATAGCACGTCAAAATGAGGAAAAGTTTTATTGACGTGGATATAAAAAAAGTAATTCGAATTTATTTAACTGCTAAACTTATACACCAATTATTGAAATAAAGATGGAGAACAGAGTAACAAGATAGCAGTAGCAATATTGTAAATAATTTTCCGAAAAGACTAGCAACAACTTCTTTATAAATTCCGTTTCTATTAAAATCATGATATGTATAGATATAATTCATAATAGTCGTAACATTCGCATTGTTATAAAAGCACTCTGGAAATAGCTAGAGTGAACACGATGCCGGACAAATGCCAGGAGTCATAGTTTATTGCGAAACTCTATTCACAAGTCTGTCCGTGGAGGTCTTGAAGGGATTTAAATAAAACATCAATTGACAAAGAGAGGTCTGCAATCGGGATAGCCTGCTGCCGGTGATAATCGAAGTTTAATCAGATAAAATATTGCTAAAGTGTTTTAACTCTACCGAATTTTCATCAGTCGATGGCAACGACGAAGAAGCTCGCTTCTTTTTTACCCTTCCGTCTTTACCGTCGTCGTCATTGAGTTCGTCATCTAAGCGACGCCTCGAACCTCGAGTCCGACGTTTAGGGATCTTAGATGGAGGATCTGAACGAATTTCTGGTCCAGTACTTGTGTCTCGTCTAATGAATGGTTGATCCTCAAGTACCTCTTCATCATACATATCCTAAACAAATTGTAGTTATGTTACAACAAAAGTGGGAAAAATAATACAAAACCACATTAACAAAGGATACTTTGTTTTCAGATTGACAAATAAATAAAAAATTGCCATTTTCAGCCTGATTTAAATAAAAATTTGAAACGTCGCTCTTTTTATTATAACAATACCAGACTTGAATTTTCGATGAAAGGTTTTTCCAACACGTTTGTGTTAAATTATAAAAAAGTAAAAAAAATGTTTTCTGTTATAAACAATTGAAATCAAAGCAACAATAAAGTTACAAGTTACAAAAGCATAACCAGCAAAGAGAAAATTTAAAAACATAGAAAACCTTGAATACAAAGCATTTGCTAATGATATCGATAAATGCCAAAATATTTTCACGATAATAAACTCTGTTTGTTTAACACGTTGACAGTAGATCTAACTTTCAACCGCAATTTGTAAAGGTTTGGAGGATCCAATCTCGATGATGAATCACAAACAAACAACGTGCAAAATGGCAAACAGCCTTCAAAAAATCAGGATTCTTGCCTCGCTTGGGATAGGCAGTGAAGCCCCAGAGACTGAACTCCTGCTTGTTCTTGACAGTTGAGTGCTACTGGCTGCAGATGTACGATTTTTACCATCAATACACGAATCGCGGGAGTTTGTTGAAATTCCCTCGTCAACTTTATCTTTGCCGAAGGTTGTGGCATTGGTAGAGCAATCAGCGCTACAGCCACTAGTCCGTTGTCTTTCGTCTTCCAGGGGATTGCTGTCCTTTGAGCCATAAAAATCACCTGTGTCAGTTTGTTCAGCACCATCAGGACGTCGGTCCAAATCAGTCGGTGATGTCAACTCAATGCTTTCACTATTATGTCTAGAGATCTTGATGGCTGAAGCCGTATTTGGAGGTTTATCTAACGTGTGTTGATGCGTTGAACTAAATAAAAGTAAAAATCCGTTTTATTCAAACGATAAATTGTTAAGTCAATTTTAAAAAAGACGAACAATGTTCTCTGAATGTAGTTATTTGAAGCAGAAAATGTGAACATCGACCACTCATCAAATTATGGGAAACAATTAAAATCGTGTTGAATATAAATGAACCGACATGCATTCCCTTTTCAACTATAAAAGTAGTAAAGTTCATTATAAGATCACTCTACGTTGTCCTTAGCTTATTTTTATCATTGGTGTATTTTCACAATGTATAAGATTGTTCCATATAGGGCGGATTTTTTAAGCGGTGTGTGGTACTCCAGACAAGTAATATAACAGTAATAGAGGCTAGGAAATTGTACAGTAAGACTAAGTAAAAGTAGAATTTCTCATTTTAAAATTATATATTTTATACCACCACCATTTGCAATTGAGTATTACCATGCGCGTTTTCTTTAAAACATTAAAATTGGCATATATTACCAAACACACATTCATTAACAAACAGCATGTAAAAATTTTTTTACTCCAAGTAATAACACTTTCAAAGCGCAGCATTCACTCATCTGTGAGCCTAAAGCCTACGTCAATTTTTTTCATGAAATGGTAACTATTATGCAGAGTTTTTTAATACGTACACTTGGCTTTTAAAGGATTTTAGAGAAGCATCGTTGATGGTAGGGTACATAGGAAGGGTCGCATCGTAATCAAACTCAGAGGAGGATTCACTTCTTTTTGGAGATTTCTTGTCACTTTTCTTGTGTTTCTTTTTTGGAGACTTACGTGAAGGGAATATCAAACTAAAGCTTTTGCCTTCTGACGTGCCTTCCGAATACTAAACAGGAAACAAATGTTGTTTCATGCATGATTTTTACAAAAATATATACCAAAACATTTCTCCACCAAAATTGTTTTGTTAATTGAGGCGTTAGTCGAAACTTTGACAAAGCGTGTTTAAGTCCTTAAGCATGACGAAGAGTTCTATTTGGGTAGGACAAAAACATTGAAAAATACCATGACAGTCTCTTTCGTACTGTAATAATCCCGCTTTGGTCGGGATTTCTCGGCATTCTTCAAAACTGATAGCTTGGATATCTGAAATAGAATAAACAAAATTTCCTCAGAAGAAAATTCATCCTTTTCCTAATCATCCATTCAAACAAATCAATCAGCAATAACAGAAAGTCATTTCCTTGGTAAAGTACCTCTCTATCAAGCCAGAAATGATAAACAAATATGTAAACCGCCTAGATAAAAAAAATATATAAACATGTAGCTTATTTAGATGAAAAAGTTTAGAATTAAATAGTCAGCATTAATCATGACCCATGACGATGATGATGATGATGATGGTGATGATGGTGATGGTGATGGTGATGACGACGATGATGGTGATGGTGACGATGATGATGGTAATGATGATAAACCTCTAACAAATACAGGCAGATAAAGGCAAACTTACCAATATAATAGCAGAAACTGTGAATAAGTACTGAAATATAGTTTCCGCAGGACGATCAGCAGATAATGCAGCAGTTACAAATGTACAAACCACGAAAAGAATTAGAAGTCCTGACAAGGCAGTGATAACACTGAAACAAAAAACGAAAGTTCAGTGACTCATGAACAAAATTCATGGAGTTGAGCTGTCTCAGTTACTTCATTTAAAGGGCCCTTAAAATAAAAATTTTGCTATTTTATTTATATTTTTAATGAAGAGAACTCTTAAAAGCACATGGGACTACAGACAAATTGTCCATATGTTAATGCGGGATATGACTTAGCTAACTGTCAAATGTAAACAAACTTCGTTAAGCAAACAGCAAAACGGGAAAAAAACAAAAAAACGTGAATGAATATGAGTCAAAGGAAAAACACTTGGAAAACAGTTTAACTATCCAATGATACAATTTGAAAAGATTTGTTTTTTACTGACGAAAACTACAAAAGTGAAAGCCAACATGTACAAAACAGAAAAGAGGAGAAAGAAAGCAAGCTTCGTTTCAGGTTAAATAATGCCATGTTTAGCTCTGTTTTTCAGCTCTGCTTTTTTGTACAAGGTATTGTGAGAATCATCGCCATTTCATTGCGATGAACCAGATAATGTACGTAAATATTTAATCGGGTAGATCAACTGCGTAAATAATTAATCATGGTAGAATAGTGAACGGAAACATTTGTGGCGCCAGATATTAAATGTGAATAAATCAATAGTCTGAATACATACATCGCGATAAGCGACAGTTGACTCGACATTCTACCAACTCGTTCAAGAAACTCGATCGTTATAAACGGCACTAATTGTTACGAGATTTGAAAAGTAAGTTGAAATTAATAGACTTGTACATCAAGCGTACCACAACATTGAATTTCGATAGAAAGAAGAGTACCACGATAATTCAGAGCAATAAAACTTTCAACTTTGGGATTGTGTAATCTTACAATGCTATTTATTTAGATTCGAATAAGCAATGAAATCGCTACGATCATACATCATTCTCATGGCCCTGCTCTGGGCAAAACCAATTGGTGTGATGTCTTCGAAAATGTATTCGTTTACTGCAGCCTTCGGAAAAGAGTCAGCAAACAAGACCATTCCACAAAAAGATATTGACATCTTTCTCAATCAAGAAGTACGTTCTCGATTTGACAGTTTTACGTTAATAGAAACAACTGGATGGTGGAAAGAACGAAGGGAAAAGTCTTTCATGTTACTTGTTTTGGACAGCAATTTAACAGCAGCAAAGAAGAAAATAAGCGACATAGCTTTCTTATACAAGAAAAGATTTTCGCAAGAATCGGTATTAATGTTTTACTCCAGAGTAACCGCGTATTTCTTGTAGAATTTCTTCAAACTGAACACATTTTGATACTCAAATATTGTGAAAACAAACAAGTTGAATAGCATTTCAGCATAAAAAAATAAAATTAGATTGTGGGATGGACAAATTTCGATCAATTAACTTTGATGCATGCATAAAGCGATTTCTTATGATATATTGCACATATAATAATCACAGTTGCTAAGTAAAAGATTAAACTCTGACGATTAACAGTAAAAGTGAAACTCTGTTTTTGATTTTGAACTAAAGTACTCACTCAACATTAACTTTCATTTGACATCTTGAATAATCAAAATGATTTTTATATTGGAAAAACCGCCTTTCGGTCATCTCGATAAACCGGTCGCTTTTTTTGTCCCGAAACACTTACGCATTTTATAATAAAGTTACCCGTCAACGGCCATATTGTGAAGTCTCGACCTATCTTTCGATACAAGTTTCTGTAAGTCTTTGCTTTTGAATTTTTCTTATTTCAGTTTTGTGTTTCTTTTTTATGTTTAATTTCCGTCAGATAAATTTTTGTCAATGCTCACAAGTTTCCATAATCATTCTGCACGTGTGTATTGAAATTTAATCTCGCTCCGTTAACACGGCCGTATTACCTCGGCTCGTTCGTGACTATTAAAACGAGTTCCACTGTATATCAGAAAGGTTTCTATGAGTTGTTACAATTTTAAAAACACAGCAAACATTCGATGACTTATATCATGAAGCTATTGCATGTTTGAAATTGTACTTTGAAACAATACTTTTCAATTACACAATCCACCGAATCGTATAAATAGCAAATTTATCCAAAATTTCTGAAACCACGCATAATTGACAGGGCTAAAGTAAATATCAACTTAAATTTTCTCAAATAAACTGCCTGATGATGACATACCCCATCTTGCAGTATGCAAAAAGTTATCACGTTCACACAGCTAGCACATTCGCTGTGATGCAGGAAAGAGTAAATACGACTAAATGCTACTGTTTTACGTTAAGCAAAAAAATACGCGTACCTTAAATTCTTTTTCTCGGAAATATCGGTTCCCTTGAACTTGCGGCACTCGATTTTTAAAATTAATATGATACAAAGCTGAAAAAGTGGGTAAAATACTCGTTTATATTGATGGTACGTTGTTATTTTATATATTCTTAATTGTTGCTACAGAGAGAAAATATTCTCAAATTTTCGGAGATTAGAACAATCCGACATAAACGGTAAACAATGTATTTATTAAATCTTTTGCCAAAGGAAAGGGGTTTTATTGATTGTGAACTCAGATTAAACAATAGCGACAAAGAAAACAATTAAATTTTAGATTTAACATACTAATTTAGAAAACGTATTCTGCATTTACAAAGGTACAAGTCGGCAAATAATTACTTTTTAAAACCAAACAAAACAACTATTCGGCTCAAGAGTTTATCTAAAAGATTACGGACGGTGATAAGATATGTTACAGCCAATCACATCGAAAAAAGGCTAAAATTCCGCCTGTTGTGATTTTCTAAAAACATAAACATTTATTACTCACCATTATGCATAGAGCAATTGGACAAGCAAACGTAAAAAGTATAACTTTTGAATCGCTGTACCAACACCTATATTAAAGAAAATGGAAAAAATTTTAATAAATGCACTAAACAAATTTTACTAAAATGCACTAAACAAATTTTATTAAAATACACTAAGGAGGGTGGTTGAACGAACACAATAGAGGGAAGTAGGGAGAAATTCTCCATTAATGATCTAATGTCATATCTAAGACAGACTCTTCAGTCAAATCGATGTTTCCTTATGGTATTGATAAGGTCATAATTGTGAATCGCGATAAAATATATAAGGCCTAGGCAGAGGCAATCGTTCTGCTGAGTCTTATTTATTCATTTTCATTTCTGGAGGGGTTGGGGGGACACTACGATTATCACCATCTACTAATTTATATCAGCAAAAATGCGTAGTATATTATGCAAACATAGTACTATTTCTTGTTATATGTGAAAACAAAATTACCACATCTTCGAGCCATATTCTCTGTCTTGCGTGATGGCAAGCATAATTAATACGAGAACGAAAGGCAGACCTAAATTAAGAAAAAAGTTCTCCAGTACTTTTCAAAGAAATATGATCTGTTTGCCATTAGCAATGTCTAAAACCATTCCTGAGCTTTTTACATGTACCTAATGACTACAATATGGCTACACCAATGCCTCGTTATGTTGGTTTTTTACATTTTATAATGAGTACCCTAAGCATCGCCCAACCTACATCCCAACGTTTGCTACATGTACCTTATCCTACTTTTAACCCGCCCAGATGCGTTAAATATATTTTACAACCTTCGTATAAACTCTCAGATGTGTTAAACACGTCCCTAACTTTTGAACAGCCTCGAGGGTTCTTACACATACCACTAAACCTTGCACAACCCTCAGGTTGATTATACGAACTCTAATATTTGTACAACACTTTGTACAACCTTCTCCAGGTGTGTTACACGTACCCCAACCTTTGTACAGCCCCAGAGGTGTGTTACACTTACCCCAACTATTGTACAACCCCTAGGTCTGTTAGACGTACCCCGATCTTTGTACTATTTTCTCCATTTGTGTTATACGTACCCCCTTTGTACAACCCCCAGGTGTGTTACACGTACCCCAACCTTTGTACAACCTTCTCCATGTGTGTTACACGTACCCCAACCAAGAAAGGCAAAATATTTGAGCCTGGATTGTCTTCTATTCCACCCACAATGGACACAAAGATTAAGTTGAAGAAACTCGACAAGTATCCAACAGAATACAGCAAGGACAAACCAGTGAAGTAGTGCCGCAAGTATCGTACATGTAACCTGCGGAAACATATAAAAATCTCTAATGACAGCAATCACAAAAATTTGACTGGCTACTTTTTTGTTCATCGATTTTAGGTGACTTTCTTACAAATAACGGTAGCATATCTGTATAACTTATATAAAGTATACAATCAAACAAACAAACACAACAGAAACACAGGTATGTAAACAAAGTTTTCTATTTCTAACTAAAAAAAACATGCATAGATACCTTATGATAGTCGATACAGAGTCCGAGAAAAAACACCACTGAAGTTAGGATGATAGCGGCACACTCGTGTATTAAGACAGTTAATCTTTCTCGTCTTGTTTGACTGAAACGCATAAATTTCAAGAATTTTTACTGAATCATACACTTTTCTCTCGCTACTCCCCATTGGTTCAAGGACTTTGTGTCAGTCACGCTTGACTAGTGTAATCTCGCGAGAGTAGAAGAAAATCCGAATTTTAAACTCGGGCAGACCTTCGGCAGCCCGAGTAAATACTGATGAACTATATGCCCCCACCTTAAATTGAACTTAGATGATTTGTTTTTCATTACCATTTCAAACATATTTCTGTTAATGTATTTTTGGTATATGTACAGGGTGCCTAAAAAAACGGAGCCCGCACAAATAATGAAGTATGCTTTAAAATGAAATCTGCATAAGATAATCCTTGTCTGCAATAGCTGTTTATTTAGCCTGGTAAATTTAGTTTGTCAATGTTTGTCGCTATACTTTGTAAATGTTTGTTGCAACTTATGGAAAATATGATTACGTTTTGATGGCTGTTATGACTCAGTTAATGTCGCTTTAATTTTACAAAGCTCTTAAGTTATAAATTTTAAACGATAATCAGTGTATGGCAGTACATTGTTTTGCGTTAACTATAGTTTACAAAACCCTATATGAAATCCCATGAGTGCAGAACTGTCGAGTTCATTAAACTGTTGTGAATAAATAATTGATGCGGGATCCGTTTTATTACACACCCTGTATAAATAGATGAGCTTCGTCTACATAGCTTCAATATAAATGACAGTTATGAAAAACGGGTACGCAATGCGTCACGACTCATCTATTTTAAAATTAGTTTTCTTTTAACAGAATGTTGAACAACACCAAAATATTGGTAACCTAATGGACTTGAAAGAAAATATAATTCGTTTTCTTTCAGAGTGATTTAGCAAATACGAAGTTTCGTCTAAGACGTCGTCAAATTTTCGCGAGGGATCTGGATCTAGGACGCCACCACGTCGTAAATTATTTGTAATTTAGCATATCCTTTTTAGGACTTCGTCAGAGAATAACATGAAACAAGTTAAACTAATTTTTTGATATCAAAAATATACTGCAGTATATTCATTTCAATAAGAATATAAATAAAAGCAAAAGCATCGACACAGGGCTTTGTGACTAAAATTGTTTTGACTCCGAGGAAAGCCCCGAAATTAGAGCAGACCCCGCGTGGTTTATTTGTCTTTTTTTCAGGCTTTAGGGAACAAAACATTAGCAGTTTTCTCTTAAATAAATATAAGTAGGCCTATATAATCTTTTAAGATGCAAATATCATAGATATATCCTTATTTCTCTCCAAAAATTGAGTTTTTTTCAACCGCCGTAAATAAGACGTCAAAATGTATGTTTTCGCGTCGTCGGGTGACACAAATGCCGTCGAAGAGTGAACAGGAAGTAAAAGGCGCATGCCACGCCATTCTCACGACATCTTAGACAGAACGCCGTGTTTGCTACATCACTGTAGTGATCATCAAAGTCGTGGGTCTTTTTGTCAAATATACACGAAATGATGTAAATAAACTTACTGCCAATAAAACACGTTACGAATAAATGCCAAAGTCACCCCAACTAAAAGACATATAACAGCTATGTACATAACAATACTCGGCTCGGGTACGACCTAAGAAGAAAATAGAATCGGTATAAGCATCATAATTTCCAACGTAAAATAACGTTATCATTTATCAAAAAAACAAAAATTATTGGGGTAGCGACATTTGTAAATCCTATAAGCTATAAGAAATGACGGAGATAGCCACTGTATCCGTAAATGAAATGTTTTAGTTTTTACAGGCAATGTCATTTTAACCTTTGTATGTTTGTTAGTCTTGCAATGTTTCTATTACGCTATTTGGAGAAAATATTGTGTGAAGGTGAAACTGGTATTAACTTGACCTTGCTAGTGATGAGACAAACTACGTACATTAAAGAGGTTAGAACTTTTTTGATATATAGTGAAACACATACCGCTATACTTTGTGTAAGTACAGCAAAATCCGTCATGTGATTGCAATGACACAATGTCATGCTTTTGTTTCGTGATACAACTGTGCAACCATCATCAGACCAACCATTCCCACCACTAAAAGACAAAAAGATTTAGTTTCATATAAATCGGATAACATCCGCTACAACACGATAGGATTTAGTCTACTAGAAGACAACACAGGATAATGTCTCCTTCAACACTATTGGATGTAATTTCCTACACGACAACAGGACAAGACAACACAATGCACTCTTCTATAAGACAAGAGGCTGCTGAAGCCCGCTAAAAGACAAAAGAATTTCACCTCCTACAAGACAACAGGATACAGTCTACAACAATACGATAACTTGCCGTCCATAACAGCACAAGAGGATGTAAATAGTCTCCAACAAGACAAGAAAATAGAGTCTACTACAAGACAATAATATGTTTTCTCTTTTTGGAGATACATATGTTTCTGCTTTTTTTTTTAATTGAGGTTAGTTATAATAATCTCGATGAAATATATGTGCCCAATAAGGAAATTTAATGTTTTTACATCTCACTACAGCGCTCAAAATAGCGGTTTCATGGTCAACGGACAATGATCGGCCAAAAAAGCTTGTTGACCGGCAAATTTTTTACATTTCCGGTCATTTTGATCGACTATATATTTTTACGTCTTTGCCAAAAGTAAAACAGGTAACTGGTAACATCTTGAGAGCTTAAAACGTTAATCACTACAATTTGTTGTCTAAAAATTGTCTTTTCGCATTTTTGAGGGGCAATTGTTTGAATTGAACGCATGAATTGAATTGTTTGAGCCCGGGACTATCGTTACATGCATCTTTTTGGTAGATGTAGATTGCCCAGAGTTGTGGGGTCCTGAAAAGGATTATTGCTGTTGATGTCGTCTGACGTTTTAAAAACTTTAGCGGAAGTCATCGTCCTGGTCAAATGAGGACTACAAGAGTAAGTTACTTCACTCGCTTTACTGTGAGGATAACTACCGTCAGGTTGTCGAAACGTCAGTCAACACTAACACTAACGGTCCTTCTTAGGACTTCACTAACCAGGACGGTCTACATCTACAAACATCGTTTTATGTGTATTAGTGACGGTCAAAAACCGACTTTGACTGAGCTATAATGAAGTCGAACAGTCATCTTGACCGGAAACATTTTGGCTGTGATTTTGAGCCCTGCACTAACTGTGCAGAAATCTACATACCTTTTGCTCTTCCAAAACACACATTTTGCAAGCTCTTTCGCTTTACCAAGAAATTTCTAAAAATAAAATGACAAACATGTACCTTAATAATTGCTCAGCACAATTTTAAGTTTGCTTTGCTTTAATTAGCAAATGGAAATGCTACTTTTTTTACTTTCCATAATGCTTACAGCATCAGTGGAAAGCAAAGCACACAGTCATATCCGATGAAATGAAAATTAACATTAAACAAAGAGTGAGTGTTCAGTGAAATAGTAGACAAACAAGAGCAAAATTTAAAAAACATGTATGAGCAAAAATTTTGACCATGATTTTCACGTGTTGATAAAATATTGACCAAGTGGCAGTGGTCGACAAAATATTAAACTTAGAAAATGTAGACAAAAAATCCCTAGTAGTAAAAGTTCATAATTTTGTTCAATATTTATTTCCATATGGGATACCAAATAAGGAGACGTTAAGATATTGGCCAATTGCTAAAATTTCAATGCCTGATCATTGAGCAGCACGGGTGCATTAATGTACAGATTTTCATGTAAAAATTCGTGTTAAAATGCCAGAAGCAAAAAAGCTGGTGTGCTTGTTACAAATATGTCTAATATATGTACGTAACTGACAATATTTTATTCGGGCATATGCTTAGCAAAATTATAACAATAGGTTGAATTCTCCTTTTTCTTATTCACACTATATAACATCAACTAGGAACGAAACATTTGGCAAAAACACTCGAGAACTGGCATGTTAAGTGAATTACCTTACGACGAAATATTAGTTTTAAAGGAGTTTGAACTTCTTCTATATTTGAATTGAGAATGCTTGCTGAAATAAGATCTGAATCCACTTCAAAACTAGAAAATAAAACACCGACTATATAGACAAAATATTTAGGGTGTCGTTCTTTCTTCACGAGCTTACAATTTTTGACAAATCCTTAGGTCAATAAACTAATGCCTGTTTGAAATAAGCTTTTCAAAGATTTATCATCGTTTATTTCATTATTTGTTTTTAAATTATAGTTTGTTTTTTCCTCATGATGTAACTAAGGCCCCATCCACACATATACGGATATTCACGTATCCGCAACAAAAAAGTTGCGGATAAGCCTTCGTCCACATGCATCCGAATATTTGAGCGAAACTTTTGAATCCGCTCTCTAGAGTGAAAATTTCCGTATCCGGAAACAATTTGGATGCGTGTGAACTGTAAATTCGGATACTTTTGACCAAAATTGCCTGGCAACTATTATAGCGCGTTTAAAAAGTCGTCGAATTTGCTTCGGATCAATTCCAATCGACTTTCTACATAGCGTTGGATGTTTTGAATTCTAGTATGACTTTCAGTAAGAGTTCAACCTCATCATCACTCCAAATGAAGGAGACCGTCTTTGCTCTTCTAAATTATTTTCGATTTCTGTCCCAATTATGACATATATATTCAAACAAAACCGAACAACGTTTGCACACACAGACGGAATTCAAAATTGCTAACCAATTTACCGCCAATTTGCAACAATTTCAAAATACGCGAAGGAAACGGACAGCGCGAAGCCTTGGGAACTATAATAAATCCGAATAATATCGAGCTACGTGTGGACGCAAAAACATTTTTATACGCAACCTGATCCGCAACAAAAGTGTTGCGGATACGAAAATATCCGTATACGTGTGGACGGGGCCAGAACATAGCAAACACATGTAAGTTTTCCTGCTTGGTAGTAAGTAGAACGTAAATTTTATCTTCAAAAACGCTTGTTTACACATAGAAAGAGCTTCGTTTGAATGTAACCAATAACCACTACTCTGAACATGCAAATATCTTAGCCTTTTTTTAATAAAAACTCGTTCCTTGCAGGAAAAATTATAACATATATCAAAGATACTACAGCATTAACAAACTCCTTTCGAATGAATTTGAACAATGAAATTAACTGTAATGGTTTAAAATACCTGCTGAAATCAGCAATTGATGAACGCCGAGGCAACAGTTCACCAACAACAGACGATCTTATCCCAACGATTGCAATGCTATCTTCTCCTATTTCCAAAATATATTACATATCATTCACAAGTGTTATGTATGGAGATAACGTTGACTTAAAATTTAGTAAAATGATATGGTGAAGAAGAATTCAAAATTCTGGTAAAAACATAATTAAAAAATTCACGTGGCTTAAACAAAAATATACTGATAGCAATCAGTACAATGGTACACCTGAATATTTCGGTGTAGCTAAAGATACATATACACACGTACCAAGATTTGCTAATTCTGACTTTGGCAATTCGAAGTAACCATCACCAAGTGACAATGTCGACAAAAAATTAAAATCTTTGCTAGAAACTTTTGAAGCTTTGAAGACCTGTATTTCAGCATCTGTAGAAAAATGAAAATTCGTGTATAAAATTAGTAAACTAGTAAACTAGAAGATGTGCTGTAGATCCCATGCCCCACACATTCCCCACGCATTGTAAAGTAAACTAGAAGATGTGCAGTAGATCCCATGCCCCACATTCCCCACCTTCGCCACGCATTGTAAAGTAAACTAGAAGATGTGCTGTAGATCCCATGCCCCACACATTCCCCACCTTCGCCACGCATTGTAAAGTAAACTAGAAGATGTGCTGTAGATCCCATGCCCTACACATTCCCCACCTTCGCCACGCATTGTAAAGTAAACTAGAAGATGTGCTGTAGATCCCATGCCCCACACATTCCCCACCTTCGCCACGCATTGTAAAGTAAACTAGAAGATGTGCAGTAGATCCCACGCCCCACACATTACCCACCTTCGCAACGTATTGTTGATTGTAATTATGTGGCTAAATGAAACAATTAACATACTTACAAATATTACTTTCGTTAAAAATAAAAGATTGCAGACCATTTGCAATAGATTGGAGCATTTTAAATGCCTGAAGTTTCATTGCTTTGTTGATAACTTTCAATATCCTTTCGCCAGCACTGAAGTTCTACAATGTCATTATGAATATCATATCGACGCTCACAATTAATAATTTGCCATAAAAATATTAATTTAAAAAGGGATTTAAAAGTTAGGTTCAAAACCTTATTTAATTCATTCCATGTTTCTAGGTTTTCATCTTTCATAATGTTACTTGCAACCCGAAGGACTTGCTAAAAATATGGGAAAATTTTATAAGTAAAAATACCGAACGCAATCTAATCAGCATAACTACAAAATCATTAACATACTAAGTTTTCTAAAATTACAGTTGCTTGAAAGAACCGACACGACAAGGAATCCAGGATTATTTACACGTTGATAGAAAAAGCAATAATTGGCATAGTTTCACGATTTTCACTTTAAACTTTAAAGCTTATGTTTGCAGATTTCAATTCTCAAGGTTCGCGCAGTCTTGATTGGTGTTAGTGTTGACAGCATGACATTTCAACATCCAGGTACGTAATATTTAAGTGATTAATTACTCGTAGGAATAGCACATTGATAAAATAAAATATCGATAAATTCTGAAATACCTTAGTAGTCATATCATCGCTTTCGTTTTTCTCGTCAACATGTCTTTCCAGTTGTTCAACCAGGTCCATCAGCAATTTTGAGTCGATGGAAAGACCACTTGATGTTTCAACTGCTTTTTCAAGATTCCTGTTCATTTCATCTTTAATGTTTGGCTTTATTGTTGACGATGAGGGAGACACTGTTTTCGAGGTGATGACAATTTCAAGCTTACTAAGAAAGTTGTTCGGTATTTGATCCGATACCAATGATTTGCTGGGTGCTACACCAATAGCTGAAGGAGACAAAGATTTGAATACTGTTCTATCCACAATCACGTCGGACGTTTGATAAAGTAACGATGTTGCTTGAGTTTTTACAGAGGAAAAGCGAAATTCATGAGAAGTCATCAACGATGATCCTACTGAATGTGAAGTCAAACTAACGACAACCTGTCGACAAAGAAAGAATACTTGATACAAAAAGTTTCATGAAATGAGATAAAAATCTAGCGACTTTTTTTTCCAATTTAATTGCTCGATCAAGAAAAATTTGATAAAACTACAAAATACACCTGTACACAAATACAGCATCATCGCAAAACTGTCTGTCAAAAGGTCACTCTGCATTACTAAGCACTTAAGTAAAACAAAAAACAAACTTAATTATCAAGTAAGCCAGAAACGCTTTGATCATTCCAGGTAATGTGAAGTAAATTAAATTTCATGTTGTCCACGCACGACAAAATAAAGAAGTACGTAGCAACTCAGAACGTCACAGAACAAAAAAAATCTAATGGCATGCATTCCACCTCGTTAGGTATAGGGAATGTTATTTTGAAATAAATACAGCATTTATTGCAAACATAATAGCAGTTTAACACAGAAATACTTACATTGGCGCGAGCTGTTGTTTCACGAATGTTACGATCAACTCCTAAAATGAAAAAGTTCTACCTAAGTTTTTTAAATAAAACTTCATACAAATTAAATTCATAAAAAATAAATTTCATACAACGCTACACTGTTTTATTGTTCATTTTCCAGATTGTTAAACAGGGAATTTTGTACAAAAATAAATTTTTCACACGCGCGTTCGCTATAGCTATTTGCCAGAAGAAACAGGAGAGACCCGCAGAGGGTCTGGTTTTGGCCATACACATTCATACACTAATATTTTTGCATTTTCAAAGTAGTACTGTGAGTGCGTGGTTTTCTTGTTAGGCAAATTTCCACTATTCGTAATTCTAATGGCCACCTCAATAAAGGCTAATTTACATGGAGCTGCATTTTAAGCAGTACCGCAAAATACTCGCACGTTCACTACATTACGCATGCGCAAATTTGTCAAGTTCAAAAGGTCAATGGCACTCCTGTGCGAGCAAATAGCTCAAGAGCAACGCGACAGAGTTTAATTCATTCTACTTTTGAGTGCGTTGATTTGCTGCAAGCTCAAAACATTTCATAGGCCTTTCGCGAAAGAGCTTTCTCCAAAATCTCGGCAGCAACCACGTTTTTTTCTCAGACAACAGCGTACCCGAGCAATTTACGCTCTGTGGAAAAGCCTTCACAATTGAGAGCAACAGGCGCCGGAGCATTTTCCTCTATGCGTGATATGCAGCTCCATGGAAATCAGCTCCAAGAAAAATATTATCAAAAAATACACACGTGTCTGGACGTCAAATTACGAGTATTACACGCGCAAAGTTACAAGTTACGCAAGACTTGATAATAAAACATGTTTGTACCGAAAATTATGAAAGAATAATGGTAAAAAAGTATTGAAACAAAAGTAAAAAAGTAAAGAAAGAATAATCGCAAAAAATTATTGTGGAATTAAACGTGATGGAGCTTGATCTTTACTCAGTCAATTATGAAGCTTCCTATTGAATACGTACTTTGAAAAGGAAAATATCAACGGTAGAAACTATGAAAAACAATGTCGACAATCCATGTTTTCTAAAAAATATTTGATGACGTCATTAATTTTAGGAGAACTGGGCCAATCTTTCTGTTGGGTCTTATCGCATTTGTGAACTTTGGGTCATGGCACTGTGGCAAGTTTCATGTTGATGTCACAAAATTCACAGTTCTTTCAGTTGTGCCTCTCCATTATTTCTGCAAACTTCAATATTTCTCTATCCAAACGGGCTCGGTCAGTACAAAAACATTTCAGTCCGATATTTCTCTGTAAAGATCTTGCGTCGGGTTAATAAGGGCTTATTATTCCTGTTTTTTGTGCAATTTTAACTATGCTTACTTTTTATTACGTAAATATTTACTCAATTCAGTATATATGGTCATAATCATACATCGTATGAATCATCCATCGATCTCCTTATCTACAAACTTCCAGTTGTTTCTATTGTAGTCAGCTAAAGTTGATGGGTGTAGGTGATGTTTGTCATATGAAATGATCCTCGTGATCATATATTAACATCATCTCAACAATGAAACCAAAAGCAATTTTGAAATCTTTGTACGGTATTGAAGTAAATGTGTGGTAATTAGCAACTCACTTAAACACCCTATTAAGTCAAATAAAGTCTGACCTTTTGGGATGTTTAGGTGAATAGCTAATTGCGTGAGATGATACTTTGTCGCTTTCCATGACGATATTTCCACAAATGTCGAAGTTGCATTACAGCATCACAAAAACCAAGAGCAGATGACGATATGTAGATGGCACTTGCAGTTGTACTTTGAACGTCGTTAAATAAGCATGATTGTAACAACAAAACCAATCAGATAATAAAGCCATAATTTCACACCAAGACACATCAAATTATTGCTTTATTGTTGCAATTTCAAACAACATTTCCAACAATTTTTGTTTTGCTGTTTACCACAAATCTAAGATAGTTTCAATTAGAATACATGCGATCTGAATATCTGCCATCAAAGTTTTTAAATACACCACTTTCTTTATATGATGGCTAGAACGTTACATCACGGCCGCCACTTGGTGGTCAAATACAATGGAATATTCTATTAATGTTATTGTGCAATCCAAAATATCACGTGTGTTCTTGTCCGGGCAAATATTTACAAACACTAATGTGGTTCTCACATGAACTGTACGATCAAAACAACCAGCAGTTTTCTAATTTATTACCAATAACAGATATTATTTTATATTGCATAAAGCCATAAGGTTGAATAAAGTCATATGGTTCAATTTGTTGACCGTAGCTGCCATGCGCTTCTTCAGGTACTTGTGAAAAATGACGAAATCCGATTTGTCATTACCTTTAATACTTAATTCAGATTCGTAAATATAGAGCGGAGACAATACTTATTGACTAGGAAACAATCAATCAGTCAAAACCAACAAACGGTATTCATAAGTAAGGAAATCAATACCAGTTCTTAAGAGATAAAAGTATGAAAGACCAGAGTTCTAGCTAAAACTTTGAGCAATCATGTCTAAATACGTCAATACTAAATAATTTGAAGTTTGTTTTGACATCATTGCTATTGCCATATTTACTACTCAGTTTTTGTGGGGAGCCACTGCGCATGCACGCTAGCCAATATGTTAAAACCGTGCAGTGTGTATCATTGTGTTTTTCTGTGTCGATCTAGCATGGTCTAGAAGCGCTCACTCCAACGTGACTAATATTGAGATCAATCATTTCGTGCAATAAACATGTCATAAATACAATATACACTTTATATATTAAGGAGAGGAATGAGTTTTGTTTTCCAAGAGTCTTATGTTTCTTGAGATGAAGTCGAGACGCGCAGGGCATAGAAAAGTTTAGACAATTACTCATCGAGCCTTTTGATTAAAAAAGTGAGGACAAAGCAAATGAACACAGTTTGATCACGTACACAATGGACATAACTGCCGTTTTTAACCACATTCACATTTTATTTCATTTGTAATGCTTAATCGAAAAGACATTAAGACACAAGAGTTTTAATGTCATTTGTTATCATGATTTTGTACTTTCAATGTTCACTAAATGCTTTTGAAATTTGATTTACACGATTTGGGGCAGGTCATTTCGAAGAACCAGCAGTTCAATATCCACAAAAATTGGCATACATGTATTTTGAGGCGTAGAATGCAAGGAAATACTTAAAAAAGAGATAGTACTAGACTAGAATAAAGTAAAGATTGAGAACTAATGAATCCTGATGGTTGATCAAAAAGTATATCATTGCATTCTCCACCTTTTCCTGCACATTCAGTCAAAAAATGATGTTAAGGTGACGTTTGGTTCTTGAGATCGACCAGCCCAAAATGTACTATGTTCACAAACAAACAAGTTTCCATTTCTCGCTCCACCCTGTTAAGTTATGAGTTGCTGACAAAATTTTTTGCTGGATACTTATAGCTTAAGACAGTGTCTTCAAATTTTTACTGGCGTAATTCTTTTACTAGCAATATGATTGAAGTAATGTGGTGTTAAGCATCAAGGTCTTAAAACCTGATTTTGCAAGTATCTACTTTAAATGACATTCAAATGCTGTATTACGAACTGAAACAACCTTTTAGTTTTACTTAGATATTTTTCATACTGAAAACTTTTTCATAGAGTTTTTGTAAACGTCTCGTATACGTTTTTTTTTCATTCAGATGAAATATAAAGCATCTAAGCTGCGTAAAGCATAGGCTACGTACACACATGTACGCATCGTACCTATTTTTTCAAATGCCATTAATTTTAGCTTCTTTCTAATAAACGGAAAGCAAGTATTTTTTTCGGTTTCGTTTAAAAGCAGACAGACATATGCAAAATAATTTTTATGTCAACCACCTTAGTCATGACACACGGACAGTGCAAATGGAAAATCAAGAAGCGCTAGGTAGAGAACTGCGCATGTGTCACAGCACATATTTTTTCAAGAAAACGTAAGCGGTAAACAGCAAGAGGTAAGAAGAGCAGCAAGCAGTGCTGAAAAATAAATTTTAGAGGGGGGTCCTTTTAAAAACTAGAGAGGGCTCATTTTACAAGGATGAAACCGTGAAATCGTAAAACAAAGTGTGACGTATGCTTATGACGTCATAGGTGTTCACAACGTATAACTGAGAAGGTTAAGTACATAAGATGCTAAAATTAATTTTGATCATAAAAATTTCATTATAACTAACCACATAAATCTGACGATGATATGTTGCTTAAAGATCGACCCTTCAACCATGACGGAGTTTCACATCTTGCTGAAAGTCGTATTTTTGAGTTTACGTCTTTCGTCCAGTTCAAAGAACAATTGCAATTCAGTTTATTGTTAGATAGATCTCTAAATTTAACAAAATGAGTTTTAGGGTGGAGAAGTTGAATATTAAAAACCAGCATCACTTACGTGACGCACTATGAAATAATGTCAGAAAAAAAATGGGAAAATGAGCATAATTTATTTGTTAATTCTTGTCTCTTGATAAGTAATCAGAAAGTCCTTTTCATTAAAACCATATTCATCAAATGGTTGTGGACACTTAAAGAAATAGTGGATAAGTAACTTGCATGAGTTTGTATGTTTTGTTTGTAAGATATATTCTTGCAGGAGGAGGGGTGGGGAGAGCAAAGTTCAGTGCTTGTCACTAAACAGCACATGATTTAAAAAGATGAAATGCTGGTTCTCTCAAAGAGCTAAGGTGTGCAAAATAATGTTGCACCATATGACCATCACAGGGAAAGTTTGCATTGGCACTGTCAAAAGGGAAGGAAGCAAGGAGAGCAATAATCCACCACCACCACCACCCCTAAACACACATACCCTCCTCACCCCAGTGATATTTAAAAGACAATACAGTCTTTATTTTACTTGTAGAAATTAAACAATTGCAAGCAAAATATACAAAAGACAGCTAGGTTTTTTCCCCCCTCCCCCCCAAAAAAAGAAAATTTACAGATACCACTGTATCCAAACTAGGTGGTAAAACATTACTTTCTTCATACTATAAATTTTGCTAGTTATAGTTTTATCTTATACATTACAATCTTTCAAACTTTCATTTCTGGCCTGTCCAAAGAAATATCAGACATAGAAACTAAAAACAATGTAAAATGCCAAGTCTGATATCTTTTTCTGATATTTCTCTGAGCAGGTTGCATATTTTTACAACAATCACAAAAATGAATTCAACTTACAACAGTGTGAGATTAGGAAATTTACTGAAGAAGTTAGCAGACAAACTACGGATTTCATTATCATTGAGCAATCTAAAAAACAAAAAATAGACACAATAAACAAATGTACTTTTAATACAAAGCCTAATTTACCTTGAAAAAACATAACATGTAAAACTTAATAATCTGAAATAGACAATTCTGCAATTTTTTATTTTTATTTTTGGCTACTACACGTTGGGATAGGTGCAACAAAAATATACCATCTGACATACCAAAAAATTGCAATTTGTTCACTATTCATTATTCATGTTTGATAACACGGCATTTCTTCCACAAGCTAATTCCGCAATGCAAGCATTTTACGAAACTACATGTTTGTATTTGCTTCTTAAAAAACTGTTTCAAGAAAAGGTCCTTGTCATTTCAATGCAAGGTAAAACAAAGGTAAAACAAAGAACTGTCTACGTATGTTTCTCATAAAACCTATACCATTTTAGATGTTACATACATAAAATAAAAGATTTCATGCGATCTCACAACAAATAATCTTCATGCATACTGAGGTTCCCCTAATTGCAATTATAATTAGCCATTTAAAAACTACTTAATGTGAACAAGCCCAAATTGCATTCCTTCTACACTAAAAAATTACTGCTATCTTTTCTACATGACCAAGTCACCTGACTATCGACATCAGAGACTTTAAAAATTAGAGGCAAATCCAGGGTAGGGTACACCAAGATACAGCGGTTCAATTTTTAATATATTTACATTTTGAAATACATTACAAGCTAAATTTATTCTTTAGAAATTCAATACAGCCAATTTTGTTCACAAGATATTGAGCAACTATAATTTATTTTCACCAAAGCTGATCAAAATCTTAACTGAATTTCAAGATCACTTCGGCAGTTATGAAGTATTTGGATCATGCTTGACTAAATTTCATGCTTCAAAGTAATTCGCACATGTTACGTACTTAGTTCCATCACCCGCTTAAGTTTTACCGATACTTCATCATCATATATGAGCTTCTTCGCCGATTCCTTTACTGTTTATGTTATACATTAATTTGCCAGTGCGCATTTTTTTGCGGCTTAAGCAAAGAGCTCGATGAAAAGGCTTAAGTACACTGACACTAATTAAAATGATAATGAATAACGAACGCTTGACAGCAATATACGAGCGAACATATAATAAGAGAAATAATAGAAAGGGAAGTAAGAAAAAAGACCAAAATTAAATGAAAGACAAGATTTCAACCACACATCATAACATTAGTTTCAACAGAAACCTTTGATACCGCTGTGAACAATACAAGAAACATAAGAAGCTAATGATTTAAGGGCAATATACATTACTCGTGCTATTGAGTGAAGAGCACTGTTTATGTTATCCCACTCGAGGGAATGCAAAATATCAAAGATTATTAGAAAGACAATCTTTGATAGTTAAAGGATTGAGAAAATTACTTACATGATTTTGGCAGTGCTAGGAAGGTCGTTAGGCACAGTTGTCAAGTTCTGACTTGAGCAATCTAATTTGAAATCTTGACACACACAGAGTCGGTCACAACTCGTCGAATTCTTTGTCTTGATGAGGTTTGCATTAGCAGCGGTGAGAAAGAGAATTGAAAGGAGACAGATAAAAATTTTCATTGCAAATCTTGACAGGTTTGAATAGGAAATTCGCGAAATTTCTTTAGAAGTTCTCTATGCCATGATTGCGCACTAAGTGCGTAAGGGTCGGTATGACATATGAGTTGATCAATATATTGACATAGTGTCAGCACGTACACTGTGATCGTCACACATTGCTCATTTTGTCAATAGAATATACACAGGCAGTTACGGGCTAACTGAGCAACGTCCAGAAATCGGGCTGGCGTGTCGACCAGATGTGCAAAGTAGATGCTTCGCGAGAACAAAGACCATTAGCAGTGTTGCCAGATTGTGAACAAAGTTCATGGATTTATGAACTTTTGATTTTCATTTTGAATTTTTGTGAACAGAAAGAATTTTGTGAACATTTCATGAACTTTTACTTAAAAGTATAGACGACAAATTTACGTAGGTCAGTAAGTGATGATTTTTATTAACCCCATAAAAGCTGAAACACCAGCTTTTCAACAGATGTTATTTGTTTGAAAGTAAAATAGAGTAAAATAAATAATTTCTCTTGATTACTTGAACACAGAGAGAATAGAAAGTTGTTTCGCAAAAATTGCCTCGCAAAAATTGCTTTAAATATGATAATAGGACAATACGAGCACGACAAAGTGGGTTTTTTATGATGCAATTACTCATCTTCTTAAGTGATATACAAAATTTGATAACACAACAGATGAAGATACTTCACATACACGGTCGGCTGTGCTATAACCAAAAGTAACAGCTTTAGTTGCCATTATTAAAGTAAGACGAGAATTTTTGAGCTCATAAAAATCATATCTTACTATAGCAAGGCTTTATTAGTATCTCCCGAATTATCAGTTGATCACCAATAACCATGACTACTCCAATATTTAATTGATGATTACATACAAAAAACAGAAAGCATCATGAAATAGGGCTAATATGACAACATGAATGTCCATAGAATTGTACAAAATAGCATCAAACAGCTAGGGCAAATAAGGCAATTTATAACATAACTACAATAAAACGCATGCGTTAGTTGATCTAAAGCTTAGTTTGCATTAGTCTGTGTGAACCGATTAGAGCTCAATCAAAGAGACTTTGCAAATCAATTATTACTACATGTTATATTGAAAATTAAAACGTTTGTTTTTCATTTATCTTTTTTGTACTGACTATTATTATTTTACAAAAAATAAAAGATATTTTCCAGTTTGCACTGGCTTATTTGCAAACCTGCGAGACGTTTGTGGGAACTCTCGAGCATCGATCCGATGATTCCCTGATCCGCTCTCGAGTTCTCTCAAAGGACTCCTGGGTAAAAAATTTGCATGGATGATCAGGTTCTACTATAATCCCTTTGATCTCTTGGGTAGTTGCTAGTTCATGCCTGCTTTTTAAAGATGGCAAGTAGTTTTTATCTAGGTGTAAAATTCTTAGACTTCTTGTTTACGCACGTTCAATTTCTTGCGGAAAAAATGTGAGAGTCCTGCCCAGACAGCCGATGTATACTCAAATACTGGTCTTATTTTTGATGTATATGTTAATAATCCAACATCTGAAGGTAATTGAGACTTCCTACAAAGTCGAAGATGGTCTTTTATTTGCCTTGCATGTAATTTGGTGTACATGTTCATTCCATTTAAGATCATTTTGACATGTTACGCCGAGAAGTTTGAAACTATTAACTCTTTCTTATTTCTTGTCACTAATAAATATGGGGGGTGGTTCTTGTATTGAGTCCGTAAAGCATATCCACATATCCTTTGTTTTTTTCGGGTTCAGAGCCATTCTGTTATTATCAGCCCATTTCCGTAATTCGTCGATTACTTTTTGCATGGACTGCATTCACCTCTTTCAACAATATGGTCTTGAGTGCAATTATCCGCGTATTTACATGTATTAGCATCTATTTCTTTAGGAATATTGTCCTCTAAATCATTTATATGGACATTAAAAGGCACTGTTGATATAACAGCGCTTTGTGGCACGCCCAAGCGGCAAGGTTGGATGGATTCCATGGCTCCTTGAAGGTTGACTTGTTACGTTCTTCCTGTCAAAAATCTTCGAATCCATTGCCAGAAAGATTTATTAATTTCCATAGTTGCTAATTTTTGTTGTAATATGTTGTGATTCACCATGTTAAATGCCTTTCGAAAATCTATAAATAATACGTGGACTCCCTTTCTTCCTAGTTGAGAATTATCTGTTGCATTATACCAATTTTTTGTCATAGATAATATTTTAGATATTAAAGAAGATACAGTAGATCGGCCACGAGTAAAGGCATCTTGGTTATTCTTTAGTTTAAAATCTGATTTATTCAATTGGAGTTGAAGTTTGTCTATAACTTTAGCCATTTGAGGAAGGACAGATATAGGTGTGAAGTCATTTTCAGCATTGCTTGGGATATTCACTTTAGCAACTAGAGTTATTAGTACATATTCATATTGGTTGGGGTACTTGCATTGTTTTATACTTGTAGCTAGTATATTGTGTACGACTGGTGCAAGATCTTTGCAAAAGCGTTTAAGTATCCATGTCGGAATTTTGTCATCTCCTGTTGCTTTTCTAGGATTTAGGTGTTGTAGACAGCTCTTCACCTGTCCAATAGATGGTAAAGAAGGTTTGATATCCTTCAGCGTTTGGTTGATCAAGTATCTTCAATTTCGTAGTTGGGTGATTGGTTTTTCCAAGGTTTTGTAAAGACTTTTTGTAATTTTTCAGCTAGTTCCAGTACATTTTTATAATAGACCTTTCTTTTTACATTACTCCAGTTGTTAATTCCCAAAATATAGAAGATTTATTCATACCATTTTTTTGTGTTAGTCGTACGAGTGTCTTTTGCTTTTTGTCTGTAATATGAAATTTTGGTGTTGTTTATACGTTTTGAGACATCAGTACATAGTTTTCAATAACATGCTTAATTATTACAAGAGAAAGCTCGTTTTCTGGATTTGATCTTTGATTTTATAAAGCTTGTCATCCAAGGTTTATCTGAAGCATGCATCCGTACTGATTTTTCAGGAATAGTTTCATCCATAACGCTACGCATCGTTGAGGTAAAGGCGTTTAGTTTTTCATCTACATCTTCTACATTTAAGACCTCAGACCAATCTTCAAGAATAAGTTTTCTTCATAAGACATTTAGATTTTCAGGTGTTAAGAGTCTTACCCTTCTGGGAATTGCTGGTGATATTCCTTTCTGTTTTGGCCCCAATAGAAGGCATTGGTGATCAGAACGTCCCAATGGCGGTAGATCCTGTGTTGGTTTGTGCATATCTCGCATGTTTGTCGAGACTTGATCCAAAACCTTTTTCCTCTGGTTGGGTATAGGATAGATTTTTTTAAATTGAAACAATTACATAGACTAGTCAAGTTTAATTTATTGAAGTCTCTAGCAACTATAATTGCAGAGGATGGACGTTCACATAGTAAGTGATCTAAATTTTTGATGAGATATTTAAACATATCATGCTCTTTTTCGGCACATTGCCAGGTGGATAATAAACAATGACAATAATAATTGCACTAAATGGGCGAGGTGTTCTTGTTAGTTTAAGTAGTAGCCATAGCACCTCTTTATCATTGTTTTTATCAAATAACTTATGACTAACAGGTATTTTTTGATGTACATAAGTAAGAACTCCTCCGCCAAGGGTGGGTCTGTCTTTGCGAAATATTTTGTATTCATCATTAATAGATATTGCTGTGTCTGGTATATTTGGAGAAAGCCAGGATTCCGTAATCAGTACAACTTCAGAACTATTATACATGACGACTCCATTTAGTTCATCAATTTTATTAGTTATGTGACATGCATTTGTGAGCATGATTGTTGGAAGAAAGGTTTTGACTGGATCATTACTATTAGTTTTGATTTCTATACAGTTGAATTTTCCATAGTTCATATTGTGTCCATTATATGTTTTAATATGTTTGATTGGTTTTCTCTGGGTTATACGTACGTTAATTGAGAAGATGTTATCATTGGTTGTATAATCTGATGCCATTAAGTTGTGATGTATATGATCTATTTTCCTTTTCAGTTTAGCTTTGAAATTAGTCCTATGTTGAGAGCAATAAATGTAGTTACATGTAGTTTAATCATTGGCGTAGCCAGCCCGCTGATTTAGTCGTGCTATGTAAATTTAAGACCATTATCATTATTCATTTCTTTAGAAATCTATTGTTTTTACAGTGAGTGAACACAGAAAAATTTACATAGCACGACCAAACTTGCGGGCTGGCTACGCTCCTGAGTTCAAAAGTGGTTATTTTGTATTTAATGTTTGATGAACAAAGTGTAGGTATGTTAATCATTCTTTTGCTTTGTTTCCCTTTTGCAAGATGTCTGATAATTGTACTTTAAAAGAGCTTGTTTGCAAAGATCTTTGTGATTTAAATGTGATCGGGGCAGATGGTAATACTGAAAAGGAGTACTCTTGTGACAAAAATTATTTTTCTTTGCTCGTTCAAAAGATGTTTGAGATGGTGGACATTTAATGGCGTTGAATTTGACTGGATATTTACCATCCTTTGAGTTGTTTTGCTTTGAGTTTTGGAAAACAGTAGTAGGACTCGGCAGTTGCTCGGTGTTAATTGCTGTAAATGATGTTAAATTTTGTTCTTGATCAGAAAGGAGATCATGAGGGTTTGATGACTTCTGTTATAGATGGATAGTAGCAACAGAGTTGTTTATCTGGTGTTGTTCCATTCTAGCATGATTTGCAGAATACTTAACACGTTGTTTTTCACGACATTTAGTCATTTGCATAGAGAACATGTCGTTGAAATTCTGTTTGTTATTAATTGTAGCATAATTTTGTGGGGTAACCGGACAGTTTTTTTCCTTCGTGTAATTACTTTTGTGTTTGGCACGATATATTTCTAGTTGATCATCAAGAGAGTTAAGCGATTATGATGGAACAAAATTATTACAAGATTTAAGTTGATGTCTATTGTTTCTAGTTTCAATAGCACGGTCAGTCTTTTTGTTTTCAAATCTCTTTTTTAACATTAATACATCCGTTCTAAGCTCTTTAATTTCCAACTCAAGTTTGATATTTTTATCCTCTTGTACTTGCAATTCTGTTTGCAATGCTCTTATGTCGTCTATGAAAATTTGAACCTTTGCTTCGGGGGAAAGGATTGGGTATTTTCCAAGGTTTGAAGTGCATCGACTCGGCTTTGGAGAATTTCGATATCAAGTTTAATATCTTCGACACACTCATTAATGTTAACATTCAGCGATTGAAGTGTCAATGACCGAGCCCGTAGGGCGAAGTTTGTAAAAAAAAAAGAGGCCCGATATTTCTCAGTAAAGAACGAGAAAATGAGGTTAATAAAACGTGTATTACATGGCATTATTTAATCTGAAACAAAGCTTTCTTTCCTTCTTGTCCTCGATGTTTTGTACGGTTGGCTTTCACTTCTATAGTTTTCGTCAATACAAAATAAATCGTTTGAAATTGTGTCGTGTGCATAATAAAACTCACTTTGCGAGTGCTTGTCCTTTGACTCAAATTTGAATATGGTTTCTGTTTCATTTTCTTTTTCCTTTTGCTTTTGGCTGTTTGCTTTACGAAATTTGTTTTCATTTAATCGTTAATTTGCGCGTACTGGACCGTATTAAGGGAAAGTCGTAGACCGGCAAAAATGCTTCTGAGCCAATCAAGCGCGCCATTTAGTCGGAAGTGACGTTTGTCAAAAAATAAAAAGTCGTAATTTTTGCCTTTGAAGTTTCAAAATTGAAATTATGTCGCTTACACTGATTGCAAATTTTAAAAGCCAGCCCAATCGCCACTTTTTCTGGTTGAAAGTGTAAGAACACATTTAAGTTGGAGCAAAGCCTGTTTTACAAATCTACGTCATATGTTTTTGCGTTCTATAAAAGAAAAACAATCGATGAAATTTTTTCCCTAAAAATTAATTCTAATTTTCCTAAAAAATTGAAAACTCCATAGCGGTAGCTTTTCAATTCCTGCAATAAGGTCCCATATTTGTGGAGCAGCTATCGTATTTTTGGATCCAAAGACATTTTTACAATTAATTTGTTTATAAAAATCTGAAATACTAACATAGTACTCAGTCTACTGTCACTTCTCCGTATTTCAATGCTATAAAAATACAGTAGACGATATTCGAATCATTTGGGAAAAATACGACGATGTTCAGTTGATGGAACTACCATTTAAAGACGTCATTGAGTTGACAGAACTACTGTTTATGGATGCCAGAGGGCGAGATTCGACTTCCAACGCAGGCTTAGCGGCTTCAGTAGGTTGTATGTTTTGCGGGAAAGAAAGAACATGTGGTAGGAACACAAGATTTGGGTTTGTCTGAGGGAATTGGTTTGGTTGACCAATTACAACTTCAGGATTCTGATTTGATGGCACACCAGGCTCACTTACTGTATCGACCAGAATAAGATTTTCGTTTGGGTTTGTTGTTTGGCTTTCTTAAAATAAAAAAAAAAAAAAAAAATATAAAATATAAAAAAAATAAAAAAAATATAAAATATAAAAAAAATATAAAATATAAAAAAAAATATAAAATTAAGGATAAACAAAAGTGAGATTTAGATGATTTTATAGCATCATGAGTATTTAGCTAAATCTCTTTACATCTGATTATTAATTTAAATAAAATCGTTAGTTATGTTATTCAGTTCATCTCGGTTAAAGAAAGCTCGTATGAGTTAAAGAAATAATACGATATAAAGAAATAACTCAAATAAGAAATAAATACGATAAGCTCTTGCCTTCGGGCAAGCTGCATTACGGACAACAAGCTATTTTAGTTAGCATATTATTATTTTCCTACAATAATATCAATTTTGATAACGATCATAAATTTTTGACACATTTATAGGGAAACCACCAAATAGCACATGCTTTCAAGTTATTTAAAATAGGGAAAGACTGGACATAAAAGCCGGCTGTAATGTTGGCATGATAAATTTTTTAAAAAATTTTGCTAACGATTATGCGAGTATTATGATTAAAAAAAGTCAATGACAATTTAAGGAGATCAGGAGTTGTTTAAAGAGAATAACAAAATTGTGTAATGGGAGACTTTATTAAGGGTCATTTCAGATGACAAACTTTTCGGGTACCAAATGTACAGAAAACAAAACATAATATGATGGAACTAAACTCATCAAAATTTATCTTTAAAAATTCAACGTATGAAATTTAAAAAGAGTTTCTGACTGAAACTACTATGAAATATGTGTTAAATAAATCTTGCTATAAAGGACTGCTAAAGGATTTGTTGTCTCCAGTAAAGATTTTTGTCGCTCTACTATTATTTGACGGTTGCTTAGAGTCATCTTTTGTTCACTAAACTAACAAACAAAAAAAACATAAATGCATTATCTTTGCATGTATTAATGAGAAATATTGTTGCGTTTTAAATTTCAAATGAGCCTTTTGAAACGAAAAGGCAAATTTTTGAAACAGAAATTTGCCAGGACCGTATATAACATAATCTATGAGGCAAAAAGGCACAAGACATCGATAAGTAGCACATTTGGACATTTGTGTTTCGGTAACAATTTATATCTGGCAACGCCCTGTTTACATTATTAGAGCAATTTAAAACCCATTTCCCGCGAGTGTCCATCATAACGATAGTTGACTGACACATAAAAAAGTCTAAATTCTTATTGCTGGAGAATAGATGACAATTCCAAAACAGTGCCAAATTAAGATAATCGTAATTTGCACTGAATAAAAAAATTATTTAACTGCGTCAATCTTTTTATAGAATTCTTTCATTCGCAATTTATAAACATATTTTTTTTACTTGTCTATTCTAATTTGAGCTTGTAAACCTCAAAAGTCAGCACTTCATTAATAATGATGTTTGCCTACCTTTTGTACCCGTAGAACCGACGAGAGAGCCCCCTGGTACTCCTGTTTCACCCTTATTTGTATGGGTGGATACTTTGGTATGATTTTTTGTGGGAATAACGCAAGGTTTGTCACTCTCCTCAAATAAGATTTTTATTTTGTGTTTCTTTAGCTCATCCTTTAACATATCAAAATAATGATGTTTTCCAATTTTACTTATGCACGAGGTTGGTTGTTTGCCTAAAAAAAAGTATATGTATGAAATATACAAGGGTATTAAAAAAGTAGACTCTTGCATGGAAAACGTTCTCTAAAACAAGACGCGCGTTGAGTAAGCAAACGATGTTCAGTTCTTGTAAGTTACTTTAATGTTCTCTAGTACATCTGGTAATGAAATGTTTGAAAATTCATGTTAAAAGTCCTTCAAAACAGGCATTGTACACAAAAAATAATAATCGGAAAAACAATTTAATCACAATATGGACTGCGAAAACTGTGACAAATTGTACAAGCTGTGAAAACTTTGAGTAATTTGGGGCAAGAGCTGTCAAACGCAAGAACATTAAAACTTGGATTTTTTTGCGTTTGGGCATTTCGTAAATTTGCAGAAAGAACAAATATGAACTTAGCAAGCTAATTCACAAAGGTATAAATGTTGTAACAAAACGTAGAAAGTGAAATGCATAAGCGCAAAGAGTTCATATTATAATTATCTCGCGTTGGCTAGTGCTTATACCAAATTGTTTGAAACTAAGATAGCTTGAACAACACCGTCCATATTTTGATTCATGATGATAAAATTATCATTGTTTTTTTTTGTTTACTTTTGTGCGCAGGTATGTTTTGAAGGAATTTTAACAACGGTTCTTTCACAAATAAAAATTTTTGCATTTTCAAAAATTTCATTAGTAGCTAGATAGCTATACCAAAGAACATTAAACTGATTAAAGTACTTACAAGAACCAAACATCTTAGCTTATTCAAAGCAGGTCTTGTTTTAGAGAACTTTTTTCAAGAGTCTACTATTTTAATACCCCTTGTACAGAAATACAGTTGAGAGACTCTAGCAGAGAAATATCGTTGAGGTTAAATTTTTCTTCATTTTTTGTTGATTTTTCAGTTTGCCTTTTTTTCTTTACACCATTTTCAGAAATTGAGATATTCTACAATCTAAAATACACTTATGTATATACAAATTTAAATCTTGTGCGGTTCGTCTCGACTAATTAATACCATTTGTGTGGAGGTAATTTATTGAAATAATAGCTTTGAAATTGTTCTTTTACAGGCTGAGTAAAAACAATGGATGCAGTTATTTTTTTCTGAAATGTTTAAACCAAGTAGGCAAATTGTTCGTTTTGCCCTTTAACCTCTGATTAACACCATTTACATACTCACGTGCTATTTGGACATTATCTTCATACCCTCCATCTACATTTCCAGGTGGGTCGTACTCTGCAACAGCGTAGAAATTTTGACCTGTTTGGCCCTCTTCACCCATTCCAAGTTTTTCTGAATCCCTCCATATCATCTGTGTAAAGTGACCTGGATACCACAAAAAATACGATTCACAATACACGATAGTGTTTCTATAATTCTCTTGAATTGAATTTTATGCAAAAACTAATGATAGTTAGAGGGCTGCAGGAACAGCTTCCGTTAACTTTCTGAAGTAATCGCTTTCTAAAATTAAAAACTTTCAACTTTTAACATTGTTTAAATTTAGCTACTAACTAATAAGCTGTAACGCTCATTCATCATAAAAAACACACTAAAAATAACACACGAAGAAATCCTTGGCTGGTGATGTCTTTTCAAGAAATTAAAGGGAACTGGGACCTCACAGGCTGCAGGCCCGTGTTTTTTACCTTTTGACACAAAGACATAAAAAGCTGTAAAGGTAAGGAAATGAAAACCAGAATTTTAGGTGTTGTTGATCAGATGACAAAATTTGGTTTTCCGTGAAAGGTCTAGATTTAGATTTGTTTATTTTGAAACCCAGTGATCATCTAAGCAAGCTAAGTAACTAAGTTTTACTTTTTTGACGTCGCAAGATCTCCTGAATGAAGAATCTGAGCCTACGATTTCTGATGGTACAGAAAACCCTTACCGAATAATCTATTTCAAGTGCTCGACCTCATTCTACTCTGAGATTTTTCGCAAGTTCTCATGTTGAAGACGTTAGCTACAATCCGAGCAGCGTAGTCAGACTGAAATTTTTAATGCTTTAATCTACATTTAAGAACATTGTCATCATTCTTTCCTTTAGAAATCTTATGTTTTTACAGTTACTGATAATAGAAAAATTTCCATATAGTGACTGAATAAACAGGCTTAATACACGCAGCCTACACTTCTGGTTGGCATCGTTCGACGACGTCGCAATGAGCTATGTTCTGTGCTTTTTTAAGGCTTTGATTTTTTTCATGCTTATTGCAACACAGCTGAAGGTTTTTTACAACGATTTTCAGGCGAATACTTTAGGAAGCTAAGTTTCAAATGTTGTTTGTCATTTCATTTGATGATTGTTACAGATCTGCTTAACTGCCATGCAAAAAGGATTCATGGCCAAATTACCGTAGGTCAAATTGCAGTTATTTTCAAAGGTGTGATACGATATTAAGTTTCAGTAAGTAATTTAGTAAGTTTGTTTGCTTGCAACACCCTCCACTAATGGTGCAAATGAAAAGTGCTTCAATGCTCTACGAAGAACAAAGCTTTATCACAGATTCAGTGATTTGGGAAACTTTTAATTTCTTTAATATGGCGTAAAGTTTATTTGCTGAGAAACATCGATGTTTGGTTATTGATTGAAATTGTAATAATATGTTTTTATTCACTGTAATGTTTACAAAACATTGTTTCTGGTACTTTCAGATAAAACGCACTGCATGCTCTTCCCTTTTTTTCATTGCCTTCTTACGGATCCTTTTTTGCAAATCCTTTCTGGCAGCCTTGAATTAACAGGGAAATAAACATGATTTGGTAAAGTAGACGGTAAAACATTTTTAAAAATTCATCCTATAAGCGCTCAAACCTCGATGTACAATTTTGTTATTAGTGACATTGCAACACCTCTAATTTTAGTATCAACCATTCTACGAAGATTCTAAATGAACATGTAAAGATCTAGCTTAATGCTATTCTTATGATTTTATAGAGTATTTATTTCTGATGTGACCTTTCAAAATTTTACCTAAAAGTTTATCTAAAAGGGTGAAGAACAAAATTTTATCTAAAAGGGTGAAGAACACGGGTCTCTTTCTGAATATGAACAAATATTTGTCCCTGCATGAAGGCACTCTTTTTTTATTAGAAGTATCTATCAACTACAAAATATGGAACAACATTAGTAGCGAAGCCATATCTGAAGCTCTAGACTAGAGGTGCTCTACCAGGAAAATTTTCAACTCTAGATTGAGTCCCTCCAGAACGATTTTGCGTATTTCTGGGATAAGATTTTGCATAGTTTGGTATTAATATAGGTAGTGTAACCAGTTATCGCCTCCATCCTAATTTCTACATCTATACCACTCATCAAAATGCTGTAGCTACTTAAGCTAATCAAAACGAAGGGAAAGTGAGCCCTGCTTGTCTATCACTGAAGTATGAAGATTATAACGGTTGATCCACTTTGCTAGTCATTTTGGTGTTATACATTCAATTACGGATAGCCATTTTAAGCTTTTTTCAGTATTGGTAAGAAAATACAATGGCTGTCACGAGCGTAATAAGATACGTTCGACACAAAAAAAGTTAATGGTTTGTTTCCTCTCCTGTGATTAAATACAATTTTCTGTTGCTTGCTTCAGAAGTTTTTGTTTTTTTCAGACTTAAAAAGACTACGAACTTTTGTACAAAAAAATAAAATAATCCTATACGTGTAGCAAAATGTATGATTTTTAATCCCCAAAGGACTCATATATATATATATATATATATATATATGATTATGATTAGGGCGATCTTCAGGCAACTCTACGGCGTGAAAACTCGCCCTACGGCGTGAAACTCCGAGTAGCGACAGCAAACAATTGTCCATTTTATTTTAGTTCATTTTATCTTACGCTCTCTTAATATATAGAATATTGAGCGCTCTTTTATCCAGGAATATTATCCATAATATATGATTATATATATAGGAAGTTTATAATTTATGATTTTCCGTATAAAACAGTGCTCGATGCCCAAGAGCAGAGCGTAATATAGGTGTTGAGAAAATCAAAACTACAGATTTCCCGACAAGCCTGTTTCGTGATTTCTGAATCCCTGAAGAGTGAGCAATCACGAAACAGGCTTGTCGGGATGAATCTGTAGTTTTGTGATTTTTCTCAACACCACTGATTATATATATATATATATGATATATACATATTATTAATAACCATAACAAACGCATATTGAGAGAACCTGACAATACTAATGACACCATTAATGACAAAAATACACAAACTAAAACATGCAACTGCCGACAAAAACAAAACTGCCCACTTAACGGAAACTGCCTACAATCATCTGTCATCTACCAAGCAACTGTTAAACGTTTGGACAATAACACAACTGAGACCTACATCGGACTTACAGAAAACGAATTTAAGACTCGGCACAGGAACCACACTGCCTCTTTCCGCCACAAAAAACTAAGAACTCCACCGAACTCAGCAAACACATATGGACACTAAAAGACAACAACATCGCTCACAATATCTCATGGAACATCATTACTCACAGCAAACCGTACAACAGCCCCAACAAAAGATGCAACCTATGCCTGAAAGAAAAATTCTTTATCACCTACCAACCACAACTCTCATCACTCAACAAACGTAACGAACTTATCTCCTCTTGTCGCCATAGACACAAGGCACTTTTATTCAATTTGTAATCGTATACTCAACATATTATGTAATTCTATCTTAATTTTTACCCTAACTTCCTCTTGTATATATAATCTAGCACATGCTTTTGTATTCATTTATTATTATCCCCAGAAGAGTGAGAAATCACGAAACAGGCTTGTCGGGATGAAATTGTAGTTTTTGTGTGTTTTCTTCTTCTTATCAATATTTACGCTCTGCTCTTAAGCATCGAGCACTGTACTTACGGAGATTCAAATAAACAAAACTTCCTATGTATATATATATATATATAGGAAGTTTATAATTTATGATATCCATCCATTAATCAAGACCTACTAAACAAAGCACTGGATTTCGCCTCAACCTACGACAACATCACAAACGCCGAAAAAAACATCATTATACACGCTAAGAATTCATTCCTTATACACAACAAACAACCCTGGCAAAAAAAACATAACTCTACATTCGACGTCACAATGGGTAGCTTCGACGGAGCTGAGACATGCGAACTCGTAGGAAGCTACCTCCTTTCTCAACTACAAAACATCACAACAGACATAGGACTTTATCGAGACGACGGACTTGCCATTTCAAACACCACACCACGAGAAACAGAGAACATTAAAAAGGAAATATGCCGGATATTCAACAACAATGGACTACGCATAACTATTGAAGCAAACAAAAATCATCAACTTCCTCGACATCACCTTCAATCATTTTTCATATCGCCCTTACACAAAACCCAACTCTTCTCTGCAATACGTCCACAGCGAAAGCAACCATCCACCAACCATAACGAAGAACATACCCGACGCCATCAACAAACGTCTATCTTCACTATCATCCGACAAAGCATTTGACCAAATAACTGCACCATACCAAAAGCACTCGACGAAAACGGATACCGATACACTAAAATTCGACTCAGACGCTAACGGAAAAACAGACTTCGACAAAATATACTTTGGTACAACCCTCCATTCAGCAAAACGTCTACACGAACATCGGCCACAAATTCCTTTCATTATCGACAAACACTTCCCCATAGACCATAAACTCAGGAAAATATTCAACCGTAACACCATCAAACTCAGCTACAGCTGCATGAACAATATCGAACAAATAATCAACAACCATAACAAACATATACTGAGAACATCAGACAAAACTAACGACAACACCGCGAACAAAAGACACTTACAAAACATGCAACTGCCGACAAAACAAAACTGCCCACTTAACGGAAATTGCCTGCAGTCATCCGTTGTTTACCAAGCTACTGTAAAACGCAAAGACAATAACACAACTGAGACGTACATTGGACTTACAGAAAACGAATTTAAGACTAGACATAGAAATCACACTGCCTCTTTCCGCCACAAAAAACTACGAAACTCGACCGAGCTCAGTAAGCACATTTGGACCCTTAAAGACAGCAATATCGACCACGACATCTCATGGAACATCATTACACACAGCAAACCATACAACAGCACCAGTAAAAGATGCAACCTTTGCCTTAAAGAAAAATTCTTCATCCTGTACCAACCATCCAAATCATCCCTCAATAAACGCAACGAACTTATTTCCTCTTGTCGCCATAGATCCAAAACACTCCTATGTAATTTGTAACCATACACCGTAATTAATACTCTAACTTCCGTCATCTAACTTGAAACTATACACCTTGATTAATACACTAGCTTCCGTCATCATCTTGTATATATATTTAAGCATTTAAGTATTTTATTCATTAAATCCCCTGAAGAGTGAGCAATCACGAAACAGGCTTGTCGGGATGAAATTGTAGTTTTTGTGTATTTTCTTCTCCTTACCAATATATATATATATAGTTATAAGAACATAATCTACTTATGACTAACCTGTTTCTTTTGAATATGTTGGATTACTAAAATCATAATCACTTATTTCTTTATACCATACTGCGACAGCCTCCAAGCAAAGCAAGTCAATATCGTTAATCGTTCCGGTACTATATATATTCGAACCATATTTGCCAGCTGGCGGATGCTCTAGCGTCTAAAATGTTTATCTTAATTTTAATTGGAATTTTTTTCATTGCATATCTTCCAGTGGTGTTACTAGGTTGTTCAGACTAGGGGAGAGGTTAAAATGCAAGCTTCAAAAATTCTAAAGCCCTATGTGGGTTGGAAATATTCCCTCTAAAAGAATGTAGTGATGAAGTGGTATTGCCATATTACTTGAAGGATCGTTAGTTGGCCAGCCCAGGCTTTACTTTTCTCCTCCAGATTATGGTCCCATTTTATTGGTGGTGAGTTATGAACAACTCTTAAAAAATTATGAAAAGCAATGCAACTGTCTTTGAACTCTTCGCTATCCCATTTTCTTAATTTTTCCATGCCTAAAAGAGACGAAAATTTAACAAACTGGTTAACAATTTTTTTAAAAGTTACAAGTTAACAAAATCAGCAGTCGATAAGGCTTTGAAAATGCAAAAAAATACTGCATGAAATTTGTAGTTTTAGTGTGAAAACACGTTATTTTTTGTCTTTGTGATAATGGCTAAAAGAGAAGCAACATCATAAAAAGGGATGTGGAAGCATCAACCACATTTGACGTAATTTATACTGAAACACTTATACAAATTTCTTCTCAAACAAACAAATGGACATTTTATAAGAGTCATTCTTGTTAAATTATTCGAGATTCGGCAATAACGTTCAGATAATATGTGAAATATTATGATTTTTATTGCGGAACAAAATAACAACTTACGTATAAGCTAACAACGATTTTACAATAACAAGTTCTCAATGTCACTTGATCTGACATGTGTCATAGATAATTATGTTTTTCGCGTTATGTTTATATCTTAACACTCCCTTTTGAAAAATATAAACTAATCTCTATTCCTTTAAATGTTTGTTACTCCCATATTATCTCATTCGTTGAAATACAGTTTTTCCTAATGGTTTCGCCCACATATCAGCAACCATTTGTTGTGACGTACAATACTCAAGTGCAATTTCTTTCTTCAGTACTTTGTCGCGAATGAAATGATATTTTATGTCAATGTGTTTCGTTCTTGGATGGTATTTCTGATTTTTCGACAAACTTATTGCTCCTTGATTATCTTCTTTTATGATAGTTGGTTTCTTTTGAGTGAAGTTTAAATCATGTAGTAATCCTCTTAACCATATTGCTTCTTGACATGCTTGTGATGCTGCAACATACTCAGCTTCAGTAGATGAGAGAGCTACAATACTTTGCTTTTTGCTTGCCCAACTTACCAATCCACCACAAATAATGAATGGGTATCCTGAATGTGATTTTCGATTATTTGGATCACATCCCCAATCATCATCAACAAATCCAAATAATTTGTCTTTCAGATTCCTCATGTCCATCAAAGCAAATGCCGTAGTTAATCGTACCTTTAATGTAACGTAAAATACGTTTGGCAGCATTCCAATGGTTTTGGCTAGGGTTAGCACAGAATTGATTAACTGTTGAAAGTGCTTGTGCCAGGTCTGGTCTTGTCGCTGTAACTGCATACGTTAATGCACCAATTAATGCTTGATATTTGGTTATGTTCATTGGCTCTCCTTCATTATTCAACAACTTGGTTCCTAGCTCAACAGGAGTTGCAACAGGTTTGCAGTCTTGCATTCCAAATCTCTTCAATAAATTCGTCAAATACTTTGATTGATGAAGTCGCATTTGTTTCTTTTCCCTGTCTCGTTGAATTTGAATGCCAAGACAGAAATGAATTTCACCTAGATCTTTCATTTCAAAGCGTTTCTTTAAAATACCTTTCTCCTCTTCTAGCATTTTCTTGTTGTTACTTGCAAGAATCAAATCATCGACGTATAACGCTAAAAGCATGATATTATCTCCCTTTCGTTTAATGTAGGCACGGATCAGAAGATTGAACGTATCTGACAGACCTTCTGTTCTTGTCCTTCTCATATCCTTCAGGTTGCTTCATGTATATTTCCTCTTTAAGTTCACCGTTCAGAAATGCCGTCGACATCCATTTGGTGTACGTCCATCTAACTGATTAGTAATTTAGAGACCTTGATGTATATTTTGTACTGGAGAAAATGTTTCTTCATAATCCAAACCATATTCTTGTAAGTATCCTTTCCTCTTTATGCCGTTCAATTGAACCGTTGCTTTGTAAACTTTGAATATCCATCGAGAATCTATGGCTTTACGATCTTTAGGTAAGTCAACCAATGTCCACGTATTGTTTTATGTGGGAAAATATTCATTGTCCATTGCTTGTTTCCATTTCGCATCTGGACTATCAAAGCTTCATTAATGTTGAGTGGTTCATCGTTAGATTCAATCAATGCTAGCGACATTGTTCTGCCACCAATTACCTGTGATCACCACACCATGTCTATCAGGAGATTTGTGTATTCGTGCTGATCGTCGTGGTTGTTGTTGTTCATCTATCATACTGTTGTTGGAACTATCTTCCATTTCTTCATAGACTTCATGTTCTTCATTGATATGTGAATTTTACCTGTTGAAGCGTCGTAGAGTCGATAACCTTTACTTGTGAGGTTGTACCCAACAAATGTGCATTTCTTGGTTTTGGAGTCCTATTTCTTCCTTGTTTTCTTAGGAAAAGGCATGTAAGCTGTGCAACCAAAAATTCTCAGATGTGAAACATCAGGTTTCTTAGAATGTAAACATTCCTAAAGTGTAACTCCGTTCACGGATACAGTAGGACTTCGATTTCTTAAGATGACTGCAGTATGAACTGCTTCAGTCCAGAATTTCTTTTGCAGTTTTGCGTTGTTAAGCATAGATCGTGCAACTTCTTGAATGGTTCTGTTCATTCTTTCAGAAACTCCGTTCTGCTGTGGCGTTCTGGGAACACTAAACTGATGCTGAATTCCCTTATCCTTTAGATATTTTTCAAACATGTGACAAGTGTACTCACCACCGTTATCTGATCGAAGTACTTTAATTTTCTTATTAGTGAGATTGGTCACCATTGCTTCAAACTCTTTAAATTTCTCAAAAGCTTCATCCTTACTCTTCATAAAGTAGACCGTTGTGTACCTTGATTTATCATCAATAAATGTTATGAAATATTTATTTCCACCAAGACTTGTTTCTTCCATCGGTCCACAAACATCGCTATGGACAAGATCAAGTACATCTTTAGCACGCGTTGCAGGTTCTCGAGGAAAGGTTGCTCGTACCTGCTTTCCTTGTGCACATTCTTCACAAACTTCAAAGTGATCATCTGATTGAAAATTAAGACCTTTAACCAATTTTTGATCTCGAAGTAGACGTAAATTCTTCAGGCTTAGATGGCCATACCGTTAATGCCATATTTCTTCGCTAGTATCGCTTGTAGAAACATTCGCATGCTTCGAATCATCTTGTTCTTCTTTAACATCAAGAACATACAGGTTATTCGCCATTCTTCCTGATCCAGATATAGTTCCATTTTGATCAAGTATCAAGCAAGTATGTTGATTAAATTCAACTGAGTATCCTCGTTTTTGTCGTAGCACTAACTGAGAAGAGATTCTTTCCTAAATCTGGAACATATAGAACGTCAAACAATCTTCTTGGTTCATACTTCTTCTTAGACTTAATCTCAATGTGTACATTTCCTTTTCCCAGTGTTTGAACTATTCTGTCATCTCTTAGCTTTACATTTTCAGGGGATTTGAATGGGATGAAATCAACCATGATGTCCTTATTATATGACATATGAGATGATGCACCTGAATCAATGTACCATGCAGATTCTTTGTTATCTGTAAACCATGATGAATTCTGAACTGTGACTCCGTAGGATGCTTCTTCCCTTTTATTTCTATTGTCACTTTGCTGATTCTGTTTGGGTTTGCGACATTCTCGAGCCCAATGAATTTGCGACATTCTCGTAACCCGCAGTTATGGCATTTACCTTTTCTTTTGAATTTGGTATTCTTTACTTTGTCGTTTTTGGACTTTTGACATAGTAGTGCTTTCTCACCAATGTTCTTACTTTCGTAGGATTCTTTACGTTTCTGTTCTTCATGAAGAAGTCTTGCAGTAACGAATTCTAATGATAGGTCATCTGCTCTAGATTCCAATGCTGTTATTAAGCCACTGTACGAATCATGTAAACTACAAAGGAGTGTCGCCCTTGATCTTCCTCAAAAACAGACGCACCCAATGCTTCTAATTGACTTGCAATATCCTTCATCTTTCTGAGATGTTCGGTCATGGATCATCAGGACCCATGCTTGTAGTGAAATATTTCTTTCGCAAGAATAACTTATTGGCCAAAGATTTGACTTCATAATGACTTTCTAATTTCGCACAAGCATCTTTTGCAGTACGCGCTGATCGAACGAGAGATAGCTGTTCATCGCCGATAGACAAACATATTGTTGCAAATGCCTTCCTTTCCCGCCTTTGATATTGTCGACGTTGAGTATCGGTAGTTCCTTCACCATTAGGTTCTACCTCATCGCCGATAACTATTTGCCAGAGATCCTTCTCTTCAAGTATCATCTGCATCTTAAACTTCCAAATGTGAAAGTTTCGGCCATTGAACTTTTCGATCCGTGTAAATGCTTCGTCATTTCCCGAAGTCGCCATATTCAATATTTCGCACTTATGTAAGATATATTCTCATGAAATCGCGATATCTCATATACTTTCCGTATTTCCGTCATTAACAGAAACTTAAACACTCCTGGGTCCATAACCTGTTAAATTATTTGAGATTCGGCAATAACGTTTGGATAATATATGAAATATTATGATTTTTATTGCGGAACAAAATAACAACTTACGTATAAGCTAACAACGATATTACAGTAACAAGTTCTCAATGTCAATTGATCTGACACGTGTCATAGTTAATTATGTTTTTCGCGTGATGTTTATATCTTAACAATTCTCTCACACAAAATAAATTCAACTAATTATAATTAAAATTGAGTGAAGCAAAAGGTACAAAAATACAGAATAAGAATCTTTCACTCCATGATGGTTAAAAATCATGAAAACGAAGAAGAATCTTCTTGCGTGAAAGTATATGCGAATTTTGAGCCTGCTTTAATTACAAAACCGCGGGCTTGTGGTAAGGCTGCTTCTACTATATGATTAATCCGGCCCTGACCATTAAATAAATATTTGATGTATTTAAACTCTCCAGACATAACAAAAACCATCAATGTTATTTACTTAAAATGTTCTTTTGTCTCCTTGATACACAAAAAATGCCTCTGATGGTTCTCTTTATTCAATTTTTATTAATTGCATAAAGTTTCCCAAATTGCACTTGGAAAGTTTCGAACTGCTACTTTACTCGTTGTATCGATTTATGCCGAGTTATTCTGTCAAAAATGTTTACATTGATGTAGCTACATGGTAAAAATGGAAAATAATGAAGACGAAAACCACAAAAAGTTATTATACTTAAATTCGTCTTTGCCAATCAAACCAAACACATAAAATTAAATACTTTTCATACCTGATGTGAAAGTGTGAGCAAATAGTAAAACACAAATCAATCTAAAAAGAGCGATATAATTCATTGTATTAGTTATTGATTTGACTGCTTTTAAAGACACATCTAACTTGCTCTTTGAAATGTGACATTGATGTTTAATCAGTGAATTTAAGAGCAGCAGGTTGTTTATAGTTGTAAAATCTGTTGCCAGTGATTGCCTAGTTAAGAGTTTCCTACCCGAACAAAAGACAATTCTCTAACAGTTCTAAAGTTAAATGAAGATATGATCTTCGCACTTTGCTGGACAATTTAAGCAATTGTCTCATGAACCTGAAAAATTCAGGTGACTCAATGGGATTCGAACCCATGACCTCTAAACTTCTAAAGTTAACGCTAACAAACAGTATTGAAGTGTTTAGCAAAAACAGAGTTTATAATTATTAGTTGTCAGAGAAATGTGACGGAATGGATAACGTTCATTCATAGACCTGTTATTATGTTAGTTTTACTAAATTGGCAGCTATTTTGACTACACGACAATTTCATTGGATAAAATAGATAATCCGAAAAAGGACAGGACATCTTACAAACTTAAATTTAAGTTTTAGTAGTAATATTTCGGTTTTATTTCAAAACAATCATTGGTTTAATTTTATAACTATAAGCCTTATAGTTTTTGACAATTTTTAGCGATCTGCAAGCTCATGTATAATTGAGGCCACAGCAGTGACGTTTTCTTGAAACAAGCCAATCAAAACGCGTTGTTTTTATAATGTGTAAAAATAACTGCAACATTATCCCTTGCAAAGCGACAAAATAGAACAATTAAATTTAAAATTCTGGGTACCTATGAAAAGATACACGAGTATTTGCTTTAATCAATGTCAATAGCTCAAAATAATTTGGCTTTTGACGACAAAATTTTTATTCATATATTCAAACATTTTTAATACTTTAATTTTTTCCTCAATAAAAATTGAAATGCGTTTTCAGGTGGCAAACAACTCGTCAAGCGTGCAGTGTGCACGCAATGATACCATGAAAAGGCTCCATTGAACACGTGTATTTTCTGGGTATTTATTATAAGAAATAGATATTGGAATCGTTGTGTGCAATCATATTGTAGAACAAAGCCCCTTTTATTGTTTAACTGTGGCAACTTTTTCTTTAGCGTAAACGTGTATTGTATTTGATTTGTAAAAGAATTCTACGTACAGTAAGATAAAGTTCTGTAATAAAAACTTAACTTAAGTTATATGCATGTTATTGGAGTCATATTTTTTTTACACACTGTAGTATAAACAATACGTTTTGATTGTTCCATTCTAAAGCCATCGCCAGGAAATATGCTTTCTATGTTCGATACAACATGTTGATGGGTATTTTGTTTCTGGAAATTGGAAATACTGAATGACTTCATAGGAAAGAAAAAGTTAACTGTTTGAAGAGGATCGTTGGATCAATTACGATTTATCAGAATACATAAAAACAAAGTTTCAAAATTTTGATTGTGAGAACATCCTAAATGGGTAAAAATTAACTCAAAATTTTTGATGAAAACATTTCAGTAGCGCTGTTGTGAGTCAAAGCAAGAATAGCAAGGAGTGTCAATGTAGCCTCAACAATAGCACTTCTACTAGCAGCAAAAATCGGCAAAAGCTACCATATAATCTAATTATATTATAATTTGATAAAAGTAAATGATAATATAATTTGGTAAAACTAGCCGCAATGGCAACATTGTTGTCATTTATTCCGGTAAGACACTTATATTTAACCAATCACTGACAACAGATTTGACAACAAAAAGTAACCTGTCACTCTTAAGTCTGTTGATTAAACATCAATACTACATTTCAAAGAACAAGTTAGTTGACTTCGAAAACAATAAAATCAACAACTATTACAATGAAATCTCTCATCGTTTTCAGAGTCATCGGCGTTGTGCTATTTCTTTACACTTTCACATCAGGTATGTAAAGTATTTAATTTAACTTATTTGGTTTGACTGGCAATGAGGAAATTAGGTATAAAAATTTTTTATGATTTTCGTCTTCCTATTCTCCATTTTTACCATCTCCATTTTGATTGCAATGGCAAAATAAGGTTTTAATTTTACCATAAAATTAAACTATAAGAGGCATTTCTAGCAATTGTAGCTTTTCAGTTTTGTGAAAATGTCTTTTAAGAAATTGCAACATTTTTATTAGCTAAGGTAAAGTCAATGTCTTAATTCATGCAGTTACTGAGTGATTCACAAGGCTTTGTTGTGCCTGGCTGATTTAAAAATAGCACATTATTTGATTGAGCAATTAAAAACAGGAAGTTATGAGTTTTTTTTAAAGAGTTTCTTTATGGAACTCCGTAGATCAATTGATAAACGTGAGCTAATGTTGATGAAATATTTACGGAACGTTTCTATTATCGCGAATGTTAAGTGTTCCACAGTTCATATATTTGTTGAGCTAGAAGACAGAAGTGAATATTTTTTCCATTTTCGAGTGTCAATGGGTAACAAGAAACTTATAGTCTCTGTAAAAACACAAAAAGGCAGATCTGTGGTCAATACAGTTCAGTTTTCTTTGTATTTAATCTATTTTTTCATTTGTGCGAGATTCATCCTCGCAATTTTTTTAGCTACTCCACAAGTTGTATTTAAACGTCGACACGAGCCGTATGAGATTTAAAAGCGTAGAGACACAAATATTTTTCGAAGTTAAAAAGTAATTCATAGCAGCTTAAAGAAAAACATTACAATGACTAAACCTCAAAAAATAAAGAAAAAAGTAAAACCTCGAAAATATTTCTCTACACGGGTCTCTACATTATTTCTCATCTCATGGATCTAAATACATTATCTCAAACAGTCAAACATATTCCGAAGTATTAACCAAAACAAACAAATTTAGGGTGAAACTGGAGTATCAAACGGTTCTCTCTCGTAGGTTCTACGGGTACACAGGCGAATATCATCATTGATGAACTCTTGAGGTTTACAAGTCTAATTTAGAATAGGTGTAATAAATCGTGAATTAAATCGTACTTTATTCGTCAAATTCGTTTGTATTGCTTTTCGTTCTTAAGCTTAGGCCACACTATCTTCTATATTTTTACATCGCCCCCCTGTCTCGTTTCCCATTAATATGTCCCACGCAAGTTTCACGTGGCACAACCAAACAATGAAATAATAAACTGTTCTTAACACTCCCCTAGTTTAGTTTGATTATCCTGGTGAATCAAACTACACCGTTAATGTTTTTGTGCTCTTTCTTCGCTGTAATTATCCAGCAACAACAGCTGCTTGATGTGAACATATACTCGCTTCGACAATGGTCTCACTTTGAGTTTCTCGAACGTTTGCTAAGATTTCCAATCGGACTAAATGCTGTATTACACTTCTTAATATAGATGGTTTACCCTGACTGTTGATAGTAACGACATTCCAGCTGACTATAAGTTCTTCAATTCTTGCTAACTGCCAAAAATTTCCAGCAGAAGAATCGGATTTTAATAGCACCATATCTCCTTGTTTGATCTCATGATTGATCAAAGTGCTTGGCTTCCTTCTTACGGAGGAGTTCCCACGAAGATTAAGCAAATAATCTTGTCACCATTGCTCGCTAAACTGCTGAAGAACATTTCTTTGAGGTTTTGCTCTTCGAGTAAGTGTGTGCTTAGTACTAACGATCTCAAATTGCCTGCAGTTTGCATCGTAGTAATCATTCGGTCATAAATTAAATGAGATGGCGATAGCGCGTATGATAACGATTCTTGGTCATCGTACACATATGTGATGAGTCGAACATTGATTATGGATTCGATTTCTGTCAAAATTGTAACCAACTCATCAAAGGTTACTGCCGATCTTCCAATGGACTTTTGAGCTTCACTGTTTTCACCATTCTTTCTCAGAAACCTCCCCACCGTGGAGCTCTGTCAATAATGAATTCTCAAGTAATATGATTGCCTGCTAAATAACGAAGAACCTCTTGTTATCTTGTTATTCTTTGTAATTCTCTTGCCGCACAGTTAAATGTTTTTGTGTTATCCGAAATGAAAGTAGCTGGAAGACCTCTTCGACTTACGAACATCTAGTCCTCGAATGAGATCTAAATGAAGTGCCCTTGTAATTGCACATGTCAATAGCAACACCCAGACCTTGTCAGAAGCAGTTTTCGAAATTGAATCTTCAACGAGATTTTAAGCCTTTACATATAAAGGACCTGCAAAATCTAATCCGGTATGGGAAAATGGGAGATTTTCGGACACGCGGTAATCAGGTAAATCGGATTCATTTGGGACACGATAGAGAAATCCTTCGACCTTTTGACACACTGCACAATGTTGCAGCGACTTCTTAACTGCTTCTCCCCTCGGCTAATCCAAAATCGTTCCCTAATTGTTGCAAGCGTATTTCGAATACCAGTATGTTTGATTCTTTCGTGTGTATCTCGTATGACTAATTCTGTATACCAATTCTTTGACGGTAACTTTACTGGAGTCTTGGTTAAAAATGGCAGTGCTGCCTCGCTTACCCTTATTTTAGATCTTAAGATGCCTTGCTCATCAAGAAATAAGCTAAATTGATCGACGAGCAACGGTGGCGTAACGTGTTGCTTACTCTTTATGAATGTTATTTCCTTCAAAAACGCCAACAACTGAACGGATTTCCCAAATTTTTTCGGCTTTCGTAATTTCTTTTTACATCAGTTCTTCGATTCGTGACTTTGTTCTTCAAGATGCAAATAAATCTCAATACGTACGCTGTAACTCGTAATAAACGGTTCAGCCTGCTAAAGCGTTCACAATTAATCTCTTTCGAAATGTCAATTTGAATGTCTGTATCGTTATGTGTAGCTGTAAGCGCATGCGTCACACCTGGAGGATTTTACAAGCTCCACCGAAGCTTCAGTACCAATATTTGTCGTTGTCGGGCACACAGGCCATTCCGCTTCCGGTAACAACAGGAACGGCGGACCGTTCTACTATAATTGACTCGATGCTAACTGAGATCCAGATATCCCACGCGATGGTAGGTCAGCCGGGTTTTCACATCCTGGACAATATCGCCAGTCTTCTCAGTTGGTTAAGCACCTAATTTCCTTTATACGGTTACCGACATACTGATTTTAGACCTTGTCATGTTAAATCCAACAAAGCACATGCAGTCATCGAATCGACCCAATAATAAATTGAATTGTTACTTGGCAGCGACTTCATCACTGTGCTTACCAAACGTGCAAAAATTGTTGCTCTAAGAAGTTCAAGCCGAGGTATTTTTTGCGTTTTCACGGGTGCTACTCGAGTCTTGGAGACACTAAATCGAACTTGAACATTCCCAAAACTCGTGCGTGGTTCTTGCATATATTACTGTGGCATACGCTTTGCCGGAGGCATCATTAAAGGCATGTAATTGTGTCCCAACCGGCCGTAGACGTTCATCAAAGCAACATCTATGAATTCTAACAGCATTCAACGATTAGAGTTCATGCATCGAAGAATTCCATTTTTTAAAAGCTTCTCCTTGAAGGGCACGCTGGAGGTGTTTTAGCGTAATCAATTACGTTACACAAATCGAAGCATAGTTCGTCATATTCACAATTCAATTTCACTCCAAGTACAGTCACAACGTTATCCCCTTTCTCGCGACTATCGATTTCCACGGCCGTTTTCGTATATGTTTGGTCTTCTTCTACGATCGATTTGCATTCCTCTTCCATCTTCGTTTTTATATCAGCATTGTCCGATGTATGATCGATAAACTCCTTCGAATTAGAGCTCCATTTGCGTAAATTAAAATTTCCTTCCAAGATACTCTTTGAAACCTTATAAACGCCGAACGCACCTGTCGCATTTTCTGCACCCGATATCATATCCTCAACATAGAAGGAGTCCTCGATCAACTTAATTAATTTGTGATAAACATTCTTGTAGGAGTTTAGGTGCCGTGGGATTATAAAACCCAAAATTGCTTGTGAGGGACAGAGACCAAACACTAATTTCGTGAATCGAAAACACGATACTTTCTGGTTTTCTGGGTCTAGGTTTTCTGGGTCACTTAACCTAAGAAGTCGTAACATATCTCTGTCCGATTCACTAATGCCGATCATCAAAAACGCTTTTTCTATGTCAGCCATGTGAGCGACGGGATGAGACATGAATTTAAGTAATACGTCGAATAACTTTGGAATGAAGTTTGGTCCTTGATCTAAGCAATCGTTTATTGACAAATCGTCAGGGTTTTCCTTTGCTGACCCATCTTAAACTACTCGTAGTTTAGTTGCGTTCTTGTCCTAACGCACAACGACATGATGCGGCATGTAATGCACATTTGTTTCAGTCCCAGCTAGGGTTGAATCAAATGGAACTACTCTTTCAAAAATACCGCTTTGTAACTTTTTTAATATTATGTTTTCGTACTCCCTCAACAACTCCGTGCTTTCTTTCAATCTTCTTTGTAGGGCCAATGTAAACGATGTAAACACAAAAGATAATGCTGTTCTGGACGACCCTCCCCCCATGGCAACACGACTTCACACATTGTCAAACGTTACATTTGCCAAAAAGGGTTTGCCTTATCTTCGTTAGGGGTTTCATTAATTCTAATTGTCTCCGTATCCCAAAACGTTTTTAAAGTTGTTATCAGTTTGATTTCATTACAGTTTCTTGGTTTTAATTCAATCTGTGGAGCATTAGTTAAATTTTCATGGACGGTAAGATTGCTTACAGTGCCATCCATGGGATCAGAAAGTAGCCATCCCAATTTACTTCTAATAGCTGTAGGACCGCGAGCATTCTTTCCTTTTAATATCTCCCCATTCAAAATTGCCCAACAATAATCCGATCCAATTAGTAAATCGATCGATCCCCTTGGATTCTTCCAATCATCTACGAGCTCTAATCTTTAAAAATGAGGAAATTTACCTCAACTTTTGTTGGCAAAGGTGTACAAATAACAAAATAACTTAAAGCGTTAATACTTATTGACTCACCGCATCCAGGTTTCTTTAATTTTAAATTGACAATGTCACAGTCCTGTGACTTGTACCTTGTTTCTCCAAAAGTATTAAGCTTCAGTTTCTCTTTCTTGATGGTCTTCAGAAATAATTGTAATCGTAATTTTTTGGTGACGAAGCTCCTCTGATTGCCATTATCAAACAACACTCGAACAGGGGTAAACCAGTTACCATTTTCATTGAGGCAATTGCTCGGGCAGTCTGCAGAAGTACTGTTTGCTCTTTATACTTGTGCTTGTTGTTGGAACATTGGCTTGCACATCATGTACCTTTGATATGTTATCTTCTAATTTCACCTTACTTCACTAATGTGTATCTTTTCACAGATGGATTGATATGTCTATTGCTACAATGCCTACAATTTTTCGTAGAGTTACAATTTTTTGACATATGACTTGTTTTTAAGCACACAAAGCACCTCCCCGACTTTCTCAAAAATATTCTTTCTTTCTTTCGCATCAACAAAACTTTTACATGCTGCTGAGAAGTGCTTCCCATTGCAGTAAGCATATTGAATTCGTGGTATCTGGAAGTTTTGGAGCTCTATATCGGCCCAAATTGTCCTTGGTTGTCTTATTTGCTTCACTTGCCTCCCTCGCTTCCAGTTTGACTCCAATAGTTCTAGGTAATTCGTCAATCTGCCACACCTCTCAATAAGCCTTTCTTGCAATCTCCAAATTTATATTACTAGGTAGAGTATTCACAATAATTGGAGTAAGTAGGCTCCCATATTGATCAGCCGACACACCTAGTAATGCTAAATCCCTGACATTTACACTTACTTTGTCGAAAACATTACGCAATGACGATGCTCGGTCGCTCGTACAACTTAGAATTTTCAACAGCTCGTCCATGTGAGAGGTGATAATTCGCTGCGTTTTACCAAACCACTCTTGTAAAATTTCTATAGTATATCGATAGCAATTGCGGATTTTCATGAACCGCCAGCTTGAAAGAGTCCACAAAACTTATCAATTATTCAAATTTTCTGCAAATTCTTGAACTTTATCAGTCGGATTCGTATTTGCATTGCTCGTATCTTCGATACTCTGCGATCGTATATTATTAATTGGCTCAGGACCTGCCAGTTCATTCGCGATGCCATCCTTTCAATGTCTTTGAATGTCAAGCGTGCGTGATATCACGTGCTCAGCCTCGTCGATTTCCTGTTCGATGTTGTTTACTTAACACAAATCTAACACTTGTGAGTTCAATTCTTTGATTAATCGCAGTTTTTATTCCAACAGTCTGTTGATCGTTTGTAATCGTCCCTTGTCTCACAGCTTCCCTCGACATAACTACATAATAACGCCTCATTTTCAAAGCAAGTAAAAACAAATGTTTGAAGGTGTTGCATACAAAATTTCGTGAAATGATTAGTATTGATTTGGAAAGGATATATATTCCCAAGTAATCTGAATTAAGATTTTTTAAATTTTTTTAAAACTGACACCCTGGAAGTTGTGATTTCGTGGCCGTCGTACCAAGAGTCCATAAGAGAGTTTGATAAATCTTTGACCAGACTGTAAATTTTATAAAATGTATAATAAAACATAATCCAAAAAGACATCTTGTAGACTCAAATTTAAGGTGTAACCAAGACAATAAATTGGAATGTCAAATCTGTGATGTTTTGCGATGTTTTGAATCTGTGATGTTCCTTGTAATGTTTCGGCTGTAATTCTTAATCCTCATCGTCTTCGAACAAAAATACCAGCTCTGATTGCTTGGATGCTCAAAAAATCCGTGTTTCTAGAAACACGGGAAGTTTTGTCTCTTAAAACTGTTGCAGGTTGCGTGATTTGCGAAACTTTTGATATGTAGCTATGTACTAATAGTTTAACAGAAATCAATGGGTTTGCGCGTGAAATTATAAATAATATATAAATATGTCATTAAAACCAACTAATTTATCTTTTCAATGCTGTTTTTAAAAGGCTATTTTATAAAAGAATTACAAAAAATATTTTTTGCACTTGTTGAGTTAGAGAGACTCTCGTGAAAGTTCAGAGAAACTCAAAATCGCGAGGTAACACTCACACTTTGAGCTCGTGCTTGTCAAGCAATTTCTCGTTTTAGTGGGGCGGATATTTGGAAAGACTTTTTGTTTTTGTTTTGTGAAGAAAACAAAAAATTTGGTAGAGAGGGAGCTTATTTTGTATATTTAAGAGCTAACAAGAAAATGACGTTGAGATCTATAGTGTTGTATTAAATCTAAGTCGATTGACTTTTAAATGTTTCATTTAGTCATCACAGCTGTGTCAAACAAACATGTGAAGCTTTTAAAGGAATAATTCTGCTTGTATTTTAGGGGGGTAGGAGGTAAAAAAATTTTAACAATTTTTCAATAAAAAATAAATAAGCAATTTTATCAATATTTTCTTTCGATTCTTGTAAATGGAATAGTAATCTTGCACTTCGAATACTTGCACTTAATTACCTGTTACAATTCAAAGCCTGGTAAACCTGTTTCTAATAGAATAGCGTTTGCACCATAACGAGGCTGGACAATCAACTTTCAATAGCTACATAAATTTGCCGTCCATCTACATGTTTTTTCTTATTTTAACGTATTAATATGCTCAGCCAATACGTTTGGGTCGCGTAGTTATCTACAAAACTGTCTTTTTTGCACGCACAAAGTGTTTTACATTGAACCATTAACACTACAGCAGAAATTGGTGTATTTTTCATTTTTATTGACAATTAAATAATTATTTATAATTTGCTTCGAAGTAGCTTTATTGGTAATCCTTATTATTCATAAGTTTGTACATATTCATTCAGTAATTTCTAATTTTAGCTTTTCAAGGCTCTTGATGTGAATATCCCAAAAATAAAATTGGTGAAAGTCATATAAGTTATATATTTTAGTTCTCACAAGTCAATTTTGCGTAAGTCATCAGCGAACAAAATCTGCAAAAACCTTTTGTAAAATAGAGAGTAGGACGTCCATTGGCTCATATGACAGAAAAATTGTCACAAACTATAACCATTTTATAATGAGAATTGAATTACCGAGAAGACCTTTGAAAAAGCAAGTTCCCAAACATGAGAAAGCTAAAAAGCAATTGGAACACATAGGGTTAAAATATGCAATTATTGTTCAAGTTAACAAAGTTCCTGGAAATTTGGCCAATGTGTTTGGAAATGCTACTCATAAAAATCGCGGATGATATATAATGAGTTTTTCCTTCTTAAATGCCAATATTTTAAATCCTTTATCAATTATTCATGTTTGCATCAATTTACGCTCAGATTTATGAATAATGTAAGTTTATGAAAAATGGCATTTGAAGACAAAATAACCGGCAATATGAAAGATTAGCGTTCGCGTACGTAGCTATATAAGCCAAATTTCGTAAAACTTTGCTACCTTCAACAGCATTTGCCATATTTTAACTCTATGGGTTGTAATTTCTTCTTGGCAGTGTTATTTTTATGCGCAAGCTGGGGTAAAAGTTCTTCCTGACAACACAATTTTCATCCTAAAATTTATTTTACAGAGGCAATTTTACTGTCAGATGAACCATTGGAATTCCAACTAACTATTTCCTCCAAACGTTTTGGTAAATCTTACGTGCCGATCATTTTAGCAACTTTTTTGTGACAGTTCAGTTTTTTTATACACAATGTATTATACACCCTGTTTGTTAAAATATTGCTCATGTTTGTTAAAGCTAACAAAACTTTAAGAAGCTTGGCCAAACCTTATACGAATGCTTGGCATCCAATTTGCAGGTTTATTTTGCGTTTCCCCTTTTAATTTCTTTTTTATAGCTAAATCAAAATTAACTAATAACCAATTAGAAGATCGCTACTATTTCTCTTTATTAGAAAGAGTTAGTAAAAGTTTCTACATATTTGTAGCTATTGCTTTTAACATTGAAATCGTGTCTTTTGCAATTGAATGGCAGCAAAATTTAATTGCTACCAAATCGTTATTTTATTGTATGAAGGATTAGCAACGCATTTAAGTTAGAGCGAAGCCAGCCATTTTTGAAATACTACGTCATGTGCTTAAATGTTCAATGACTTGAAATACAATCAATGAATTTATTCTCTGTAAAAAAGAAACAACTAAGTTTTTCAAAAAAAACTGAAAAAGAACAGGCTGGCAACAAACTTCATTGTGGTATTGCAATCGCCATTAACATGAAAAATTTGAGAACTATAAGTATCTTATTCTTCGGTCAAAATAGATTTCCATAATGATGTTGAGAATGGAAGCAATTGTCTGTTACTTTGCTTCATGATATATAGATAAGAAATGCTAATCTAGTGCTTGTCTACTGTTGCCCTCCCATCTTTTAATGCCGAGGAAGTACAAAAGAAGATACTTGCTTCTTTTTTGAAAAATGTGATGATGTTGAGTTGATGGAAGTACCATTTAAAGACGTCATTGAGTTGATAGAACTACTGTTTATGGATGCCAGAGGGCGAGAGTTGACTTCCAACGCAGGCTTAGTGGCTTCAGTAGGTTGTATATTTTCTGTTTGTGGGAAAGAAAGACCATGTGGTAGGAACACAAGATTTGGGTTTGTCTGAGGGAATTGGTTTGGTTGACCAAGTACAACTTCAGGATTCTGATTTGTTGGCACACCAGGCTCACTTACTGTATTGACCAGAATAAGATTGTCGTTTGGGTTTGTTGTTTGGCTTTCTTTGCCGTTTGGATTTGGATTTTTCTCTTAACATATAAAATTAAGGATAAACAAAAGTGAGATTTAGATCATTTTATAGCATCATGAGTATTTAGCTAAATCTCTTTACATGTAATTATAAATTTAAATAAAATCGTTAGTTATGTTATTCAGTTCATCTCGGTTAAAGAAAGCTCGTATGAGTTAAAGAAATAATACGATATAAAGAAATAACTCAAATAAGAAATATATATGTTAAGCTCTTGCCTTCGGGCAAGCTGCATTACGGACAACAAGCTATTTTAGTTAGCATATTATTATATTCCTACAATAATATCATAAATTTTGATGACGATCATAAATTTTCGACACATTTATAGCGAAACCACGAAATAGCACATGCTTTCAAGTTATTTAAAATAGGGAAAGACTGGACGTAAAAGCCGGCTTTAATGTTGGCATGATAAATTTTTTAAAAAATTTTGCTAACGATTATGCGAGTATTATGATTAAAAAAATTCAATGACAATTTAAGGAGATCAGGAGTTGTTTAAAGAGAATAACAAAATTGTGTAATGGGAGACTTTATTAAGGGTCATTTCAGATGACAAACTTTCGGGTACCAAATGTACAGAGAACAAAACATAATATGATGGAACTAAACTCATCAAAAATTATCTTTAAAAATTCAACGTATGAAATTTAAAAAGAGTTTCTGACTGAAACTACTATGAAATATGTGTTAAATAAATCTTGCTATAAACGACCGCTAAAGGATTTGTTGTCTCCAGTAAAGATTTTTGTCGTTCTACTATTATTTGACGGTTGCTTAGAGGCATCTTTTGTTCACTAAACTAACAAACAAAAAAAACATAAATGCATTATCTTTGCATGTACTAATGAGAAATATTGTTGCGTTTTTAATTTCAAATGAGCCTTTTGAAACGAAAAGGCAAATTTTTGAAACAGAAATTTGCCAGGACCGTATATAACATAATCTATGAGGCAAAAAGGCACAAGACATCGATAAGTAGCACATTTGGACATTTGTGTTTCGGTAACAATTTATATCTGGCAACGCCCTGTTTACATTGTTAGAGCAATTTAAAACCCATTTCCAGCGGGTGTCCATCATAACGATAGTTGACTGACACATAAAAAAGTCTAAATTCTTATTGCTGGAGAATAGATAATAATTCCAAAACAGTGCCAAATTAAGATAATCGTAATTTGCACTGAATAAAAAAATTATTTAACTGCGTCAATCTTTTTATAGAATTCTTTCATTCGCAATTTATAAACATATTTTTTTTACTTGTCTATTCTAATTTGAGCTTGTAAACCTCAAAAGTCAGCACTTCATTAATAATGATGTTTGCCTACCTTTTGTACCCGTAGAACCGACGAGAGAGCCCCCTGGTACTCCTGTTTCACCCTTATTTGTATGGGTGGATACTTTGGTATGATTTTTTGTGGGAATAACGCAAGGTTTGTCACTCTCCTCAAATAAGATTTTTATTTTGTGTTTCTTTAGCTCATCCTTTAACATATCAAAATAATGATGTTTTCCAATTTTACTTATGCACGAGGTTGGTTGTTTGCCTAAAAAAAAGTATATGTATGAAATATACAAGGGTATTAAAAAAGTAGACTCTTGCATGGAAAACGTTCTCTAAAACAAGACGCGCGTTGAGTAAGCAAACGATGTTCAGTTCTTGTAAGTTACTTTAATGTTCTCTAGTACATCTGGTAATGAAATGTTTGAAAATTCATGTTAAAAGTCCTTCAAAACAGGCATTGTACACAAAAAATAATAATCGGAAAAACAATTTAATCACAATATGGACTGCGAAAACTGTGACAAATTGTACAAGCTGTGAAAACTTTGAGTAATTTGGGGCAAGAGCTGTCAAACGCAAGAACATTAAAACTTGGATTTTTTTGCGTTTGGGCATTTCGTAAATTTGCAGAAAGAACAAATATGAACTTAGCAAGCTAATTCACAAAGGTATAAATGTTGTAACAAAACGTAGAAAGTGAAATGCATAAGCGCAAAGAGTTCATATTATAATTATCTCGCGTTGGCTAGTGCTTATACCAAATTGTTTGAAACTAAGATAGCTTGAACAACACCGTCCATATTTTGATTCATGATGATAAAATTATCATTGTTTTTTTTTGTTTACTTTTGTGCGCAGGTATGTTTTGAAATACTTTTAGCAACGGTTCTTTCACAAATAAGAATTTTTGCATTTTCAAAAATTTCATTAGTAGCTAGATAGCTATACCAAAGAACATCAAACTGATTAAAGTACTTACAAGAACCAAACATCCTTAGCTTATTCAAAGCAGATCTTCTTTTAGAGAACTTTTTCCAAGAGTCTACTATTTTAATAACCCTTGTACAGAAATACAGTTGAGAGACTCTAGCAGAGAAATATCGTTGAGGTTATATTTTTCTTCATTTTTTGTTGATTTTTCAGTTTGACTTTTTTTCTTTAAACCATTTTCAGAAATTGAGTTATTCTACAATCTAAAATACAATTATGTATATACAAATTTAATTCTTCTGCGGTTCGTCTCGACTAATTAATACCATTTGTGTGGAGGTAATTTATTGAAATAATAGCTTTGAAATTGTTCTTTTACAGGCTGAGTAAAAACAATGGATGCAGTTATTTTTTTCCGAAATGTTTTTTCAATGTTCAGTACAATACTACACACAGGGGTTTTTAACCAAGTAGGCAAATTGTTCGTTTTTCCCCTTATCCTCTCATTAACACTCTTTACATACTCACGTGGTCTTTGCACATTATCTTCGTACCCTCCATCTACATTTCCAGGTGGGTCGTACTCTGCAACAGCGTAGAAATTTTGACCTGTTTGGCCCTCTTCACCCACTCCAAATTTTTCTGAATCCCTCCATATCATCTGTGTAAAGTGACCTGGATACCACAAAAAACACGATTCACAGTACACGATAGTGTTACTGTAATTCTCTTTTGCATCAATTGAATTTTATGCAAAAACTACTGATAGTTAGAGGGCCGCAGGAACAGCTTCCGTTAACTTTCTGAAGTAATCGCTTTCTAAAATTAAAAACTTTCAATTTTCAACTCTAGATTGAGTCCCTCCAGAACGATTTTCCGTATTTCTGGGATAAGATTTTGCATAGTTTGGTATTAATATAGGTAGTGTAACCAGTTATCGCCTCCATCCTAATTTCTACATCTATACCACTCATCAAAATGCTGTAGCTACTTAAGCTAATCAAAACGAAGGGAAAGTGAGCCCTGCTTGTCTATCACTGAAGTATGAAGATTATAACGGTTGATCCACTTTGCTAGTCATTTTGGTGTTATACATTCAATTACGGATAGCCATTTTAGGCTTTTTTCAGTATTGGTAAGAAAATACAATGGCTGTCACGAGCGTAATAAGATACGTTCGACACAAAATTTAATGGTTTGTTTCCTCTCCTGTGACTAATTACAATTTTCTATTGCTTGCTTCAGAAGTTTTGTTTTTTTCAGACTTAAAAAGACTACGAACTTTAGTACAAAAAAATAAAATAATCCTATACGTGTAGCAAAATGTATGATTTTTAATCCCTAAAGGACTCCTTATATATATATATATATATATAGTTATAAGAACATAATCTACTTATAACTAACCTGTTTTTTTTGAATATGTTGGATTACTAAAATCATAATCATTTATTTCTTTATACCATAATGCGACAGCCTTCAAGCAAAGCAAGTCAATATCGTTAATCGTTGAGGAACGATATATATTCGAACCATATTTGCCAGCTGGTGGATGCTCTAGCGTCTAAAATGTTGATCTTAATTTTAATTTTTTCATTGCATATCTTCCAGTAGCGTTACTAGGTTGTTCAGACTAGGGGAGACGTTAAAAGGCAAGCTTCAAAAATGCAAAAGCCCTATGTGGGTTTGAAATATTCCCTCTAAAAGAATGTAGTGATGAAGTGGTATTGCCATATTACTTGAAGGATCATTAGTTGGCCAGCCCAGGCTTTACTCTTCTCCTCCAGATTATGGTCCCATTTTATTGGTGGTGAGTTATGAACAACTCTTAAAAAATTATGAAAAGCAATGCAACTGTCTTTAAACTCTTCGCTATCCCATTTTTTTAATTTTTCCATGCCTATAAAGAGACGAAAATTTAACAAACTAGTTAACAAATTTTTTTAAAAGTTAGAAGTTAACAAAATCAGCAGTCGATAAGGCTTTGAAAATGCCAAAAAATACTGCATAAAATTTGTTTGTAGTTTTAGTGTGAAAACACGTTATTTTTTTGTCTTTGTGATAGAGAAGCAACATCATAAAAAGGGATGTGGAAGCATCAATCCACATTTCACGTAATTTGACAGCTGGAAACACTTATACAAATTTCTTCTCAAACAAACAAATGGACATTTTATAAGAGTCATTCTCTCACACAAAATAAATTCAACTAATTATAATTAAAATTGAGTGAAGCAGGTAAAAAAAGGTAAAAAAATACAGAATAAGAATCTTTCACACCCTGATGGTTAAAAATCATAAAAACGAAGAAGAATCTTCTTGCGTGAAAGTATATGCTAATTTTGAGCCTGCTTTAATTACAATACCTATATAAATTAACCATTCACATATATCTTGTTCATCTTTTTATACTTCTAGACATGCTCTGGCAAAATGTAGTAGTAAAGATAAGAAATTTCTGTCGGAAACCTTGGTGTTGTTCATATATTCATAGCCCTATTAAACGTTTTATGTTAAGAATTATACAAATAATTTGACAATTACAAGAAACATGATAAATAGCAGATTTTGTAAACGGTGAAAATCATACTCATGAAATGATGCGACTGATTCGACAAACTCGACATGTAATATTTCACATGTAAAGGTGCAACATATCTTTTATCAAATGTCATTTTGGAGAAGCTTTGCAATTGCAAATGTTTGTTGTGCTGACACAATTTTTTAAAACAAACTCGCTAATTATCAACATGTCATTTTCAATGCAGTACGTTAAACTGAGTAATAGGTAATAATAAAATGCTAAATTCACGAATTTCTTTAAGGTTAGTTCAAAATCAGAGAGCGTTTAAAAATCTTTATATTTATTTCATAAAAAATGTCACTTAGTTCCGCTACAAAGGCGAAAATAACAAAGCGCTGACACTCTAAAAGATTTAAGCGATAACTGTCTTTTGTTGCGATGTCTAAAATGTCGGACTGTGCAGTTCGGGCGGTGAAATGACACTTTTGTGACAATACTAAGATAATGAAAAGATTTTAAAAGGGATATAGAGGCAGATAATAAACTGTAGGGTTATCAATAACCATGAATTGTCTGACGACAATAAATGAAAATAGCTTCTTATAAGATTTGTAGTAAAAATGCTGAATGTAAACTCCATCTCCAATATCAGTTGCAACGCTATGCCAGTCGTCAAATATTTACATATGTTATCTGTATATATTAATTCATAAAAATTATGCATCAACTTTACTGGTATGTTACTTTATAGTTTATATATTATATGACATAACTACGTAAAGATTTCACAATACGGAATATGCAATATGTTTCATTGATACATATAGTATCGTCGTTCTAGGTCCAAAAATTTTGTCGTTTTTTCTACAAGTAAGCGGAGCCCAAAAAACCGCGGGCTTGCGGCAAGGCTGCTTCTGCTATATGATTAATCCGGCCCTGACCATAAAATAATAATCAATTTCCTAATGTAAACACAATCGACTTAAATATTTGATGTATTTAAACTCTCCAGACATAACAAAAACCATCAATGTTATTTACTTAAAATATTCTTTTGTCTCCTTGATACACAAAAAATGCCTCTGATGGTTCTCTTTATTCAATTTTTACTAATTGCCCAAAGTTTCCCAAATTGCACTTGGAAAGTATCGAGCTGCTATTTTACACGTTGTGTCGATTTATGCTGAGTTATTCTGCCAAAAAAAGTCTACATTGATGTAGCTACATGGTAAAAATGGAAAATAATGAAGACGATAACCACAAAAAGTTATTATACTTAAATTCGTCTTTGCGAATCAAACCAAACACATAAAATTAAATACTTTTCATACCTGATGTGAAAGTGTGAACAAATAGTAAAACACCAATCAGTGTAAAAAGAACGATATAATTCATTGTATTAGTTGTTGATTTGATTGCTTTCAAAGACACATCTAACTTTTCTTTGAAATGTGACATTGATGTTTAATCAGTGAACTTAAGAGCAGCAGGTTGTTTATAGTTGTAAAATCTGTTGCCAGTGATTGGCTAGTTAAGAGTTTCCTACCCGAACAAAAGACAATTCTCTAAAAGTTCTAAAGTTAACGCTAACAAACAGTATTGAAGTGTTTAGCAAAAACAGTGTTTGTAATTATTAGTTCTCAAGCAAATGTGACGGAATGGATAACGTTCATTCATAGACCTGTTATTATGGTTAGTTTTACTAAATTGGCAGCTATTTTGACTAGACGACAATTTCATTGGGTAAAATAGATAATCCGAAAAAGGACAGGACATCTTATAAACTTAAATTTAAGTTTTAATAGTAATATTTCGGTTTTATTTCAAAACAATTATTGGTTTTATTTTATAACTATAAGCCTTATAGTTTTTGACAATTTTTAGCGATCTGCAAGTTCATGTATAATTGAGACCACAGCAGTGACGTTTTCTTGAAACAAGCCAATCAAAACGCGCTGTTTTTATAATGTGTAAAAATAACTGCAACATTATCCCTTGCAAAGCGACAAAATAGAACAATTAAATTTAAAATTCTGGGTAGCTAAGTAAAAGATAGACGAGTTTTTGCTTTAATCAACGTCAATAGCTCAAAATAATTTGGCTTTTGACGATGAAATTTTTATTCATATATTCAAACATTTTTAATACTTTAATTTTTTCCTCAATAAAAATTGAAATGCGTTTGCAGGTGGCAAACAACTCGTCAAGCGTGCAGTGTGCACGCAATGATACCATGAAAAGGCTCCATTGAACACGTGTATTTTCTGGGTATTTTATTATAAGAAATAGATATTGGAATCGTTGTGTGCAATCATATTGATATGTAGAACAAAGCCCCTTTTATTGTTTAACTGTGGCAACTTTTTCTTTAGCGTAAACGTGTATTGTATTTGATTTGTAAAAGAATTCTACGTACAGTAAGATAAAGTTCTGTAATAAAAACTTAACTTAAGTTATATGCATGTTATTGGAGTCATATTTTTTACACACTGTAGTAAAAACAATACGTTTTGATTGTTCCATTCTAAAGCCATCGCCAGGAAATATGCTTTCTATGTTCGATACAACAAGTTGATGGGTATTTTGTTTCTCGAAATTGGAAATACTGAATGACTTCATAGGAATGAAAAAGTTAATTGTTTGAAGAAGATCGTTGGATCAATTACGATTTATCAGAATACATAAAAACAAAGTTTCAAAATTTTGATTATGAGAACATCCTAAATGGGTAAAAATTAACTCAAAATTTTTGATGAAAAACATTTCAGTAGCGCTGTTGTGAGTCAAAGCAAAAATAGCAAGGAGTGTCAATGTAGCCTCAACAATAGCTACTTCTACTAGCAGCAAAAATCGGCAAAAAGCTACCATATAATCTAATTATATTATAATTTGATAAAAGTAAATGATAATATAATTTGGTAAAACTAGCCGCAATGGCAACATTGTTGTCATTTATTCCGGTAAGACACTTATATCTAACCAATCACTGACAACAGATTTGACAACAAAAAGTAACCTGTCACTCTTAAGTCTATTGATTAAACATCAATACTACATTTCAAAGAACAAGTTAGTTGACTTCGAAAACAATAAAATCAACAACTATTACAATGAAATCTCTCATCGTTTTCAGAGTCATCGGCGTTGTGCTATTTCTTTACACTTTCACATCAGGTTTGTAAAGTATTTAATTTAACTTATTTGGTTTGACTGGCAATGAGGAAATTAGGTATAAAAATTTTTTATGATTTTCGTCTTCCCTATTCTCCATTTTTACCATCTCCATTTTGATTGCAATGGCAAAATAAGGTTTTAATTTTACCATAAAATTAAACTATAAGAGGCATTTGTTGTTCGAATATTTTATTCGAATAACATTAGTATTTAAGACAAAAGAATGTTTTATTTGAATTACATCAGTAGTTTCTGACATGTCTGGAAAGTTTGAATACACCAAATTTTTGCTTATCAGGATTGTGTAACCTGATTAAGAAATCGGTTTTCATTTGATTAGCTATATACTGTTGTTGTTAATCAATGCTACTATTTATTTTAACTCCACAAGAAGTACACAGTATAGGGCTAGATAAAATCACATGACCTGAAGTAAAGTTTTTATAGTAACTACAAAAGCAGATCATGGTTACAGCTGAAATTTATTTTTCAAGCATTGTTTTCATGTATTTGTTTGTAGCGTTTTTTTGAAAAGTCGAAGGTGTAACACTTGATATTTTAAAAATCTTATAGAAGATGTTTACAATGGAAATTTAATTATGCGACTATACAGCTCAACTGTCGTTCTGGAATGCATATAATCTAAGTTTCCGAGGAGAATGTTTTTTCTCTTCCAGTACATTTTTCCAGATAACTTAAGAGCACAAAAAGTTGAGCAAGTTGTATTTTTTAGCTACTCCACAAGTTGTATTTAAACGTCGACACGAGCCGTATGAGATTTAAAAGCGTAGAGACGCAAATATTTTTCGAAGTTAACAAGTAATTCATAGTAGTTTAAAGAAAAACATTACAATGACTAAACCTCAAAAAATAAAGAAAAAAGTAAAACCTCGAAAATATTTCTCTACACGGGTCTCTACATTATTTCTCATCTCATGGATCTAAATACATTATCTCAAACAGTCAAACATATTCCGAAGTATTAACCAAAACAAACAAATTTAGGGTGAAACTGGAGTATCAAACGGTTCTCTCTCGTAGGTTCTACGGGTACACAGGCGAATATCATCATTGATGAACTCTTGAGGTTTACAAGTCTAATTTAGAATAGGTGTAATAAATCGTGAATTAAATCGTACTTTATTCGTCAAATTCGTTTGTATTGCTTTTCGTTCTTAAGCTTAGGCCACACTATCTTCTATATTTTTACATCGCCCCCCTGTCTCGTTTCCCATTAATATGTCTCACGCAAGTTTCACGTGGCACAACCAAACAATGAAATAATAAACTGTTCTTAACACTCCCCTAGTTTAGTTTGATTATCCTGGTGAATCAAACTACACCGTTAATGTTTTTGTGCTCTTTCTTCGCTGTAATTATCCAGCAACAACAGCTGCTTGATGTGAACATATACTCGCTTCGACAATGGTCTCACTTTGAGTTTCTCGAACGTTTGCTAAGATTTCCAATCGGACTAAATGCTGTATTACACTTCTTAATATAGATGGTTTACCCTGACTGTTGATAGTAACGACATTCCAGCTGACTATAAGTTCTTCAATTCTTGCTAACTGCCAAAAATTTCCAGCAGAAGAATCGGATTTTAATAGCACCATATCTCCTTGTTTGATCTCATGATTGATCAAAGTGTTCGGCTTCCTTCTTACGGAGGAGTTCCCACGAAGATTAAGCAAATAATCTTGTCACCATTGCTTGCTAAACTGCTGAAGAACATTTCTTTGAGGTTTTGCTCTTCGAGTAAGTGTGTGCTTAGTACTAACGATCTCAAATTGCCTGCAGTTTGCATCGTAGTAATCATTCGGTCATAAATTAAATGAGATGGCGATAGCGCGTATGATAACGATTCTTGGTCATCGTACACATATGTGATGAGTCGAACGTTGATTATGGATTCGATTTCTGTCAAAATTGTAACCAACTTATCAAAGGTTACTGCCTATCTTCCAATGGACTTTCGAGCTTCACTGTTTTCACCATTCTTTCTCAGAAACCTCCCCACCGTGGAGCTCTGTCAATAATGAATTCTCAAGTGATATGATTGCCTGCTAAATAACGAAGAACCTCTTGTTATCTTGTTATTCCTTGTAATTCTCTTCCCGCACACTTAAATATTTTTGCGTTATCCGAAATGAAAGTAGCTGGAAGACCTCTTCGACTTACGAGTCTTCTAATGGCTAGCAAAAATAGTTGAACATCTAGTCCTCGAACGAGTTCTAAATGAGGTGCCCTTGTAATTGCACATGTCAATAGCAACACCCAGACCTTGTCAGAAGCGGTTTTCGAAATTGAATCTTCTACGGGATTTTAAACCTTTACTTATAAAGGACCTGCAAAATCTAATCCGGTATGGGAAAATGGGGTAATCAGGTAAATCGGATTCATTTGGGACACGATAGAGAAGTCCTTCGACCTTTTGACAATCTGCACAATGTTGCAGCGACTTCTTAACTGCTTCTCCCCCTCGGCTAATCCAAAATCGTTCCCTAATTGTTGCAAGCGCATTTCGAACACCAGTATGTTTGATTCTTTCGTGTGTATCTCGTATGACTAATTCTGTATACCAATTCTTTGACGGTAACTTTACTGAAGTCTTGGTTAAAAATGGCAGTGCTGCCTCGTTTACCCTTCATTTAGATCTTAGGATGCCTTGCTCATCAAGAAATAAGCTAAATTGATTGACGAGCAATGGTGGCGTACCGTATTGCTTACTCTTTATGAATGTTATTTCCTTCAGAAACGCCAACAACTGAGCGGATTTCCCCAAATTTTTTCGGCTTTCGTAATTTCTTTTGACATCAGTTCTTCGATTCGTGACAGCGGTTTTCGTTCTTTGTTCTTCAAGTTGCAAATAAATCTCAATACGTACGCTGTAAATCGTAATAAACGGTTCAGCCTGCTAAAGCGTTCACAATTAATCTTCTTCGAAATATCGAATTAAATGTCTGTATCGTTATGTGTAGCTGTAAGCGCATGCTCCACTGAGCTCCACGAAGCTTCAGTGCCAATATTTGTCGTTTTCGGGCACACGGGCCATTCCGCTACCGGTAACAACAGGAACGACGGATCGTTCCACTATAATTGACTCGATGCTAACTGAGATCCAGATATCCCACGCGATGGTAGGTCAGCCGGGTTTTCACATCCTGGAAAATATCGCCAGTTTCTCAGTTGGTTAATCACCTAATTTCCTTTATACGGTTACCGACATACTGATTTTAGACCTTCTCATGTTTGATCCAACAAAGCACATGCAGTCATCGAATCGACCCAATAATAAATTGAAATGTTACTTGGCAGCGATTTCATCACCGTGTTTACCAAACGTGCAAAAATTCTTGCTCCAAGAAGTTCAAGCCGAGGTATTGTTTGCGTTTTCACGGGTGCTACTCGAGTCTTGGAGACACTAAATCGAACTTGAACATTCCCAAAACTCGTGCGTGGTTCTTGCATATATTACTGTGGCATACGCTTTGCCGGAGGCATCACTAAAGGCATGTAATTGTGTCACAACCAGCCGTAGACGTTCATCAAAGTAACATCTAGGAATTCTAACAGCATTCAACGATAAGAGTTCATGCATCGAAGAATTCCATTTTTCAAAAGCTTCTCCTTGAAGGGCACGCTGGAGGTGTTTTAGCGTAATCAATTACGTTACACAACTCGAAGCATAGTTCGTCATATTCACAATTCAATTTCACTCCAAGTACAGTCACAACGTTATCCCCTTTCTCGCGACTATCGATTCCCACGGCCGTTTTCATATATGTTTGGTCTTCTTCTACGATCGATTTGCATTCCACTTCCATCTTCGTTTTTATATCAGCATTGTCCAATGTATGATCGATAAACTCCTTCGAATTAGAGCTCCATTTGCGTAAATTAAAATTTCCTTCCAAGATACTCTTTGAAACCTTATAAACGCCGAACGCACTTGTCGCATTTTCTGCACCCGATATCATATCCTCAACATAGAAGGAGTCCTCGATCAACTTAATTAATTTGTGATAAACATTCTTGTAGGAGTTTAGGTGCCGTGGGATTATAAAACCCAAAATTGCTGATGAGGGACAGAGACCAAACACTAATCTCGTGAATAGAAAACACGATACTTTCTGGTTTTCTGGGTCACTTAATGAAAGAAGTCGTAACATATCTCTGTCCGATTCACTAATGCCGATCATCAAAAACGTTTTTCGATGTCAGCCATGTGAGCGACGGGATGAGACATGAATTTAACTAATACGTCAAATAACTTTGGAATGAAATTTGGTCCTTGATCTAAGCAATCGTTTATTGACAAATCGTCAGGGTTTTCCTTTGCTGACCCATCTTAAACTACTTGTAGTTTAGTTGTGTTCTTGTCCTTACGCACAACGCCATGATGCGGCATGTAATGCACATTTGTTTCAGTCTCAGCTAGGGTTGAATCAAAGGGAACAACTCTTTCAATAATACCGCTTTGCAACTTTTCTAATATTATGTTTTCGTACTCCCTCAACAACTCTTCTTCTTCAACAACGTGCTTTCTTTCAATCTTCTTTGTAGGGCCGATGTTAAACGATGTAAACACAAAAGATAATGCTGTTCTGGACGACCCTCTCCCCATGGCAATACGACTTCACACATTGTCAAACGTTACATTTGCTAAGAAGAACTTGCCTTATCTTCGTTAGGGATTTCATTAATTCCAATTGTCTCCGTATCCCAAAGCGTTTTTAAAGTTGTTATCAGTTCGACTTCGTTTTAGTTTCTTGGTTTTATTTCAGTCTGTGGAGCATAAGTCAAATTTTCATGTACGGTAAGATTGCTTACAGTGCCATCCATCGGATCCGAAAGTAGCCATCCCAATTTACTTCTAATAGCTGTAGGACCGCGAGCATTCTTTCCTTATAATATCTCCCCATTCAAAATTGCCCAATAATAATCCGATCCAATTAGTAAATCAATTGAGCCCCTTGGATTCTTTCAATCATCTACGA